TATCAAGCTCGCTATCAGCATAGCTATGACCCTGGAGGCTCTTTAGGTCTGAACCTAAATTGGAACTCGCCGCACGCGAGAGAAATGCCTCTGTCGGGGAAATATGGGAAGAAGCATGTGATCGAGGGACATTTACAGACGTGAAGCAATTAGGACCCGGACCCGGACTAGAAGGAGACATGCAGTATGGTTCAGATGACCAGCCGCGCGTACTTGCAATGCTATCCGCATAATTACGCCGAGGCAATTTGTACGCGCGAGATCTGTCTTCGTCCAGGAGGGCTGGCGGGCAGATGGGCATTTCAGCTCCCCGTACTGGAGATGCAGAAGAGGCTGTGGAGGAAGTACTCGTGCTCTCCGTGCCAGCCAGTGCGTCTCCGGAAATTTCGAGGGAGCGGTAATAGTGTGCTGCTCTGGTGGCGCGTTCTATCACGCTCTGATCTAGGACCATGTTGCCGAACATTTCGTGTCCTTTTTCTAGACACATGCCTGGAAATTCTGTGCCGAACATGGGGGTTAGGGCGTAGCGGATGGGATAGCAGAATCTGGCTGCTAGTGCTCGGGCGGCCTCGAAGGGCATCCAGTATCCTGCAATATGCGTTAACCTGGTGCCATACAGTATCTGAGCGAGGGGATTAAAGTACCTTGGGCTGCGATTGCCCCTCCAGTGATGCTGTGACAGATGTCACGCAGTCCGGGATTCTGAGCAAGAACTTTGGCTGGGGTTGTCTAGAGCCGAGTTGTTAGAAACTGGAGGTTTTATAATCATCCCCTTTATGGGTAAAATAGAAGAAGATACCTTTGTATAACCTAGTGCTTTGAACAGGTGGGTGATTCGAACGAGTCCGATATTATAATCCCACATCATAATCCATCTCTCTCCTGGGTCCCCGTAACGGAATGTGTACTGGTACACTGAGTGTAAACACTTAGTTAGTATAGAAAAGCAATGGCTTCATTGAGGAATACGTACCCTCAAATTTACTGCGACCCGTCTTCTCTTCAAAGGACTTCTTCTCGCTTCTATAAGGAATAGTTCGAGGATATTTCCCAATATTCGCATCCGGCTCCATGGGAAATAGTTCCAATCGTCGATGTTCCTCAGAGATTGGATCTGGACGGTCTTCACAGGGAGGATAGCGAATCTCGCCTTGTGGGTCATTTGGCTTGAAAATAGGAGCGTCTTTGGCGATTTTGTATTTCACTGGAATCTTGTGGCGCCCCGGATGTAGACTTCTTGCCATGCTTATGTTAGGGAAGGTGTATTGAGCACCGAATCCAGGAGTAGTATGCACGGGAAGTTCGGGGGCCGGGTTCAAGAGAGACTTGATCGATGCCATTGATGAAGAAGGGATTTAAGTGAGAGTGAGAAGGGTAGAAAAAGAAAAGATTCAGGGAAGAAGGGACGGAAAGTTGAATCAATTCAGAGTCAGATGGGAGAGAAGGGAAAGAGAAGGGGAGGAGGATGAATGTAAATGGCAAATGACAAATGATGTGGAACAAAAGGCGTTTTCCAGAAGGCCTGCGAAAGACACACTGGATGCCTCCGCAAGACACAGTCCCGGTTTGATATCGCCTCCTTCGCCTTTGTCTCAAGGTTTGTCCCGTATCTTAAACGAGGGTGATTACAGTCCTTGTTTGACCTTGCGAGCAAATCCTTGTTTCTGTATTGATCCAGGTTTTTGATGAAACGAGACACGCGATGCGTTGTCGAGGAGATGAGAGAGCAAGAAAAGCAGGGAAGGGGAAAATTCCACCTAGCGGTGTATAGTACACTCGGAGCAGCGTGTCTGGAATGACTTTTCGTCCTTGGGTGATCACCTCACTGATATCTTGAGAGCATCACGAGGGCTGTTCAAGTCGGACAGGTTCCCTGGGAGTGGATATGTTTGTCTCTCCCCTCGGCCTGGGGTCTCTCTCCCCTCCATCGAAGATCTTCGACTCTGGACTGACCGCTATGCTGTGTACATGCTGTCATCGATCTCCACCATTGATGCCTCTGTATGAGAGGGGTGGGCATGAGTGAGAGCTCTAGAATGAAACCCGTGTCTCCAAGCTTCGAGGCCTCGCTGGTTTCACCACCGCAAATATGGGTACCAAGACCTGGAAGCCCAAAGCCCAAAGCGCCCATGGGACCTTGTCTGGCACCATGTGGATATCCTGCACTACTGCTCTTTCGAACAGAAGGAGTATCACACCTTTCCACCGCCTCATTCACACCTCTATGCGTTTATATGCATGCAAACAGACCGTTGCGGCAGTCTGCACACGATATAAGCAAGAGAGTGGTCATAACAAATCCTAGCCCTAACCGCTCTTCCAGCTGCTTGGTTACAATGGCACCAACCTCCCCCGAACCCGTTTTTTTGTATTTGGGAACACAACCGGTATGATAGAACCTTGATCGAGCCTCTGTCCCATCAGATCATCTTTCTCGACGCGAGACACTATTGGAGAACCAACATTCTACTACAGCCGGAGAATTTACTATGGGGGAAACCTCGTAACCAATCTGTGGATTGGCCGCCTCATGGTGGCTCGATGAGACGGACATCAAAGAGGTCTGAGACCTCGGCAAGCTGCAGGGAAACTTATTCCTTGTATGACGGACAGTTGCAGGCTCCGCTGGCGAGTCCCTCTACGGCCGAGAAGTTGTCTTAGAGAAAGCAATGCTGCAAGCAGAAGATAAACTTCTGACCGGATCCAAAGGGAAGGGGGAATAGGACGCTTACACTTACAGTGCTGGGACCTTTGTTAGAGAGTTGTTCCATGCGGATCGCATCGTCCTCTTACAGATACATGCTTCAAAGGCCCCTTTCATTTCCATCGGATGCAGTCGCAGCCGTAGCCGTGTCTAATAAGTTGAGTCTCAGCATTCGCGTTGTCTCGGTAGCAAGACATAATCACGATCGCACCCGACGAGACCGCTCTTTCAGTCTATGTTTAGGCCGCATCGTGAAAAAGGTGGATCGGTTCAGAGCCTCAAGGAGGAAATGTCAAAGAAAATTCCATGCATGCTTCTCTGCAGAACTCCGACACGTTGGTGGCTGTTGGAAAAATCCACTTTTTTCCCCCTGTTGGCTGTTCCCAGTCCGGGCATTAGTGATGTCTTATCCCAGTATGCCACATTGACTTTCCCTCCAGCCCGTTCTTCAAATCTTCCCCATTGTACCCACTTTCATCATGCGGGCTAGGTAAGTTCCGAGCAGGAACAGGGACCTCTCTCTCGACTAATAAGCATGGGGCTGATCCGCATTCGGGAGTACAGCATCAACGGTACAGGTGTCAACCGTTGGGATACATCACAATCCAATGATCAAGTCGAGGGCTACATGGCCGAATCAGGGTATTGTCAAAAAAAAAGAAATTGCAATAATAACGATAACGATACTTATCACGACCAGCAAAACAGTCTTGTCTTGGGGGGGTATAAACGCAAAATCAGCCAGCAGCCCAACCGTACGAGTCCGAGACTAAGGAAATTCTAGAAGAAAAGGCTGCGATTCCAATGTCTAAGACAGCCAATTAATCGACCACGATACTATTGGTCTCTCAAAGAGCGGTATGTCTGATAGTACGTGCTCCTCGGTGTGAGGCTTGACTGTTTCTCGGTGTTTTGGAAAAGGGGGATGAAGAAGGCTGTCGGTTTCAACTGGCTGTAGTTCCAAAGGTTCGAGCTCTTCGAGAATTCATTTCACTCAATTTTTCCGACAGACTCTTCAAAATATTCAAAGGGAGGAGGTTGTATATCGTAAGTTTCCTTTCTGGGGTCCTGTAGGCACCGCATGTCCACTGTTTCGAATCGTCAATTGACTAGTCCTGCATAAGCACACGAAACAATACCGTTTCGATTTACATTTATTCTCGAGACTCGACGTCAAATAGCTAACATCATAATTACTGTTGAACTTCAATACCCAGCTTCACCTCGTCGACATTCTGAATTTGAAACTATTCTCTCGGTGCCCGCCCATACATGCAACACCCGCCCTAACATCCCGACAACATTAAGCTTACTACTGTCGAACCTAGACTCACTAGAGAAGATACCTGTACAACTAAGCTCAGGCCGAGATCCGGGGAAGATAAAATACGTCCAATTTACCTCAATGTCACAGTGCAAAGACCTCCGCGCCCATAGCACGCTGAAGAAGAAAAGCATAGTAGTATGGAAGAAATACGTGCGCTGCAGTCAGTCCAAATCAAGATGCGGAGAGTTGAGGCCTGGATGGCTAGGGCTAGTAGTCCAAGATGGAACGCAACGGCCTCGTACGGGGCGGGGCTTGTTACGCATGCAGGAGAGCGAAGCATTACCAACTTGTGCGCGAGCGAGGCCCATCTACTCTGTCCTTCCCTGCACGGCCCGTAATGAACATTGTTACAGTCGAGTCGAAGCTCCTGCAGATTAGGTCTCAGGTAGCTTCCGTCAGCCTTCTAGATCAGCTGCGCTGCATGTTAAGAGTCGTACGTAGGAGAAATGGATTCCCGACGGGGGGGCTCGAACACCGGAAGACTGCAGAAACGGCCCAGAAGTCGGAACTATGATGGGAGGAATGAAGAAACGTCAAATTCATGAGATTATTTTAGGACAATTGCATTAAAACAATATGGACCCGAGAAGAATAAACAAATGTGGTGATGAAGGTCAAGGTAAAGGTAAAGTAAAGGGGGGGGGTAGAAGGCAGAATGAACAGTGTAGGTAATGTGATAAAAAGAATCGCAAGAGACATGAATATTAATCCGCCGCCCGAGCGTTCCACATAGTTTTCGTTATCGGTGCTAGGATCGCGTATCGAAGGGCCCAATATACAGTCCAAAAGGTGACCAGACAAATGATATGGAGAGCCCCGCCAACAATCCTGCGAGCCGTAAAACATAATTCGCTGAGAGATGATACGGTATATGCCGTTCGTGTTCTCATCGAATCATCGACAGATAATCGTGGGCAATCGTCAAAGCCCTAGTGTCTTGCAAGACACCCAAATCGCCAAGGGGAAACTTTAAACCGCCAGGAGAGGCTCGCGTTCCTCCTCCTTCTCAACCGACTCAACGGGATGAGAAATGGGCTCGGAAACGGGCTCGACCTTGGGAGCTTCCGGGAAGTCCTCAGTCTTAATGATGGGCTCGGGGTTGGCATCGCCCTTGACGATAGGAGAGACGAGCTTGGTCTTGGTTGCCTCGGGAGAGGCAGAGCGACGGCCAATGTACTCCTGGGCCTTGGAGCTGTAGTCACCAACATATTGCTTCATCAGACCGGTAGCGTGGGAGGTGTGCTCGCCAGCCAAGTCCTTCAGCTGGTTGGTCTGGGAGCTGATGATAGCCTGGAGGTTTGCGATCTGCTCATCGATGATCTCACGGTTGCTGATGTACACAAGAGGGGCGAAGTAGGCGGTGGTCACGGAGATCACGGCGAGTCCCCAGATCGGAACGAAGCGGATCAGCCAGTAGCCAGTGAAGGTAGCGGTGAAAGCCTAAAACATGTTAGAACACTTTCTTCTCGTCGGTTCAGAGGGAGAGTTTGGCATTGACATACAGCAATGGTGTGAACGACATTCTCGGCGAACAGAATACGCTGGAACTCAATCAGGAAGAAGTCAAACAGCTGGGAGATGTCCTCGAGCACGGCCTCGTGGGTTTCCTTTGGGATGGTATAGTAGCGACGGGGGCGGAATGAGCTGGCGATGCCCTGCTTAAGGATCACAAGGCCAGCGACTTCGACGGCGGCAGTCACTAGGGTACTTTGTTAGCGGACGGCTCGAAGTCCCGATCACACCACCCGGTCACGCGACCAACTCACATCCCAACGACATGTACAGAAACTTGAAGGCCCAGCGGAGGAGGGGCAGGTAACGAGCGGCGAAGATGAATCCGATGACACTGGCGTAAGACACAGCGGTCGCGCGGGGTTGCTCCCACTATATGCAAGAGGGGGTTAGAAGCGAGCCAGGCGCAATCCCCACACGGGACCACAACACAAGGTAGATTTGGGTCCAAACTCACGCTCAAAAGGCTGTACAGCAGGGAGTGGTAGTCTGCGCAAGGGTCAGTAACATGTCTGATAGTTTGTATTCGGCTGCCCTCTCTGGGCGGTGTTGAGGGAGCTTGGCCAGAACGTACGGGTCAAAGGCTGGCCATTTTCGGTAGTGGTGGAGGGGGTGACACGCGAGTTCTTGAGATCGCGAAGCTCTCCGCTGGTCTTGGAGGCTTCGGACTTGACGCTATCGACAACGGGGCCTAGAACAAAAGCACGTCAGACAACTGTAACGCGCTAAGAAAAGCCCCCCTTTCTCACGGGCTCATGGGCTCATTACCCTTGGTGACAGTATCACGAATGCCTGAACCGGAGAAAATCCAGGGTTAGTGGGATTCGTTCGTTCTGAATCAAGATCGACGAAGGAAGCGAGAGGGAAGGAGATTGAGTAATACTGCAGGAAACAGGAGTGGTTAGCATGAATCTGCAGGCGAGTCGGGAGGAGTCGGCTGTTGTGAATTCGGCGTACCTTACTGCCCGTGTTGGGGTAGCTCACATCACCAGAATCGGCCATGGTGTTGGGAATTTCCGAGAATCAATAGATATGAATCTGAAAGGGGAGAAAAGAAAAGGTGAAGGTGAATATGAGGGTGAAGTGGAGGAGGGGGGAAAGTGTGGGAAGGGAAAAAGAAAGCAGGGAAAGATAAGGAAAGGAAAAGGGTTTATTTTGGTTTGTGATGTCAACTGCCGCATGTGCAAATCCACTGGGCAAGTGCGGCGCGCCAAGCCTGGTCAGGCCTGGTCAGGCCTGGTCCTGGGTAGCTCCTGCCGAATTGCACTTACGACTAATGATGTCAGCACTGCTGGTAGTGGTACTTGCTGGCGATGGTACATATCAGATCACGTTAAGGATACCCTGGGATATTCATACATAGGATACATGATACTGCATAAATCAATTCTTACTGCCTACTTTGGACAGATCAATTCCCTTGGGCCTTTTTTCTCTTCCCCTATCTCCCTCGGGATCACGTTCCCGCCCGCTCACTAGACTTCCTTCATCATTTGGCGGATTCTCTGCACTCCCGGCTGCTTCTCCCATCCCGGGTGGATAGTAAGGACCGCTTGGAGCTGTTGGTTGGCAATCGCCATGTTGCCATCGGTGCGTGCACAATGCGTCTCGACAAACTGCTCGTGGATTCCAGGCATCGAAATTGCCGCCTGGAAGAACATTCGATCCTTGGATCCGTGAAGCAAGGTCGAAACAGTGCTATCCAGCTTTCTCTCTTCTTCCTTCTTTCTCATCACACCTTCTAGATATTCACGGTCTTGCTCGAAGTTCTGACCTTCCTGAACCCAGTCATTTTTCCATCCCGGTATGTCAGCCATAAACCACGGATGGTGGATCACAGAAGGTAGCGGTCCGAGATAGAGCCAATCCCAGTCAATTACCCTAAGTTCACATTGTCAGCTGATACATAGAGCAGAGAGGGGGGAGAGGGGGGGAGAGGGGGGGGAAAGAGACACTCTAGTAAGTGCCAAAGGTTAAGCTTACCCTGAGAGACGAAGGTCCAGATCCACCAGGATGTTATGAACGTTCAGATCTCCATGAGCAATACCGATGCTGCTGTACTCATCCACCGCAACGGAATAGTAGGGGATCATTGATCTCATGACAAGGTATTCCATGGCATCTCCCCAGCGTGATTCTCCAGAAAGGGTCCGGTTGAGCTGTCGGTCAATCGCCTGCGTCAGCCATTTCGAGTAGGGCACCACCGGGGTGGGGTACGGCAAGGCCGGAGCTGGGGTCGACCATAGCAGCAGAAGAAATTCGGCAAGATCCTCAAGGAAGTCCTGACGGGGCTTGATTGGAATCTGAAGGTCCCATCTACTCAACGGGTCACCATCCATCCAATCCATGAACCACACCGGGTGCTTTGTGCCGTGAACGGTGGGGGCTCGAATGTGAGGATGATGTCGTTTGATATGCTGCAGTGTCTTCACAGCTCGTAGTTCAGCGGGCCAGTCATGGGCATCTCGGCAGATTCGAAGGGCCCATTCAGTTGAATCAGCAAACTCAAGTTTGAAGACGTCATGGGTTCCGCCTCTGAGAGGGGAATCGTTGGGCAGTCGACATTTCATACCAGAGTGAAGACGAGAGGCCTCTGCTAAAAGACCGGGTAAGTTTGGCATTTTGCCCGTTGGGTCCAAAGGACCTAACATGAGATGGAAATGCCGAAGCGAGGCGGTTGTGGTAGATGGAGCGGAGGTGGAAAGGGCGAAAACAAGAGGGAGGGAAGAGAAGAGAAGAGGGAAGAGCCAAGTGAGGCACGGTGAAGGTGAGGTGGATGGTGGATGGTGGATGGCTAAAGGGAAGGAGCTCACTTGGACTTGTTGAACTCATCCTCATCCTCAACCGGGAAGGAACGACCCTGCACACTGAAAATGGACATGCCATCTCATTCATAGTAGAACTTGTAGATACACATAGATAGTCCAGGGGATTACCCCGTATTATAAAGGATCCTCTTTTTCTTTCTATCTAATTACCAAAATATTAATATTAAATTATTAATATCTAATAACTGAATATAACTAGAAGTTAGTAGTCCTCTTAAAAAGAAAAGTATACAGACAGCCACTCTATACTATACAAGTGGATCCCACGTGACTGCGCGTTACCGAGTTGGGGTCTCTGTTTACCACTCCCACTCCATCTCAATCTCCATTCCGACACGACGACATCACAACACCCCCGCCCGCCCTTTGACTGCTGTTCTCACCCATGGTTTTCCAATAATTTATCCCCCTGTGCGGAAGCTCTTTCATCGTTTTTTGGCGGCCCTTTGCCCTCGACTCTCCTTGACTACCGAGTCCTCACTACGCGTTTGTTTACATCATGGCTGCTGCTAGCGCGAGGGCGCAAAAGCCCGTTGGTTCCGCCGCCTGGATCGCCACGGAGAAGGAAAATGTGGCGGAGATGGTCGAGCAAGAACTGGAGGAAGTGGAATACCCCGTCCGTCATGAGATGGACTGGCTCAACGAGCACATGACCGAGATCTTCTCCAAGGGCCAAGCGTGAGTCGCGACCGATCGCTCACCCGCCAATTTTGACCTGGAGCTAATGGGTGATCTAGAAACTTTACCGATGTATTCAAAACCCCTGGTAAAATGCGAGGGAAAACTCCTCGTACGGCTCGCAAGCGAAATGTGGAAGATGACCGAGTCGTAAGTTCTGCGCGCTGGCCTGTGTGGGATGGGATTGCCTCCAGCCGAAGTGAAAAGCTAACCATGAAACAGCCACTGAGTGAGATTTTCTCCTCCTCCCACAAGCAAGTAGAAAACAAGGCTGTAAGCCCTAGTCCATTTATTCATCGTGTCATATCGAAAACTGCTGCGCCCGCAGCGATTGCCCCTCCCCGCCTCAAGGAAGCCGAGGTGCCATCGCAACCCCAATATCCAGATCTCAGCCAGAACCTGAACTCCTTCCAAAAATATAACACCGACTCCGGCTACCATGGAATGGAAGATGAAGATGAAGAGGTCGACGACGATGATGATGAAATGGTGTTGCCCGATACGCAGCCAGAAACAGAGACCGCCACACAACCATTCGAAGTGGATGAAGCAGCGAGATCAAACTCCCGACCTGAACTTTCAGCCAGTCAACGAACAACAGAAGACTCTTTCGTCTCAGCTCAAGAGAACGTCCGCGCTCGAGGAGAGACTATCGAACCAATGAAACTGGATCCGACACCGACGCAGGAGCGAACCGCCCGCCCCGTGAACGCAGCGCACAAGGAATCTGAGTCTGAAAACGATACAACTCCAAAGGTTGCGCCTCAACCTAAGATAAAACATCAGACGAAAGCATCGACTTCCCAGCAAGCCCGGCAGGAAAGGCCCATGGCCCAAGAAAAGCCCAAGGAGCAAGACCAGGAAGACGTGATCTCCAGCGTTAAAAACAAGAATCCTGTGGCTTCCCATCAGCTAAGGGAACAGGAGGAGTCTCAGCCTCAAGATGACGAGATGGAAATCGAAGATACGACGAAGGATGATACCATCCTAGACGACAACTTTGATGACATTGGATCGCCCTCCGATGGCTCTACACCAGACAGACTGCCTGTCCGCAAGAGTAGCTTGAGCTTTGCCTCTCTGCCGGCCAGAGAGCCTCTTACCAAGAAGAGTATGGGCGGTGCAAGGATTTCGCGTACCAGTCACATTGATCTCGCGAAATTGAGCCATAAGAGAAACTCCAATTTCCTTGGAGTCCAATCAAGTGGTCATAAATCGGGACAACCATCCTCAGAAGACAATGTGAGCGATGCCACTATGGACATTGAAAATGAGAAGAGACCGGAAGACGACGTCGATATGGACCAGGCTAGCAAATTATACAACAAAAAGTCGACCCAAAGCCTACATGATAGGATCAGCATGCTCGGAAAGCCCCAAACACGCCCCAACAAGTCTATCCCGGCGGCAGCGGGTCTGTCTGCTGGTCAAATCGCCTATCCAGAGCTCCCGGCTGCCAAAGCTGGACCCAAACTGGACTCTTCAAATGAGAAGTCCAGGAAGACACCCGCCCCGAAAACAGACACTGCTGGCGATGACGATTGGATCAAGGCTCTGGATTCGCCACAACGACCGAATCTCATCAAGAGCAAAACCACAGATGTCATGGAGCATCTCCTGGAGCCTGAGAAACACCAATCTTCTTCTCAGAAGATTAGCCCAGCACTCAAGCAGAAGCCCTCTGAAGAACCCGAACGGCCCAAATCATCCGCTTCCATCTTTTCTTCTCCTCGCCCACGGGGTCATCAGCAGAGCGCGTCTACTTCTATTTTGGGATCTACGACTCCCGTTGGATCCCCTCGACGTTTCGAGGGCCCGCTAAGTGCTTCCAAGATAAGATTGCAGTCGATCATGAAGTCTGCAAAGGGCTTATTCACAAGCACTGGCAGTCCTTCGAGAATCGAGAGCTCCTCCCCAGTGGCACATCGTGTGCAGACCCAGGAGCGAATGAGCGTCGACATCAATGAAAGTGATGATGTTCAAATGTCTGAGCCACCTCACATCTCCAGCCCTCCCGCACGACAGGAGGGCCGCCGCACTCGAAGCTCCACCGAGAAGGAGGAAAAGCGTCAGCGAAGGGAACAGGAAGACCGCCAACGAGAGGCAGAGGCGCACCAAGAAGAAGCGCGTTTAGAAAGAGCTAAGGAGCAGGAGAAACAACGAACAGCGCAGCTCAAGGCCGCTCAAGACAAATCTTCTGTTGAGCCAGATGAGCGCATCGCACAAAAGCCATCGCAACTGCAACGACAACAGTCGCGGGAACCTGAGTCAAAATACGGAATTCCACAGCCAAAGCAAGCCGATCGCCGACCCAAGCCCCCGACCCGCGAGGCGGTTCAAAAGCCCGAGCCGCGACCTGTTTCGATCCGAGTTGGGAGCACAATGTCCTCTCGTCAAATCCCTGTAGCTACTTCTGTTTCGTCCAGCTTCAACGAGGCAAATACTCCCGCCCCAGCTCCTGTTTCTAAGCAAGCAAGCTTGAAAAAGAAGGGGAGCAACCAATCACTCCAAACGGCTTCCTCGACGAATAGCCTCAAGAGCAGCACTTCGAGCCAGACACAAGCACAGCGAAAAGCTCAACTGGCGAGCGAGCGCAAACGAGAACAGGATCGGAAACGAGCTGCCCAGCAACAGCAAGAGGAATCTCGTCGTCAGGAGGCCCAAAGCCGTGCTGAGAGTCGTGCTGAGGCAGATCGCGGACGACGAGAACTATCTGCCCAGGAAGAATCTAACAAAGCCGCAATTGAAAGACGGAGACAAGAAAATGCTCGGCGACAACACGGCCGTACCGGTAGCCAGCAGATCGTCAATGAGGTATTTCATTCCTTTTCCACAGTCATCGAGGATTCCACTAATCATATCCAGGCTCCCGCCCTGCAACACGAGAAATCAGCCGTTCAATCCTCTCAGAAGAGTGATCTTGGAGGAACGAGGCCGCAGTCTCGCGCAGGTCCAGCACAGAATTATGGTCGAATTAATCCACCTGCGCCCAATCCTGCCAGACCCGCTAAGAGGCCCATGAATGAAGAGGCTAGTAATCGACCTCCGGTGAAGAAGATCAGCAATGTACACTCCGTTATCGGGGATAAATGGGGCAAAGGTGAAGATGAGCAACAGCACCAATACCAACACCAACCCTCCAGGCCATCGGTCAGACCTCCAATGGGACCCCCCTAAACGGGTGTCTAATATGCGCCAGGTATGTTTTGAATCATCCCGGTCTCGTTCATTACTTTCTAACCCAACACCCTCTTCAGCCGCAGCATCCGACTATAAATCAGTCTAGTATGGCATCTTCATCCGGGTCTAGCATCTTCAAGCCCGGTCAGGCAGCGCGTCCTGCTCCCAATATGTACCAATATGCCAGCGGGAAGATTCCCTTCGCCGAGCCAAACCAAGCAGCAGGACCTGCCAGTGCCGCCAGGCCAGCGGCCTCCAGCTCCGCTCAACGTGCCCCGGCTCAACCCCCCCGCCAAACCGTCTCCCAAGTATCCCAGCGGAGAGAGCATCCATCTTCCCGAGATTGCCACGGACAGCGAAGACGAGGACGACTCAGACTCCGAAATGTTCCCCGTTCCCAAATGGGCCCAAGCCAAAGAACTTAACGACCTGCTCGTGATACAAGATAAAATGGAAGCGGATTCAATCTTCGGCCCCATCGCCCCATTCTCCCTCGAGGAAACCTTCAAAGCCGACAAGAAGATCAAGAAGTTCCGTGACCGCACTAGTAGCGCAAACTGGTCTGGTCCAGATGGTCTTACCCAGGAAGAGATTCGCAAGGACCGGGCCGAGCGCCAACGTCTCCGTCTCAACGGTGGATGGTCCTTCGAGACCTAAGCGGCTGTGCCGCATAGCGTGTGACAAACAATATTCAGTTCATCCACTTCATCCACAGCGAGTTTTTGCTGTGTCCTTATTGAGTAGCAGCGGCAGATGAGGTGTGGCTTTGCAGTATCATGGTGTTATCGGTGTTTAAGGGTCTGGGATTTATGGGCGTTGTGTTGTGTATTTTTCATTTTCATTCATCATCACATCATTGTCTGTGTACGCTTAGACAGCAGACTGTTAGGAGAGCATCCATTGGTGTATATGGCCGTTAATCGAATGATTGGATTTAAGTTCCTAAGACTATGGAATTTAGCGTTGATAGATGATTGTGTTGTGCCCTAATATCAGGGGTCAGTAGTATTCGGTGCCGTTGTTAAAGATTATGATGCCTTGGGTGCTTATTCTGGGATATTTTTCTTCCAAAGCTTAGGATCATAGATCCAAACATGAAGCTCCATAATATCAACTAGCATCATTGGTCTAGTGGTAGAATTCGTCGTTGCCATCGACGAGGCCCGTGTTCGATTCACGGATGATGCATTCTTTTTGCTTCTTCTCACTCATTTATCTATACCACATCAGGGCTTTCACAACCTTTTTTTGACCTTTAGTGAGCATAGTTTGATATACAAATTCTAAAGTTGAAGGTATAGATCTCCTATAGTAATTAGTTTATCTTAACTTACTAGTAGTACCTAGATCCATTCCTGAGGTTACTACCTAGTCACTACTACCAACTTGGATATATCATCTGTGGATTCCAAGGCTATATTATATATTTCTCGGTTTGAATTGGAACCAACCTGTTGGAGGTTTCCAAGGTCCCAAGGTTCTTTGTACTTCAAGTTTACCTACTAGCACCTCTGGAAAGCTCCCAGGGTCCTCTGCCTACGAGTATGAACCACCGGAAAGGACGTGTACACAACATATGATTCTATTTTTAATCTGCGTGTAACCAGTCCCGACCGAATATACACCATACCCTATACAGTATCAAGAAACCAACGAAAACAAAACCCTTGCTCAGCCAGACCTGGTCGCGCCACCATACCGAATATTATACAAGCCTACATGGGGTGGTGTATTCACGATCGTATAAAACGCCCGGCTCTTACTCCATGTCGGGTTCAGCATCGCTCGCTCCACCATCACCGCCTTCATCCATCGCGTCCGGGTTGAGATTCGCCGCATCCGAGGATACGCCCTTCTTGGTCTCGGACTTGCCGTGGGAAACGGTGCTCCAGCCAGCCTCGGCGGAGGGATCCTTAATATACTCGGACATGGGGAACTATATAATGGCAATTGTCAATACTGCGCTTGATCGAAGTATAGGACCGATGTCAAGCCACTAGGGTGAGTACTCACGTAATGATCGTTCTTCTTCATAGTGACAACCCATGGAACGTTGTCGAATGTCACGGCACGCAGTCGGAAGTAGGTGTTATCCGGAATTTTGCGAACTTCCTTGACGAAGCTATCGAGGTTGGGAGTAGGAACGCCGTTGACAGCAGTCAGGAAGTTAGTAGGAGCAAGTCCATAATGGTAGGCGGGCGAACCGCGGCTCTAGAGGCACTATTAGTTACAAATATCCGACAAAACCTGGCAAAAATTGTTATCGACTCACCCTGGCGCTAACATAGATTTCACTATGAAGCTTTGAAATTTGTTGCCGCACAGCATGATGGGGCTTCTGAAGAACAGCACCGCAGAAAACAACAGCACGATCGGTCTCAAGATCTTCAGTTGGAACGGTCGGAACACGAAGGTGCATCTCTTGGCCGTTACGGATAATCAAAGCATCCAATACCTCCTTCTCATACATGACATCCAGTTCCGAAACGCGAGTGATAAGCTGGTCATCGAGAGTGAGAATGATATCAGCTTCCTGGAAACTGTCGACCTCAGAGGTGAAGTTTGCCGGTGGGCAGTCCACCTTGCGCACCATGAACAGCTGGTGACGTGAAGGGTTGGCCTGTGCCACCTTTTGGATCCACTCCTCTGAGACACCCATGATTCGTGCCTGGCTCATCTGTACAACATAGCTCTCCATGTTCAGGATGCGAAGTTTGGGAACGACACCTTGTTGAATCTTGGACGTAACGGGAAGCAATGATGGAGTGGCGAATCCAAGGTGGTACTCGACATCCTTGTGAGAGCTTGGAGTGCGCTCGCCAAGGTAATTGAGCCAGAGGGCTTGAACCACTCCATCTTCACCGATCAGCACTCCGTTTGTACACTGTCCACTGAGTCCAGTGTCCACTGTAATAGCATCTAGGTTGATTGCCCGGTACCGAGGAGCGGAAGCATTGGCAGGGATCGAAACAGTTGTGATATCGGTGACTGCAGTCTTCGCAACAACAATACGATGGTTTTGGTTGAAACCGACGAAAATAGTGTCTTGACCCTGCTTGATATACTCAGTGCTGAGACGAGCACTTTGCACGGGTGCCTGAACAAGGCTGGGGTCATATTGAATGATGGTGTAGTTCTGAAGAGGGTGCAAAAAGACGACCTTGGCGTTGAGGATGACGGAATCAGCAACGGTAATGTTGATATCGCAGAGGTCATAGGGCACAATAGCCCGGGAGACGACAACCAGACCCTTCTCGGCATCGATAACCAGACCAAATCCGGTTTTTTTGGCTTGAGGGTATCCGTCTAGCTTCAATGGCATGGTGCAAGAGACGCGAACGAAACTGCGCACAATCTCTGCCGCCGCAGGTTGGCTAACGCCATCCAGCTGGATGAAGTCAGCCTTGCGAGGAACAGGCTTTTCGGCTGGGATAGGCCCAGCCAGATCCGAGAAATCCCAAATACCAGATTCATCATTGCGCACTGCCAAGCGCATCTTCGGATGCCAGTGACGGTCGACATAGATGATACTAGTGCCCTTGGTATGCAGATCTCGGATATGGCGGTAGGAGATGACCACTCGTGACCGATCAGGGATGTTCCTCATCACTTCCACGAATTCGTCCAGATTTCGAGTCGGCTTTTTATCCACTGAATCAATAATCCATCCCGCCAATGTATTCTCCAGTTTGAAAGAGCCCGCAGCCTCGCAAACGTATACACCACGGGTAGCAATGGCGTAAAGACGGGATTGTTGGTATGATAGGTCATGGAAAGTGCCTCCAGCAACCGTCACAAATCGATCGGGAGTGATGGAGTGGAGGTCACCAACTTCACACTCAACCTCCATGTCTTCTCCTCCGCGCTGCACCAGCAGTCGGATTTTACCACCGACACTGGAGTCTAGAATATCATCAAGACGGACAAATTGAGTAAGAAGCTCTCCATTTACCTGCAACAAAACATCTCCCTCCAGTAGCTTGCCATCTCCAGGACCTTCTGGCAGGATAATCTCGGCTGCAAGCATGTTGGTTTCTGCTGGCGCTGCTTTGCGAACAGCAGCCTCCCACTCGGGGGTCAGGCCGAGACGACGGCACTCGTCAAATGGCTTGAGGATCCACTGAGTTTGGATGGTACCTCGTGTAACGGGTTTGCTTTGACGAATGCACTCCAAGGCGCGCAATGGACGATCTCAGGGGCAGGAAATAGTCTGTGGCAGCACCGTCTGCTCGTCCACCTGCTTGCAAAGCTACCGCGTGGCCGTCGATATTGACGACGGGACTTCCAGAACTACCACCACTCGCGGCGGCCGCAGCCTGAATATAGTTTGTATTGAAATCGCTGTAACCCTCGCCATATTCGGGAGCATTGCGATCAAGTCGACTGATGACACCCGAGAGAATACTTAGCTTCTCACCGGCGTCGTTACCCACGACTCGGATCTCCGCACCCACACGAGCTGCGTCCGGTTGGAGCTTGAGCTCGGTCAGGTTCATGTATTTAATCGCCTTCGGGTTGAACTTGAGGATACCAAAATCGTGAACGGGGTCTCGGTATACAGGTCGGACATCGCACTATGAAAGAGTATGTCAGATATTAGACTTTGAATCAAGCGAGATTCCCTTCTCGGGCTGGAGCTGGGCGGCAAATATTTTCTTTACCTCTTCATGATTGTCAAAGATACAGTAACCCCAGAATGGACCGGCACCCACGACATGGCGATTGGTCAAGATATATCCACGCTCAGCATCGACGACAAAGCCAGTAGCCTGACTGCTCATCGATAGCTCTGTGTCGAAAGAGCATGTCTGGCAGAAGTGGATCGAGACGACACTTTTCACCACCGTCTCAATGGTCGCCTGCCATTCAGGCGAATCGGCCTGCGCAGGGCCAACAGCCATCATGTGAGCAGAATCCTCCTCCTCCTCGATATCGTAAACGGTTCCATTGGCCGGAGTCGCGTCGCCGGGGGTCAGCACCGAACCCTCAGGCTTCAAATGCTTTGCGGGACGTTCAACAGCCCCAGCGACGGTGCCGCGCTTCCGCTTGGCACCCAGGTCGCCATTAGCATCCATGGCGCAGGGGAATTGCAAGAAAGGACGGTGGTTGAGGTGGAGGTGAGCTCTGAGCGAAGGAAGCTTCAGTTGATGAGAAGAGAAGGGCGAAGGGTATCGGGTGGCAGGCAGTGAGGGTGACGATGACAATGACGAGGATGGGCGATCAGAGCGGTCGAATGGAGGAGAAAAAGAGCGAAGGGAAGAGACCGAGACAGAAAGACTCCTTCTGCACGCAACCAACACAGACATTCGCAGGTGTTGAGGCGAATGTGAAAGGCGGGAGTCGAGAGGAGCGATTGTGATTGGGCGGGTCCACTCCATGCCAGATGAGAAAGTTCAGGTGGACAAGGCACGCGCACGCCGATCTTTCTGTCATGCAGGAGGAGTACAGTAGTACGAGTATATTATTAGGATCGAGGAGCACAGTATAGTATAGTATATGGTATATGGTATATGGTAAGTGTAATGGTAGTGGTAATGGTAGATGTAGATGGTAGATGGCATCTGACGACGCTATTACACATATGAAGTGATCATTCAAAGTACAAAACTCCAAGGGTACATGATGGGATACATGGATTAGTTACATTTCCGGTGCAACGCTCCTCATCCGCCATGCATGGTGCGCTTGCAGAACGGGCTTTACCCTCCACCACCATGCGCCCCTTTTCCAGATGACCAGGTCGGCTGGTGGATTTGAGGATTTGACCGAGGTCAGGCAACACACCCTCGCCGGTTTTTGCATCCCCGGAGACCTCTCTCATTGGACGATGCAATACACAGAGCTGGCTGAACGGGAGGCACCGCGGCGGACCGATCTCCGGCACAAAGAAACAGGGATCCTGATCTTTCCGTGAACAGGAGGAGCCCGGGATGATGGTGGGAAAGGGTGAAGGAGAGAGCAAGGGAGAGGGAGAGGGAGATGGAGAGAGATGGGTGTTCACCGCAGTAAATCCAAAACCAAGAAAAAGATTATCAATAACATGGCACGACTTCCTTTTCTCTCCGGCGTCTCAAACCACCGACTCGGACACGGGTAATGGACTTGGGCCCCCGTTTCCGTGCATCATGCCCGGGCTGAGCTTCTGAGGAGTCGACGATTTCCCTGAATTTGGAAATAGCTCATTCAGCTTGACGTAAAGCTCCTTCACGGAAGGGAGATTCGGGGGAGCTGTCATGATTGCTGGGGCCTGAGGTGTAATGCCACTCGCTTTCTTTGCTCGGTCAGCGATCGTCGCTAGATAGGCCAGGTTGGCCTGCAGCCGGCGCATGCACTCGATGTACTCTTGGGTTGGTTTTTGCCCAGTCGGCTTGTTCATATCCCCTCCCTGCTCCCCAGAGGCACTCGCTTCCGCGTTTGCCGCCGAGCCTGCCTTGCCAGCTGATTGCAGATTCAAAACCTCCTGCAACAATGTGGAGTTGATGTCGAGGAGGGTGCTGACACGCGCCTTTTCACGAGCTGCCGCCGCCGCTTGAGCCTGAGCCTGAGCGGGACTTTGGGCCGGGGGAACTTGGCTTTGCCCTTGCATCTGTGTCTGAATTTGAGCCGCGTTGGGAGCTTGTCCTTGTCCTTGTCCTTGAGCCTGGACTGGGGTCCCGGGTTGAGTCACATGGGGTGAGTTGTTCATCTGCGGTATCTGGTGGTTCATCTGGTGGTTCATCTGGTGGTTCATCTGGGCATTCATCTGGGCGTTCATCTGGGCACTCATTTGCGGGTTCATCTGGGGAGGCTTTTGTTGGTTGGGGAGCATATTGTTTGCTGACAGAGATGCCATATTTTGGGAGAATGTCTGTGCGACAGTGGAGGGGGTATTCGTCGCCGTGCTAGGTTGGGAGAATTGGTTCATGCCGGCGGGGACGGGGGGTTGTGAGAAGGACGCCGAGTAATTGTCCATAGGTGCTGCTATCACAATTGGCGGTCAGTCAACGTCAATCTAACAGAGACTTGCGATCCCCAAATGTCCTGCTGCAGATAAAATACGGCTGGCAACGAATCGAAGTACCCCATCTCGCCAAGAAAATTGTTTGAGACGATTGTTGGCGCCAGCAAAGGGGGGGTCGATTAGAGCCGCAGGGGCTTCATGGGCAGCGCGACTCATTTTAGAGAAACATGATCGGCCCTATGCCAGGCCATGGCGAATAGGGTTTAAACCGTTCTCCAGAAACTGGAGAGCCAGGAAGACCCCGCAGGACAAAGTGACGAGTACAGCGGGCTAATCACAAAGAAAAGGGGAAAGGAGGGGAAGGGGTCGGTCACGTACCGTTGGATTGCTGGGGAAAGCCTGAGGGCATCATAGCTCCGGTGGGACCGCTTGGCTGCAGTTGGATGGCGCCGAAGGAATGCTGTTGGTGTCCAGGCTGCCCGGGCTGTTTAGTCTGGGGGTATTGGGGAACTGAATTCTGGTAGAAAGCCATCGGGTTTGGGGGGCTTTGGGTCGGGACGGGAAAGCCAGCGGGATAGACGGCGTTGGGATCCATCGTGTAGTAAGGGCACTATCGCGGGCCCAAACTTTTGGCGTTTGGACAGGGAGACCAGGGGGAACGGTATCAACTTGATGGCCCGCTATACGGAGTAATCGTCCGCTTTATTTTGTTGCTGAGCTCCTAGGCGATTAGAAGCCACCCCAAGCAATCACGTCGATTACGCACAAGCCACACGCACTCAGACAAAGGGAGAATCCAGGTGGGAACCCAGGGATATAGGCAATTGGTGTACGGAGTAGCGGCTGGGGAAATGTGTCAAAGAGAACAAAAAGGGAGCACGGTGATTGGCTCTGACAGAGCAATATTGGCAGGGGTGGTGCTGGAGCGCGATCGGCCACTGCTTTAACAGAGCTGGACTCGGAGAAAGACAGAATTTGGGAGGGGGTGTGGCCCGGATTCAGAGCGATCAGCCGTGGGCGGACGGGCTAATGCAGCGGAGCCTTTTTGGTTGGAGTGGGGACACGGGCCCGATGACAGTGGACTCTCGGTGAATTTCGATCGGAACGTGATTGTTCACCGATGAGGATCGAGCGCCTTTGGGGGAGAACCTGTTGCTCACAGGGGTTCTCTGCAGGAATTGTAGCCAGTGGTGGTGGTGGTGGTGGTGGTTGGGAGAGTTGGAGAGAGGAGATCCGGAGAGTCACGGGAACAAATTTCTGCCTCAGGCTTACATCAGCCAAAGACATGTGATTATCGACTTCGGAGTACTTCGACTTCACATTCCGTAGACTCCTTCCATTCTGGGTACAAGACCCATCTTCGCTACTAGTACTACTCCATACGTGTGTCTACTATTCAATTTAAGTGGAACAAAGGTTATCGTCCCAGAGAAATCCAGAGACATCTTTTACTTCTCGCTGATTTCCTTCGAAAAGCTCAGAAAGCTCAGACCCTTGCATATCCTCAGCCGCACACCAATGCGCCTGAAGTGACGTGGATCGTGGGTCCAACTGTGGCGCAGGCAACCGCCTCCTCGTTCTCGTTTTGATCGTCAAGGTTAGCGAATGGCCACTGAAAGATCGCAAGGAAGCTTCGTCCCGACGGTCTTGTGGCTGATGCCTACTCCGTACATGCCAAGAACATCCTTAGCTTCAAGATTCTATTGGTAACGTGGGGCTATGATACATATGTATGGTGTATGTACATGGGTCACGGTGGTTTACCTACTTGGAGACTTCGACGGGTTATTCCAGATCGGACAGATCGGACAGCTGCCAGCACCAACTGTTCACCTGCAGGCATTGTTGAGAATGAACATCGAATACTCGCTATGCTTGTTCTGCATCATGACTTGCACTGCCAAGACGGCGATAGAGTGCATATGTACGGAGTATGGACCAGTTTATTTGTCCGGATCTCCAATTAGGGCTGTTCACTAATCGTGCCCCCGCCTCACGCTAAAGAGAAGGAAGCCAATGAAAAGGATATCAATCATTCTCCTCGTAGCCACAATCTGTATTAGGAAACGGCGAACCCGAACACTCTTAACATTTTGTGCTCAGTACCTTTTGGATCTGCAATACAATCTGCGGTAATGGGAGGATACAAACGAACGACATGTGACGTGAAGATGATTTCAGCCACAATCCCAACATGGATCATCCTGCAACACCCCTACTAGTACAATGTTAATCAACAGTCTCCGGAGGGCAGGAGAACCCCTCACTATGTATTGTTATCTCGGGGATCCACCACAGCGAAGACTCTGGCTATTTCGCGGTTATCTAGAACGGGCATCCTGCAGCTCGCTAAGGTCCTAAGGAGGAGGCGCAGTGGACCAGGAAGCTCGTACTCCGTACATCCCTTCCCCCCCGCCACCAACCCATTTTGGAGGGATCCATTTTTCCCAGTTTCCAGGAAATGCAAGGCGGAGATCTTTTCCTAGCACGAAACTCACTATTTCTGACGAAAAGGGGTTCTGCTTGTTTTGTACGGAGTACTCGTACGTACAGGTTCCTTTGTAATCCACTCTATGGTACGGTGACAGCCGTCGGTCAGCCAGCCACACTAGGCGGAGCACCGGAGATGTCATCCCGGCCCTGGCACTAGACAAGCCCTTGCTGCTTCAACCTGGGGTAATGGGCATAAGAGACCCCCCAATGGCACGTCAGAATAGCAGCATTCTCAACGTACTAAATTGAACTACTGTGCGAAGAATCTCGGTGCTCGGGAACAGGGGGCACCTTCTCTGTGCTACCTGCCTGATCTTAACTGGCCTGATAGATCCAATGCATACTGAGAGAGCAGTGACGTGTGAAGGGCCGATCCGTTGGGTATCTACTTGTAGTTATGTGGCGCACAACTCCTGGTCGTGATCGGGCGGTTAACTACTGCATACGAACACTATACATAGTACAGTATATTAGTACTTCTCGAAAATAAGTTCTATCTGATAATCACTGCCGCATAGATCGTTCTTGTGGAGGTGTATGTATGAACCTCGGCTCCCGATGCTAGTGGTCCCTTTTTACCCCTTCTTCTCCTGTCAACCTTGGATACATCCAAACTCAATCGTGTATCATAGGGAGAATAAGATCATTGGCGGAGGCACGCTATCTGGAACTGTACGTTAACCATCGAACAATTTCCGTACAAGGTACAGATTTTTTACACGAACTACAGATCATTGACTCCTTAGGCCCCCAACCTGAGACCCCGCCACCATGCAAAGGAATTTGTCAACCCTAAATGAGGTCGTCGATCCACATCGTGCATGTCTTGCAGGCCGGAGAACTCTGATTTGCGTTCTCCGTTACAGACACCAGCGTCGGGGGCACCGAGGGACTACTGTTCGTCCTGCCCCAGTACGCACGTTACTGGGCCCGAGCGAAGGAAGTCTGGACGAGCTGACGACTCGAAGGGTGCGATCGCTGATCTCGCCAGGGGAGAACGGCTAAATCTTCCAAGTCCTCATTGGTCACCGAAGCCTTGAGTTTTTCCGAGACCACTAACAGTGTCTCATCTGGATCGACAGTCTAGTGACAGCACTTGAGCGCGGGTCTCAGGATCTCAGGCTGTTTTGAAGAGCTAGGCGGGTCGAGTGGCGGAAAATGAACGGTCCAGCGTCCTAAGGACCTAGTGTTCATTGGTAACTGTACTTGGAATGCGAAAGTTCGTGATCCAAGGCTCTGGGAATCACACTGGACAGGACACAACTCAGAAGTCCTTGTTTTTAGGGCTATCGAAAATTTGCACCGAGATGGCTCCGGCCGGCGAAAGACGTCGGGGTGGCAAAATACTCGTATGTCTGTATGAACTACGGAATACCATTTCCCAAATTGGTACCTAGTAGATTGTTGCAAGCTCACAATGGAATTCTCTCTACTACGTGGTTTCAGCCCTCCCCCTCGCGGGGAAGTGCCATTTATTCCGGCATTCGCATCCCCACCCGCAAGGTTTTTCTTCCTTTTTACCATTCTGGTAAAGGCTATGGATCGACAGCCTCAGCCACAGAAGTGGCGCCCATTCATGTTTTGCGTCAGGTTAGGCCTCGAACAAATTTCTTGAAACGCATGCGACTCGGCAGCGAGCGAGGCTCCGGGTTGCAACGGGCTCCTGTGTATGTATGTCGCGATGATCTCCATTATACATGTAAGAACCCGTATTCAGGATCGCCACCCTGTATACTTTACTCGTATGCATCACGACCCTGTAAACTTATTTTGGGAATGTACTTGTTACTGTCTGTTCACCTCTCTATTTGCTTTTCTGTTACCTTTCCACCTCATAAGTACATACGAGATAATCGGGACGCACATTAGTTCCTTTTCTGGTCAGCTATGCAATTGATCGACCGTTTGATCCATCGCCTTTCTATTCACGGATTGTTCCCGAAAAAAAGCACATCATCCTTCTTAGTCAAAAACTGTCCGGTGCGATAAGCGGATTTGTTACCGACCATGGTTCGGTGGACCAATGCACGCTGAAGTCATTCTGCATCAACCGGTACCAAATTTCATGCGGTGACTAGTTAGTTGAACACGAATGCCTGTAGCTTCCCTGCAAGCATAACGGCCATAGAGCTATGCTAAGATTGCGGTATTGCAGCGGTGAACGAAGGGATTTTTGTGATGTACCATTGATGGGGTATGTTCAAGAACCTTTGAATCAGATTCCCTTTTTCCTTTTCGTCCCTAAAGCCAAAATGTCTTGGTAGAAATGAATATCCAAGGGTGGATTTTGTGATATTCGGCTACCAGCCTTACCGAAACTATCGAAATGAACCACTCTAGAGTGAGGAGGGGGCCCACCGCGAGATTATAGTACGGAGTACATGAAAAAGGAATTAAAAAATAGAAGATGAAAAAAATAAATAAAGAACAAATCCAAATCGAACGCCTCTCAGCCATGTGGATTCGGGTATCGTACAGAAACGATCTGGATCTTGCATACATAGGATACGGGCCGGTGCAACAGAGTGAGAGGAGTGGGCCACCGAGTTCCCAACGTTCGAGGGGGCCGATCTTCATTTAGCAGTGTCAGCGCCACACCGGCACTTTTACGTAGTTGCTTAGGCCCCTGTTGCTCCCATCTTCCGTGCAGACGCTGGCAGCATTCGCTCATGAGAGTAAAGGGTGCCGATTTGAAACCCTGGGGAGAGAACTGGAACGGTTCGCATCCTTGATCTGACACCATGGGTGCCTTGAAGGGATATCGATGCACCCGGCTCGAAAGAGAAGGTTTATTGTGTTTGACAGAGCACACGGGTAAGGCAGAGCCGTACTTCTGTCACCACTCTCTTGATCTGCATACCAAAGCCCGATAGTCTTGAGAAGTCGTAATTGCCATGAATTTCCTGCCAACCTTGCTTCAGTGCTAGTCCTTTGATTCGAGTGCCGTTCACCTGGAAAATTTTGGTCCAGTAAGACCTGTCCAGTCTGTCGGTTTCCAATGAGGTGGGAATTCCCTCAAGCCATTACCCACCATAGCCTGCCCCTCGAGCCATCTTCTAATTCAGCCCGTTTCAGTGCTGCACTGCATAATAGAGATACTTATAATGCGGCGTTGGAAAGAGGCGAGAGAAAGGAAGGTCGGAAAATAGAAAATAGAAAATAATAATAACAAGGCAATCAATGAGAGGTATAGATCCACCCCCGATTCTGCGGTGGGACAACGGTAAGGGTAAAACAGCCGGGAGCGCCGTGCGTGCGCTTAGCGGCCCAAGTCTATAGGATGAAAGTGGAATTGGGATCCAGTGCTTTTTTTGATTCTGTCGTGGGTTCTCCACAATCCCCGAAGCAACTGTGCAGGTTGGTTGCGTGCACTAGTGGGCGAAGCTCGCCGAGGACTCTGTGGGCTTGAATAGACTTAGATTGTCTATAAATCTCCGGATCCCAGAGGTGGCCCCCTTATTAGTGGGAGGATCTTTTCTTCGCCGCCCAATGTTGTTGTTTTCGTGTACTCGCCAATCCATTAGAGATGCTTCCTGGCTATAAGCCATCCTTTTCTTCTCCTTTGTTTCCTTGGGACACGCCCACCACGCTATTTCCGAGCAAGGTCAAGCTCAACCCTCAATCGATCAGCCTCTGCTCCATGGTATCACGTTATCCTCTTTGTTGCCCTCGTCCTCCCCCCCGCTGATGGCCAACCCCGCGCAGATCCCAACAAGCATGTCGGCGCAAAACCAGCAGAATTCGCCCGAATATCCACATTTTGCTCTGATCTACATTGACCGTCAGGGTAATCTTCGTCATGAGTCGTCTCTATCCGTCGCCAACAGCCGCGAAACCATTCTATCTCCGCTGGTGACAGATGAGTTTCTGCGAGCCGTACAGCGCTCGAGCGACGCTACTCCGTCACATTCCCAGTGTAAGTGTCACATACCGCCGCTAAGATTAAGAGAGAGAAATTCCATGGAATTCAAATATATGGACGCAAAGATAGAGGTCGGAAAGCCGCTGATCCAATATAGTCGAATTGGGTGCACCTCCCACATATCACCGAGTCACTAGTGGACAGACCCCTGTTTCGACCCAGATTGGCAATATTCGCCCCGGCCCGGAGAGAGGAGCACCGGACAGTCAGTCTCGAGGCCTTCCGGTTGCAAGAACTTCCACCCAACCCCAGTATGGTCAGTTCCCCAAGGGCCAGGGGACTGGTCTCGCTGGTCGGGGCAGCACCCGATCCCACAACCACAACAGAGGCCCTCGGGCATGGAACCAAACATGAGGGGCAGCCAGAAGGCTTTTATATCTATTAGAGATAAAGATTTCCTACGCCGATACTACGAAAAAGTCTTCCAGAATCTACAACAAACAAATTGTCGTGTTCTGGCCAAGGCGTACGTCAAACTGGTTGAACCGCGCAAGCAAGTGAACTTTCCATACAATGGGCGAAAGATCGTGGCCGGGCAGACGCAACAGCTGGATCCTGACGATACCAAGCCTCCTTGGTGGCCGACTGGGGTCAGTCACCGAGAGCCAGACCATCTTCCCAAAGCCGGTAAGGAGTTGGCTCCTTTCTTCTTCTCTCTCTCTCTCTCTTTTCGGCTCACACCCGTCCGCTTTGATTATCTGCCGATGGCCTTCTTTGAATGCTTGCTGACCAGAACGAAAGAACGTATTAGGCTCCTAGTCCACATTCTCTGCGAACTGCGCACCAGTTACGGTATCACCGCACGGAAGTTAAAAGCCTCAGACCAGCCAATCCGTCGACAAATTCTACCAGTCGAGCGTTTGGAGATATTAGATGAGGTCTATCAAGTTAGGGAAGAGGAAGAAAAGTTTTTGGATCAAGTGACTGGTATGATGATGATTGAGTTACCTCTGCTCTCCAGCCAGCCGAACTGACTGGTCGCAGATGGAAAAGCCATGTTGTCAATCTCACGCTCAAATCTCCCTGATGCAGCAGAGGCTCTCGTCAACCGTGGCGAGCAAAAGCAGAAACCAGCTCTGATCGAAGAAGATCCCAGCCCAGAGCCGAAGACAGAAACAATTCCCGTCATTGGCGGGCCCTCGAGAGCGAACCCTCCACAACCTATATTCGTGACCGGCGGAGACATCCCCCCCCAACCCCCAACCTACCCCGAGTCCTACACGGTATATACATCAAGACCTGCCTATACACCCTGGCTTTAACCGCACCCCTGCTTCAAGTTCCATCTCGCCGCAAGTGAAGAGGAAACGGCAAGATTCAGGGCCCGATGTCGCTACTACCCTTAGCCCCACGACCATGGGCTACTATTCCCCAATATTCGTAGGCTCGCAGCCATTTATGACAGAGCCTTATGCCGGAATGCAAGGATTTCAAGCCTCAGCTGTCACGTCCCAAGAAATGACACCTGGACAACCGATACCAGAACCTTTCAGAGAGCCCATGGAAAACTATGAATTTCCATACTACTTTGAAAACTAACACGGCACATTCAAAGCGTTCATTCACGTTGATCATGATGACGAGTTTCTTTTCTACAGCGTTTGATTAAAGTGCGACAGCACTTGGGGAGGTTTATTTGATACTTTTTTTTAAAGCATTGAAGCAAGTAGTATATGATTAGTTTCGTGAAAGTCGAGATGGATTTCATCCAATAGCATAACAAAATAGCATTGACAAATGAAGTTTGCGATTGATTACCAGTCCCTCAAGATTTGGATGTTGTATTCGAGATTAACTTCTTCACGGAAGTATTCTCCTCCAACCACTCATAGGGCACAGCCTAAAGACACTGAGAGTAATAGTCATTGAAATACGTGCAAGTATATCCACTTGCACAGGTTTTTCCTCCAGTCCATCCACTGCCACCACATTGACCCCAATGGGCAACACCCGTGGCAGAGCTACCGTTACTAGTTGTTGTCGAGGTCGACGAAGTACTTGAGACAACGCTAGTAGTGGTACTTGTTGCAGTGCCACCGAGCGCAGTCAGAATACCTGTGTAGGCAGGCTTCTTCGCGTAGTTTTCATCCCAGGGACAGGCGGCGCCTTGTCCAGAGAAAGTGCCAGGGACCCAGGAGTATTTATCAGTCCAATCCCAGATAGTGACACCGACGCATTTCTTTGTTGCAACACAAGCTGCCACGGTACCCGAGTAGTCTGTCTTCTGCTGTGCGAGAAGGGCATCTGTGGATGGAAGCGTCATGCGAATATCAAGCTCGGTAATGGCAACATCCACCCCGAGGGCAGTATATGCAGCCATGGTGCTAGCTTGCGAGCTTTGGCTAGGCGTGCTTCCTACAATGAAGTGGCTTTGCAGACCGACGCCGTCGATTTTGACTCCGTAGGATTGAATCAATTTGACGATATTCAAGGCACCTGTTGCCTTGGAGCCGGAATATTCGATATTGTAGTCGTTATAATAGAGTTTCACATTTGGATCTGCCGCTGCCGCTGTCGCAAAGGCAATTGGGAGATAGGCCGGCCCGATCGTTGTGTACCAGATACTTTCGCGGTAGGAGCCGTCCTCATTAAGAGCTATATGGAAGAAATCAATATGAGTTTTACACCTTATAAGAAAAATGCGGATTCCATACCTTCGTTCACAACATCCCAGGCGTAGCAATCTCCCTTGTAGTGAGTCACTACATTGGTGATGTGGTTTTTCATCGCTGCAAGTAGCGTCGCATTGGTCCAAGTACCACTGGTGACTATTTGATAAGGTGAGCAAAAGAATTGAATCTATTAGTCAGAGTACAGAACCCACCCCAGCTCGGAAGTTGGCTATGCCAAACTAAATTGTGGCAGCGGAGCTTCTGGCCATTTGCCTTTGCAAGATTGGCAATGACGTCTCCCTTGGTATAGGAGAATGTATTTTGCGTAGGCTCGATCGTGTCCCACTTTGAGTATAATTGGGTCAGACTATGAATCGCTAAGAAATAATGAAAGTGATAGAATGTTGGACAGAACTGACCTTTTGGGAGTTCCCGGGAGTGATTTGACCAAAGTCATCGGTGTTGTTGAGCTGCGTCACGTATGCAGTATCTGTTAACTCTGGGTTATCTGTTGCAGTTCCGAAATAAAGTTGGCCTTTGGCTACGGCTGCAGTGTTAAGACCTGTCCCTTGCACACTGCCGATTTATTGTTAGATCTAGCTCCTGGACAGGAACTTCCGAGATCAAACACGTACAGAAGTGGTAGAAGGCCAACCGCCAGCGCTAATATCTCAGAGTATAATCGGACCATTTTGCAAGACTAGAGGAATACACAACAATGCAGCATAGAATGGGATCAATGACTCTAACCAGTACCGAAGTGTATTTATACTAGATTGACGAAAGGGGTGCAGATAGTTGATTCCTCCGGTGCTGGATACCCTCATGCCATCCTCCATTCGGACCTATGGCCCGTGGCGTAGTAGTCGCGGCTATACCAAATGAAAAAGGGTCTCTTTTACCATGTAGGTTCAGCGATATAACCGGTTCACTGCATTAGTAGCTTTTCAAGGAGAAATTCTACGCCGTGGTTGTTTCAGGTATAGATTAAGGCCGGTGGAGCCGTTTGAAGTACCAACTGTGGCTTAGGACATCCCCCACCCTCTGGTCTCGATGAATAAAACGAACGAAGAAATTTTTCCCGAGCTTAAAGGTGAAGCATTTTTCTGAAGAAACCATGGCTCGCGCTAGGAACTGCTCTTGTCCTGAAGATGCGGGGGAATGGATGAAGCGGGGATAACTCCGTCTCGCGCCGGCAAAATAGTATCGTTCTCGTTTACTTTTAGGCTGTTACTACTAGTGCTAGTTACTAGTAGTAGTTACTAGTGCTATGGGAACTTCTTACTAGTGAGTATCCAGTAATACTCTGCCTAAAGTTCGTCCTAAGTGTCCGAATCCTCTTATCGCTTTCTGCCTCCAGGGCTTTCCCCTCAAGTTAAGCCTGATCACTCTAACCGACCGTTTTGGAGCTATTCCTGTTTCAATGTACGCTTAATCGAAAATACTAAATGTGCTTTTCTCACAGAAAGTGGGTTACCCCACCTATAGGTTCATAGTTGGTTTTTTCGCTCTTGGAATTGTGGCCAGTTGATAGGTTGAATTGGGATCAATTATTGATCCCTTTAATTTTGACTTTCGCTGTTCCAGCAAAAGTATCTATCCTGATGTGTTTGAACATGCATTTCAAAGATAGGTATCGAGCTTTTGTAGTGCACATCGCCCTATCTTTTAGGTCGTTCTCTCAATATACTGTGCATGGCGTTTGTGGGAGCCCGGTTTCATGAGTGCTAGATAACTGGGTTCAATGTCGTTTCATCTCCATTGAGGGTCAGATTACCATTGAGGGATTGGCACCCGGTAAGCAAGTCACCGAGACCTTGCAGATACAGATAATCCTTTGAGTTGGTTGGAAATCACAGTACGATCATTTTCAACCCTCCTTGCGAGCCTTCATCTCCGCGATGAATGCAGCAGTCTTGGAGCTCGGCACGACAAAGATCCGGACCATATGGTCAACGACCTCAACCTTTCCACCGGTAAGAATTTGTAACAAGGGCAATTTCTTACCGGCCTTTATTAGGCCCCCAGAGACAGTCTGCATAAAGCACTCGACGTTGGCAATGGTGTACTCCTTCTTTGTATCCCACGGCAACGGGAGAATATAGTCCAAATGATCAACAATGGAATGCAACTCCGAGAAACCCTTGATAAAGTCGGACTGGGCGTCCATGGGGTACAAAAAGACAGCAGGAAACTCGACCGAACTTTCTGGCGAAAGAGGATCGGGAACCAGCCTGATGGTAGAACCTTCCATGTCCGGGGGCTGGTCAGTCTTTCGAGTTCGGATTTGGCGTGCGCGCAAAGCTGTGCTAAGGACCAAATTTTGTTTGCGAGCGAGTTCCTCCTCGGCCTTCTTTTTAGCGACGAGGCGCTCCTTAAAGGCCTTGCGCTCGGCAATCTTTTGAGAAGCAGTTTGCAGGGACTTGTTATCGGGTCCGATGACCAATCCACGCGCCGCGGCATCCTCGGCTTCGTCGACCTTGTCTAGCTTCAACAAAGCCATCGCGGAGCGATAGAAGGCCTTGACGTTTGTGGGGTTGAGCTTGAGGGCGGCTGCGCAGTCCTGGGTACACGACCGGTAGTTTCCTAGAAAGAATAGATGTATGAGTAATGCTCTAAATCATATCGGAGAAAAGAGACATACCAAGCTCGAGATTGCAACGTGCGCGGTTGATATGTGACAGCTCCTCCAATTTTCGAAGCAATTTCTTCTCCTCCGCGAGATCCTCAGGCTTCTCCCATTTGTCCTCTTTGGAATGGATGACGGCGATAGCCTTCGTGTAATGCTCCTTGGCATCGATCCAGCGTAGTTCGGAGACGGCTTCGTTACCCTGGTCCTTGAAACTTTGCGCAACTTCGGCACGAGTACCTTCGTTCTGCATGGCAGAGATGGCATCCAAGAGAACGTTTTCACCATCTGTAATAGTTCGAAATGTGTGTCAGTGGCCGATTCCGCTGGATGTGAAGAGGGAAACATTGATACGTACTCTCATCACCCGCATTCGCAATGTCTGTCATGAATAGCGGGGTCTTGTTCATCATGTCGAGCAATTCTTCCTTCGACTGCGACTTGACCGATGCCATGGCCGGGGGCATTTTCGGCATGGAGGGGTCATTCTCCAATTCCTTCAGTCTCTCTTCGTTGATAGGGAAAGGCACTTCCTCGTTGGCTGCAGCGAAGGCATCGAAGCCGGGTTGCGGCAAGTCGGGCGGTCCCTGAGGCTGAGGAGGGGCCGGGTTGAGATTGAGCGACTCATCGAAGTCGTCCGGGAGCTCCTCGATTCGTGACATGGTGAAATAGTGCAGAATACCGATTGGAAAGGATTCAAAAAGCGACGTCTGGACTTTTTTTTTGCGGGGGACCGAAATGTCATTGAACAAACAGTGCAAACACGAGGGGCTGCACGGCTCCACCAATCAGAGAGAGGAATGCTCCGATAGATGTAGATCTTATGTTAATTGAACTTATGTTATTTGATCTGGAGATAAATTATTTATGCAAATTAGAAAGATACTCTTTTTCTTTCTCTTTAAATCATGGATCCTGTGAAATACGGAGCTGAACATCCAGGGTGTGGCGTCACCTGCTATCTAAATAGAATCTTCTGGAACACCAGGCACGGTCCATCTGGACATGGATTATAGTGAGAGTTGATTTGTGACAAATCACCCTTTGGAACAATCCAGCTTAAATTGGTACTCGTAGTTTCTGTTTGTGACAAGTGTCGTGCTCCATGGACGGCCGCCTGACGATTAACCTAGATTAGGAGACTTGCTTAAGTGCCTAAATGCCCGAGAAGCAGGATACATGCATGCATGACTAGCTATTACTCTACCTAGCATGCTCGTATCGTACCTTACAAACTTAGAAAGTTTGAATTTTTTATAATACCTTACCACTTACTACCTCCATAACCACTGGCAGTTTCCCCGCTCTGTACCAATGGATGACATTCTCTACTAGTAGCTCCCCTGTTGTACCTCTCAGCCACATGGACAAACCAAACACCAATGAATAGCCAACTCGCCTAAGTATACAGTGTCAAAAGAGATCAACATAAAAGCCAAAATATATGAGAAATTAAGGTTATACGAGTATATACCTCCTATATCGGAGAATGTCAGATCGGAAACTGCCCGAGGTATCCCAACCCCGCATCAGTCGGGCGAAAGACCGAGTCGCCGATATAGGACGACATACTTTCGAGTACTGGACTACTAGTACTGGAATGAAACCCATTTCACCAGTTTACTAGTACTGCCCACACAATCCATCATCTCATCTCGAATTACTACATCATCTTGTGAATAAAGCCCTCAGCATGGCGCAGACACACAACATTCTCGTCCTGCCAGGTGACGGCATTGGCCCCGAGGTCATGGCCGAGGCTGTTAAGGTGCTGCAAGCATTCGAAACGCCGCAACGCAAGTTTCAACTACGACACGAGCTCATAGGAGGATGTAGCATTGATGCCACAGGCAAGCCAGTGACTGAGGAGGTGAAACAGGCTGCATTGGATTCGGACGCGGTGCTATTTGCTGCCGTTGGCGGACCCAAATGGGATGGTGCTCGTCGTGGTCTTGATGGGCCGGAGGGTGGATTACTCCAGCTACGCAAAGCAATGGATATCTATGCAAACCTGCGCCCCTGCTCCGCGACTTCGCCCAGCTCTTCCATCGCAAAGGAGTTTAGTCCATTCCGGGAGGAAGTCATTGAAGGCGTTGATTTCGTCGTCGTGAGAGAGAATTGCGGAGGTGCTTACTTTGGACGGAAGGTTGAAGAACCAACATACGGTGCGTGACACCGGCAGGTATTCAAAATCATTTCCCCTCATACTCACTATACTCAAGCAATGGATGAATGGGGCTACTCCGAAGCAGAGATCCAACGTATCGCCCGTCTGTCCGCAGAAGTGGCCCTTCGCCATGATCCCCCTTGGCCCGTCATCTCCTTGGACAAAGCGAACGTCCTCGCCTCATCTCGTCTCTGGCGCCGGGTAGTAGAGAAGACCATCACGACTGAGTACCCGCAAGTGAAGCTGATCCACCAGCTCGCGGACTCGGCCTCGCTCATAATGGCGACGAACCCACGATCCCTAAACGGCGTCATTCTGGCTGACAATACTTTCGGTGATATGCTTTCCGATCAAGCTGGTTCGATTGTAGGAACCTTGGGTGTTCTCCCCAGTGCTAGTTTGAATGGTCTACCCGGCGACAAGACATTGAAGACGCGACCTTACGGATTATACGAGCCTACTCACGGTTCAGCTCCGGAGTAAGTATTGCGAAATATGGAGATACCAATGATGAATATTGCTGATTACTGTCTAGTATTGCGGGAAAAAATATTGCCAACCCTGTCGCAATGATTCTCTGTGTGGCTCTGATGTTTCGCTACTCATTAAACATGGAGGCTGAGGCAAAGCGGGTCGAAGATGCCGTTCGGAAGGTCCTTGATTCAGGTGTTCGAACTCCTGATTTGAAAGGAAAGGTGGGAACCAAAGAGGTTGGTGATGCTATTGTAGCTGCTTTGTAAATAAATTTGAGCCTGCGATAGAGTTGGAGTATATAAGAAAGCAAATAGCAATTATTCAAGGCAGAGAAATTAGTAGGAATACCGTACCTTGGTGATTTGGAATTCAGTCAAAATCGATCACACCATACAAAGATGAATCACAGTAGAACAAAATGTCTCAATTAGATTGAAAGACGCTAAGTAAGAATTGTGCATAGGTCTATGCCGACTGTTCATGTTGTCCTTTGAGCCTCAAAGAAGGAGATGAGAGTAAAGTAAGTTGGCAGCCGCGGAATGGCAATGTTGTCCTCAAAGAAGATGGGGCGTTGCATCAACATGACTTACATTGCCTCTTAGTTCTTGTAAGACATCGGAAGTCATGGGTTTTCTCCTTTATATCATAGTCTTTGCCGCCGCATTGATCGATTAAACCGGTTATTCTTTGATCAATATCTCAATTTTGGCCATCCATACTTATAGAGAGAACCAAATTATCCTCCAAATCCCCTTCACAACTGACCTCTAACCTACTATTCATCCCAAAATGACCGAACCAGCAAAATCCCCCCTGCGCAAGACGTCTTGAAAACCTCCACAGCCTATCCAAATCCGACCAAACATACCTCCTCCGCTCGATCGCAGTAGACATACAGACAACATTCTCCTTCATAGGTCAGCACCTAAGCCAAGGGACGCTCAGTTCATCGAGTGCAGAACCAATATACGATGTCGCCCGAACGATCTGCAAGAGGAATGTCGCACAGCAACAGAGACTCAAGGAGGAGATTCGGCGGCTGCGGGGGCAAAAGCACTGGATGAGAAAGGAGTATAGAAAACTTCATGTTTCAACTCGTGCTATGGCGCAAGCTTATACAGTCAAAGTGCGAAGACTCCAAAATAGGGCAAGAGTGCTTGAGATGAGATTATTCTGTGTTACACAGGAGCGGGATATCTTGACTCGAGGTCTTGGTCGAAAATATGAAGGACCTGGGGAAACGACACCTGACGAAGAAGGGGGTTTTGGCCGGTATGAGGTTGCGGATGGAAACAAAGATGGAGATCGGAGACGGGATGTGGAATTGGATTTTTTTGTATAGTGATAATCGCCATATTTAGACTCGAAGCCTACGATGGGTGGCATTGGTTTTTCTCCGGCAGTTTAAGTCATTCAATTTCTTCCGTTTCTTTTTGATTTTTGCAGGATATGACAAGAATAAGCTGTGCTCTTTAGGAAATGTGGTATTCAAAGGGAAAAAAAACTCGGCTCAATTTTCTTTTGCAAGCAAGTAATTGACCTCTGCACCCATGCGTACTAGGCATAGTTAGCAAAGGCGGTGCGGTGCCTATTACTACTACGGAAGAGCTGTTTTCCTTCTATCGATAGTGGGAAGAGTTTTGATTATGTTAGTATTATTTTTCGAAAATCAAGCATTAAGTATTTTAGTGTTTCTAGAGTCTAAATTTAGTATGTCAGTGATTGCTACGTAGATCATTAGTTGAGCACCGGGCAACCCGGCGTGATCCGAGGCAGCTAGGTGGCGGCGTTAATATGCCTCCCACGCTGTTTCCACCGGATCCTACAGAAACTGACAACCGAGCAATAAAATGTGAGTGATTAGCAGAATCTGCCCCTTAAAATTAAAGCGGACCGAGAATGGATCCTTCGAACCCGAAGAACCCCGTGGGAAAGGGTGACGGTCACGGGACTCGATATCGGCTTCCTAGTTCCGAGGTATTCAATTCATGTTCATCGCCGACGGAATTAGACCGGGAGAAATGACTTCATTTGCTGGATCGTCCCGCACTTTCATTCAACAGACAGGCCCTTGATTGTGTGCGAAACCTCCCATGAAGATTGGATCATGAGTTCCACGAGGTGGGCCGAAATCGGAAAATTTCGCCATCGTTTGAATCCGAACCCAGCGAGCAATTACGCTGACACGGGGAAATGGGGGTATTCCATGGGAGCCACAGACCACGGCGGATACTGATAGATGGGTTATCGAAGCCCGAGAAGGGACCTCGGCATTGTGGCCGTCGAATAACGCGCAGGCTGATTCGGTCGGGGGCTCCACTTCCTCTCTCTGGGCCTTCATGTGGGAGGACTCCAGACTGAGGACCCTTTCTTTTCTCCATTTTCTCTCCCTCTTCTCCCTGTTTATTTTCCCTCTTCATCCTTTCCGTGGTTTCAACTGTTGTTCGTGACTCATTCCACTTCGCCTCCGAGAAAAATCCCAACCTCAAACCCAACTACAAACACCATCCCGAACCACGCTTATCGGCCGAGAATGAGTAGCGTGCACGACTATGAGGCGGTCCGTAAGGACATCGTCGCTCAACTGAAGAAGCCCGACTATGATGATGGAAGCGCTGGACCGGTGTTCGTCCGGTTGGCATGGTACGTGAATCCCAGTGTCTTTTTCTCGCGGAGAGGTTGTGGTCTCGGTCGGAGTCGAACCGATCTCGATCGCCGGCGGCAATTGGAATCCTAGCGACGGAAGTAAACAGCAAAGAACCCTTTTCGCTAACCATCTTTCGTGTGAAAAGGCATTCCTCCGGAACCTATGATTTTCAATCCGATACTGGCGGTTCAAACGGCGCCGGTATGCGCTATGAAGCGGAGGGTGGCGACCCAGCCAATGCGGGTTTGCAGCATGGCCGGGCCTTCCTGGATCCGGTCAAGGAAAAGCATCCTTGGATCACATACTCAGACTTGTGGACACTGGCAGGCGTAGTCGCAATCAAGGAACTGGGAGGCCCCGAGATTCCCTGGCAAGGCGGACGTACTGATCTGGTGGACGACTCGAAGGTGCCTCCACGGGGTCGACTGCCCGACGGTGCTCTGGGCGCCGACCACCTGCGATTCATCTTTGGCCGTATGGGCTTCAACGATCAAGAGATCGTTGCGCTGACTGGCGGTCACAACCTCGGCCGGTGCCACGGCGACCGTAGTGGGTTCGAGGGACCCTGGGTCACCAACCCGACCCGTTTCTCGAACTCTTTCTTCAAGTTGTTGTTGACGCTAGACTGGAAGCCCCGCAAGCTGTCAACGGGTATGACCCAGTTTGTGTATGAAGATCCCGATGCCGACGAGGATGAGGAGCCTCTGATGATGCTGCCAACCGACATGGCGCTGAAGACCGACCCGGCTTTTGCACCTTGGGTGCATGCTTATGCCAAGGATAAGGACCTGTTCTTTGATCACTTTTCCAAGGTGTTTGCGAAGTTGGTTGAGCTGGGTATCCAGCGTGATGCGCAGGGTGTCATCACCAACACCGACAACAAGATGGGTGGATATTTTTCTGCGCCCAAGAAGAGCAACACAGCCACCGGTCCGAAGAAGGGTGAGCCTCGGGCTCGCCTGTAGAGGGCCTATAGAGCCTTGTTGGTGACGTTTCCTTCAAGTTTCCTTTTTGTTGTTTTTGTGACGTTTGGTTGGCATTGGATGAATTCCCCTTTCTGTTAATCGATCTGGGCCGCGGGTATATTGGCTGGGCCCAGACTTGTAAATAATCATAGACCATGAGCGAAAGATACCTCACACTTTCTAGTGATGTAACATGATGATTCGAGTAGGAGTAGAGGAGTTAAGGGTCAGTAGTGGGTGAGATGGATGGGTAGGAGGGAGGTGGTTCCATGATGGAGAAGATCAATGAGGATGAGGGAAGAAAGAAGAAAGAAGGAAGAAGGGGGAAGAGAGAAGTCCGGGGTAGAGTGGAAGGTGGAAGCGGGGGTCTCCGTCAGTGTAACTCACGACGACGGTGGTAGTATGGTAATATGTACTTTACTATGTATATTACTGGTATACACACTTTCTGCCTAATGGCAGCCTTCTGATTGGTGCTTGGCTGCCCCAGAATGCCCCAGAATGCCCCGGACTAGTAAAGTGGAGGTATCAAGTACGAGTAGTATATTGTACTTTGTACTATTGTCACTCCATTAATCATGCTCAATACCAAAGAAACATTTGAATTAACTAAGTTTACGGAGTAGATACCCCCTCCTCCTCCTACTATCACCTGTTTTTGCCTCGGTGTTTCGTCCCTCTTTGCTCAACCCCTGCCCCTGCCCCTGCGCCTACAACTACACCTACACCTACGCCTGTGCCTGTACCTGCACGTCTCCTCTCCGAACGGGGTCCGACCGACGTCCCACCCATATGCGTGTCGTTGTCATTGCTCCTCTCAGACTTGCCCGATTTATTGCTATCCGCGCTGGATTTCTGAGATTGGCTCGGACTGAAGTTGATCCACTGCATCCACATCTCCTGTGCCATTTGTTGTTCCTTTGCTTTGGTCTCTGATTCTGCCTGCTGTGATTCCGCCCGTCTGTCTATTTGCGTATCATTTCCATTTCCTCCCCTTTCTTGTGACAGTGGAGGCAGTGGAGGCACTAGGGGCTCCATTGGCACCGGCGGCAGCTCATCGTGCTCAAGCCAATCTTCTAAGCCTTCCCAATCTTCCACATCTTCGGGATCAACACGGCGCTCTCGTACCTCCATAGGGCCCAATGACCATGTCTGCGGATTCTGAAGATAAATATCCGGACTACTCAGCAACGAGTCAAAGGTATGGACGGGATCCGGTAAGGGGTAGGCTGGCAGTTCTGGCGCGACACCAGGAGGCAACTCTGGCAAAGGGTTCTTCGCTACAGCTTGGAAGAGACTCGGGACGACGGAGTGGAACGGGTTGACCTTCATCAATGAGTAGAGATTGGATTCTGAATTTCCGATGAAAGGATTTAGTTCGAGCTGGGTCCCTGGATCCGGCCGATGAATCTCGAAGGACCGATCACCGAGGCTAGGCAATCGGCGATCCTTATGCATTGGCTTTGCGAGATAGCGTGGACGGGTAGGCAGGGTATGACCGTGAAGAGCAGGCCGCTTTTCATTGATATTCTTCAGCATATGGGTGATATGAGCTCCCCAGAAAAGCAAACTGGGCTTCGGCGGGTCGATGACTCTCTCGTAGATCAGTAGTGGGATAGTTGACTGTAGCCAGTCATCTGGAACTCGACTCTTTGGAGCTGGGGGAATCCCCCCCAGCAATAATACCTTCTTTACTGAGAGGGTCATATCCACGAATGGTCATAGGGTCTGTCCGACCTGGCTCTCCGTCGCTCCAATAAACCCGAAGTCGTCCATCGCGGTGATAGATTCCCCCAAGCCACCGGTATCTGGCCTCCTCAATCACGCCATTTGCATCGCGATAACTGAAAGTGAAATCAGCCGTGTGATCCACGAGTCGTGTTTCAGAGTTGGTCAACAAGGACAGCCGGGGTGGAAGTCTGGTTATAGTTCGTTCAGTGATACGTCCTTCTCCTCTTGTCAGGCTACATATTTCACAGCCCCATTTATGCTCGACTCCTAGTTTCCGGCCGACCAGAGCGCCTGGAGTGACTCCATCGCGGTCCTCCCGTCGAAAAGGGGGCAAAAGGCAGTTGCCAATCGTGACAGGGCTATCCTCGCAGGTCTTGCCTTCGCACGCACAGTAATGAGAGCGGTCTTGAAATGTGTACTGAAATTGCGCAAAGTTCCTCGTTAGCTTCGCCCATACCGCCCAAGGAGGGATAGTTTGCCCCATTGCAAAGGAGGGATAGTTGGCGTGTAGCTTTCGGAAGAAGGAATCACGAAGCTCCGCGGAGAGCTCAGCATCCATGCAGTCCCAATTCATGTTAGTCACCTCAATGTAGGCCATCTCGACATCATCGAAGAGCTCATGTCTCCCCCGAAAACGATCGATGGCAGTGCAGCCGGCTTCGGTCAACATTCCCATAACAATGACGGTGTCAATGGACGCAGTAGCGACAGACCCCACCGGGCCTCTGCCTTGATATTGGCATACCTTCCCTAAGGGGCTGATCTCAAGGCTGTTGAGGTCAATGCTCACCTCAAAAACTCTTGGCCCCATACAAACTTGGATGATATCGAAGTCCGTGGGTTTTTCTGCAATGAAGTATGGTGCCATGCCACGGGCTGGTGCAGTGTCATGCCTCTGAATCTCGTGGTAAGTGAGTTTCATCAAAGTTTCCACGATCGCTTCATTGACCTTCTTCTCGGTAGCGTATTTCGGCCTGGGAAGTGGAGGGTAATCGCTAGAAGGAGGATTTCCATCACTAAGTCTGGGGATCTCGGATTCATTGATTTCTGAGGCTTGTTGTCTTCGTAACATCAGCACCTCTCGTCGTGGTGGAGCTTCACGCTTTATCTCAGGTGCATCCCCAGGGCCCAAGGGAGTCCAGGGCTCTTTGGGAAGCATTATCTTGTATAGCGGGAAGAGATATTGCCGAACATGACTTGGGCGTAAATTAAGTCTCTTTGCATCCTCCGGCATATCGAATGGTGGGTCGTAACTAGCACCATCCTGCATCACAGGAGGCATACGGTGGTGTTGGATACTGACAGGCTGGGGTGGAACTATAGTCCTGGTGGAAAGTTCCCTAGCAGTTTTTGTTCCATCATCAGAATGGCTACCTAGCCCGTGGCTCGATGCGTTTTGCAAGTTTTGAGGGTCTGCTTTGCGTGGTTCGTATCCTAAAAGCCGAGGGCCAGCATCCCGGTCAAGATCAACCAGCTCGCCCAAGGTATGAGGCCGGTTACGTTCAGGCATATGGTAGAAAAGCTTCCAAAGGCCCTTTAAAATGACACTCTTCTTCATTTTGTCGGAACGGTGCCAGTCGATGCCCCAAAAATGGTGTTTTGCAAGAGTCCCCAAGACGCCTCTGGACAATGCGCGCTCGTTTTCAAAGGCAGTCCATGCGCGGTTGAAACAAACGCATGCATCGTCTGGGGGATCTGGGAGCAACCACAAGTCGAAATAGGGTGAAGGAGCAGGCGGTGGATTGTAATCCTCTTCCTTGGGAAAGCCTTGGGGGATTTTCACCCGGCCGTATTGAATGGGCTCATCAGCCATATTCAAAAGATAGATTGAGGTTGGTCTCGGGTTTGGCAATGTAGCTGGAAATACTATATAATTGAGAAATCAACAATTGAGATTGGAAGCGTGCTAGTCATTCCCTGGTGGAAGAATGTTCAAGTGCATTTATGGTATGGCAAGGGGAGCGAGGCTCCTTTATGTCGAGTCAAAGAGCTTACTCGAGTCAAAGGAACCGCATGACAGTCATGGCATGGCTGCGTCTGTTCATTTTCTTTGACACAATATCCACGGTAGTCCTTTGATCCCGAGTCGTCCTTCGACACCAGGGAAGTTTAAATCAGGTTCCATAATTAGCGAAAGGGACATGTTCTGCGACCTATGAAAGAAACATCGAGGGGTCAATCTGGAAGGACACCACGCCAGGCAAAGAAAAAATAAATTAAAAAAGGAAAGATTGTGCTGATTCGGAAGAAGCTAAATGCACCTCAAAAATCATGGTAGTATTCCAAGCTGGAGATAAAGTTTTTTGAGTAGTCGTACATCGTGATCCAGACAGTCAGAGCGTGCTCCCGCGAATTGATAGTTCCACTTGAGAGGTGGGGTGGGGTATCCCACATTCTCAAATGACAAGATATCGAGGACTCGAGTTTGTGAGTGAATTGAAAGCTGCGTGGTATTTTTGTGGAAACAAAGAAGATTGAATCCATCCTAAGAGTACCCTAGGGTACCTGGCTTTGGGCAGGATGAAAGATACCAGTAAGGCCTAACAGTGTTATAGGGTGGTATTACAAAGTGACAAAACATCACCTGATCATCTCATCATGTGATTGTCCATTACCCAGTCTCTGGCATCACCTGATCCACCAACCCTATTCGGACTAGCGCCACTAAGCGAGCCCTTCTCGCACACTAGACCCAGTCAGGTTAGTGTCCCAATTATCCGAATCAATCCCACAAGCCGGGAATCTCGAGCCTTCCTCCTCCTCCATCCCTCTAGTCGACAACACATCGCGATACCATCGCGCCAATCGCCTATCATGTGTACGTTCCAAAAATCCCTATTTCTACGATACCTTCAATTCCGCCACATCCAAGAGATGCTCCAAATACCCATGGCCGCAATTTCTCGATCAGAACTCGTCAATGGCTAACATGCGACCTTTTTCGAATAGCGCTCGTCTCAGGGGAGAAGAGCAACTTCCAGTACATTCTGCGATTGCTGAACACCAACGTCGATGGAAAGGAGAAGATCATGTTCGCCCTGACCCAGATCAAGGGTGTTGGTCGTCGTTACTCCAACCTGGTCTGCAAGAAGGCCGATGTTGACCTGAGCAAGCGGTACGTTTCGACTACAATCAACGACTTCTGTATCAATCTGCAATGTCTCGAATCGGGGTGGAATATGAAGGAAGACGACAAGGATCAACCGGCATGAATTATACGAACGACCTGGGTTTTTCTTTTCTCTTCCGCCTCGAAAGTCCATAGGGAAACGACACGCACACACAAAGGACAAAAATCATCACCACGAAACCACGATTTCCAAACGGCTCCACTCGAGACATTGCAGATAGATGCCAGTGAACACTCACAAAGAGACGAAATGCTGACCAAAATTGCTATTTTAGTGCTGGTGAGCTCACCACCGAAGAGCTCGAGCGCATCGTCACCATCCTCCAGACCCCTACCCAGTACAAGATCCCCTCGTGGTTCCTGAACAGACAGCGCGACATCACCGATGGCAAGGACTCCCAGGTCGTCTCCAACGCTCTGGACTCCAAGCTCCGTGACGACCTCGAGCGCCTCAAGAAGATCCGCTCCCACCGTGGTCTGCGTCACTACTGGGGCCTCCGTGTCCGTGGTCAGCACACCAAGACCACTGGCCGCCGCGGTCGCACCGTCGGTGTCAGCAAGAAGAAGGGCTAAACTATTCGTCGTTTTCCGGGGGCTTATGGAGGGATTCCTTTATTGTCGGTGTGTTTCTATTGGGCATCCGTGGGATCTTTTCCCCGCTGGACCGGGTGTGCCCGGTCTAAAAAATTGAAAATGAATCATACCATTATGCAACGAACCGATTTGCTTTTCCTCGTACCTATTCCAAGCGACTTTCTACAAGTAGAGTAAGGTAGAGTAGTGCATCTGATGGTGCCTGGCTGTTCTAGATTTCCATGTATCCTCCACTATCTATCTCATCATGAATCTGCTCAATGTTCCAAGGTTCTCCCGTTCCATCATTACTTCCCAGGTTGGTCGTATCAGAGTTTCACTATTGACAAGCCTTGTGATGCTATTTGTTACATCGATACATTCAATACCCAAAATGATCAATTCATTCAAATGCTTAAACACTATATACTTGCATAAGCGAACATCCTCGCGAGAGGCATAATACTACTATCTGCTAGTTTGAACCCTCCTTCACAATTCATGCGACAAATCCTGTATGCAACCGAAAGTCGAATAGACGAACACCACCGGAGATAAGGATAGGATAATCAATGCAGTAGGGTACAGCAAGTTGCGTGGCGCTTAGAACCACTCACCACCCAGCCAGCGGTTGAAGAACTCCAGGCTGGACTCGGGCTGGTCCATGGGGACCATGTGGCCACCGCCGTACAGACGCATGAAGGTGAAGTTGCCGTGGGACTTGACCTGACCGATCTTCTTGCCAGTGTGCTTGTTCTGCTCAATGACAAGGTCGTCCAGCTCGAGACCGGCGAACTTCTTCTGACCGGGCCACTCGAGAGCCTCGGTCCAGGCCTTGTTGCCGAGCCAGTTGCAGATGAAGTCGGCGTCACCGGCGTAGATGAGGACGGGAATCTGCTCGAGGAGACCAGGGACCAGACGGTGGAAGGGCTTCATCCAGTCACCGTTGAACAGGAAGTTACGGTTGATGTCGAAGTTGCAGGAGTCGTAGCCGTCGACCTCAGCACCGAGTGCTTCGCGAACGTTGGCCTGGTTAAGGTACTCGCTCACATAACCCATGCCCTTGTAGCACAAGTTAGACTCATCCTCGCACTTGCCACGGATGTCGTAAACGTTCTGGCCGGTACGCTGGTAGGGACCCAACATGGCGTTGTTGCAGTAGATGGAGGCGGGAACACAGACCCAAGCGCTCTCGCTGTCGTAGCAAGCCTGGATCATCTGCTGGCAGCGGGGAAGAGCGTTGTCCATGGACTGGCAGGTACCCTCATCTAGGACGGCAGGGTAGCCACCGTCACCGCAAGCCATGGGGCGGTAGTACTCGTACTGGGTGAGACCATCGGTCAGACCGTTTCCGATCAGGACGGACTTCAGGTTGATGTTGCGCTTCTTGTGGGAGAGAATCTCAGAGGCAAACTGAGGGATGTAGTGACCAGCGTAGGACTCGCCAGCGATGTGGAAGTCCTGCTTAGCGTACTGAGGGAACTGCTTGAAGAACAGGGACAGAAGAGCATAGACGTCCTTGCCCGCAGCGACGGTGCTGCTCACAGTGCTGCCACTGTAGGAGTAGCCGACGTTGACTGGTTGGTCAAGGAAAATCACCGAGGCATTGGAGTTCCAGGAGTAGTCATTGTAAACAGTCTTGATCTCAGCGTTGATGGAGCTAGGTCCAAGCTCCATGAACAGGCCGGTCAGGGAAGAGCAGCCGGGGCCGCCGTTCAGCCAGAGGACGACGGGGTCGTTCTTGGGGTCGTTGCGAGACTCAAAGAACCCTTGGGGATAGTTAGAAGGAAGCCAGTGAGAAAATTAATGGTGTATAACTTACAGTAGAACAGATGCTTGTCATTCTCGTTATCGTCAAGATAACCACTGTATTGCTTGACGTCGGGATCGACACCGAGGACGCTGGGATCCACCTTCTTCACGCGGAGATCATAAGCCTCGAGCTTACCATCAATCTCCCGCTCCTTGGTGCCGCCAGCACCAGTGACCCAAACACTCTGCACCTCCTCGCCACGAACAACATGGTCCCAGTGAGAATCAGGGCGACGGTTGTGCTTCTTGGGCAGCGAGAGCATGGGGGCCTGCTCCATGCCGTTGGGGAAGTGGTCGGCGACCTCCTGCCAAAGTTGACGAGCCTCGCCGGAGAGAGTCTTGAACTGATCCTGAAGGTTCTGCAGGGGCTTGGAGAGGAAGTCAGAGCCCTGCTTAAAGGCGTCGTGGCCCTGCTTGAAGAGGTCGGAGCCCTGTTGGGCCCATTTGTCCATCTGCTCATTCTGAGAGCCGATGACCTGCTGGAAGGGCGGGGCGGCCGCCGAAGCGGCTCCCACCAGCAGTGCGGTGGGAATAACTCTCATTCTGGATGAATTTCAGGGAATAACGATGGTAAATGGCGCTCTGAGTAGCTTAATGATGGAAAGCGGGGGTCTGGGTCTAGGCGGCAGCTCTTATCAGTAACCGCTCGGGAAGCTGGGGGGGTGGATGAGTTGGGGGAAAGCAGTAATAGAATAGGATGGAATTCAATGTGAAGGTAGCGATAGAGTGACATACAGGAATAAAGTCAATAAAGATGGTCAAGGGAATGATGCAGGGAACTGCAGCGTGAGGAGTGATGAGGAGAGGTTGGGGAAGGGGTACAAGGCACGATGTCACTGGACTAGGCCTAACTGAGACTGACTGGGAACCTTGGGAGGCGTCATCGCAGTCCGCTTTGGTCCGCTCCGCTTTCAGGCGGCGATAGGTGACTAAGCAGGGCGGTGAGAGGAGGTGTGGCAGATGACTGATGACTGCTCGCCAGCTGCAAAGGGAAACTTGCAAACATCATCCCATCCCACTTTTCTTTTTTTTCTCCCAGTTGGTGCCTTGAAGATACCCTAGAGTTTTGTGCATATAATTTTTATCTTTACCTTCATCCTCTTCGTCTGCAACTGCCCTTAGCTGAATCCGCAATCCCGCTATCGCGGCATCATCCCACCATGCCGATCAACCAACCCTCCAACCAGATCAAGTTCACCAATGTGTCCATCGTGCGACTAAAGAAAGGTATGCTTGATATGACACACTTGTCTAGTTTATTACAAAGGCCTTGAGACTAACACCGATACTCAACTCCAGGCAAGAAGCGCTTCGAACTAGCCTGCTACAAGAACAAGCTCCTCGAATATCGATCCGGTGCCGAGAAAGACCTCGACAACGTCCTCCAAGTGCCCACCGTCTTCCTCTCCGTATCAAAAGCCCAAACCGCCCCCGCAGCAGAACTCAACAAAGCCTTCGGCGCCGACACTCCTCGCGATGAAATTTTACAAGAAATCCTGCGCAAAGGCGAAGTGCAAGTCGGCGAGCGCGAACGAAAGGATATCCTCGAGCGTGTCGAGAAGGAAGTACTGAGACATAGTCTCCGGTCGTCTCGTCGACCCAAACACGAAGCGCGTCTATACATCGGGCATGATCTCCAAGGCACTAGATCAGCTCAGCTCGGCCAGCGGTCAACAAAATCAGCAACCATCGACTGGCGATGGTAACGGCGGAGATGATGAGAAGCCTGCTCAACCTAAGAAGCCTCTCTGGACTGGTGTCTCTGCCACCCGCTCTGCCAAGAGTCAAGCGCTGGATGCCATGAAGGCCCTCATTGCCTGGCAGCCAATTCCTGTGATGCGGGCGCGCATGCGACTCCGTGTTACCTGTCCGGTGTCCTTCCTGAAACAGTCTGTCAAGGCTGCGCCCAGTGCTGCTCCGAACAAGGAGAAAGAGGCACCGGCCGGAAATCCCAAAACCAACAAGAAGAACAAGAAGGGGACAAAGAAGTCTGGTAAAGGCGGAGATGATTCCGATCTTGAAGCTGGCGGTGAGGAGGTGGAAACCAGTCCGAAGGCACCGGGTACCGTAAAGGATAAGATTCTGAACTACATTGAATCTATCGAGTCTCAAGAAGTGAGCGGTGACGAGTGGGAGGTGGTTGGATTCGCGGAGCCGGGAGCTTTCAAAGGATTGAATGATTTTGTTGGCAATGAGACTCGCGGAAGGGGAAGAGTGGAAGTCTTGGATATGTCGGTGACGCATGAAGATTGATCTACGTGAGATCAGACCAATATAGACTTGGATCATGTATCTATGATGACCCTGTAAAATGACTGATGAACTTCTAGAAAGGCAAAATGTGCTTATGTCGAAATGAGTTTCAATCTATTGTGTGTCGGGCCCAGATTACCTTTCCTGTGGGAAAATCGATTGGCTATTAAAGTTCCAGGTGCTTTGAGGTCGTACGAATGCTGTGTTGCTTGAGGCCAAGGGAACGTGCATCATTCCAAGGTTACTACTACATTCCCAAGCCCTTAAAAGTGATTGTGTATCTACCATAAGGCACTGACTGACTGAATGATTGACTAAAATCAATATAGATTTTCACGAACAAGAAAAGAAAAGCCATGTAATCATAAAACTCAAGAACAATCGCCATTATAATAATACAGCGGTGAGCATAAGGAGGCCTTCCTGAACAGAACGCAAACTCCAGAACCTAAATCAACATAGTAGGGGTATTGTGAAAATCATGAGCATTAGCCAGTAGCTTGAACGCAGAGGAGAACGTAAAGGAAGGGGAGTCGGAGAAGGAGAGGAAGGGAGAGGGGGTACACAAGGCGGAGGGGTATCAAACATCCAACCTCCTCCCTTCATGGACGCCAATGTTATCTCCCCCCCGTCACCATCAAAACAACATTCTTACCAGGACCCAGATCTCTCGCTAAACTCAATGCTGCCCTCACCGCGTGACTCGAGTCCAAACCAGACACAACCCCCTCGTGGTTCAGGAGACTTTTGAACCCATCCAGGGCATCCGCGTCCGTGGCAGTCTGGATTTCAATGCGGCCCCTGCTCTTCCAATGCGCCACCTCGGGTCCAACCGTGGAAAGATTCATATCTGGCGAGATGGAGTACGAGTCAATGATCTGGCCGTCATCGTTCTGAAGCATCAGCGTGCGCGAGCCTTGGAGAACGCCGAGTGAACCCTCCGTCAAGGCAGCGGCATGTATGCCTTCCACACCAACCAGTCGAACAGCGGGGCTGTGAAGAAAGGGCCTGAATAGGCCCACCGCGCCGCATCCACTACCAACGGCGGTGACGACAGCATCTGGCTGACAACCGACCTCCCTGTGCATCTGGGCTGCGACCTCCTCGCCTAGGAGAGCCTGGAAAGTACGGGTCACGGTTGGCAGTGGGCTGGGGCCCACAGGTCCTCCCATCAGGTAGTACACAGATTCATATCTGCAGACTGAATAGCGGAGTGCTTCTGTGATTGCAGCGCGCAGTGACCCCATACCGGAGGGGGTTCTAGCGGTCACGATCTTGGCCCCGAGCATCTTCATTTCGAGGACGTCTTCTTCCTGCGCTCGTGCATCGTCCGCACCCATGACGACAACACACCGCAACCCAAGATGCGCGCACATTGCCGCCGTGAAATTTCCATGCTTGGCCGCTGCGCAATCAGTGACAACCTCTGTACGACCCATGCGGCGGGCAAGCAAAAGCTGGCCGATGATATTGCGAGCCTTGTGGCTGCCGTAATCATTCAGGTCCTCCCTTTTCAGCCATATGGTTGCCCCCGTGGCTGAGTCGGAGAGCTTGCTAGCCCGGGTCAATGGGGTGTTCTGGGAGCGTTGGAAAGTGGCGTATTCGGCCCAGAAAGATGGATCCGAGACGACGGTTTCGAAGACCGAGGTCAGCTCGTGGAGGAAGCCCATGATCGATTCCGGAACGAACTGGCCCCCCAAAGGAGCCATACCCACCGAATGAGATTTGCGGCGGTCTCAGTGTGCCATCCGGCTGCAAAATCGGAACATACGGTGTGCCGTAATCCCAAGAGGCGTCGGTGGCGAGCTTGAGAAGAACCTCGGATGACAAGGAAGGACTTTGACTGGTTGGAGAGGTTGTGGCAGTGACCAGGCTCTCTGCATCAGATACGAAACAAGTATGAGTGCTGGTGGTGCTGTACATGGAGGAGACTGGCGGTGTTATCACCCTTGTTGTGACTCGTTCTCGCGCTCGAGGCTGAGGGCAGTTGGCCCGGGCACAGGAATTTCGAATTGAAGTCCGACGAGGAGCGTCATGTGGGGAATGGACGGTCGAGTCTGTCTCATCGAGGTGCTGAGGTGAAGTAAAGCAAAGTAGACGCTTCATAGATCGAAACATGTCGGGGGCCATCTTCCACACAGAGGCACCGACGTACTTGGGACACTCTGAAATCGCAAAGTCAAGTCAACGGGTGTCACTAAGGAAAATGGGGGAAGTTGAAAGTGAGATGGAGGGGTACTTTGTATGCTTTTTTTTGAATTACGAGGGGAGGAGAAGAGAAGAGAAGAAAGAAGAGTGAGAGATAATCAGTAACTGGTACACCGTAGTGCATACAGTGCATACGGTGCATTGTATACACGCCCACGTGGGCCACCACCACAACAATGCGGGAAGGCAGAGACGGTGTGATTCCCTTATGTTATTGGTATACTTGGCCCTGATTCCGCAGCTGAGGAGGCTGATACTCGCTTATTTCCAGGTCAATTCAATGGTTTGCTATTTAGCTGGAACTGACCAATGTAATGGTGGATCATTTCTATGGTCACGCTTCTATCACCGATTTCCGTCGACCTAACCAGTAATGTCATCGAAAATATGGAGGCCAACCGAATTGAAATAATATTAAATTAATATTAAATTATATATTGTAAGATGGGAACGCTCAATGGCAGTCTGTCAAGCAGACGGGTCGATCACAAGAGAACAAAACCACCACACTCGCAGAGTGCAGGAGAGAGTAGTAGTAGTAGGCAAAGCGTGACGCTATCGAGAAAACAGCATTCAGAGTATTCGAGCCCTTGCTCGAATACTAGCAATCCGAAATAACGCAAATAACATTGGTGACCCGAAAGGTGGAAAGGTAAGTTAACTATCGTTGAGGGCTTATATACTGCATGAAGGTAAGGCCTAAGGCCTACAACGTCACCTGACATCGCCAGAGCGATTCCCCCCACTACAATATATATTTTAATATTATCATTATCATTAATATTGGAGTTCTAGTTACACGCGTAGCAGTGAGTATACGATTCGCTTGGACAATATTCACGCTCCGCTACCGGCCCGTCCAACTCACTTTTATGGTCTCGAGACTCAACTATTTATATCCCGAATTCCACATGATATCGTAATACATGTGAAGCACAATCTTCCGATCTGGAGGCTCATTCGATTACTTGAGAGTAATGTTTATAGTTCTAGATCAGTCAGCTAAAAGTTCTCAGTAGCTACTGCTATCCTGGTTCTTAGAGAATCAACGACTTTCCCAATACCATGACCCTCCCATACATAATCTAAAACAGCTTTCACGATTCTGACAAAATTAATATTTAAAAGCCAGAGATAACAAGTCTTTCGTATAATCTCAAAACCACGCCGCTGAAACCCCCCAAAAAAATCAATATGGGGCTACGCTAAGACTCGAGTTTATGGAACACATTAATCGATTCACGAGAAGGAAATAATGGCCGTGTTGGTCAAGCGGATATCGCGTGCCATGGGACTGCAATGAGAGAAGCCTTCGGTACAAGATGAAAGACCCCAGCCTTTTATGAGACTATCATTTAGAAAGCTTCGATTGGTGTTGGGGTATTTCCCACACGCCGATATAATCCGATGGGGGCTACTCGAGTGGCTTAGGTAGCATGCAATAATTATGCGTAGCTCAGACGCAATGTAGCATTATCAGAAAATAGAATCTTGAATTATTACTGCTTTGGAAATACTCAATACGCTTGACCATAAGTGAAACCTATTCTTTGAGGATCTACTGGCTGTTTGGGTAACATTTCGTAAGCGCCTTGCCTCCACCAACTCGTACTCGTCTAAAAGTTGAACATATGTTACTTTTATTCGGGATCAAGCTTCTTGGAATTCAAAAATTTTCGGGAATTAGGCCTTTTATCGAACATAGAAAAATAATAATATGGTATCTTTGAGGGATTTGTAAACCCTAAAGCTGGATGTGACTTGGTGGGAAAAGGCGGGATTTAAATCTAGACCAAGAGATACATGAGGCCTAACTACATATGGTATGAAGGTGCTCACATAACAAAAATGGAGTGGTGATTAATAATTACCAACAAAACAATCCATGCTATCTTAATCCCCGGTTCAAGATGCAATTCTGGAAGATCTGAGCCCAATATCACCTGGTTCTTCGGAGTTGTCAACATGCAGCCATCGCACGCCACGAACGCACATACCCCGTCTCCTTTACATATATCCTTGTTGCGAGAAACGGGGAATATCGACACCAATCATCTCAATGATGCGGCGTGCGTTCATATTATCAGAGACACCGATCTCGGGTCACTCGGTCGGGAAAGCAATTTTGGTCAGCCCTGTCTCAGAAGGAAATTATAAATGAGCGCCTAATTCCCCAGTTCCTGGCTCTTCAAAATAATCATTCAGTCTGTCCCACACTCTCCACGTGCTTCATCGGTTTTATTGAAAATGCGATGTGTCAGGAACGTGGAAGCAATGAATCCAGCTTACCCCATGGATCTTAAGCTCTTGATTTGGTTTTCCTTCAAGATTTTCCAAAAGCTGATGCAATATATTTTTCAACAAATATTCTATTCATCATGAGTAAGCCTCCATGATCTTGATTTATGAATTTATCATGACTTGGCTATTAACTTTCTACCTTTAGCGGCTCGAGCTCGCTATGCCACTCCCGCACTGCATATTTATACTACGACCTTGGAACCGAGTCACCGACATCACCAGCTATTTTGAACATCACCTTCACTACTAGAATCTTCGTGGCTAGTGGCTTATATATCCCCGAGAGGAAGGGTCCTCCCTTTTAGTAGTACTCAGTAGTACTGTTCGAACAAAGGAGCATTGAGTACAATGGGTAGACATCGGCTATCTGACGATTCATTCACCTCATAACTATACCACTATTGTACACACCTTGGCGGTGTTTTCAAGTACCACCATCATTATTATTTCAATGTTAGAATCTCTTCAGTTCAGTTGCATTACTCAATGATAAAAATTCTGTTTAGTCTATAGTTCATTTAGTAGCACACAGTTTATAGGTAGTACGCATTGCCAGAGCGAAGATGTAGATAATAAAGGCCGCGCGGGTCCCATTAAATTAGCACGGCTTCCAAGGTTGCTGCTACATTGGTATACCTACCATCCCAAACCTAATATAATACCGCTATACAATGATCTTCCTTCCTATTCCAAGGTCATTTAAAGCCTTCCAAGGCAATTTGTGTATTTTTCTCGAATTGCATTATTACAAGGTGGTGCTCTCAGCCTTCCACTAATCAACACCCGGGGCTACCATTGATCCCACATTCTGCCCTATCTCGCTGACCATCCCCGCTAATGATATTGTTTAAATTGAGTCTTAATTGGCCTATATTCTCGGAGTTATTCCAATAACAACTATGACTGCCTTCGCGAGACTTGTTCGTTTCGCTTCTCCCAGGTCGGTGATCCATTACGGGGATCTTCTGGCCGTCAGCGAGAATCAATATACAGTTCGTAGGCTGGAGGGGAACCCTTTCACAGGTCTGAAAGCAACGGGAGAAACACTGGTGGTTGACTCAGTAAGTTTTTCAAAATATTAGAATCGTATTACTATCTAATTCTCTTTATACTAGCTGGAATGCCCTATCGAGAGCACACCTATTGTGCTTTGCATCGGACTGAACTATAAGCAGCATGCAGAGGAAGCAAATGTAAATGACTCTTCTGATTTCAATTAACCTGATAATACTAATACATTGTACAAACAGCTTACTGTGCCCAAATACCCTGTCATATTCACCAAGCCTGCCGATGCGCTCGCTGGGCCTTTCGAAAATATTAACACCCACGCCGATGCGCGCGAGTTTCTCGATTACGAAGGCGAACTCACCGTTGTGATCGGAAAAGACGCAAAAGATGTGACGGAGGATACTGCATTAGATTATGTTCTTGGATATACTGCTGGCAACGATTTGTCTGCACAAAACTTCCAGCTTCCGGAGAACTCTGGAGGACAATACTGCTACGCCAAATCTTTCGACAAGTTTGCGCCAATTGGTCACGCAATCGTGGCTGCAGAAGAAATCCCCAATCCCCAGGCTCTACGATTAACTACCAAGGTAAATGGTGTGGTGAAACAAGAGACTAGCACTGCAGACATGATTTGGACGGTGCGCCAGCTCATCACTCATCTCTCTCGCGGCACGACCTTGCGCAAGGGAACTCTGATCATGACCGGCACACCATCGGGAGTTGGATTTTTCAGGAAGGAATTTCTCCAGAACGACGATGTGGTTGAGGTGGAGATTGAAGGCGTTGCGTCAACCAAAAATTGCATCCACCACGGTTGAGGTTGAGGCTGTGGTTGAGTGTCGGATATACGGAAAGGCCCCGCATGATAGATCCCACATTTAGTTTCACACGGTGCTCATAGCACCCGACACCGATCAATCTAAATCCGTTCGGACTTTGAGCATGCGACTCTCCGATCTGTATTCATCCTGGCTAGAGTCTAAACTCAGCCTCTGTTGAAGATCATTGGGTCTCAGCATAATGTGTAGATCTTGGAGCGGGGAAAGATCGGGTGTAGCATGGATGTTACCTCGTTGCTCAATCTTTTGGTCTTCATCTCCTCCTTTCGCATAGACACCATAACGGCTCCAGTTCGATGGTTTAATTTTTCAAATCATGTTTTCCGGAAGAGTTCATACGGCCCCTTCATGTGCTGGTATCAAAGCTCGTCGCCGCCGCAAAACTTCCAAGGAAGAGCGAGTCTGCGCGGTCTGTGGACAGGCATTTAAAAAGGCGGAGCATTTAGCCCGACATCTAAGGTCACATACGAAAGAAAAGCCATTCAACTGCCCTGTATGCAGCAAGGCGTTTGCTCGACAGTACTGTATTCGCCTACCTCTGCCTAGTATTCCAATGCTGATGCTTCGACAGAGACACTCTCCTACGCCACTCGCGATCGCATGCGACAGGCCAAGAAGGCAGCGAAACACACGCGGTTGCTCTTGAAACCAAAAGTCATGGGTGTACCGATCCCAATCTCATGTCACAAATATCAATTGCGACGGGTGTTCCGGCCATTCCGATTCATCCTGAGATGACAATGACGGACGACATGATTTCGCCACCCAGCAGCGCCTCCATTGACAAACAGACGCCAGATTTCTCAATCAGCGAGCACAGTTATCCTTCACAGATGACTCCCCTGGCTTCATTCTTCTCTCTAGAGGCCACCGATGCCTGGAGAAACCAGGGAAGTCCACCACCCCCGCTCTGGGATCCGCGACTGGATCAGGACTGGGAGACCCTCTTGACCGGCGATGACTTTGATTTAAACGCTGTGAATATGTCTCTACTTTCTGCGACATCGGAATACATACCTACGGCGGAAGTTTCATTTGATTTGGACACCACGACTTCCCAACCTTTACCGGTCGACCAGCAGCACAGCGACACCGTTCAAAGAAAATGGCATACATTCTGTAAAATTTCATCGTCAGGTCAGATGACACCTGATGTGCCAAACGAGGAGAACTGTATTGATGAGACCTATCGTAAACGATTGGCAGATCGACTACAGCAGCGTGTGCAGACTGGAATACTGCCCTCTACTCCTTTTCTGGTAGGGTTCCCGCCTCAACAGTTATTTTATTTCGGGAATATACTGATTCGGGGTAGGATCTTTGCCTTCAAGCATATTTTTCCAAGCTCCATCCTCTCTTCCCTGTGGTTCACATGGCTACTTTCCGACCAGGCACGCAGAACTCGATCCTTCTGCTGTCTATCTGTTCTGTTGGGAGCTTGTTTGTTGGTTCTTCTCGCGCGGTCCATCATGGAACCAGCATGTTTGAGCGGTTGAATAAAGCCATTCTTGCATCGGTAGGTCGATTCTGCCTGGGTAGAACAAACTTGCTGACAGCCACAGTGGGACACTTATACATTCAAATCCGGGGGTTCAACTTTAATAGCCCTGCAAGCATCTATCATCGGACAGACATTCGGTCTGCTATTGGGAGTAAGGAACTGGGCTATCCCATTCCGTATAACTTCTATCGAAGTGCTCAATTGACGAATTGATAGAGGCCCAAAGACTTGACAGGAATCGAAGTATTCCATGGAAGTGTCATAGCCGTAAGTCCCATTGACCCTTCCAACGACACTCAGCTCACAAGTCTCAGTGGGCCCGCAAAGCAAAGCTATTCAACCTCCAACCTACCGAATACCATCTTCTCGACACAGAAGGCCCATCTCTAGAAGAAGCCTGGATGAGCTGGGTCCAAAGCGAAGTCAAGCAAAGAATCATCCTAGGCTTACACATCCACGACGCCCTCCTCGCCCGAATCCATCATCACGAACCTCTCCTCCGCCACTCAATCGACCGACTACCCCAAATCTCTTCAAACGAGCTCTTAACAGCATCCAACGCCTCAACCTGGAAATCCCTCATGCTAGAATCCCAGGCCGACTCCCTCACCCAGTCATCTCCAGCCCAAATATCCCAATCCCGATCCCGATCCCCCGGCGACTTCGCCCTAAACGGCCTCCTCGAATCAATCAACGCACTCACCTACGAAGACCAAGACCGTCACTCGTCCAATCCCAACTGGATGAACACAGTCGAAAAAAGTCACACTCTCCTAACAACCTTCCACGCCAAATACAACCCTAACCCTAACCCTCACTCTCAATCCAATAAACCCAGCCATTCGCCCTCCCACCCTTCCTACACCCACACATGGCCATGTACCATGATACTATGGCACTCAATCTTTATAACCCTACACACAGACATCAACGCCCTAGAATGCGCCTTCGGCCGTGAAGGCCACGACCCCAAACTCACACCAATGCACACCTCGTACGCAAAATCCTGGATCCACACCCTCGACGCCAAACGCGCCCTCCTACACGCCATGCTCCTGCAGCGCCATTTCGAGACACTCCCCGCTGGCGCGGAGCCGGCCATTCACGTTCCTCTTTCATTATATTATTGCGGGATTGTCTGGGCTTGCTTTTTGTGTTTTGGCAGGCAGGATGGAGTGCATATATCCATGCCTGTCACCTTAACTGCTGGGGATGTGCGACATTTTGAAGAGTTTGGCTTGGCTGGTGTGGATGGGGTCGGATTATTGGAACAGTTGGGTTCTATTTTGCCGGGGAGGTTGGCTATGGGGTCTTTGTTGAGGGTGGTTGATTTGTTGCAGCGGATTAATCATTTTCGGATCTCGCAACGTCTTGCTGAGACGCTTTTGGCTGTTGTTGAGGAGACGCAGGGACTCTTTTAGATATCGTGTCGAGTACAAAGCGGAGTACATATACACGAGGTGATTTCTGGAAATGTACTATTATACGTAGTATACGACTATTCTCAAGCTCGTTCAAGTTGGCTTGACCTATCTTGCCTGGTCTACTCGATACTCGATAGATGCATCCGTTTCCAATATTAGTTACGCAGTAGCTACAAACATACTCCGTACCTACCCATGTCCACCTGGGCACACCTGGGCACATCATGCTCGACCCACCAGAGCTGAACTGGCTGGGGCTATGACGAAGGATCATCCAGCTCCATCGAACTAATCGAACCACTACGCAACACTAGTCTAGTATCGACACTGGGGCTGGCCTGGGCAGCCCACCGCCTACAACAAATGGCGGTGTGTTACGATCAGGAGAAGGGGGTACGAAATAGAAAAGGGGGCAGTGGTCCTCAGAAGAGATTTATTTTAATAAGCACTATGTTATATAATTTCGATGGTGTATCATTTCAACGGAGCAGGAAAAAAAAAAAGCAAAACCAAACCCTCCAACCTTTCCCTGGATATCGTACATCCACACCCTTTGATCAAGGACTGGACCAAGAAAATCTTCTTCGCTACTGACCAGACTCAAAACAGCAAACAGCAACTTCGTTTCCGTTCAGCTTCGATCTCGACTTCGGCTTCCGTCTACTTGAACTTCCGCTTCAACCAGCCAAAGAAACCACCCTTCTTCTTCTCGGGTTGCTGCTGCTCAGTAGCTTGGTCGGCCTTGGTCTCCTCGTTCGCCTTGGCGGGTTCTTGAGCAGACTCCTTGGCCTCCGTCTTGGGTGCCTCGGTGGCGGGCTCCTCGCCGCGCTTGAAAGCAGCCTCGGGCTTCTTGGGCTCGTCGGCGACGACCGGAGCCTGCGCGGCAGACTTGTCAGTCTTGGAGGTGTTGATGGCAGCGTTGGCAGCGGCGACCGCGTCAGGTGAGGCGGGCTGCTTGTCGGTCGCTGTGGAAGTCTTGGGGATGGGCGCCTGAGTAGCAGGGGGCTGGATCAGAGTGGGCTGCTTCTCGACCTGCTTCTCGGTGGGCTTTTCCTCGACCTTCTTGGTCTCAGGGACAGGCACGGGCTCGGGAGCAGTGTAAGCGGCAGTGGAGGCGGGCCCAGCACCAGTCAGGATCTGCTTCTCGGCCGCGGCGCTGGCAGCTGCCTTTTCCTCCTCGGTCTTGGCGATCTTGTGCGGCTTCACCTCGTCGTTGGAGAAGATGGGCTTCTCGTACGGGCGCTTGGTGTGGGCGGCATCGCTCTCCGAGGGGACTGCAGCGGCAACGGGCTCGGCGGCGGCGGGGGCGACGGTGGCCGACTCGGCGGTCTTGGGTCGCTCGGTCAAGCTGGAGATGGGGGCAGCGGCTCCGGTCGCGGCAACGGTGGAAGTGGCCGACTCCTCGGCGGCGGCTTCGCTGGTGGAAGGATAGATGTCTGCGCCATGGGAGGTCTCCTTGACAGTGCTCCCGGGGAGGACAGCTGCGATGGGCGGTTAGCTTGAGCTCGCGCAATTGACTTGACAGATCGATTCTTACCCTTCTCCTCGGCTTCGGCCTTGGGCTCCTCGACCTTCCCTGCGACAGCGGGCGCAACCTTCTCCTCGATCTTGTTGGATTCGGATTCAGTGGCGTTGGTGGTGGTGGCGGCGGGCGTGGCAGCGTCGGCAACAGCATCAGTCTTCTTCACATCGGCGGCAGCGTCAGGCTGCGACACGGTGGTAGGCGCATCAGTCTGTGCGGTGTTGGTCTCGGCGTTCTCGGACTCGTGGCCGGGATGACTGGAGTGGGTGTTAGCGATTCGCGATCCGAGCTAGCTAGCTGCAGGTGGCACGCGACCACGATAACGCTTTTTTTTTCAAGGTTTCGCTTGGCGCATTGAGGGTCACTGACACAATATTCTTCGCAGTATCGGCGACCTTGTCGACGGCGGCGGCGACGGGGGCCTTGGCGCCACCCTTGTTCTTCTTCTTGCCACCCTTCTTAGGCATTATGTTCGTGACGATTCGTGAGGTCTGCGGCGGGTCAGAATTGCCACGGTGGATGACGAAAGCGGGCGCGCGCAGTGCAATTGGGGGTTGGTGGGAGAGATGGTGAATGATGGAAGGTTAAGTAACCGCTTGAAAGAACTTACCAATTGAAATGGGATAGAGTGGATGTGAAAGAGAGGATGGGATGAGGTGAGGTGAGGTGACAGGAGATGAAGGTGGGTGGAGCGAAGGGAAAGGAAAAGTAAGGGATGGATGGGATGGATGGGATGGATGGGATGGGTGATTCCGGTATGTTGGGCAGTCCCTGGGTCGAATTGGAACAGTCGGGTCCAGAAGGATACTATTAGAGGACAAATGGCATCATTGTTCTATTTGCAGCGATTCTCTTTGTTTCTTTTTTTGTTTTTGTTTCTGGTTCTGGTTCTGGTTCTGGTTCTTTATTTACTGCGTTGCAATAGGCTGACGCCTGTCGCATGCTACGATTACTAGTACTCTGGTAGGTGGCTGGCCGTGCTGGCTGCATTCTCCTGGTTGCGGTTGGAATGGTGTCTGATGGGAGATTTCATTGTTTCAGGTTCAGATTCGCAAAGGGACTCTGATCCTCTGATCTTCTATAGCTAGTACTAGTACGGAGTACTGACATGCCTTTAATTCCCCGTCTGTGCCTCGGGCCCTTGCAGCCCTAACGCCGGATTTGGTAAATAGGGCTGCACGCATGTTGTGCATGCAGGACTAACAGCATACCACTGTGGATAGTATACTAGCAGGTTAGCCAGAGGCTAGTACTACCAGTACCTAAGTATGATGAGTATGATGAGTTACATCATACTGAATAGAAAGAATTATTATTGTGATTATCGTCAACTCATTAAAAGAACCATAGAACGAGGGCCCAAGTGGACACCTGGGCAAGTGGAATATATCTGTCATCATCCTCAGCCACACCGACCCAGTTCTATTCTGGGATGTAGATCTGGTCTTGCGTAGTAAGTAGTAAGTAGTATTAGTATCTGCAGATGACTACTGGTAAAGAGAGCTGCTTTGAATAGAAACAAAATCAAATAAAAAAACTCCGCTAGACACATGAGCTTGTGAATGAAGTGAGCCCAAAAAAATTTAAACAAAAAGTGACCGACGCAGGGGTCGAACCTGCAATCTCTTGATTCGTAGTCAAGCGCCTTGCCATTGGGCCAGCCGGCCGGATGTATATTATCTCCATGTCGTTTTTGGTATTATCATCCAGCATGGTATAGTGGTACTGCCCCAAAGCGGTAGACCGGATCAGGAATGCCGAGAAGCGAGAAAGATTCCAGAGTCCACAAATCTCCAGTCCCACCTCCACAATCATCTCCCCTTTCATTGGCTGTTCCCACCGCTGTAAATGGACCGCTGATGCGGTTGTTTCCGGTGTGCCCTCCTCCGGTGCAATCGGAGACCGTGTGCCCGGTATCGACGTTGTTGCCCCGTATTGCCCCGTGTCGCCCCCGTGGTTGGCCCATGATGATGTCGGTGATGTCGGTGGCCAGTGCCTAGAGTGCCGTGAGGCTGATCTTAATTCTGGATCCTGGGTGTTCTTCTGGAAGTCTTCGGTGCAGGCAAACTCTGTGGTGGCAAATCGGGAGACACCGTAGCACTCGTGGCACTGGGAACTATCCAGTTGTTCTACTTGTACGGGAGTCTACTCGTCGTCTACTCGTAACTGTATGGTATCTATCTCTCGGATACTGGTCCCCACTCCGAGTCTGGAGTCTGGAGAGTCCAATCCCAAAGCAGCCCCCAGAGTAATCTCTTCATTGACTCCACTTACGAGACGCCGTTTGTAAAGGAAATGCCGCACTGACTGGACCGTGTCGGGGCGAGACATCCATATCCTACAGTCCTCGTAAGGTACGAGTACACCGTGTGGTCTTATCGGTTGCATCCACTTCTACTTCCATTCAAGTTTCCATTTCCACACTTCTACCTCGACCACTTCTACCACTTCATTCCCTTTTCCCTTCCCCTTCCCCTTCCTTTTCCTCTCCCTTTCTCTCTCCCTCTCCCCTCAATTCCTCTCCAATGGTCAAACTCTCCCCTCTCCCATCCCGCTTTACGTGCTTGCACCCCGACCCCCACGGGAGACCCTTGCTGTGACGCAGAACCAGAACCACAACTACAATCACAGAATAATCCGGCCTTTCCGGTAATCCTCGAGTCTCTGTACCTGTGTGTACCTGTGTTCTGCTCCAGTTTATTTCCCCCCCCCACACCACCACCCATCACCATGACTTTTCGTGAAAAAGTGAGGCGCGTCTTCCACCGCTCCTCGGCCAGCCAGGATACTGGCCGTCCCAAGGTGGAATATTATCGTCGCCATGAGTGCCCCCCTTCCAAGTTCCGCGGACCTTTTGATAAGGAACATCAAAAACGCCTTGCTGCGTGGTCCTTCGATCGGGCTACGATGGAACGCACGCGTTCTCTCGACTTGGCCCTGTCGCCCTGCGCCACCTTCGATTTACCCGGTCCCAACCCTTTAATGGACCCAATGGACAGCGACGATTCCGGCGAGATTTCCCCCCGACGACGACGGCGTGGAAATCCTCGATTCAGGTATGTTGAACAATCCCCATCTTCTCAGGTTTCACCCTCTCGGAATCTGGCCGATACACGCCCCCCCCCCTCCTCTTATCGTATCCGTGTCCGTGCTCGTGCCCGTTCCTGACGCCATCTCTGCCGCAGTCTCCGACCAAGATCAAGATCACAATCAGGACCAAGACATCCTCAACTCGCGCCCCACCAACCACGGCTCTCAGTCCTCAACCGTCGTCAACTCCGATAGTTTTAACGGCTCCATGATGACTCTTCTCAACGAGAATTCCGTCTATGACTTCCCTGAAGACCCCATTTCCCAACTGAAGGAGTCAATACGCTACTCCTCCCCCATTGTCCGCACTCTCTCCCCAATCTCACGGACCCCACGCAAGGGTATGCATCAGCCCTTTGCGCCCGAAGATTTGACTCGCGCCTTGGTCGCTGTTCAACTCTGCGCGTAAAAATCATCACCCCCTCCATCCCCTTACCTTCTACTTTTTTTGCTATATCCTGGAGATTCGCCCTACCTTTTTTCCTCTTCTTTTCCCCCTTCCTCCCTCACTTCACCCTTGAAGTCACTTTTCACCACCACCTTGACCACTTTTTATCGCTCTCCCCCCTGAAATCGTGTCCCTTGATGGTTCACGGGCGGTGCTGGGGATCACCGCTGGAGACAGGGCCGAGTACGAATGATCCACGTTCCCGATGGACTGACTTGCATCCCAAATGCCCTGCATTTGAGCGTATACCCGTGTTGGCGTTTTCACTCTTTTATTTTGCTTTGTGACCCGCTCTAGATACATAGACACTTGCTAGATGGTTGAATACAAAAATTCAATATACCACTCAGCGTAAGTAGACCAGATGCATACTCATGGACTAGAACCAGTAGATGTACTTGTATACTACATATGGAGTACTCTAGTATACAAGTACCACTAAAGATGTCCTAAAATTGAGGCTGATCCCAACTTAATCTCGCCAAGACAAGCCCCCGCAGCCGACAGCGCACATCAAGTCTCGGCATTCCACTAAAGGCAATGATCCTTCTGACTAGCCCTTCTCGCCCCCGCACTCTGGATTTCTGAGTGGCTGTCCATGCGATCATCATCGATCATCATCGCAAGGTTAGATAACTTTGTTATGGCGGCTGCGGGTATCGACAGGGGCTGGTCAGCTGATCTCACTCACTAAATACCAGAAGAATCCAAGCGATCAATAAGCGAGATGAACTGGAAAACAGCACCTAGATTGGTTTGAAAAAGATGTACGGATCAAACTTGAAATATTCCACTTAACAGAACACGATGACCCAAGTTAGTCCCGACATGGGAACTACTAGATGCGGACTATTAGTAAAAGCAACGAACGCGCTTTGCAGAAGGATTTTCTATTCTTAGAATAATAATCAACACACGAGTGAAGCGAAAGCCAGGGCCAGTCTGCCTTGCAGCACGACAGAGATTCAACAAACAGATTGTGCTGGCGCTGTAGTGAAGTCCCCGTCCTCGTCCCGTCCACCTCTACCCAGGGCCCCAACACCAAGACCAGCAACGATAAACAAAAGGGCAAAAAATATAGGCCCTTCTAAACGGCAGCGGGGCAAATATTACCAGATCCCGGAGCCACAATTCGGAAAGAATCCGACTCCCCGACAGGATTTCCATTATAAGGCGAAGGGCTGTTGGGCTGCACCATCCAGATTCGGTAGTCCTTTCTATACATCGCACCATTAATAAGTACACAGTGAACCGTAATAGTCGTTGAAGCCAAAAAAACAAAACAAAACAATCACACGCGCCATTCTTATTAGAGTAACCAAGCGCCGTAGCCCGATCTAGACCTGGGAGAATGACGCCGCCCTGGCTGCTCTGGCTCGCATTCACAGCGAGATTCTCGTAGAGCCTGTCAACATTCGCATAGGTGCTTATACATAATTGGCGAGTGTGAAGGAGATGGTCAGTGGGTTTTCGGAACTAGCGATACTTCTTGGTATTCAAGTCTTATACTTCGTACGGGCATAACTCTTGAAATAAATGAGGATCTTACGGGGATGCCGTCCATGTCACTGTCAAGGGGAGAGTGATGTCAATGCACCCCCCCCACTTAGCGAGGTAATAACATAAGCTGGTGATCATGGTCAATACAATGAGTACATGGCTATTGTTTGAATGAAATCAATTGACCTGTCGCAGTGGCGATAAAGGCCACGACGGAAGAAGAAGTAGTGAAGCGCATCTTGTGAAGTGAGAATTCGATATAGGGCCCAGGCTGTAATGATGGAAGCAATGATATATAGAATATGACTACATTACCGAAGGTTCTATCTAAATACCAACTCTGAGACTGCTTCGTTCAATGAATTGTTTTGATCTGGCTGAATAGTTAGCCAGAAAAGGATTTGGCAAAAATGCATGCTCTTTATAGTCGGCCATGTAACACAAACTTGGCTTTGGCGACCCCCACTTTCAGACAACTCCCTCTCTCTCCTGCTTCTGCTGATCCTAAATTGGGTCACGGGACCAGAGAGCCACGCTACTCTGTAATAGTCGAAATGAATCTCTCGAACATACTGGCATATTTTCGTCGTTTTTCGTGTTAAGACACGACATCACGTAGTACAACAGGCTTGGATATCGAAAATGTGGATAGACTGATTTAGGCATCAATGGAGGCACAAGAGCTGAAAGGTCTCGAATCGAACGTGGGTTTATGTAAAAAAAAGGCATTTTCTCTATATGAGATCAAGTAGTCTGAGATCAAGATAGTAGGAAGTCGTTCCCAACTTACCGTTGGGTTCCGCTTAGTTTCAGAATACATCCAATGCTTATGTTAAAATCTGGCACGGAATGGCCTGGAGTCTAATTATTTCATGCTACATTTTGATGAAGATTTCTCTGTTATAATTAGGACCAAGTTAAATGCTAGTCCAGGTATAGCCTCTTGCTGTGTCAGCTTATCTGTAAATGATACACAGAATGGATGGACAAGTCCCGCGGGCAGGGTTAATCCTAGCCCCGCGTAAGTAAGCCAGCCATGGTTAGTCGCAAGAGCATGTACTTGCTGGCTGAAAATTCATGCATAAATTATTTGCTTGAGCAGCGGTTACGCGTATTGGGATCAAATGATACGCTAAAGATAAAATACTAAGATTCAAGTGTTACAATAGATGTGATAAAAACACGTCTCTGCATTCGCACAAGAGTATAGGAAAACCTTCTCCCAAGGGAAAAAAAACCTATACTGAGGTCCTATAATTAGAAAATTATGAGGCTATCAAACGCTATGAATTCAATATTGGATCTTCAAGCCTTGTCAAAGAAACCGAAAAAAACCCACATAACATAAGAAATATTCGCAGAAGCTCACAAGCTACACGATATCATTGTATCGTTCAGATCCACCGCCAGATTCCATTTGAAATTGGATTTTGACTCTGTAAGATTGAGCGGACTTCTATCTCCGCAGTAAAGCGTACAATGAGCTGTTGGTGTGGATGCATATAGTGCAATGGATGTGACGGGCGCTGGGCTTGGAAGGGGTCCAGGATAACTATACTTGATATCGTGCGTCGTAATTTGAAAAGGATATGTTTTACCGCTATTTTCGTTAAAGAAGGTAAAATGTATTGGAATTTCTCCCGGGGGGCTTGGTGGAGCTGCGAGAGCAGACGCCAAAAAGAGGAAAAGGTTGGTGTCTATCTTCATAGTGGCTGGAGTAATGGTTGTGGAGTCGAAAAGGTAAAAAAGTAAGTTGACGGGTTGCTAGTGTCCGATAATTTATGATTCCTGCTACGATTACTGTCTGTAATGAGCCTGATGGAGCCGGAGGCTCCACTCCTTTTATACTTGATCACGGTTCTCGAAATATCGATATAGGCCGGCAAAGGTTGCACAACTTAAAGTCCGAATTATAGCCTGACCTTTCCGCAGATTACAAAGCCGTAATGGCCGGACAGGAGGAATTTTGAGCTCAGTTTCGAGAAACCCTATTATTCTCCTTTCTTTCTCCGTCCCAATTGCACGAGAATGGTACCCCCAACTCTGCACCAGCTGTCATTAGCGAAAAGTCTGGAGAAAATTCTCTCACATTGCACCAGTGTTACATCGACGCAATGATTGCGATTCAGGATCCAGAGAAGGTACATTGGTTTTTCGATGGCATTGCGTTCCAAGGTTGGAGATGAAGAGGAAAATATTTCTGGGGAGTTTTTCTACTGTCGTGTAAACAGGTAACTAAACTAATGTGCACTATGCCTTTTTCAATTAGGAGAATCATTCAATCTTTGTGTTGGTTCTGGAGGTTGATTAATTGGTCTTTCACTCTTGAGCTGTTCGATCATCGGTTGTCCACAGACAAGAGACCGGTACCACATTGGCATTGCGGAAGATATCATCCTTGTAATCCTACGTGGTGGTGCTTTAAGTCGTTGACTATTCAATCAGGAGCCACTGGTTATATATCTTGTATGCAGACCACGAACAGAAAGCGCTTCCGGCGGTGGAGAACTTGAAATATCGACTTAAATTCCCCGACTCCAGACAGAGTTCCCCCGCACTTGTTTCCAAGTGCTGTACACACTGACACTCGGCTGAATGACCCGACGGGGTACCCAAGGTCAGCACTGGCACCTGCACGTGGATATTCATCTATAAGACAATCATTTACGAGTATTGAATAGTCACAAATGGCCATGGATGATCCAGAGTCGAAACCTGCAGACACCTTTGATCTCTTGATTATTATCGACTCTTTCACAATTGGTGAGGGGTGTGGGTGACCCGCAATCGGACCTCTCACCCGATGTGCCGCCACTCCTCTTCTGTTTCTGATAAGTCCTCTCCACCAAGTAAGGTTAAGAAAACTGGCCCTCGGAGACCATGATTTGAAAACCTAACGGAGACTCATACCTTCTTTCCTTTATCATCTTGCATCGTTCCTATTCCTGTCCACATTGCACCAGTGTTTACATCAACGCAATGATTGTGAGCACCTCGGAATCGATGCCGAAGGTCTTGTCGCTAATTAAATATCAGAAGGCTATCCAAGCGCGCGAGCTCATCCCAGGAAGCACAGAGGGGCAATTTATTTCTAGCAATGTTCCCCTCAGTTTCTGGGGAGGCGTTGACCCCGAGACCGGGGTCGTGATTGACAGTCATCATCCCTTGGTCGGGAAATCGGTCGCTGGCAAGATTCTTGCCATTCCAAGCGGTCGCGGGTCTTGCACAGGAAGTGGTGTTATTCTTCAATTGATTCTTAATGACTGCGCGCCGCTTGCTCTCATATTCGGCCGCGAGGAGATGATTCTAACCATCGGGGTTCTTGTCGCCCAGGAAATGTTCGGGAAGAGTATCCCTGTTCTGAATGTTCCGATGTCTTCATTAGACAAACTTCAAGATATCAACTGGGCGCGGATATCAGGCGGCCAGATATCTTTTGGAGTAGCCACAGATGACCCAGAGCTGGAGACGTCTTTGAAACAATCTGATCGCAGGCTTGATACTCCGTCGCTACATCTGACTCCCTTCGACCAAGAATTGCTGGACGGCTTGCATGGAAAAGCAGCGCAGATTGCAATGCGAGTTATTCTTCGAACAGCACAGATTGAAGGCGTGACTTCACTAATTGATATCACCAACGGACACATTGATTGCTGCATCTACACGGGACCTGCAACTTTAGAATTTGCACAAAGACTATGTGACATGGGAGGAAGATTCAGAATTCCGACATCATTGAACTCAATCTCTGTCGACCAAAGGCTATGGCGCTCTCAAGGGGTTGATCCGGCGCTTGGAGAGCCTTCTGAGGAGCTGGCGCGTGCTTACCTAGAGATGGGAGCTCGGCCGACATTCACCTGTGCCCCATATCTCCTCGAGGAAGCCCCAAAATTGGGAGAAAACATTGCCTGGGCCGAGTCAAATGCCGTGGTATTTGCGAATAGCGTTCTTGGGGCAAGGACCATCAAATGCCCGGATTATCTGGATGTGATGTGTGCCCTGACTGGTCGTGCGCTGAATACTGGCTGTCATATAACCGAAAACCGCAAGGCCACAATGGAAGTTCACTTTGCATCTGCTGAAGGGGCTGATGATACTCTTTTCCCACTTCTCGGATACCTTGTTGGCGACATAGCTGCCGAGTGCATTCCCATTGTGACTGGGCTTGAAAAGCAGGGTGTCACGACCGAGGACCTAAAGGCATTTGGAGCTGCTTTTGCTACGACAAGCTCGTCGCCAATGTTTCACATTGCCGGAATCACGATAGAAGCACGCAGTACCGAGGAGATCCAAGACCACTTGAAAGATACAACACGGGTTACAATAACACGATCGGATTTAGTTAAACAATGGTGTCGATTCAACAAGTACAGCGAGGGCCACAGCGATAACCACATCGATTTAGTATCATTGGGCAATCCTCATTTCTCGTATGATGAGATTGTGAAAGCTGTCAACCTCTGTTCGGGTCGCAAGAAGACCGAGCGAGCTACTATGGTGATTACATGCAATCGAGATACATACTCTCGAGCAGCCCGGGACGGCCACATTTCTGCACTGGAAGATTTCGGGGCCCTGATAATTACTGATACCTGCTGGTGCATGATTCAAGAACCAGTGATCCCCCCCCGGTTCACGAACAATCATCACAAGCTCGGCCAAGTATGCCCACTATGGAAAAGGATTGACTGGTCGACAAGTTCGGTTTGGGGGGGTTGGCACAATGTGTAGAGGCTGCATGCACGGGGAAAGCGACCAACAAACTCCCCCAGTGGCTTATTGACACAGAAAGGGCATGAATGAGAAATATGCCGAATTATTTACTCCGCCACGAGCAGGCAAATTACGAGCCTGACCTTCGACTGGCAAGGCTGGCAGCACAGCCACACCGCCAAGGTAATTTACGCATCTTGGATCTAGATAATTGCTAGTATTTAGTAGTAAACACATCTCGATAAGCCGGTGATAGATTTAAAATGAAATTTTGAGAATGGCCCCATCACGCACCTCTCGCACACTCGGTGCTCTCCTCGCCCTCCACGCCGGTGATGCCCTCGGCGCACCCCTCGAATTTAAACCTCACACTGTCATCCGCGGTCTCCATCCCGGTCGCAACGCCAACGCTGCATTTCCTCGAACTCTTACTGGAGGAGGTTCTCACTCCTGGGCTCCCGGTGCCGCCACCGACGATACTGATCTCACCCGCGCCGTCTTGCTCGCCTACCGCGATGCCATCTGCAACGGTGACGATGTCGTCAATAAGGCTGCAGAGCACTTTCTCGCGTGGTATCGAGGAGACCACTGGCCCGGCCGTCGACAAGGGAGCAAGCCCCGCGATGTTGGCCGTGCTACAAGGAAGGCTCTATCCTCGTTTGCTTCCTCCCGTGATTCCTCCTCGACAGGTGCTGGCCAAGGTAGTGCCGGAAATGGTAGCTTGATGCGTTGTATCCCTACGGGACTCTTTCAGACTAATCCGGAACTGCTCATCAAGGAGAGCCAATCCATCAGCGCGATCACGCACAATGACACCCGATGTACTATCGCCTGCGCCACCTACAACGCCATTGTCTCTGCCCTGGTCGTACGCGGTCTATCTGTCGAGGATGCCGTGTCTGCGGGCGAGCGTGTCGCTATTTCACTCGAGAATGGCCGCACCGATGGGCCTGTCTACGGTGCCATGAAGATCGGACGCACAATCTCCCTCGTGGAATTGGCCAATAAGGGACCTAGAAAGCTTGACTTCCCTGGGATGTGCAGCGGCTTTGTGCTCAATTCGCTGACGTTGGCGGTTGCTGCGGTACTGGATGAGCGAAGATTGGATCAAGTTCTTGTCGATGTTGTTAGAGTCGGTATGGACACAGACACAAATGCTGCCATTGCAGGTGGTCTCCTCGGGGCGAGGGACGGAGAGGAGGCCGTGCTTGATGAGTGGAAGGATTTGCTGCAGTTTGGCCCGGAGTTTTGTCGCCTTGTTGACCAAATATTGACAGTCCAGGGAGCCCTACCAGAAGAGCGACAGAGAGATGAAGTAGGTCTGGCCAGTGGGCATCATGACTTGAATGTGTCCACTTGATTGGAGGCACATAAAAAAGGTCAACGCGGGATATAACTTGAAACACGCAGTGATGCCTGTTTCTGTTCAATGAGGCCTCACACAACTACACTTCCAAGGTTGAGATATTAACAAAGCAAGAATAGCTCCTTCCCGTGCTATATTATCTCAATCTGTCTAGATTGGTTAATCTGACCCCTTGCTACTCAGGTGTCTTGAATGTGGTACCTGGAATGGTACCGCTTCCTTTAGCTCCTTGTTCTCGTTAGTTTTTTGTTGTTGGTAGCCACTTCCTAACAAAAATTGATCAATAGGCCAGAAAATTGAAGGAAATCCTGAAAGGAGCTTTTGAAATCTAGAAGTATACTCCATAAATCGAAGGGTTATTATTGAGGGGCCTAACATCTGATCTGACGAATTGGGTATCTCGAGTGGCCCACATTCCATATTGTCCCCGCATTCCGACCATTTTCGGGAAACAACCGTAGCCTATAGAATTTATGAAGAAGCCATTTGAAAGGGTCTTGAATGTTTACACACCCTTGTTCATACCTTCCAGCCCGATAGCACGTACAACATGGAAAGCCAAGCAAGCCAGACAGACTGGGAAACAACAGACGTTCTCATCTGCGGATGCGGGCCCACAGGCGCAATGTTGTCCGGGTATTTGGGCAAGCTTGGGGTTAACAACATTCTACTCGAGAAAGAAGCTGCCATCACCACTGATCCTCGCGGTATCGCCCTTGACGATGATGGTATTCGGCTACTGCAGGGTCTTGGCTTATATGAACATGTTTTTACCGAGATCGGTTCTTGTAATGGCGACACCTTCAAGTTCGGATAAAATTTGCCCGCCCCGTGGCTAATATGAATTGTTCGAATAGATATCGCAAAGGCCAAATTTATTAGCGGCACGCATCAAAATCTGAACGCGAAGCATTTTTTGCATTTTGATATGGCTTCGGTGAGAATTTGTACATTGCGATTAGTGCTGGCGAGGTGATTCCTAACCACTAAATAGAGCGAAGGACAAACAGGGCATGTGGGTATCCTGGCTCACAAGCAGCCCATTCTTGAGAAACATCTCCGATCTACTATCGAGGAAGCCGATAGCTGCGAATTGCGGAGTAGCTGCACGTTAACTTCAATATCTGAAGACAAAAACTGGGTCTACGCAACATATGATGATGCCCTGGGGAGAGAGAAACGTATTCGTGCGAAATTTCTCGCTGCTGCGGATGGTAAGACTGGATTTACGCGCAAGATGTATCTAGAGCCGAAGGGGATTCGACTCGAATGGGCAGAACAGTACGTTGCTCCCGAGGTCGCCGCTGGCTCCTTAAAAAAACTAACAACTTTTCTCAGAACCAAGTATGAAGAGACATGGGTTGCTCTAAATTGGAAACTTCATCTTCCAACAAGAGGAACCCACCCTTCATTCCCACTATGGAATTTGGGATACACACCTGAGCAAGTTTATGACCTTTTCTTCCCCGCCGACTTTCGGTTCCTTTGCAACCCTGATCGCCCAGCCGTATGCGGCCGATTTGGTCTTTCAGAAGATCGTCTGTGGCGATTCGAGTTCGTAATAACTGCCGATGAGGATGGCGTGGAGATGGCATCAGAGGAGAAAGTCCGGGATGTTGTGTACCCATATTTGACTCATTCGGGTAGTCGCTATGGGTGAGATCTTCGAGGAAACCCGTACATATACTATTTACTGATTATGCCATAGTTTGGAGCAAGATGTGTCATACCCAGAAGACTGTATCGAGGTCCTACGGTCGCGGCCATTTCGATTCTCAGCTCGGAGTTGCAACAAATGGAGTCTCAATCGAGTGATTCTCTGCGGCGATGCAGCGCACGTCTTTCCACCATGTAATTCCCCATTCCCCATCCTAACGAGACCAAGCTAATAAATTGAATAGTCGGAGGGCAAGGAATTGCATCCGGATTCCGAGATGCAATCTCACTAGCCTGGCGACTAGCTATCGCATGCAAACCCGGATCCATTCTCGACTACGAGCACCTGCTAACAGGCTGGTATCTGGAACGAAAACAGCAGCTGGATGCTTCACTCGCCAGTACTGTTCGAAATGGTGACATGGTGAATGGCAAAAATTGGAGTCACATCTTTCTTCGCAACTGGGGTCTTTGGTTTATGCAATTGGTTCCAAGTTGGAAGCACTGGCTCGAACGTGGGCCCCGGGGAACCGGACCTACTCGATACAGGCATACGCCCGAGATGCCCTTTTTACCGGAATTAGGTGGTGGTGTTAGTTTCCCACAGAGTTACTGCATCAGTCTGAGAGACGGCTCAGAAGTGCAATTTACCGACGACGTGATATTCCTCGGTAAGAGGGGCATTTTCCAGATTGTGGTCCTGCTGAATACTCTCGATGAAGTGAGCTCAGCTATACAAGACATAGAAGAGATCAAGACGGACGAGTTTCTAATTTCTCCGGATGAAGCTACTTTCTTCCTGCCTCGGGTTGCTTGCGAGTCGGCGCCTGCGGGTCGGTTGGATGCAGCGGCGGCCCGGCCGCTGTTCCGCACAGCGTCAAGCAACGAGTTTGCTCATTCGACTCTTTGCAATTCCCGACCAGAGCCGCGGGGATATAGTGAGTCACTGATGTGGGATACTATAGGGGGAAAGCGATATGTGGTACTCAGATTGGATCGTTTCGTTTTTGCTACTTGTAATTCTAAGACCGAGTTGGAGCGGGTCTTGGGACAATTGAGCAATTCGTTTTAGTTAGATCGGAGAACATTCTCACGAAATACAAGTTTGTTGCTTATTCACTTCTTTTGATTACCTCAGAGGTTAAATATCATTCAGACCAAGACTTGCCTAAAGCCCGAGAGATCTTTTACTGTTGAGGCCGATATTCGGCAACGGTGTTGGCAACGACATTTGTACAGCCTAGTAGCAATGCTGATTTTTATCTACCGCAGTGCTCCTTCAAGATCGTGACTACTCCTCATAGTTTGTAGTCGGATAGATCCCGCCTCTCTGCGGGGCCTTAAGGGTAATTATTGTAGGATTGTATGGGTGACCAAACCCCACGGGGAAGCATTGCGGGCCGCAGTTAGCCGGTTGCCGCAGCGAGGGAACTGCTAATCAAAACACAGATTTATTTGTTCAGGGAGCCAATTGATAAGTAAGACGAGATATCTCACTTAAAGAGTGATTCTGCCAGATAGAACTAATTTCTACTACGTTTCCAATTCATTTGTGCTTCGTGGCAATGGAAGCACCCAAGCCCAGAATCTACCCAAATGGGTCGATTCCAGACTGAGTTGGAGTTAGCCATAGGCCGCAAGTTCAGAGTGAGTAAAACATAATGGTGGAGAAACTATCTTGCTGAAGCCCTAACTTGGATCGATAGTCATTTCAAGAACTATACCTCCATTCAATCCGGAATCGGCCTGAGTTCTGGGAATTTTGCTGGAAGTATTTCCAAATCATCCATGAAGGAACATACGCCGCTGTGGTGGACGAGTCTGCGAGGATGGACAGTGTGCCTTCGTGGTTTACTGGCGTGAAGGTGAATTTTGCAGAAAATATACTCTTCTCCCGTCGTCTGGGTGATACCACTGCCAAAGAAGACTCCAAAGTCGCCATCACAGAGATTCGCGAGAATGGGCCGAAGGAGGTGGTGCATTTTACCTGGGGACAGCTGAGATCGAGAACAGGCCTTCTGATCCAGGCAATGAAAGCAAATGGTGTTGTGCGTGGCGATCGGATAGCCGTATGTGCTTCTAACAGCATTGATACTCTTCTCGTATTCCTCGCATCAACAGCCTTGGGTGCGATATTCTCGTCCAGCTCGACCGATATGGGGGTCAAGGGGGTGTTGGATCGTTTGCTGCAAATCAAGCCTCGTTGGTTGTTCATGGACGATTTTGCTGTTTATAATGGGAAGAAGATTGACTTGCGTCCCAAGATGAAGGAGATAGTCGACGGGATGAAATCCATTAGCGAGTTCCAAGGTGTCATCTCACAGCCACGCACACCATCTGAACCTGCTGATATCCAGAGCATCCCCCGGACCGAGACACTTCCGGAATTTATCTCCGAGGCAAAAGGCAAAGATAATTTGGAGTTCGAGCGAGTTGACTTCCGCGATCCCTTTTTGGTAGTCTACTCCTCTGGCACAACTGGTCAACCAAAGTGCATTGTTCACTCAGTGGGAGGTGTGCTTCTGAATGCCCACAAGGAAGGTAGTTTGCACACAGATCTTGGGCCCGAGAGCACGGCATGCCAATATACAACTACGGGATGGATCATGTATTTGTCGGCCATTCAAACACTACTCTTTGGATCTCGCGTGATTCTATACGACGGAAGCCCTTTTGTGCCGGATGCCAGAGTGCTAATCGACATTGTAGCTCAGGAGAAGTATTGAGATCCACAGAATTCTATACCGAGGACAGGCGCTGATATATGGCAGGGTCACGCATCTGGGGATCTCCCCGCGATGGCTACATGAATTGCAGCGAGCGACGATACGACCACGCGAGACGGCAGACCTCTCATCGCTTCAAGTCGTGACTAGTACTGGTATGGTGCTGCGAGATGAGTTATTCGAATGGTTTTATGACGAAGGGTTTCCGGCACATGTTCGGCTGAATAACATCTCGGGTGGCACTGATATTGCAGGGTGCTTTGGGATTGGCAATCCTCTGAGTGCGCTTTATGTAGGTGGGTGCGCTGGGTGCAGTTTAGGAGTGCCAGTTGAAGTCTTTGACTCAACTATCGAAGGAGGAGATGGTACCAAGGGCGCCCCTGTGGAGGAAGGTGTGCCTGGTGAGCTGGTGGCCACTTCAGCATTCCCTAACATGCCAACGCAGTTCTGGGGCGATGCCAATGGCAAGAAATACCACGGGGCCTATTTTGAACGATTCGACGGTAAGACCGCGTCACGGTTTCGAGTTAAGCTAGCTCAGTGGTTGCTAAAACTAGGCAACAGATGTTTGGACGCACGGGGACTTTGTTTCAATCCATCCTATCACGAAGCAGCTCGTGTTCCACGGGCGAGCTGATGGGGTCCTCAACCCCTCCGGCGTCCGTTTCGGATCGGCTGAGATCTATCGAGTGATTGAGAGCCAATTCTCACATGAAATTGCGGATTCAATTTGTGTGGGCCAACGACGACCGTCGGACACGGACGAGCGGGTGCTGCTCTTCTTGCTAATGAAGGGCGGGGTGTTATTTACGGGCGAATTGGTCGATCGGGTCAAGAGTGCGATCCGAAGCGAGTTGAGTGCCCGCCATGTGCCGATGTACATATTCGAGACCCCTGAAATACCGGTAAGTGGTTGATCCATCGAGCTCCATTGAGCTCCATTGAGCTCCACTGGGACTGAGTCGAAATCGGCACTGACGGCATGGTGGATCAGACCACGGTCAATTTGAAGAAAGTGGAACTGCCTGTGAAGCAGATTGTATCGGGCAAGCGAATTCAGCCCTCGGGGACCCTGCTCAACCCAGACAGCCTGGATTATTATTACCGATTCGTCGAGATGGAGAAGCGGGCGAGCAAATTGTGAATTGTGGAGGATCATTGGGTGGGGGAAGTGAGGCTAGACAGCGCATCTCAAGGGGAGAGAGAAACAGGCCCCACTTGAATTGACGGTGTGCCCGGTTTTAGATTTTGCCATTGTACGGAGTATTCGTATGTAAGTAGACTTCGGATAGGTCGGGTCCGATCATCGAGCCAAGCTTTCTCCAAGCTTTAGTTCATGCCCCATAGTTGTGAACCAGCTCCAAGTACGGAGTACAGCTGGGTTATTCCATGACAGATGTAGCATGCTCATGCTCATGCTCATGCTCATGGTGTATGCCGTATGCACTAGATGCAATGAAGTGTAAAGTGAAGTGAAGTGAAGTAGAGTAGAGTAGAAGAGGAGGGGAAGTCACTGCGTCATTCTGCCCCGCAGACCCAGCGTGGCCCCGTTGTGATTGCCTGTTTACACGTGCCGTGGCTTCTGCTCTGCTTGTTTTCAGCTTCTTCTTCTCCTCTTCTTTTCTCCTCTTCGTTTCTCATTCCTCTTCTCTGCCCTACTTACTCCCGCTTACCCCGGTAGTATCCCATCTCCACCTCAATTCATCATGGTTCATCTCGCTTCCGTCAAGAACGACGACGAGGTCTTTGACCCCGCCAGTCGCAAGATTGATTCCCTCTCCCCTATCCCCGATGAAAGCGAGATCTACACCAATGTCTATGGCAGTCGTTTCGCTGCCGAGCATCTCCCCGATCATGTGATGCCCGAGGGTGAAATGCCTCGCCAGGTGGCTGCCCGCATGATCAGGGATGAATTGAGTTTGGACGGTAACCCCAAGCTTAACCTTGCCAGTTTCGTCACCACCTACATGGAGGACGAGATCGAGGAGATTATGACCGATTCCTTTTCCAAGAACTTCATCGACTACGAGGAATACCCCCACAGTGCCGAGATCCAGAACCGCTGCGTCAACATGATCGCTCGTCTGTTCAACTGCCCGACGGACCCCAATGGTGAGAATGCCATGGGAACCTCCACCATTGGCTCTTCCGAGGCCATCATGCTGGGCACTCTGGCCATGAAGAAGCGTTGGCAGAATAAGCGCAAGGCCGAGGGCAAGGACTGGACCCGCCCTAACATCGTCATGAACAGTGCTGTCCAGGTCTGCTGGGAGAAGGCCGCCCGCTACTTTGATATCGAGGAGAAATACGTCTATTGTACCGAATCTCGCTTCGTGATCGACCCTCAACAGGCCGTCGACCTCGTTGACGAAAACACCATTGGTATCTGTGCCATCCTTGGAACCACCTACACCGGTGAGTATGAGGACGTCAAGGCTATCAACGACTTGCTGGTCGAGAGGGGCATTGACTGCCCTATCCACGTTGATGCCGCCAGCGGTGGCTTCGTCGCGCCTTTCATTCAGCCCGACCTCGCCTGGGACTTCCGTCTCGAAAAGGTCGTCTCCATCAATGTGTCTGGTCACAAGTATGGTCTCGTCTACCCTGGTGTTGGCTGGGCTCTCTGGCGGTCCCCCGAGTATCTCCCTAAGGAGCTGGTCTTTAACATCAACTACCTGGGTGCCGACCAGGCCAGCTTCACTCTGAACTTTTCCAAGGGTGCCTCGCAGGTGATCGGCCAATACTACCAGATGATCCGACTCGGCAAGCACGGTTACCGTTCGATCATGGTGAACCTGACTCGCATTGCGGACTACATGTCGGATCAGCTGAAGCAAATGGGCATGATCATTATGAGCCAGGGTAAAGGAAAGGGTCTGCCGCTGGTGGCATTCCGCTTGCCCCCGAACCCAGACCGTGTTTATGATGAGTTCACCGTTGCCCACCAGTTGCGCGAGCGTGGCTGGGTTGTGCCCGCCTACACGATGGCCCCCCACAGCGAGAAGCTCCAGATGATGCGCGTGGTTGTGCGCGAGGACTTTAGCATGAACCGCTGTGACAGCCTCCTGATTGATGTGAAGCTGGCTCTTCAGAACCTGGAGTCAATGGATGAGGCGATGATCACCAAGTATCAGGCGTAAGCTGCCCCTCCCTCCTGTGTTTTTCAATTCCCATATTCTGACTTTTGTTCGACAGACACATGCGCAACCACCGGGCCCACCCCCGGCACAAGCAAACGCATGCTCAATACCAGGGCGAGAAGCACTCGCTGCAAGGCCAGCATGGCAAGACGCACGGTGTGTGCTAAAATCGGAGATGTGGATAGGCGGGGATCTTCCTTTGAGGATGCTGCACAGCCACGGGAAAAATTAGCTTGGGCGAGGCTATCTTTCGGGGATGATCAATGTTTGCCATTAACTAGTGTGTGTGTCTATAGTATTGGGAAAGCTGATGTTGTCTACGATGTAATTGAAATGAATTGAGCGAATTAATGAGATCTGCCAGTATACCTGTAGTTTATATGATATGATCTAGTCAAACCACCTGGACAACCTCAGCCTTTCACTCTCCATCTCTTCGCCCCCAACCAAACCATACACGAAGTACCCACCCCCCCGAGTCCTCGCACTTTGATGCCCAAATGCCACAAATGCCATGAAAATAGGGGGGAATGCACCTTGCAAGGGGTCTTCTAGAAGCCCCAAAGCAGTTGCAAAACAGTTGCATTGCCTCCATTCCGACGTCAGCGGGGATAATTATAGCACAAGAGATACGAGTCCACTTCCCCCTCACGCCAATCATTGTTGTCTTTGCGCTGATCAGCCTCCACACCAGCCTTTCTCCCCTCCCCCCGCCTCTTGCTGTGTTGTTCCTTTCGTGTCTCTCAAACTTGGAACACAAGAATGCCCTTCTTCAAGAGGAGATCACCGAATTCGAACTCGAATTCGACTGCGAACCCAGAGACTGGCAACTCCTTTGCTCGTTCGGTGGAACATCTCATCCACCCCGCCTTTGTTCAACAACAACAACAACCACCACCACCACCTCAATCACAGCCTCAACCATCCCTCAATCCCCCCGATTACGAGCAAGTTGGTCACTTCCCCGTCTCCGACCCTCGTTCAGTGGGGGTGCAGAGACAGTCGCAGTCCGAAGTACAGTCACAATCACAACCATCGTCCTCGTTGCACCGTTCCCAAAGCCAGCGTCAGCCCCACCTGCAGCAACGCGACCGACCGACTGTGAGTGTCGTCGCCCCTGAACCTGAGCCTGAGTTTCAGCCTCAGCCTCGTCCAAAAAGAGGTCTATTTGTGCGCCCCTCTTCGGGTATTCTCGATCGCAGTTCCAGTGTTTCCATCAAGGGCAAGACCATCTCTCATCCCATTTCCCAGCCCGCCTCGCCGCAAGTGCCCTTCCTCAGCACTTCCGACGATCAGGTCGCCCATTACGCCCACGAGGATCACTCCCCTGCAACCCATTTTTATGAACCCCGATCCACATCGTTAGCGTATCAGCAGCAGCAGCAGCAGCAGCAGCAGCAGCAGCAACACCTCCGACAACCATCGCGTGAACAGAACGAACGGTCGCCCCAGTCGCAATACTCCTCGCAGCAATTCCCCGCGCCGATCGACCAGCCCTATCCCAGGCCCCTTGTGCGCTCCAATACCGATCCAAACTTGCTGGGTAACTCCAGCCAGCCCTCGTTCACCGAATCCATCGACGAACCGCCCCATCCCTTCGAGGGCCATCGGGGCCAGCCCCATCGTTCCCAGCAGGACCTGGTATTGAATGCCCGGCCCCCTTCCCGGCAATCCTACGAGCCACTCTCCCCAATTCATTCGTGGGCTCATCCTGACACCATGCAGCAGGCTTCCGCGCAGACACCACCAACATTATCCAACGATCAGCTGTCGGGGAGCTCCAGCCGTCGCGGGAGTGCGACCGCCCATAACATGCCCGATCAGCCTGGCCGACAGACGCCAACCAGCAATCGCCAACGCGAAGATCCCGGAGATATCGATGTTCGAGCTTTGCTTCAGAAGCATGAAGAGTTACGTATGTTCAATGGACCTACCCCCATACTTTTTTTTTTCTTTTCTCTACTGTTGGTTGGTTCCAGCGGTTGCAATTGTTTGGTTGATCGATACTGATCTGATAACGATAACGATAGAGAGCAAATACTCCAAAGTCAAACGTTACTACTTCGACAAAGAGGCTCAGGTCCAGCATCTCCAGAATACAGTCGCCCATCAGCGCATGGCCGTGTCTCGAACCGTGCTAGACGATAATGAATACGCGAACCGGTTCCAGCGCCTGGATGGTGCCATAAAAGATCTGGCATTCTCCGTGCGGAAAGATTGGCGCACTGTTCCCCCATGGTTGCACGGCCTGGTGACCGAGGACGCCGTCACAACCGGCACAAAAGAGATGACTGCTGTAGGCCGAGCTGTGGTCAGCAAATGGCTTGGGGAGGAGGTTTTCCACAAGTACTTCCATCCAGGATTGGATCCTGCACTCAGCGTGCAGCTGAAGAGCATAGAGATGAACCTGCGCCGACAACAAATGCGTCCATGCACAGACGAAGATCGGGAGAATGCCATCGCTCGACTTTCTAACTGGCGCCGTACGACCTTCGACGGTCTCGGCGATGCACTGTCCACCCCAGACGCTCAAGAGTACCGCGCGGAATTAATCGAGCACCTGATCGCCGAGCTAGCATCGTTCCTGAGCACACAGCTCCAAAAACCCGCACTGCAGGGCCTAGAAGCAGGCGTACGGATGATCATCGAGAACACCGTCAACATCGCCGAGAAGATCCCACTCGAGGCTCGCGACGTTTACGTGGAGTACCTACCAACCAATATAGCTTTTGGCGATGCATTTATGAAAGTGGAAGGCCAACTGCCACCACTGTCACACCTCCCTCAACCCCCAGCGGACCAGGAACCAGAAGATCCCGCCGCAGTAGAGGGAGACTCATCGCCCGCGTCAAACTCCACCGGAGCCGGCGAGGGCACATCCCCAGCCCCGCGCGAGTCCAAGAAGAAATCCGTCTTCGACGCAATAAGAAACCGCAAGTCTGGTGGGGCCGACCACGGTCGATCGGGGCCATCCCACCCGCACGAAGAAAAGGTCGAACAGCCCGAAGTTGCGATTCCGCCCCGAATTCGATTCTCTTCTTTCCTGACGGTCGAGGTGCGCGGCAAGGGCCAGGCAATGGTCCTAGTGAAAGCGCCTGTGTGGCTGATAGAGTGAACAAAAAGTAGGTTTGTTGTATATATCATGGACGCACAACTCATGCCGCGGTGCAGTGGCATGGTGATGATGAGCACGAGCTTGAGCTTGGGCTTGAGCACGATTAAGCATTGATATCCCATTCGTTATTGTTCTTGTTCTTGCAAGGGTGGATTTTGGCGGCGGGAGGAAGGGGAGGATATCCATGGATTATCTTTAGTTTATTTTTCAGATCCGATTTGAATACTTTAAATATCAAAGTTGTACACCGGGCAGATGATTCACGGTGTTGCCCAGGGCAATTTATGACCTGAAGTTCAGTAATTGGTACCACCCCCCTTCCTCCTTCTGAGTCCCTCCTCCCCAAACTTGAAACTTGGAGCTTGAAGTTGCCCTTTTTATTGAATCCATGGATGCAAATTACAGGGGAGGCGGTGCCAAATCCAGCCCCTCAACAGTCAACTTAAATGCATCGCTGCGGGAGTAACTGCCTGCAACATCCAAATCCAACCGGCCACGCTCACAATCATCCAGATCAATCTGTGCAATTGCCAGTCCATCCCCAACCGCAATTGCTTCCTCCTTAATATCCGCCATAATATGCGGACCGGAAGGATTACTGGCAGCAGCGTCCTCACTATCAGCCGAATCATCCGTACAAACCTCCCACAACGGGCCCGCAAGGACGGCACCAAGAGGCGAAACAATACAAGACCCGCCACGAGAAACAAACTCATCGGCACCAGCCTTGGCCTGACCAAGCTGTTCCACTTTCGCAGCCAATTCTTCAACCTGATCCGTCACATCGCCAACCTTAGAACCAGCATCAGTATCAGAGGGATGGCCCTGACCCTGCGGCCAAACAATCTCATGCGGACCCTCCGAAGTAACAGAAAGTTTCCTTCCAGAAGGCTGAGGTCTAGACTGCGTCTGCGGCGGCACACCACCGACCGCCGAAACAGCAGAAGACTCATCAGAACCGGTAATCCAGTCAGGCAACTCCGAGGATCGAACACACTGGTTCGCCGAGAGAACAAAGCACCGTCCCTCAGCACCAACAGTCCGCATTAGAGGCAGCCACGTATCCCGGTCATCGGCCGTAGGCGCGAGGTAGATATTCACATTCTGCGAGTACAGACTCTGGCGCAGGAGAGGCATGTAGTTCTCCCAACATATTGCCGAAGCCAGGGTTAACGGTACACCGTTTAGAGTTGTCGTTACAGCGCGGAGAGTCGATGCCGATCCCTGGCCCCAGATTAACCGTTCTGACCCGGTCTGTATGTTATACACAAACAATTAGCAAAAGCTTGAGGGTAGAAGGCCCGGAAAACAAACCGGCATAACCTTCCTCCTCTTCCCCAAAACACCCCTAACAGGATCAACATAGACAACAGCACAATAAAGCGTTCCACCAACCCTCTCCACAACACCCGTAACGATAAAAACGCCCGTCTCAGCCGCAATCCTCTCAAGCGTCTCCCTCGTCCCATCACCACGATGACTCTTCCCGACGGCAACAGGCAATCTCCGCTCGAGCCAATCATCACCGCCTCCCGCAGGTGTATCGCCCAGATCAACGGCTGCCTTGAAATAAGCCAGGAACTGGTCCCGGCCGCGCGGGTGTCTGGCTCCGACTGCGGCGCCGAATGAGCAAGTTCGTGGGTATCCGCCTAGATAGGCTTCTGGGAAAAGGATTAGGTGCACGCCGCGCTTGGATGCTGTTACGGTTGTGCGTTCTAGGGCGGCGAGGGTTGAAGGGAGGGTGGCGCGAGTTCGGGCTTGGGCCACTGCTACTGTGAGATGAGGCATTGTGGGTGGGTGGATTGAGAAGTAAGTTCAGTGTATTTCGGTTGATTGATGGGAATGATTGAGATGAATTGCAGTGTATAGCTAGGTCGATCAAAATAGATCATTGAAGTGTAGATAGAAGTGGAGGTGGAGGAGGAAATAAAGTAGACTGTGACAGTGGGCAGTCCGGGGGTGGGGCGTGGATAAAATGGGGAAATGACATCATGCGGACTTCACTGCACCAAGTAGGGCTAAGGTCAACCTCAGACCTCACGCTAGAAAAGTTAAATATACTTCGTTTCTACTCCTTGCAGACGAGCAGGGAATTCCCTGTAGTATCTAACACATACATGCATGCACACGGTCATCATGTGCAAATACTACTTCATACTTAAGAGCCAAGTGGTGGCACCACTGCACTGCAGTACAGTGGCAACATTTACTCAGTTCTTCAGGAATACTAGTAATCTTCAATATCAGTCTGTTCTATTGGCAATCCATCGGGCAACACCAGCCCCGGGGTAAAGGATAATATGTACAAAAGCCATGCACACCGCACGAAATGCAATTTGAATTTCGCCGTGAAAAGAAATAAGAAGAAAAGGAAAAAAACTCTCTGGTTCCCGGGTATAGCGCCTCGCGATGATGAAGAAACTTGAAAGAAAAGCGCGAACACAAAAACCAGATGGATGAAAATGCCAGTAAGTTCAAGTTACCAGAACGAGGTGTCAACGAAATAGAAAGACTGAATCAAAGAAACAAACAAATTGCTGGAACGCGGAAGGGAAGCTCGTATCATCGCAAACATCAAGGTTCAATGCAGAGTAACTCGAGTAAAGGCAGAGGCTGAAAATGGATATGAAAGAAAGGAAGATTATTTTCAAGATGAAAGGCCTTTCCAATCACTCTGTTCGTGTGGACGGGAATGATTTATGCGGTGGAGATACCGTTGGCGTTGGCGGCTTGCTGGAGCACGCGTGGCCAGCGCGAGATCAGTTCAACATCGTCGAGGATACCCTTGCCCTGGTTTCGGATGTATTGGGTCGAGGGATCAACTCGGTGCTCATGGTCCCAGTAGGTCGGGGTGCCCTTGATGAGAGCAGAGTAGACGAGACGGCGGCGGCGCTGAGAGCGCAGAACATCTTGGCGGATCGACTCCAAGTCCCATTTGTTGTTGACTTCCTCGACGAAGTAGGCCAGGAGCTTGACTGGGTCCATCGTGTTGGGCAGCGCCGCCTCGCCAGGGCTAGGAGAGCGCGGGGGAGTCAGTGATGGGAACGGGTAGGACTTGTCGGTGGCACGCTGCGGGATGGGGGATGCATGAGGTGAGTCGCGAGGCGTGGGCAGGTTGGCCATGGCCAGAGACAATGAATTGCCAGATTTCACTGGCGCACGGGCTTCACGGTCAGGGGCAGATACGATGGGAAGACCAGCTGCCAAATTGGTCAACTCCTCCGGGTCGGTGGCCACATCGAAGAGCATCGGCGGGTCAATTGGTGAGTAGACGAATTTCCAGCGGCCCCGGCGAATCATAACGAGCGGTGCCTGAGTGCCCTCTCCCATGTATTCTCCGTAAACAGTGTCGGTTCGGAGGCCATCCTCCCCGGTTAGATATGGTACCAGGGAGACACCGTCCAGGGGCAGGCCCGGGACGAGAGGAGCCCCCACGAGGCCAGCGAATGTGGGAAGCAGATCCATGGTGGAGACATTCTCAGAGACGCGCTTGGGGGCAAACTTCTTGGGAGCATGGAAGAGCATGGGCACTCGGGAGGAGTTCTCAAACCAGGCCATCTTGTACCACAGGCCGCGCTCGCCAAGCATGTCACCATGATCACCGGTGAAAACAATTATTGTATCCTCATCTAGACCAGTGTTCTTGAGCACCTTGAGCAGCTTGCCAATGTTGGTATCAACGTAAGTGCAGGCGGCGTAGTATGCACGGCGGGCTGCCTTGATACGGTCCTCGGGCAAGTCCTTGCCAAACAGATCGATGCACTTAAGAATTCGCTGAGAGTGCGGGTCCAGCTGGTCGTGAGGGATGGTACCATTCTTGGGGAGCGGAATGTCGACATCTTCGTACATATCCCAGTACTCCTTGGTCATGGCATAAGGGTCGTGAGGGTGCGTCATGGAGACGGTCAGACAGAATGGCTGATCAGTGCGGGTCCGTACGTGGTCGTACAAATATTGCTCCGACTTGTAAATCACCTCCTCGTCGAAGTCGAGTTGGTTGGTTCGGACGACAGGACCGGCATCCATGACTGAGGACATGTTGTGATAGTAGTCGAGGCGAATCTCGGGTTCATCCCAGTTCACCGACCAGCCGTAATCGCCGGGGTAAATGTCACTTGTTAGACGTTGTTCGTAACCGTGAAGTTGGTCTGGTCCACAGAAATGCATTTTTCCAGCCAGAGCCGTATGGTAACCCTCGCGGCGGAGGTAGTGAGCATAGGTGGGAATGTCGGCAGGGAAATCCGCCGCGTTGTCGTAAGCCCCAATCTTGGATGGTAGCTGGCCACTGACCATGACAAAGCGCGAGGGGGCGCAAAGAGGAGAATTGCAATAAGCAGAGTCAAAAACAACACCCTCACCGGCCAACTTGTCGAGGTTGGGGGTCTTGATGGGAGAGTTCTTATCATGGAGGGAGAGCAGAGGGGCCGCCATCTGGTCAGCCATGATGTAAAGGATGTTTGGCTTTTTGGTGGCCATTTTGTCAAAGCCTGGGCCTTATCCTAGCAGAGGAGAAAGAGCTGAAGGGAGAGAGAGCTGGAGGAAGGTAGGAAGGTAGGAAGGTGGAGAGTGGAGGATGAGAAGTTGAATGGGGAATGAAGAATGGGAAAGATGAAAGAATGGCGGGAGCGGGTGAGGGGGTAGATATAAGTGAAGAAGAATGGCACATGTGGGGGAAGGACCGTTCAGAGCCAGACAATGCAAAATCAAACAATTTTGTGTCCAGGCTATCTGAAAAAGGAAAATTGACACTGGAGGTACGGAGGTCTCCTACTCGACACGAGGGCCCGAGAGCCGGAGCTATAGTTGGTTACAATACGGTACACTATAGTTATAGTCTACTTGTACATCTGATAATCCAGATCAGCTTGCCAGTGTACAATACACAATCGTCAAGGTACGAATAAACTGAGAATCCCCACCGATCCAGCGGAGTCATGAGTTCGACTAAGGAGACTACAAAGGAGACTAGTACTGCATGGAAGATCAGGGGAAGCGGTGACGTACTCATTGAAGACGCAAGATCGAGCAATTGCTGGGTGCGATGGTGTGATTGTAAGATGTGACAGTACTGTAAGTACAGTATGGTGGGGTGTATGGTTAGTATAGATTATCAACCATATACTCCGTACTCCGTACTCAAGATACTCCATAACCCACTCCATGAATGTCCAGCTGATCACTCCAATGCGGATTCCGTCTCCTCGTCGAGTCACTCAATCCCTTTCAAAGAGAGTAAGTGCCCAAGTGCCGAGAGTGATTGTGACTTGACTATTTGCCACGCTATTACTCAACCATGCCGGTCCACCGCCCTTCTGACCGTATCATTACAACTGGTAGATGTAACAAATAAATCAACTTCCACCCCCTTCCACCCCAACGCAAGGAATCCTCACAACTTTTGCATGTATGTCGGGACATATCACTTGTAATGTTCAGTGCAATTATCACTGACTCTCGACCCCAGACTCGTTAGTAAGGTTATCCGCCTTGGGCTGACCCTTGTAACGCCGGCGATCTCAGCCGAGCAACCCGGCGACCGGCGCAAACCTTGCTCCCCACCGATCGTGTCACCTTGCCCATCCTGGCCAATCATGCCACGCTCTATTACCCCTGGGACCGACTCGTCGGCGAGACGATGTCGTGCTAGCCACCTTCGGGCATGCTTGGGGCGTTGTCCCCACTTGCTTATCTCACCAGCCAATCATTGCCTTTCTGCTTCGACCTCCGAATTGAGCACCGCACAAAAATCAGCACTTTGCCAGAGCCGACGGGGTGGCCCGATAAGCGACGAGTGCAGAACGTGCAAAGTGCAGACTGTGCAGATGGCACGGACTTTGCTGAGCAGCCCAGAAATGACACCTGGCATTCCGGTTTCAACCTACGAGTACAGAGTACGGAGTACCCATATCCACACTCATTCGCACTGTGCAAGTAGATCAATGAGCAATCCCCCCTGTCTAAGCACGCCATGCGGGAGCGGTCTGTTCCAGCCGCCCCCGGATTCCAGAGGACATACGATACACTGTACAGCCTACAGACTCAGACTAGACCTGGGCCGCGTGGCGTTGAACACGACGACAAAGTACGAGATGTACAAAGTTCCCCTGTAATCAGATGTGATTCGATTCACCGCCGTTTCGCGGCTCCAGGTTCTGCATAAGATCCGGTCCCCACCACATTGCACTAGCTGGACTATTTCTCCTGATGCAGCATGGCGTGGTGTACACTTTGGACACTCTCGGTTTGAGTCTCGTCCAGTTGAGTTTCATTACTCTGTACAGTACGGAGTACTCTGACCCCATACGGAGTACACCAAGAGGAACTACCAATAGGGACAATTGCGGAACATCACAGCCACCATAAACGGAGTACTTACGGAATACCTGGGCTCAATTTAGGTATCTGCTCCCTGAACTGCACGATGACGGAGAATTAAATTTAAATTTAAATTACAGCGTGCACCAGCGATGTACAATCACAAGCTAACTAACTAACGACTGTACATATGTGCGTAAGTAGACTTGTGAGCAGGATTTCCTCTCATCAATCACATCCGCCAGCAATCAGCACTGCACAACCACTCGTACATACACCCTTCAAGAAAAGAGGAGAAATACTCCGGGTTGAAAAAAGCAAACCCAAGATCCACTTTCCTTTGACAACCCATCAATGTCACTCCGCCGGCCCGTTCATATTTTTGTTCCCACGTCGACAATCATTTCCTCCCTTGTCCCGTTCCGGCTACGTCTACATGAGAAAGAGCAAGAGATTAGGGGAGAGTAAGATATTCCATTCGTAGGATAAGATAAGAATAAAGAAAGCTACGTACTCCCCAAGGTTGTCTGTGACCCGAAAAGAAAGGAGGTTCTAAGACCTTAAGCCGGGCCACCCTGGCCAATACCGCATCCCTCCCGCAAAAGATCAACGCACCTTGTCATTGATGAACGGAAAAGACGGACAAGAGATGAGCAACCAAATAGGAGACGAAAAAAAAAAGAGCATCCATCACCAGCTACCATCACCAGTTACATGTTGATGGTAACAAAAACCGAAACCCTCCGATCCACCACTCCCATCATCACCACCAACCACCACCACAGAAACTGGAGATCTTGCACCCACTTCCTACAAAATGAGCTAGTAGAAGCACAATTCTACTAAGCCCAAAGCGAATCTTCCTGGGAGGGAAGAGGGTTGTTCCAGTCATCCTGAGGGTCCCAAAAGTCCGTTTCTATTTCAGGCCGAATGTACTCGTTCCCCTCTCGAGGAACATTGTGCAGAAGGCACAGGCGAGAGTCTTCGTCCAGTTCGGTGCGGCAGAAAAACGGATCATCGCGGTGTGCTATCGCGTACTCAGCTTCAGCCTGAAGTTCCTCCTTGGTTTTTTTGGGCCACTGCTCAAGTTTCGTCTTCATGACCGGCGGAAGGTTGGTCATGTACCAATGAGTCAAGTCGCGAAGAGCGACCGTGGCTTCAAGTACATTCCCATTGCTACCCTTCGGGAATGGACGCTTGAGATGCACTGGAACAAGTTTTCGGAGACCGGTCTTCCAGAGGTTGATTCGCACGGACTTCTCGCGTCGCGATTCCAGCTCTTCAATGTCGATAACGCGTCTGTGTATCATGCGGAGCTCCAGCAAGTCGCGTGAACCACCAGAGTAAGTGATTATGATGGTTTCGGGTCCGACAAAGTCCCAAACACGGCTGCGAGCTGCATCGCGTCCTTCAAGGACAGTCTTCATTGCTCGCGCACTGTGCAACATCTGCCAATCCACACCGGACCAGTGAGTATTCAAGTGAAGCATTTTCACATTTTTGCTGGGGAAGACGAGCGAATTGATGAGGACTTCTCCGGTGAAAAAGTCAATCATGCCAATGCGGACGATTTCATGGTCGCCGTTTGTGGCGATGCCCTTCTCACAGCTCAGAGCAACGGCGGTTCGGGGGTCGATCGCCGCGCTAGGATCAGGGGTGGGATACAGATGCCAGACTTCCCTGGCTTCGTCTTCATTGAGCTGTGGGAAGCGGTGGTAGTCCGAGTGATGGCACCCATTGGCATCAGCCCAGCTGCCGCAGCAGGACCACTTCTGGAATTTCATTAGCGGGATTCAAATGTTGAAGACAAAGGGGAAGGAGCATTGAGAATAAGGATCATAACTTACTCTGTTGTCGCCGACCATACCAGGATGACCGATGCATCGGGCCTTGCGGACAGTTGTAATGTCGCGACTCTTAGCCAAGTAGTCACTCCAGGTATAAGGGATGATGTAATTCCACCACTCCATCACCTCGAAATTTTTGTTCATGCCTGAGACAGTGTAACAGGGCTTTTGCGGGTCCATCTCGACCCCTAGGAGAGGCTTCTCTCTCCACTCCGGGATCAGTGACTTGCGATTATCGTCATTCGGTTCGATTTTGTGGCGGGGCTTTGACTGCATCGCTCTGGCATACTCGCCGGGGGGGTAGTACTGCTCAATGTTCAAATCAAGCTTGGGGAAATCGTCCTGGAGGATGTAACCCCAGGTACGGGGATCATTACTTGTGATGATGTTACCACCGCTGGTAAAAATCATCGGCTTTGGCTTTCCCTCGGGCCAGAAGTCATAGTATCGAATACTCTCACGGCGAGCTTCGTCCTTTTCAGCCTGGGTGGCCGGACGTTTGCGACGCTTCGCTTCGGACGACTGTTCGAGAACTATGATGAATGTTTAGTCTCATGTTCCAAAGTAATATGCAGATAGATAGAGACGAGAAACTTACCAAAGCAATCCACGCAACGGACTTGGTTCCTGAGGATCTCCCAATCTTGGTACTGTTCGAAGCGGTACTTGTACTTCTGATTGATCATGTCCTTTTTATCCATGGTCAGACCATTTAGGTCCGCCAGGATTTCATCGCTACGCTCAATCTCCGTGGGACGAGAGGATTGAAACGTAGAAGCCGAGGAAGACATGGCTGATACCGGTGCAGCGAACGGTGTCGAAAAAAGGAATTGATGGGGTGAAACGAAGATGTGACTTGGAGAGTAGTGGAGGCTAGGAACGAAGGGTGGAGTGAAGAGATGCAGGTGAAGGAAGAGGTGAGGAGAGAATAGAAGGAGACAGGCTGAGGAAGGGAAGAGAGGGAAGTGGCGAAGAGGGTCACCTCGAAGGAAATCCCGTCAAATCAACACGAAGTGCAATTCGTATCCGATATTTGAAATGAAGTGGAGTGGCATAACAGGGCAAGATGCCCAGCGGAGCGAAGTCGCACCCACAAATGAAGTTCCACAAATTTGATATCGATATGAAGTAGAATTTGTCTTTGGTGGTAAGAGAGGAACTGAAGTTGGGAGAAAAGTGAAACTTGGACAGGAGTATGTGGACGTCCTTGTTAAGCGAGCGGGATCATGCGCCAGATCCTGTGCCGTCATACCATGAGCAGGTGTGAGAATATTGGCGCCTGAAGGACACCTGGGACAGCATGGCTCAGAGGGACCGATATCTGGTCGTGGCGCCTGTGCAAACGAACGTGAACGAGGTGCGGATGAGGGTGGCTGGGCGATATTCATGAATGTAACAGCCGTGTCTGTACACACTAGAGAGGCAGGTAGTTTGTTTGATAGAATGGAATTCACATTTAAAAAATAACAATACACAACCTGTTGCGATCACCTACATAATTGACAGCGGGTTGACAACACTTATACCGTGCTGTACATGCACCCTTCATTTAGATGGCACAATGATGAAGCTTGAAGGACAGACATAGGGAAATAACAGAATAGAGGGCTCAAAACGTCTGGTGAAGACATGCAAGTAAAGGACAGGATACGCCGTGGTGGTCGACACCAATGCTGCTCAAAGAGACAAATGAAGTCGTGAGGGTGAGGTTTGTAGGCGGTGGTTTAATCAACCTTAATGGCACTGTTGAGCTTGTTAGCGTCTAGTGCAGGAAAATGTGGGGAAGCGGGAAAGGCCGCAGCCATCATTGATCGTACCTATAAACTCGCCGAACAAAAGCATAGGCTGCAAGGAATCCAATGGTTCCAGTCAACAGTCCATAAACAGCACATGCAAGGAAACTATAGCTGAAAAAGAGCAGCCCCGATACGAATCCTGTGATGTGAAGCTTGAAGGCGTAGTACCAAATGCAGTAGGCAAAAATCCAGAATGCACTACTCCCACCGGTCAAAAAGCTCTGCCACCACCAGTGATAATTCTGGAGAGGTTAGTATTAAATTAAGGGGGAAAAGAAGTCGCCGACGGAAAGGGGACATACCTCGGAGCAAAGCTGGCTGTATGTCGCAATTATCGTCACTTCAACGACGGTAACGAGGAGCACGGTAGAAACCACACTCAGAAAACCAAACACGTAGTAATAGCCGCTCTTATCTTGCCACAAATTCTTGAACAAGAATAGGAGCTCGATGAAGAGGACGGCAAATGGAATCAATCCGGTCAACAGAGGGCCGGCGGGACTGCGCAGGTACCAAGGCTGGAGCGGAATTTGCCGAGCGATAGCATTGGTCTTCAAGGGGTGCTCCCAGGCAGTCGCACGCACGAATCCAGCCCAGCTGCCTATGTAAACCAGGGGAACTTGGATAAGCAACCAAAGAGCGAGGAGACCAATCAGAGTGCTGAACGGGATGGCAGTACTGGACGCTTGAGCCCAAACAAACAGGTTCAAAACCAAAACGAGGAAGAACGACAACCCGGGGAACAACAGAGCAGTTATCAAGGTATTCTTACGCCAGGTCGTTCCACCAAAGGTCTTATAGAGCCGTCCAGAGAAGTAGCCCGAGAAGACACCTGCAAAGACAAAAAGACCCATGCCAACGCTGACGAATCCACCGCGGAAACTAGGGTTGAGAATGCCCAGACAGCTCAGAAGAAGTAGACCGGTAGCCATGAAAAGAAGCTGCATGCCAGAACCGACAAGCGGAGCCAAAAGACCGCTGTAAGCGGGGATTCGGAAAACGTCGCCGTGAAGAAGCTTCCAGCCACTGGTGTCTTCGAAGGATTCATCATCCGAAGACATGTCGGCTTCGTTCTCGACGTCGGCATTGTCTAGCAATCCTTCTCCTTTCTTCTCCCCGGAGCGCTTGCGTCGAGATCTCACTTTGAGCTTGCGGTCCTCCATAGCACCATCGCCACGACCTTTAATGTCGCCCTGGACGGTCCGGCTCCAGATGACGAACACCGTTACCCCAAGGACAGCCGAGATGGTCAAGGAGTTGATAATCGCCAGCCAATGGGTCATGGATCCTTCCTCCTGGTTAGTAAAATAGAGATCCCAGCGGTTCGCCCAGTCGACTTTATTTTCTTCCCGGAAGTAAACAGAATAGGTATATGGGATCTTCAGCGTGGCTCCATCATCGTCCTCATCGTCTTCCGGGATGTAAGAAAGCCCAGCGTACTTCTCTCGAAGTCGCGACATGTCCGGTGCAATGAACAGACCCAAACCATCCCGCTGTTTGTGCACATCCTTCGGACAACCGCCTTCCAAGCGATCCTCTGCACTGATACTCTTCGGGTATACCTCAAAGCCAACAATAACCTTCCCTCCCTCGGGGGCTCCTCGCCAGCGAATAACAATTGTGAAATGGTTGTTTAAAAAGTAGCGCGAACGGCCAGTGGCGGGAGAGATGTCGCGATAGCCGAGCTTGAAGCCCGAGGCGTAATATTTGCGACTGCGGTCGACAGTCACAAAGCTCGTTGCGCCGGGCAGGTTGTCGACAATCCATTCAATAACGTAGTTCTCTTTGATGAGCTGGCGGGCCCATTTCACGTTCTCACGACCGACCTCCGCCGAACACAAGGACTGGCATTCCACATCTTTGCCCATCTCAAGCTCAAAATCGGATGTCATGATGCGGTCGCCGCGCAACACCTCGCCGAGATTGAGCGAGATGCTTTGGCCTGATCCGAAGGGGGATCCACCATGCTTATTGCCGCTCGGAGGGCAGACGAAGGGGAGGTCGAAGTAGGCATATTGAAGTTGGGTATGGTCAGAGAAGATCTTGTTTACAAGCAGAGGGATCGCCTCGCCATCATTATACCGGGTGACCGAGTATCCTTTCAAGAAAGCGAGATTGTTAGCTGTCAATGCCAGAAGGTGGAGTAGAACGACTGGGGCGATGTGAACGAAGCTCACCAGGGATGTAGAATGACCAGGTAGCCGACACAAAGAAGAACAGACATAGTGCCCAACTGCGTGGACACCATGGCCCCATTGGCATGGTATACATGATTGTAAGAGGTGGGTGTTTGGTTCAGCTTGGCCCGTCAGCTTGGGTCAGCTTCTCAAAGCGCATGCGATGCGATGCGATGTTGTGTTGGTCGGGAGGATCGCTCAAAGGTGGGTGTGGCGAAATGTAGATCCCGAGTGGCTAAAGGGATCAGCACCCCTTGATCTTCAACTTTGAAAGATATTCCGGTTCGATATCTCTGTCGAAAGGGGATTTATACAAGACAAATCGAATACGGGGTCAGCCAAGGGTGGAGAGGGGGATGCACGCTAATGAGATGATGCTTGGCGGATGACTTGATAGTGGTAGCTTGAATGCACGAATCAGCCCAGAGAGATAGGTGAGATTGCCACAGCGGGTCAATGGCCCGGTGCGGATGGGAAACGAATGTAATTGGCAATGAATGCCGACAGGGGAGTGAAAAGCGATTCAAGTTCAAGTTTTGGGGGGTGAAATCAAAGTTCAAGAGATTCCAGCGTGTTCAAAGCAAATAAAGGCTGACTAACGGCCCTTGCGTGGAGCCTGGTGGAGCGTGACATTCCGGGCACACAGCAGCGTGGGGTCTACTACTAGTAGTAGTACTATGAAAATAGTGGAATCTTTTAGTATATCACAGCTTGAATGATCATCGCACTATGTAGTACCTACTTAGGTGGTTCGCACTATAATGAAAGTAGTAACTTGAATCGTGGTCCATGTGGTGGTAGCCTATACTACCTAGGTAGTACCTAGTTAGTTAGTAGGTAGCCCAGATGTCCAGGTCACGTACAGCAATATATATTCCAACCACCTGGGCAGACACGATTTGGAACTTGAACCTTCAGACCTGATCCCTAATACCTACTTTACGTGGAATCAACTTGAAACTTGAAGCCCTGGAAATTACTTCTATTCCAAGATTCATATCGGCAGTGGAGCACTACTACTCTACTATTATACATAGGCTTATACAAGCCCTAGAGTTAGTGTACCATGATCCACGAGCAAAGCAAATCGTCCAGCTGTGAAATTCAATTGAAGATGACATTGGCGATAAACAAAACGCTAGTGTACCAGAGCCATTCAGGCAGAAAGAGAAATTCCACATCCAGAGATAAACAGAGGTAAAAAATGTGAAAGAAAGGAGGCAGGGAAATCATCAACGTGCGGCCAAATCGTTATCATCGAATCAAGGACCATGAAATACATCGGGAAAACGAGCAGATTCATCCAACACAAACATGTCAATAGAATGAACCCATGGAAGCTTCATGACGAGGTGTTCAGGAGGTGCTCAATTGCCCCTTGTACACTGCCACCCGATCGTCGCAATGCTTCAATGTTGCGTTCAAACTCAAAGAAGCCCATGTCGTTCAATTGACGAAGTTGCTCGGCATACCGCTCCTCTGGGGGACGGTTGTCAGGGGGCTGTTGTGACGCGCCAGCACCTCCAAGGCCAAGCATATTTGCCCACGCATTCGCGCCGGCACCACCGCCCTCTGTATTTCCGTTTCCCAACCCCTGAAGCAACTGAGCCATCATGGCTGGGTCACGGTTCATGAACGGGTTCATGCCGCCGCCCTGTCCACCCAGTCCGGCACCACCAAACATGGCCGGGTTGAACAAAGAAGCGAATGGGTTCTGAGCAGCCTCAGGAGTTTGTCCTTCTCCAGTAGTGCCCCGATCTGTGGACTGGTCGCCCTGATTCTGGGTGTTCGCAGGATCAGTATTGACCGACGGCTGTGCGAGGGGGGTTGGCGAATGGGTTCGCGTTGCCGCCGAAGAGTGCGGCGAAAGGGTTTCCAGCAGGGTTCTGTGCAAACGGATTGGCTGCGGGATTTTGCTGTTGATTTTGGTTCTCGCCAGCGGTTGTGTTCGTCACGCCGGGAGCGGGGAAGGCGCCGGCGCCGGCGCCCCCACCTCCCATATCGCCCATCATCCGCTGCATCTGCATCATCTGACGGATTTGTTGGGGATCCGTCAGCATACGGCGGAACTCGGGACTTTGGAAAATCTGGCGCGCCCCAGGTCCGATATCGCGGAGCATGGGGTTCTGTTGGATCATCATGTCGATCATCGCGGGGTTCTGGAGGGCCTCGTTGAGAGTAGACTGAAATTGAGGGTTTTCGAGCATGTTCAGCATAGTTTCACTGTCGGGGGGGAGGTCCCATCTAGATAAGATGCATCACGTCAGCAAACCTGGAATTGGTGGATGTCTCATAAGGGTACTTTATGAGCCAACCAAGAAGTATAGTCTACTTACCCCACCGTCAGGGCCAAAGAGACCAGCCCCGGGAAGCTGGGCAAACCCGGCATATCGAGCTCCAGTCAGCCCGGCGAGGGGGTTGTTACCTGTACCGGCGGCCAAGTTTGTAGGAACACCGGCAGCGGCAGGAGGAGTCGGAGTTCCCGTAGCAGAGGCTGCCCCGGAAGTAGATGTAGCTCCAGCATTTGCACGCTGGTTGCTGTTGGCATTGCCAACCAGGTGAATAGTGTGTCCATCCTTAATCTTGTAAGATTCTAGAGTCTCGTTATCCTTCAAGATCCGGCCGGAGTAAATCAGACGTTGACGATCGGCCGGGATGCTCTTGGAGTCATCGGATTTGTCAGACTTGTCTGGCTCGGCTGTTTCGAGTTTCTGCTTCAAGTCTGAAACCAGAGTGGACAGCGGAAGGGTCATCGTGTATTTCTTATCTGTTGAGGTCTTGACGATGAAGGTAATGGGAGCCTCTCCGGCGGTACCAGCGTCGTCGGCCATGGTGAATTGAGTTGTCGGAAGAGAAGTGTGGGGGTGATTGAAGAGGGTTGAGATGACAGAGAGGGGGGGTTGCGACTGATCGCCTCTAGGGCGTGGACAGTGAAAGTGAATAGAAAGATGCGATGCGAACAGGTGTATGAAGGCGGATGGCAATTTCCCAGGAGACTAAAAAAGGAAGTTCAGAGGTGGTTGGATTGTTGAAAGCAGTTGGCAGTTGGACGGAGCTACTCAACGCTGTTGGTTGCCGACGTAATTCGACCGCTTTCCATATCACGTGAATAGAGATCACGGGCCACACGGGCCACCACTTGAGCTTTCCCAGTCCCACCAGCACATTTTGCTTCCTCTTTTCTTCCCCCCCCCCCAACCTCAAACCCATCCTCAAACCCGTCACGCATTTTGCCAACCTCTGGGGTGTCTTTCTTTCATTAGACCCCAGCAGCGATGGGATTGATGTGACCTGTTGCATAATTTTGACTGCAATTGCAATTGCCATTGCGCATACTCCATTTTTTCTTTTCGACCTTCGTGAAAGCTCGCGAGTTTTGCAAGCTTTGCGAGCTTAGCTTTTGCCCACCATGGCCACCACTTCGCATATGTTCATGTACTCTCTGACGATTCAGCCTCCAACTGCAATCACTCAGGCCATTCTGGGTCAATTTTCGGGCACCAAGGAACAGCAGATCGTCACTGCCTCCGGCTCGAAGCTGACAATCCACCGTCCCGACCCGAGCCAGGGAAAAGTCACCCCGATCTTTTCACAAGATGTCTTCGGCATTATTCGCTCATTGGCAGCCTTTCGGTTAGCTGGAAGCAATAAAGGTATGTCTTGCAATTAGCCCATGTTTGCATTTACGAGTTCAACTTAGTGATTCTTCAAGCTTCCCGGGTAGCACGGTCCTGGTTTTCCGAGCCGACCCCTTGAAGGGTTGAAGCGGACCTGCCCCCCGGCCAGCAACGTTGACGCTGCAAATCATCTTTGTGCGAACTGTGCTGAGTATATCTTCATTCAGATTACATTATCATCGGCTCCGACTCCGGGCGTATCACAATCATTGAATATGTTCCTTCTCAGAACCGTTTTAACCGCATCCACTTGGAAACATTTGGAAAGTCCGGCGTTCGGCGGGTTGTCCCGGGTCAATATCTTGCCGTGGATCCCAAGGGACGTGCATGTCTGATCGCTTCTGTGGAGAAGAACAAGCTGGTCTATGTTCTGAACCGTAACTCCCAAGCGGAACTTACAATTTCCTCTCCTCTCGAGGCCCACAAGCCGCAAACGCTCGTTTTCGCCATGATCTCCTTGGATGTGGGCTATGAAAACCCCGTCTTCGCTGCCTTGGAAGTTGATTACTCTGAAGCCGACCAAGATCCCACTGGCCTGGCTTATGAGGAGATTGAAAAGGTCCTCGTTTACTACGAGCTGGATCTTGGATTGAATCATGTCGTCCGCAAGTGGTCCGATCCCGTCGATCGCACCGCGAACATGCTTTTCCAGGTCCCCGGTGGCGCGGACGGCCCAAGCGGAGTGCTGGTGTGCGCTGAAGATAGTGTCACCTATCGTCATTCCAACCAAGATGCTTTCCGAGTGCCCATCCCACGCCGCAGGGGTCCAACCGAAAATCCCGAGCGAAAACGCACCATCGTCTCTGGAGTTATGCACAAAATGAGGGGAGCTTTCTTCTTTCTGCTCCAAACCGATGACGGAGACATGTTCAAGTTGAACCTTGAAATGGTTGAGGATGAGAATGGTCAATTGACTGGGGAAGTGCAAAGATTGAAGATCAAATACTTTGATACCGTCCCCGTTGCTTCAAACCTGCTCATTCTTAAGAGCGGTTTCCTTTATGTGGCCAGCGAGGCTGGTAACCATCATTTCTACCAATTTGAAAAACTTGGTGATGATGATGAGGAAACCGAATTCTCTAGCGATGATTATTCCGCCGATCCATCTGTTCCCTATGATCCGATTTTCTTCCAACCCCGGACTTACGAGAATCTCAACCTGATGGAAACCATCAACTCCCTCAACCCGTTGATTGACAGTAAGATTGCCAATCTTACCGAAGATGATGCTCCACAAATCTACTCGGTGGGCGGCACTGGGGCTCGCAGCACTTTCCGAACTCTCAAGCACGGACTAGAGGTTTCTGAAATTGTTGAGTCCGAACTTCGAACAGTCCCATCGGCCGTCTGGACTACTAAACTGACGCGTTCCGATGAATACGATGCTTACATTGTTCTCTCCTTTGCCAACGGGACTCTGGTTCTGGGCATTGGCGAGGTCGTTGAAGAGGTTACAGACACGGGTTTTCTTTCCACTGCGCCGACTCTGGCTGTGCAGCAACTGGGCGAGGATTCGCTCATCCAAGTTCATCCTCGCGGTATTCGTCATCTTCTCGCAGGTGGCCGCGTCAATGAATGGCCTGCTCCTCAGCATCGGTCCATTGTGGCTGCCGCCACCAATGAGCGCCAAGTCGCAGTCGCCCTCAGCTCCGGCGAGATCGTCTACTTCGAAATGGATACCGATGGTACCTTGGCCGAATATGATGAAAGGCGGCAAATGTCTGGCACTGTCACCTGTCTCAGCCTTGGGCAAGTTCCCGAAGGCAGGATGCGAAGTTCGTTCCTGGCTGTTGGCTGCGACGACTCTACAGTGCGTATCCTCAGCCTGGACCCAGATTCTACATTAGAAAACAAGTCCGTTCAGGCTTTGACGTCCGCACCATCCGCCCTCAGTATCATGGCCATGGCCGATTCGAGCTCGGGAGGTACCACCTTGTATCTCCACATCGGTCTTTACTCCGGCGTCTACCTACGCACCGTCCTCGACGAGGTTACTGGAGAGCTTTCCGATACCCGTACGCGCTTCCTAGGCGCCAAGCCCGTCAAGCTTTCCCAAGTCTCGGTGAAGGGACAAACTGCTGTTCTAGCCCTGAGCTCCCGCCCCTGGCTTGGTTATTCAGACATCCAAACCAAGAGCTTCATGCTCACTCCCCTGGATTATGTTGGCCTGGAATGGGGCTGGAACTTTTCCAGTGAGCAATGCGTAGAAGGCATGATCGGTATCCAGGGCCGTAATCTCCGGTACGTTTTAACCATCATCTTGTCTTTTTCTTCTTTTTCTCCCCGTCATTTCCTTCTTCACTTGATCATATGATGAAACATGGGACCTGAATTTCCATGTCGAAGAACCTTTTTATTTATATTCCAATTGTTCCTACTGAGATCAACCTCACCTTCACCCGCATTGCATTTATTTCATTTTGGTTGCGTATCATCGCTGACGAACGTGCAGGATCTTCTCGATCGAGAAACTGGATAACAACATGCTCCAGGAGTCTATCCCCCTCGCTTACACACCCCGCCGCTTCGTCAAACATCCCGACCAGCCGCTCTTCTACGTCATCGAGTCTGATAATGGTGTCCTTTCACCAGCTACACGACAAAGTCTCATCCAAGATTCGGAGAGCCGTAATGGGGAAGCTGCCATTCTGCCACCGGAGGAGTTTGGTTACCCTCGTGGAACTGGCCACTGGGCTTCTTGCGTTCAAATTATTGATCCCGTTTCTACCAAGTCCGTCGTCTTCACACTGGACTTCGAAGACAATGAAGCCGCTGTCAGTGTTGCCGCTGTGCCTTTCTCAAGCCAAGACGATGAGACATTCCTAGTTGTGGGCACTTCGAAGGATATGTCCGTCAGCCCACCCTCATCTGGTGGCGGCTTCATCCATATTTACCGGTTCCAGGAGGACGGTCGCGAGCTGGAGTTCATCCATAAGACCAAGGTGGAAGAGCCACCTCTTGCTCTGCTTGGATTCCAAGGTCGTCTTCTAGCAGGCATTGGCTCCACATTGCGCCTCTACGATCTGGGTATGAAGCAACTTCTCCGAAAGTGCCAGGCCCCCGTTGTCCCCAAGACGATCGTGGGTCTTCAGACGCAAGGAAGCCGAATTGTGGTCAGTGATGTTCGCGAAAGTGTTACCTTCGTCGTATACAAGTTCCAGGAGAATGTTCTCATCCCCTTCGTGGATGACTCCATCGCTCGTTGGACAACCTCTACGGCCATGGTTGACTATGAAACCGTCGCAGGCGGTGACAAGTTTGGTAACCTGTGGATGATGCGATGCCCTGGAAAGGTTTCCGAGCAGGCCGACGAAGAAGGCTCTGGTGCCCACCTTGTCCACGAGCGAGGCTACCTACAAGGTACCCCCAACCGTCTTGAACTGATGGTTCACTACTATACCCAAGATATCCCCACCAGCCTGCACAAGGCGCAGCTCGTTGCAGGTGGACGTGACATCGTCGTCTGGACCGGTTTGCAGGGAACCGTCGGCATGTTCGTCCCATTTGCTAGCCGCGAGGATGTGGACTTTTTCCAGAGTTTGGAAATGCAGCTGGCAGCCCAGCACCCTCCCCTGGCGGGACGGGACCATCTCATCTACCGTGGATACTATGCCCCTGTAAAGGGGGTCATCGATGGTGATTTGTGCGAAATGTATTTCCTCCTACCTAACGACACGAAGATGATGATTGCGGGGGAACTCGATCGCTCTGTCCGCGAGATCGAGCGAAAGATCTCGGACATGCGGACAAGGGTGGCATATTAATAACATGGGGCAAGGCTGGCGTCTTTAGCTGGCGTTGGTGCTCTCTGGGCTTCAGATACCTAGGTACCTGCTAATCGATATCCAAAGGCGGCTTTGATCCGCCTTATTTTCACTTGATTCCATTCTGTCCCCTTTCTCCCTTCCCCTTCCTTCCCTTAGACTTCCCCAAGTGGATGTCGTCTCTTGCCTCGCTCGGTCTGCCGCTTTTACTCGGCTAATCTTGAGCTGGATGCAGCCCGTTACTTTCAGGTGCGGCTTGTATGAGACAAGAAAAAGTGTGGCAACACGCTTCGACGCTCTTTGAGTACGGTTTTATCTGCATTGCACCACGGATATAAGCCGTAATTTATCAGTCGGAACAACCTGTAAACCTTTAATTTATACAGTAAAACAAACAATGAGAGTGAATTAATACTGTTTATTGAAATCATATCCTACTTATAAAGGAAGACTCGAGTCATGTCTACTTTAGTCAAGTCATAGTTAGAGCCCTTACTGTATGTATCGCGATCACCTGATGCGGTTCGGATATCCTCAGCGGCTTCCCATAACTTTCCAGCACCGACAACGCAACACACCGACTGCAGCAGACCGATAGCTTGGACCGAAACCCGCACGACTGCAGCATAAACGATTTTTTCTCCCCTGAACCCGCTGCAAAACCGGCAGGAATATCCACTCGGCATGCAATGTGCTCGGCTAAGGTCGGAAATATCTGGAGCCTCCCGAGAGACAACAGGCCGGCTACCGTCGTCGCCCTTCTTTCTCCTCGGGAAATGGGTCTTTCGATGGTGTCATTTTCCCTGGATCGAGAAATCAACGCCTGACTTCATTTTTGTGAGGTGGCCTTCAATTTTGCGAACACTGGAAACTCAGATTTGCTTTGAAATTCCCCAACAATTGTCAGCAGGACGGTTCACCCCCGCGCGGCCATGATTGGCTACTTTCGAGCAACACGACGTCTGAGGGTCTGAGCAGCTCCGATCGGGGACTCGTGAGTGGGCCACCACGGTTGTTTCCTCCTCAAAGTGGATCCTCGAAGGGCGTGCTTGTCGGCATAAGGCGTGGTCCACCGACTGTTCCAGCCTGGTTCGACCCACTGGTCTTGCTGAGCTTGATACTCGTACTCTTGCCTCGAATTTTGATGCTCCGGCATCGCAATGAGGTTTCACAAGCCCATACAACAGGGGGAGGGTCAAGATGGGTAGGGGACCCTATCTACGAATCAATCGGAATGGAGAGAATCGTGTTGCAAATTATCTTATTGGCTCCGATCTGCTCGACAAGGGCGTCGGCAAGGTCCTTTGGGTCCTTTGACGCCAAACGGAATGTCAATCCAAGGGCGCGAGCATGGACCGAAGGAAGGGCTCAGCCCACCAATCATCCAATCACCTTCTCCATTCCCCCTCCCCGGACGCCTTTGCTCGTATGGATTGGCATTGGCTTACTGCTAGCTTTCGGCTTTCCTTTGGATGTAATTCAGTTGCTGGTTCACACGTGTGTCAACGTCACCCGTCTTCAATCGATTTACAAAGTCGATGACTCACAAACATGGCATCGAGAGATTGTGAGATGGATTTGTAAACATGATCTCTCAAGGATCATCATCATCTGCTGCATTTTCCTTTTCTATAAAACGGAGGCCCCTCCACTCCGTTATGGGGTACCACATACACTTCGCGGTTGTTCACGGTCCACGGCTCCACTTTCTACATAACTACAATACTTTTTTTTTCTTTTCTCCCCTAGCAGTCTGGTTTAAAATAAAGCAGAGAAAGCCTGGGGGTTTATTTAATTCTCCCCAAACTCAAAAACATCCACCTGCACATACCTGACAAGGGTCCAGGGTCTTGTGTGCTCACTTTCCTCTTCTCCCCTCTTTCCCTTTCCTTCTTCCCCTCTCAACTCTCGACTCTCAAGTCTCGACTGCTATTTGCACCAAGAATAATTCTCACTCACTATGGTCGCGACTTCGATTATTAGCCGGGGCTCGGAGACATTTGATGTCTTCACCCGGCGTTCGCAGCCAAAAATCGAAATCGACCTTGTTGGCCAGACACCTGGTCTTGTGAGCTCGTATACGACTGGCGACCACATTGAGGGGACTGTCACTATTACCGTGGAGCATGAAACTCGTTTTGATGAAGTAGAAATTGCCTTTCAAGGTAGGTTATATTGAAATAAATCAATCCACCTAAATGCGCCAGCCACTCATTCCGATATAGGTTCATCACGAACTACAGTCGAACGGGCCGCCTGCCCTGGTCGAACCGGCTCCCAGCACATGTTTCTGAAACTTCGACAGCCTATCGAAGATACCGAATATCCAGCCCCACGAGTTTTTGAACCTGGTCGCAAATATACCTTCCCCTTCCAATTCATTATCCCGGAACAATTGCTGCCGCAAGTTTGCACCCACAGGCGCGTAAACAACGCCATTCATCGATCGCACACCATGGTGCCACCGACATTGGGAGACCCAATGCTCGCTGGAAATGGAAAGACCTTGCTTGATGATATGGCTCCTGACATGAGTGTCATCTCCTATATAATCCGCGCGGGTGTGCTCAAGAGAGCATCTGCAGACCAACGCCAGGTGAAGGCCTTGGCCAACTTTGCCAAAAAGGTTCGCATCATCCCAACGGTGGAGGAAGAGCCACCCATCGAGGTCGCCGACCACCCTTACTACTGCACCCGGAAAGAGAAGAGTGTGAAGCGGGGGTTTTTACGAGGCAGGCTGGGCCGTATGGTTGCTTCTTCCACACAGCCAAAGGCGATTCGTCTTCTCCCCCACAGCTGTGAGACGCGCGACACTGTCAACACCGTCGCCACTATTAATTTGCGATTTGACCCTGTGGGAAATGAGCAACCACCTAAGCTGGGATCATTGACTAGTAAACTCAAAGCCAGCACGTTCTACAGTGCAAGCCCCTGGGAGGATTATCCCTTCCAATCAGACAATATGCCATTCTCACAGGTTGGGCAAGGTCTATTCAGCGAGTCCATTCCGCTTTCTACCATGTGTGTCGGATCTGCAAAGTGGCAGAAACATTCAACAGCTGGCTACGAGCGTCGTGACTCGACAGTGTCCACTTGCTCCGAATCCTCTACCGGGCCATCTACCGAATTTACTGGCGGCACATACTATACCGCGTCACTGGTTATCCCAGTCAATCTTCCAAAATCGAAGACCTTCGTCCCGACTTTTCACTCATGTCTCATGTCCCGCACTTACTCCTTGGATCTCTCCCTCTCCTATCATACCCCAGGTACAAACGTCCTCACCCCGACAATCTCCCTCCGTATCCCGATTCAAATTACAACCGAGTCCAAGAATGGCGGCTCCATCAAATCTGAGCTGGGCGTGGTTGTGACTCAGGCGGAACTGGATGAGTTCTTCTCTCCTCGTTCTGTGGCCCCAAATATGAATGAAACCGTCATTGACGTGAACTTGGCTCCTCCCGAGTATTCGGACACAATCGGCCCAAGAAGTGTTCGTGCGTGAGATACATGTCTGTCGTATCTTACGAGATCAATCTTTCCTTCCGGGCCTCTTCTAAATGAATATATGCATGGCCTTAACAAATTTGCTTTTCTTTGCTTTGATTTTGATTTTGATTTTCATTTTTACTTCTCTTTGCTTTGTTGGTAGCGCTGATTGAGTTGAGCCTTCTACACTTGTGATACCCACATATTCACTGCAGTCATCATCGAGCGTTTGAAAATAATTTGGTTAACTTTCAGTTTTTATCTTGTTTATTGATACTAATGTATACTTTGATTATCCTCATATTTTAGTTCGTTCGTCTAGATTATAAATTTCCGTAGTCTTATTTTAATGAAGTGAATGTTCGGGAAAATAGTCTACAGTCTTAAGATAAGAAGATTTGCTATCTCCAAACCTTGGAAGGCACTTCAATGAGTGGGACCAAAATCCAGCAACCCAACATCTTAGTAGTAAGAACCCAATCGGGACCACGTCATGAAAGCAAAGATATAGCCCTCTGGGGGCACACAAAAGATAAGTGGTTTTCAACTTTTGTATTACAAGAAAACGAGTCAAGTTGATATTCGATTCACAGCTTTTCATACTGAACCCAAACCCTACATATACATCTATGTGGAGATAGTAAAGACGAATCAGATCCCTTTTGACTGGGAGAGCAAGCTTTATTAGGTCAGATTTAGTATAGAAAAACTAAAATTTTGTACACAAAAGTTAATACTTGCTTGTGGGTGTACAAATATAACAGCAAGGCCAAGAAGATGGGTGTGATGTGCTCCTTTCTTATTTGACGGCTCAAGGTTTGAGTTTCGAACACCACGAGCCCCGGAAATCTTATAAAAGCCCTCTTGTGTCAGTGACATTTTCGGTGTTTAATTGCCTACACAGCTGTGCTAAGGCAGTCAGATCTAGATCAAAAAGGGATCCGGAACCCTTTGAGCGAAGTCAAGAATAGTTCACAAGATGAAGTCCTTTTGGTGTCTCAACCTTGCGGTTCTTTCTTCTATAGCAGTTAGCCTAGTGCCAGATGCAGCTGATAATTGTGTCGGTATTGATAACTGCTATGACAATGACTGCAATGGCAACCCAGCGACTCTCGTCTGCACATCGGTGGGCTCCTCTTTGTATCTGTTAAGATGCAATTTTGCGGGGATTTACTCAAATAATAAATCAGGGATACTATGCCGGCTGCCCATGCGGATACGGTTGTATTGAAGTCGGTCCATGCGATGGGAATGGTTGTTATGGGCAGTTTGGACGTTGCACTGCAAGTTATCTAGGATGTGCATGCCACGAGATACAGCATCCACCAACCAAAAAGTGAGAGAGGGTATGGTAGATAGCGAACTTTGCAGCCGAGGCATTTTAAGGAACATGGCCAGCTGTGATAGTGAAGATCGAGGCTAGCTTCAATGTGTTTGGTTTATAGCCCCACCAGCCACTCTCTGTATTTCTAATCGACCCCTCACTTCAGCACTGCGCCCCGGCTTTATAACTCACGGTCCCTGCTTTAAACCCCACTGTCCCATTTCTATAAAGGGCCCTTGAATCTGCGAGCTTGTGATTGAAAATATTTCAGCAGACTCCGACCCAGATAGTGACCGTCATTACTCGAAGCTCGTACTTTCAAGATGTCCAGAGCCAACAAAGCTTTAATCTATAACAAGGTGCCCACAGGCCTACCTGTTCCAGGGCAAGACCTAGTCGTGAAAGAACGATCATTCGATCTAGATCGACAGCCTCCAGCTGGAGGAGCAACAGTACGCCAGCTATATGTCAGCCTCGACCCCTACATGCGGGGCCAAATGCGTGACCCTAGCGTCAAATCTTACAACCAGCCTTACGCACTTGGAGAGCCTGTCACGGCCTACTGCCTCGTACAAGTGATCAAGTCGGACCATCCCAAGTATCAGGCAGGAGATCTGGTGTTCAGTCGCTTGGCTGTGGAGGAGTATACCACTGCGACAAGAGAAGACTTGGATACGAATCAGACATACAAGATTGATAACAAGTACAATCTCCCGCTCTCGAATTTTGTGGGTATACTGGGGATGCCCGGTATCACTGCCTATGCCAGCCTGTATGAAATCGGTGCCCCTAAAAAGGGTGAGACGATTTTTGTTTCTTCTGCTGCAGGTGCGGTGGGACAGGTTGTCGGCCAGCTTGCCAAACAGGAGGGCCTTCGAGTGATTGGTAGCGTTGGAAATGATGAAAAACTAAAGTTTATTACCGAGGAGCTTGGCTTTGATGGCGGGTTCAATTACAAGAAGGAGAAGTCAGCCAATGCGCTGGCAAGGCTAGCGCCAGACGGTGTCGATATTTACTATGAAAATGTCGGAGGTGAGCAGTTGGAGGCTGCCCTAGATGCGATGAACTTCTTTGGAAGAATTGGTATGCTTGATTAGAACCCGTCGCAGAAGTGACATGAATTTCGCGTGAGCTCGGTACTGACATTCTCAGTTGCTTGCGGCATGGTATCTCAATACAATCTAGCCCCGGAAGCGAGATACGGAATCAAGAATCTTTTCCATGTCATCTCGAAGCGCATCAAGATGCAGGGGTTCATCCAAGGAGATCCAAACATGGGACCCAAATACTCGAAAGAACGAGATGAGAAGGTATCAGCGGTAAGTCTTAAGATTGATTCTAAACCGATAATTTACCGCAGCTAAAAGGAATTCTTATAGTGGCTGGTAGACGGAAGCATTAAGACAAGGGAGGATATTACTGTCGGAATCGAGAATGGCCCTGAAGCATTCATCGCCATGTTGAGTGGGCAAAATAAGGGCAAAGCAACTCTTAAAATCGCGGATCCTGAGTGAGATGCACAAATACATTTTCGACTTTGGCTCTGGATAAACTTCTTCATTCCTTGTTAAAATTGAATATTAATTTCGTGGATATTTCTCTAAATGTTCCCCAGGTGCCCACACTGGCAATAGGAGCAAGGTAAAATGGTTCAAGAGGGTGGGGATAATATAATTGTGCAACAGCTGATGGAATTATGGATCCCGAGATTTTCGAGGTGGATCAAGTTTCTTATAAAGACAAGTAGTCTTTACATTAGTAGGCGCATTGATTTTTATCGCATTTAAATTGATGAATGTTTCCTAACCGCGAGGAAATAGCTCGTCATTGGAAGCTCTCACTAGTTAGTACTCCCATATCCCGCTTAATACAATCGCATACATTTTTCAACCCATTCGACTCATTCTAAGGCGACTGTAAGGCCTTTAAGTTCGGGATCGGAAAGCAGTTTCTTTCTCTTATGCAACGCAGTGACTAAATCCAGCATGGTTATTTGAATTCAAACACTGAGTCTACTGGCAACTAAAGGAGATTGCCCTGCATTCTCAGATTTCTTGTAAATTTATCTAGTGTAACCACTAGAACCTGTCGCTCATCAATGCGTTTATGGTGACATTGGAAATTATTCTAAAAGCTGAGAGAACTGGGAAGGCTGCAAAATGAATACCATTAATGAACGTCGGAAAGAAGATCTTGAGGCAGCATCTGCTTTCATTATACTTTTCCTTGGAAGCTTACCAAGTGTTTTAAATTATCATCCATTTCAAAATGGACCAGAGAGGCAATGACAATGTAGAGAATCTTGGAAGGCCACGAATCACCCCACTCGGTATTTTTGCGTTGGACCAGCCTACAAGAGAAAATACCGCAATGCATTCTGTCTATCTTGGAAGTCCGTGCTTTTTTTTGATTCTAGACTGGGTAAATAGTATGCACCATCGGAAGCATTGCCGTAGCTTGACACACTGTGGAAGCTGTAAACGCTCTATAAGTTTACACAATCCTTGCCCGGTTTCAAAGATTTTATAGAAAAATCATCAGCTGTTGCCCGCGGGAAACACTAGCATATTCCATTTCTAGGGAGTGCTTTTGTTGTTGTCAGAAATATGGATGACCACATGCCCAAGATTATATCACCGGAAATTGGTCCGGATCCGATGAATAACCTCCCAGAGAGAAAGCATTCTTATCATGCATAGCCCCACAAAACTGTCTACAAAGGGGACTCAGGATCCCACGGAGGTATAAATTGGCCAGTTTGTCGATTGCTTAAAATTCAAGGTACAGTTCTAACTTTTATCAAAGGCTACTCGAAATTTAAAATTCTCGTTCATTTATTTGATATACGATACTTCAAAGAACATTATTGCCTTCGGAAGAAGGATAAGGGAATGTTCGGGGTAGTCGGTCTCGGGAAGGGGCCCGACAACCCAGTTTAGGCCCCGGGACGGGACCCACGCCATGGTGCACTATGTCAGGCCACGCCTGGGTAGCTAGAGGCTAACTGGCAGTTCGACGAGTGGTTCTGCGAGTTTACCCCATTTTATGGATTATCTCCCGCATTTCGGGCCGGGGTACACAGAAAATCCCGCAAGCAGTGCGTCACTGCCCGGACTCTACCGATGACATGAACTGTAGATTCAAATTCTACAAGTTTGCAAGTTGTCGTCATTGGGGCAGGCCATTGAATGAACATAGCCTGCTTACTGGTGATCTCATCTCGGCTTTAATTCAGCGCCCTGGGTGATACTTACCACTTGAAGTCATCTCGATAACAGCGTACCGGCCTGCTACCCGAAGCTACGTATTCGATGTTTAGAGCACTTTAAAAAGGCCCACAGGACCCCGAATTTCGCTCACTTTCCACATTATTTAAAAAAAGTGCACTCAATGTCTGAAAATGCCCGAGAAGAAACAAGATGATTCCCTTAGTCCTGTCCCCTCTCAAACAGGACAGATATTCGAGGACCAAACATATGCTCATGATGCTGTCTTCGGTGAAATCACCGAAGGGGGCCCCAATTACCGCAATGTGTGTAAACCCTGAAAGAGGTTTCTGCTAGAGAACTAATCATTCTACAGGTCGGATGGTTAGGATCTGCCGCTCTGATGATGAAAAGTCAGATTGGCCTCGGGGTTCTCTCGATTCCAGTGGCATTCGACACCCTAGGTATTGTTCCAGGGGTTGTTATATTATGTACCATTGCCTGTATTACAACATGGTCAGACTATATGGTGGGTGTCTTCAAGCTACGACACCGTGATGTTTACGGTATCGATGATGCTGGAGGGTTGATGTTTGGCCGAATTGGAAAGGCATTTTTTGGTTCGGCCTTCTGTCTTTGTGAGTATATGATCGTAACCCTTAAAGTCCGACCTTATTCTGACTCTCCCACCAGACTGGGTGTTTGTTGCTGGATCCGGAATGTTAAGCATATCGATTGCCCTGAATGCCCTGTCAACCCATGGTACCTGCACTGCTGTCTTTGTTGCTGTCGCGGCTATTGTAGGCTTCATGCTGTCTAGCATCCAAACATTAGGCCGCATGGGCCCATTAGCATGGATCGGTTTAGTTTGCATCATTACTGGCAGTAAGGTTTGTTGTTTCCTTTGAATCTCTGTCAGCATCTGACCAAATATTACAGTTCTTGTCGTGACCATCGCTGTTGGTGTTCAGGACCGACCATCGGCGGCACCACAGGACGGTGTCTGGATTTCTGATTACCAAATTGCGGGTAGCACTCCATTTAGCGAATCTATAACCGCGGTTTCCTCCCTGGTATTTGCCTATGCAGGTGAGGGAAACATCCTTGACGACCAGGGGAAGTTGGAGAGATTGTGATTGAGTACTGACGCAAATATGTTCAAATAGGAACTCCATCATTCTTCTCTATTGCAGCCGAAATGCGCGATCCTCGTCAATACACTCGGTCGCTCTTGGTTTGTCAATCTGTTGTCACCGGTGTTTACCTTGCCATCGGTTGCGTCGTGTATTATTACTGCGGATCTTACGTTGCCTCGCCTGCTCTTGGCTCTGCTGGCTCAACATTGAAAAAGATCAGCTACGGCTTTGCCTTGCCAGGTCTACTTGTCACAACCATGCTTGTGATTCATGTGCGTCGCTTCATCAATAGAAATATACCTATTTGGAACTCGCTAACATACTATTTGAAGCTCCCTGGAAAATACATATTTATCCGTCTTCTAAAAGGATCACGGCATTTAACGGCGAATACTGTGACTCACTGGGTGGTCTGGCTCAGCTGCACTTTTGGAGTTACCCTGATCTCATACATTATTGCCAGCGCTATTCCAGTATTCGACAATCTTGTTTCTCTGGTTGGCGCTTTGCTTGGGACCCTAATGTCATTTCAGCCTATGGGTTGCATGTGGCTCTATGATAATTGGAGCGACGGCAAAAAGGCACGGTCGCCTCGGTGGATTATGATGGTGTGCTGGAGTGCGTTCGTGATCTTGTCAGGAACATTCCTCATGGTTTCTGGCACCTATGGTTCCATTGTGACCATCATGAATAGCTACAACTCTTCGGGAGGATCTGCCGCCTGGTCATGCGCCGACAACTCCAACTCGACGTAAGCGGCATTTTCGCGGATGGTCCAATGACTTGTTCATTATCTGAAACGCCTCACAAACCCTATTCATTCATTCATGATAAGATAGGTTAAGCTTAAGGAATGCGGGGTGAACCAATCGGTTTGGAATCCCACGAGGGCTAATTCCTATTCGGATCGAGGCATAAAGCTCTTTTCCAGTCTCCTAGTATTCACACTTATATATAGACATTTCCTTAGGAAGCGTAGAAGCGGCTAAATTGAAATAGCATCATGGTGGCTTCAAGTTATCTTGTCATACTAGGTCTTCCTTATTTTATGGCGTAAAAATGTTTCTAGGTCGGGAACCCTTAAAAGGTAGTCCTGCCTACCCCTCTTATCATGGACTCTCGTGTTATGATACCTCCGCTTTCTTGGCCGCAGAAAACGACCGGGGTAGTCGTTTCTGGATAATACGGCACATGCCCTGGCCGCATGGCTTTAGTGTTACATCGACTTAGTTCATTATCGTGCGGGTGATGTTATGTTCCTGCAGCCGGAGAGGAAAATCTCTTGTTTTTTTACTCTCTCACACTCATAGGCGCCTGCTGACTTTTAATAACGACTATAGAAAAATGCTTCAAAATCCCAATTCCTACCTAGATGCCGGATGATACTATGATTCAAGTTACATTCAATCTCACATTCCGCTCAAACTATCTTCGAATGCCGAGGAGCCTTCGATGCAACGCTTCCGAAGGCCCGGACACCAGATCATCTATCTCAGTCGCAAGATACGCTCCGAGGTATCTGAATGGCTCGCGGGTATCATTATGGAGGCGAGAATGTTACCCATCCGTAAAAGTTCCGACTTTCGCTTGAGCGTGGCCATGCGACCATGTGTCGAGCCGGAGAAAAGGATCCCGGAACGATCGACAAACAATCACCCTCCCTATTTCAGGTTGCCTACAACGTGGCGCGCTAGTTATTATGCGTGTTATTCGATATCTATGCCATTTCAAAGATCCGATCGACGTCCTGTAAAATGTGGCGCTTTCTTTATCAGTGTCGATGAAGTCCGTTGACTACGTCGCCCGATAGTATCTGCTGAACTCCTTGCATTAGTGGAGGCTATTGTTGATTTCAAATGCCACATGGTAAGTTTATTCCCCGCCATAAAACTAACTTTCGCAGCGATTATGGCGAGGTCACTCTGCATGCGATCATATCGATGCTTCAAGTTATGATCTCGGATTTTTGAATATCGGAAGGTGCATATTCGGGACCACAGGAGAGGGGCCAAAAAACTATACTATTCTGACAAGAGGGTTCTAATTGGATCGCTCTTTTTTTTAGGCACACATTGTTGAACTTTCAATTCCAAGGTTGGAAGGTTTTCTTTTCCAAGTTGGCAGTGGTTGAAGTGGATTTCGTAGTATATATATCATGGCACATTTGCCAGTGCCAGACTATTTTTTTGAACTTCAAGTTGAACGATCAGTGCGACTAAGTTTGCAGTAATCGCATACGCGGGTAAAATTTTACTGTCTTGAGACACGTTCATGATTCAAGATGCGTTTTATCCATCTTTTCTACTTATGCTTTGGGTTGGCAGCACATGCTGCTGTCATTCAACGTCCGAGTAACAATACGACCGAAATTGAGGCTCGTGATGCTGCTACTGGCTTTCGATCCGTCGCGTATTTCGTGAACTGGGTATGCAATAATAATAATGTATTAGAGGCGAACAGGGTACTGAAACTAACAAATTTCTCCAGGCTATTTATGGTCGAAACTTCAATCCTCAGGATCTTCAAGCTCAGACCCTGACACATATTCTCTATGCCTTCGCCAATGTGCGCTCGGATACAGGAGAGGTATTCATGACGGATTCTTGGGCTGACACTGATAAACATTACCCTGGAGACTCCTGGAGTGAGAGTGGAAACAACGTTTATGGCTGTATCAAGCAGCTGTTTCTGTTAAAAAAACAAAATCGAAAGTTGAAAGTTCTTCTCTCAATCGGTGGCTGGACCTACTCCTCGAATTTTGCCGGTCCCTTGAGCACTAGTGCAGGAAGAGCAAAATTTGCTTCATCGGCCGTGGCCCTGGTCCAAAACCTTGGCTTTGACGGGCTGGATATCGATTGGGAATACCCGGCGGATAGCACCCAGGCGGCTAATATGGTGGCTACTTTGCAAGCTCTGCGTTCTGTGAGTTTTTCCAAGAGTTTCCTTACGGAGGTGCAGAGTCCCAAAAACTCATCAGGTCTACTAGGCACTTGATAGTTACAGTGCGACCTATGCAAACGGCTACCATTTCCTGATAACTGTCGCTTGCCCAGCTGGTAAGGGAAATGAAATCGCGTTATATTTTGTTAGAAGAGATCGTCGTTGACAACATAAGATAGGTCCTTCCAACTACCAGCAACTTGATTTATCTCATATGGATCAGTACTTGGACTTCTGGAACCTTATGGCTTACGATTATTCCGGAAGCTGGGATAGTATTGCTGGCCACGATGCAAATGTTTACGCGTCAAGTGACAATCCAGCAAGCACACCCTTTAATACTGATCAGGCCATATCATACTACACCTCCAATGGTGTGAGTGCTAACAAGATTGTTATGGGAATGCCATTATACGGCAGGTCCTTCATGAACACGACGGGACCAGGAAGAAGTTTCAATGGCGTCGGTAGTGGTAGCTGGGAGAATGGCGTCTGGGATTACAAAGCGCTCCCTCAGGCAGGCGCTACAGTAAACTACATTGAATCAATTGTTGCAAGCTACAGCTATGATTCGTCACAGCAAATGATGGTCAGCTATGACACGCCGCAAGTTGCTCAGAAGAAGGCGCAGTATATACAATCAAAGGGTCTCGGCGGAGGAATGTGGTGGGAGTCCAGCAGCGACAAGACTGGCTCTGATAGCCTGATATCCACGGTAAAAAAGCCCCCGAATCAAGGAAGCCGTCTCGATAAGCTGATTTGAGATATTTCTAGGTCGTAAATTCGTTTGGTGGTGTCGGTGCTTTGGACCAGAGTCAAAACCAGTTAAGCTACCCAGCATCGTCTTACGACAACCTGAAAGCCGGATTCCCATCTAGCTGAACACATTCGAGAACTGAGCTTGGGCTACGTGTCAATATGAATTTTCTGGGTTTCACCTGCACATGGATAGCATACTATCTGCTCTTGAGTTACCACTCGCTTCTTGAGGTACATACACGAACCGTCAAATAATTTCACTCTCTAGCTAGAAATATGTATGAATCTTACGGGATTATCACTTTCTGTAACTTGAACATGGTATCTAGTAGTTACTAGTACGAACTACTATTATAAATGGTGGCAGGTCTGGGGTTTACTAAAGTAGTACTGCTGGGGTCATCCAAAGCCCGGAAAGAAGTATGGATGAGCAGTAGTAATCAAGCACATTGCGTTTCTTTCGCGTATATTATACACATTAATAACTACCCCCATAACTAGTATTACTAGATAAATACTTAGTAAATTCGCCTATTTCATCCACATGGCCCGGCGATCACCTGTCACTACATTCGAGGGCGAAGATCTCATAATTTCCCGCCTGCGACCTCCTTCCCTTCGTTGACAGACCCTTCAGATTGTGAAGCGGGGGTACTCGCAACTGCAACTTCTTTGCTACCATTAGAAGTCCCAGAAACATGATCTTTTCCAGTGAGGCCATGATAGACCTGAAGAATCTGTTGTATGCCGCCGTCTAGTAATGGTGCAAAAATTGCAACAAGCATGGTACCCCATAGCCAGATGATGGCAACGACAACCCAGGCAAAGAAGAACTATTAGAATCACTGAATTAGAAGGAATTTACCCAGCGTGATAGAATTTACGTACCTTCTTTCCAAAAACGTAATGCGAACCATACATTGGCAACGGCCAGATTACCCAGTGACCCAAGAATGTTGCGACAGACCAAAAGGCGGCGATACGGCCCCATCGCTTCAGCTCTTGCGCCTCCGCGGAGGCACTGTGTACGCCACCCTCCTCGATGCTGCCGGTCATGTTTTGGCTAGAGGGCTCGTCATGATGAACGGTGGTTAGTTCACTGTCCAACTTTTCCAATGCAAGTTTTTCTTTTTTGAAGTCGGCCCAGTCATAGTTCTGGGGGTTGATAAGAGTGATGACGACCGAGTACAAAATTGGCGAGAAGCAGGAGGCTACTGTGCCGTAGACACACGGTAGGATTTCGCCCGTCGTTGCAACGGATACTTCACCAAAAAAGCGAGAGGCAGTGCCCAGCCAGACAGCAAGCCCAGTGGCCAAACCAAGAACGGGTGACAGAATGGCCGCTGCCTTGCTATGTTTACGCCACAGAACGGTGAAAACCATCGGGAAAATGCCAGGACAAGTAACAACTCCTACCTCGATATTAGCGTTCTTTTCAAATACTGAATATGAGGAATGTCTCTCACCAAGCATGTACAAAGTCCAACCAAGGTCAATACCGACATAGTGAAGCATTGTACTGAAGCCGGCTGAAAATGCAGCGAAGAATACCACACCGAAATGACTGGACCGAATCAAATCCTTGTCGGTCGCAGATTTCTTGAAATATTCGCGATAAACATCGAAGCTGAGGATCGAGCTGACTGCAATGACTTGTGCCGAGAGAGTTGAAGTTACAGCCATGAAAATGATCAAGAGCACAGCCGCGGCTCCACCTTTCCCTGCAATTGTGATCGCAGCATAGGGGAGTACAAGACCACTGCTGACCTCCGAAGATGTCATTCTCTGTAATTCAATATCAGCAGGGTTCTAGTAAAGCAGAGTCTGGAAGGAATATTACCCGAGGGAAAGTTGGGAAGTTTGACTGGTTCTCAAGACCAAGAGCCACAGAGCTCATCACAGTACCTAGCGCCCAAGGGATGGCAAAATAAGCGATTCCACCAATTGTATATCCCGGTACCACCGATGATGGCTTTGCCGAGAAGGCCTTGATGAAATAGCTGGTATCCATCTTGGCAGGTCAGCAGTGGATCCCAGTTGCTGGGGAATAAAGAACTCACAATTACCAGTCCAAAGTTGGAGCAGGTGTGAAGGATAGCAAATAGAATCGCCTGAAAAGCGTTGAATGAAGAGTTCAAATTAGGGCAGTGGTCAAATACTTACGCTCTTTGATGTCATAGTAAGGTAGGTACCCTCATAGTTTCCAGAAACTGGATGTCGCTGGGCCGCTGCTTGCACTAGATCAAACAAGTTCTCGATTGAGCCAACTTGGTCGGTTGAGAACGCCTTGATGGAAAAGTAGCATGCGATTATCAAGATAATTGCGGTGTGGAAATAATCAGTCAAGAAACTATGAATAGTTAGTGTCTTGAGCGAGGTATCTCAATGATGAAAGCAAGGGAGCTCTCACGTTGCTTTAATTCCTCCGACAAACGTATAGATTGTTACTCCGACGGGTAATAGGAAGGTAGAAGCAATAATATGCATTCCAGAGCTATTCTAGTTAGCAAATGGAGCCAACAAAAGTTGAAAAAGAAACATACACGGCAGTAATAACGGCGGAAGCTCCGAGTAGCATATTTGCGCAGGCGAAGATGTTGTTAACAAGACAAAGGACCATGAATACTACATGAGCGACTCGGCCTAGAATTATCAGAAGTCAGCAGAGAAAGTGACCAAGTAAAGAAAGCATATAAATACCGTAGCGAATGCGAACAATCTCCAAAGATGTATGTGCCTCGGGAATCTTTCGTTTACAGGAGATTCCAAGTAGAGCAAAAAACACGATCATGGGGCTGCAGCCAGCAGCGAACCAGAAGGGGCCGGCGATACCATAGCTATAACCGACAAATGAAGAGCCTAGGAGTGCAGTAGACCATAGCCAAGACTGGAGGGACTTGAGTCAGGATTTCCTATTCTCAAAACAAGACGAGGCGGAGGTTGAACCCTTACCGATATCACAGCGGATGCTGTAAGACCCGTCCGAACTGTTCGATTTGCTGTCATAAACCTGTTAGGTTGTTAGGACCAATGCGTTGGGTTTAATAGAGGAGATCTTACATCTCTGTCTTCTTATTATCTTCTCCTGCTGTCTTCTTCAGCACTTTCGTAACAAGCATCATGACTGCCGCCGTATTAGCTGTGTTTTCAAGGCTTTCCTTTCGATCGCGAAACTCTTCTTACTAAAAGCAATGATAATTCCAATCACAACTACAACCACGTAGCCGACCGCCTGGGACAGGGGCGGGTCAACTGTTGAGATGCCATCGCGAGTATACAAATTGGACATAATGGGCCCTGCAATATTGTACTTTAATGCGAGATGGCAGTTGGTGTAATTTTGGTACGAGGTAGAAGGACCGTCATGTATATGAGAAAAGAGTTGAAATTTGGAGACCTTCCCAAGTATCAAGAGCCCAGAAAAGCCGGGGCTGATGTGGGCTTAAATCATATCCAGCCATCTGGGTGATCAATACGCTTCCCAGGGACAGGGGCGAGCAAGATCTATATGCTGCAAGACCATAGCCTCGGTGTCAGCGGAGCGAATTAGCATGGCCGGTTGCGCGGTGACCTGATAAATGGATTCGATGAGGTGCTTTTAGGGAACGAGGAGACTACAAAAAACCATTTTTAGGTTTAGACTGATTGAATGGTTCGCTATGGCGTTATCGCGGTATGGAGGAAGATCACCATCTTACAAGAGCTGACAATTCCCATAATGAGAACAAAAGGGCCATTTCAAACACATTGATTCTCTTGCAATATTTAAAAGGAATTGCCAAATTATAGTCCATGGAGCTGCCGTGATATCAGCGGGGTTGAACCAAGGGAAGGGCGGAGGCCGTCTGGGGAGAGAGATAGGCCTCTGTCATTGGCATATGACATCAATTCGCGAATCCAAGTGGTCCAATAAAGAAGGGCCAATTTCGGACCGGACTAATATTATGCTCAAATGGATTCGAATCGAGTGTGAGCTAATTAGTTATTAGGCCTCCTCAATCTAACCGAAGATCGGGAATGGCCACATATTTCGCGGCAACGCCTCACGACTTCCATCTCTCTCGCCCGAGAGACGTCCAGAAAAAGCAAGAGATGGAACATCTAGCTCGCACGGCCGGACGAGTATAATCAAGCACCGACCAGTCAACGCGGTTCTTGTTGGTAAATGTGCCCCTCAAAGATCTCCTGCGCTATCGCGCCATCGCGGCCCACCTTGATGCTATGCGATGCTCGGATGCACGGAGTGACGCACGCGGGGGCATGATGTGCTCAGTGATCGCCATACAAATGGGATGGAGACCCTCTATAATCTTGAGAAAATTTTTGTAGTGAAATAGGCGAAAGCATCGTGGTTTATCGAGTATATTTGTTATTCGAGGCACCATAAACGAAAACCTTTGGCATAATGTCTGAAGACACACAAGGCTCTGGGGCCGAAAAGCCTAAGAAGTCCTTGATTCTAAATGCTTTTGTTGAGATGTGTACGTTATTATTCTCCCCCTTTTCCTTCTGATACTTTGTTTTGTCTTTCTTTGTCTTTTCCCTTTTACTTTTTCATATCCTACAAGAGGCTAACCAGGTTACAGGCAGCGGGCACCAGTCCCCTGGTCTCTGGCGACACCCAGAAGATGAATCCCATCGATTCAATGATGTAGACCACTGGATTGAGCTTGCGCAATTGCTCGAGTCGGCCAAGTTCCACGGTATTTTTATCGCGGATGTTCTCGGTATTTGCTCTTCAACTCCCCCGTCAAGACGGAAGCTGTCAGCGTACTTACTGATACCATTATTCTAGGTGGTTATGATGTTTATAAGGGTCCCCGAAACTTGGATCCTGCAGTTGTCTCAGGGGCACAGTGGCCAGTCAATGAGCCTTTGGCAGTTGTGCCTGCAATGGCTGCCGCCACCAAAACCATTGGGTTTGGAGTTACAGTAACCACAACATATGAGCAGCCCTACCATCTCGCAAGGCGACTTTCAACGGTTGACCACCTTACCAAGGGACGGTATGTAGATCGCAGGTCAGAGCCACAAACCTTACCCTCAGCTAACCATTTTCCAACGACAGACTCGGATGGAATGTGAGTACAAACATAGAAGACGTGTTCTACCCAGCAAACGACCAAGTGAGGTATTGACTTTCAATTACAGGTCGTAACGGGCTATCTGGACTCCGCTGCCAGGAACATGGGTCAGGCAGAGCAGCCACATGTAAGCTTGTATCCCTACATTCTATGCGATAGTGTAGGTTCTTAACACAGTTTCAGCACGACGATCGATACGCCGTGGCAGAAGAGTATGTCAAAGTGACCTATAAGCTCTGGGAATCATCCTGGCGCCAAGATGCCATTGTTCGTGATCGCGAGCGCGGTGTCTACACTGAAACAGATCGCGTGCGACAGATCAATCACTCTGGAAAGTATTTCAATGTACCGGGCCCTCATCTCACTCAGCCGAGTCCCCAGCGTACGCCGGTCATCTTGCAAGCCGGGACTTCAAAGGCCGGAAAGACTTTTGCAGCCCAGCATGCAGAAGCAATATTCGTGGCAGGCCACAGCCCATCAGTTGTTGCAAAGAATGTGGCGGAGATCCGTCAACTCGCTCAGACGGAGTTTGGACGGGACCCACAAAGCATCAAGTTCCTTGCCTTGCTCTGTCCTGTGTTAGGTCGAACGGAAGAAGAGGCTCGTGCGAAATTCAAAGAATATCGCAGCTATGGGTCGATTGATGGTGCCTTGGCCCTCTTCGGGGGATGGACTGGTATTGATCTCGACAAGTATGGAGATGATGAGGAGCTTCGCCACGTAGAGAGTAATGCCATCAGGTAGGTCCTACTTTCTGCCCAAGCCGTGCCCTCCTCCAAAAATCGGCAATTGACCTTTTCTCTGTTCAGATCTGCCGTGGAAGGTTGGTCAAAAGCTACCCCGGAAGTCGCCAAATGGACCAAGGGCACTGTCGGTGAGCACATCACGGTTGGTGGACTGGGAGCCACTCCAGTTGGCACACCACAGCAGGTGGCCGATAACATGGAGAAGTGGGTTAAGGAGGCAGATGTGGATGGATTCAATCTGGTAAGGTCAACCTTGTTCTGGGCGTCCAAAAAGAACAACACAAAAAGGAAAGAAACTCTAATCATTTTCTAGGCCTACGCCATCAAGCCCGGCTCCTTTAAAGATATCATCGATCTCCTCATTCCTGAGCTTCGCAAGAGAGGTCTGTTCTGGGATGAGTACGCAGTTCAGAAAGGAACATATCGCGAGAATTTGTACTCGCGACCGGGTCAATCTGGGCCGCCAGCTGACCATCCAGCTGCGAGGTATCGCTGGCAGGCTGGAGTCGATGCCGCGGACCATCCGGTGCCAGAGAACTAAGTATCCAGAGGTCGAGGTGGTATCCACGAGAATCAATGGTTTTTATGGGACTCGCAAGCCCCTAGAATAGTCATGAAGCAAGGGAAGGAAAACAAATTTAAACATGAAATTTTTTGTAGGGCAAGATTGTATGCCCTCCCAAGGGTCTATTCTACAAACGCCAAACAAATGCGGTTTTTGTACATGGTGTCTCAATAAGTAATAACCATTTAAGTCAGCATATCATCAAGGCGCTCACCGAGCACACCCTCAATCTGCTTCACCCACTTCCGCACTTCTCTCTCCACGCTCTCGTCCTCGTCCTCCATCAGCTCGCTGATGTAAGGCAGCATCTCCGGAAGCAGAGCCAGCCATTCCTCGCCAAGCTGCTCAGTCAGAGCCCGCTCGGTCTTCAGGGCCGCGAGACGAACAAGCGGGTTATCACCGCTAGTAGACTTGGCATTCGGCGCAGAAGAGGGACGAAGGAATTTCATTAGAGCCATGTTGAGCTCCTTGTGATTATCGGTCGAGTCAGCGGCGACGGCAAGCCCGGTAATAGCAGGCACAACCTCCTCAACGACAAGATCGGAGGTCTTGGTAGAGGTGGCATGGCCAAGTTGCGCGATAAGCGGACCAGAGATGCTGGCAAGGTGCGAAGGGGATTGCCAAAATTCTATAAGAACAAATTAGAAATATGCGTTTGGAGTGAGTTCACAGAAATGCTTACCATCTTGGTCATGCTCAAATGAGTTGCGGAGGGTACCCAGGGTGGCGAGCCAGAGGGATCGAGTAGCCTTGGACGGGGTGGTGGTGTTCAGAATTTGAACAACATTTTCAAGGATATAGTTGGAATACCCCGTGACGATTGACTAGAGATAGATTATTAGTAAATTGATATTCTCCCACTTCAGGAAGATAGAACATACCTTAAGAGTGCCGAAGAAGACTTGGAGAAACTTGTAGAAGGTAGTGAGACGAGACATCTGAGCCTGCTCATCCTTTTTGGGTACACCATTCGTAGCCCACTCAACAAACTTAAGGAACAACGGCCGGAAGGTGCTGTCATTCAGCTTATAGATCATTTTGATGGTGACATCGTTGAGAGCGCTTTCGACTTCATTGATATCAGCCTCGTCAAAGTTGGAACGGTCGCCAGCGGCAGTCTGTTCGCGGCGCAAGTCGAAGGCCTTGAAGAGAATCTTGCTGAGAACATTGATGGTGTTGATGACAGCCGACTTGGGGTGCTTCTCAACAGCAAGGCTGAGGACTTCCAAGATTTCGCCGGTGGCTGTGGGTCCAGCTTGGACAGCTTGTTCCCAGTTGCGATCGATTGCGCCAAGGGTAGCGCCGAGATCCATCTTGCGAGATGCCATGAGGCGGAGAGTCTCCAAGCGGCTACCCTCGCTACTCTCCTCAAGATCAGCATTGGCGGACTTGAAAGACAGAAGTAAAATTTTGTCCAGGTGAGCAGCTGAGATCATGAAGGGCAGATTAACAAGGAGGGCGGAGAAGAGGGAGAAGGTGGCGTCGTGGAGGCGCGAGTTCTCTTTATTGGGGGTCAAACTGAGCTCCAATAGGGTCAAGGATTGGCTGAGGGTATCAGGGAGAGCGGGAATCATAGCTTGGCCCAGAACCTCGGCCATGGAAGCAAGGCAGAGGACACCCATGATGCGAATGCGCTCATCGGACTGGCCAAGACAAGATTTACTAGCGACAACCCTGGCTGCAGTAATGACCTTGGACGGGTCCTTGCGGCCGTATTTCTCGGTGATACGATCAATGCAAGCGACAGCAGCGTGTTTGATGAGGGCATCCGTTGAGGATTCGACAGTGTTGACCAAAGTGGGCAAGAAGTCGAGGACCCGAATTTGAGATGTGGAGTCCCTCTCTGGGACTTGACGAAGGCGGTTCTCGAGGAGACGAAGGACCTTCTGTCGCAAATCATTATTAGGTCCTTGCATCAAGACCTCAATGGTATCCAGGAAGTCAACGAGAGACAGCGTGCCCAATAGAGAGCCCAGAGCCTCACCAATTGCCTGGCTGACAGGCTTCATGTTCTTCACGAAGTCAAGAATGGCCAGGACCTGCTCAAGAACCCGAGAGTAACAAGCACGGGCTTGATCCGCAGTCTCCCCCTCGGTCTCGAAAGCGGCCTCTAACTTTGACTTGAGAGACGAGTGCTTGAAAAGGTGAGCAAGATCGCGCAGGAGATCGACAGCAACCTTTTGAGGGTCACGGCCATCGTCGCTACCAATGCCAAGTAAAACCTGGGAGATACCGGGCTTGGCTTTGAATGAATCGATCACCAGGTTGAGATATTTGCTATATGTGGTGAGCTCAACGACGGCGGTGGTATCCGAAGCAAGGCCGGTCATCAAAGTAAGAACATCCTTGTCGATCGAATAGCGGTTTGCAAGCATGGCAAGTACAGCGAAAAGGAAATCTTGCGTGCCAAGCTTGCTGATCAAAGCATGGAAGAGGCGGAGGCGACGATGCGATGGAATGTGCTCAAATGCAGCAGTAAAGCTGAGAAGTAGCTCCGAAGTTCCCGAGACAATGTCGCGTTTCTGGTTACGAAGGGATTGAATGAGCGCGGGGACAACCTGATCAATGGTCTGGTCAATGACAGAGACAGAGTAGTCGTCGTCTTTGCGAAGAACACTTGATCCCATAAACGTAAAGATGGGCATCACGCTGTGGAGGACGAGCTCTGGTGCAATTACCGACAAACCGGCCACAAGGAGAAGGGCGGCATTTTGCACCTGGGGGGCTATCTGTCGTACGAACACAGTCGACCACCAAGTCGGCACGAATGACCGAGGTATCGAAAAGTGGCTTGGGAGAACCCTTTGACTTGTTGACAATAGCCAGGAGACTTCCCAAAGTGAGACTCAGCAAATAGCTCAGTCCAGATTGAACCTGAGACTTGAAGTGGTGAAGGGCGGCAAGTGTTTGGAAAAGACCATCGGCCAACTCTGGATGCGAGTCGGGACTAGAGCTATCGATGACCTCGAGAATGAGAGTCATCTTGTCCATTAACTTGCTGAGTTCTCCCTCATCCTTCACTGTCATGGCAACCATGTTGTTTTGGCTGGTTCGCCTCCTCTTGGGTGCAGGTCCAACAGATTCGATATCTGTCAAGGAAACGGGAATTTTCTTGACAAAATTCACCAAGATGGCACCCGACAGCTCAACACTGCGAAGAACATCACGGGAGTGGTCGGCCAGGGATACTTCGCCGGTTGACATACCCAATGCAATATCCAACAGCTTCTCGGCCGCCGATGCTTGATTATCCTCGGGGACCTTGGCCCATACTTCCTTCATTCGAGAGAAGCCAGCTGTAACAAATGACGGCCGCAGAGAATCGGCGCCAGGGGTAACCTGAGACAGCAGGGTGGTGATAGCATCTGCTTCCTTCGGAGAGACAATGTCGACAATCTGATGGTCGGTTTCGGAGATGGAGAGGCGCTCTCTGCCACAAATTTCATCGACCTGCTTTTGATTCAGACGTCGCCAGTCCTCAACCAGGGGAAGAAGCTCCTTGGTGCGAGTGGTTCCTGGAACCTTCTTGACATTGTTCAGCAAACGCAGAAGAGCGAACTTTGGTGCAAAGACTGGCATTTGAACAACGTGTGAACAGAGGAAGGAGAAAAGGCCTGTTCGGAGAGATTTCTTCAATTCGGTGGCACCCGGTGATTCAGACAACACTGTGCCCCGAAGAGTAGCATCGATGACCTTGCCGATCTGAGTTGGGTCAAGAATGTATTCCTCGAGTCCCGGGATCAATGCACGCTCCAGGATCTTCTGCGCGTCCTGGGTAGATAACCATGAAACAGTAGTAGACTGCTTGCCCTTACCATAAATAACATCATGGGCCCAGGGCTTGCTGGTTTCATCAACCTTTTTGCTATTCTTGTACAAGGAGTCAATGACGGCCAAAACACCAGCAGCCTCGCGACGAATACGCTCCGATTGATCAGACAGAGCCACAAGAAGGAATGGCAAAAGTGCCTGGGGATCCAGATCATCAAAAGATGTTGACAAAGTAGATGAGATGGAATTCAATGCAGCCACCTTCATGCCAATGGGATAGGAGCCAGAAATCACACGAGTGAAAAAAGACAAAAATGTAGGTGATTTTGTCACACTGGTCTTGTTGAGAATGCGCAAGTCATTGAACTTCTGGAGATAATCCGAGGAGTCGGCGGTCAGGGCGAAGACTTGAGCGAGGCTGTCAAACTCTGGGATTGACTGCTTGCTAAGGAACGAAGACGAGTATTGCGGTTCGTTGGTCAAAGACTCCAAAGCAGGTGTGAAACTGTCCACTGGCTCCTGATCGACGTCCTCCATTTCAACGTCCTCGAGAGCCAAAGGTTGAATGGGAGCCTCCACGACAGTTTGAAGGTTGTGCTCCACGGCTGAGATGTTGAGAGAAGACTCCGCCAGGGTTTTCTGGAAAAGAGGACGAAGTGAGTCCGACCGACTGAACCCTTGCACTAGCTCTGCGAGCTGAGTCTGGGTATCCAGTGAAATACCACGGGCCTCGTCAGTATCACCAGTCGCTTGGAGGACCATAGTCATGGCCTGCTTCATATCCTCGCCTTGCAAGGAACCCGAGTCGAAGATGGATGAGAGCAGGGTAAGACGGGTGTTGTCCTTCTGCTTGTCCAGATCGCTAACACATCCGGAAACAAGTCCAAGGAACAGGTTCGAAGTTTGATAGTGGGAAGTAACTTCGGAGAGCTGTCCCATGGGGTTATCAAGGCGGCTGATAGCCTTGAAGACCTTCTTCGGGAGGATCGTGGATGGCTTTTGTTGCGCAAGCACCGACAAGCAGATAAGACCGGAGCTCAGTGTTTCCTCTGTCCAGGAGACGACCACAGTTTCCATCAGCCCATCGAGAACATCTTCGGAAAGCATCGCCTTCTGAGCCAGAACCACAGAGATCATGTAACAGCTGACAATCAACTCTGAGACCTTCTTCATGGCGAATCCATTACTCAGAATGGGTAGGACCCGGAGAACAATATCCTCATGTTTCTGCTGCTCGGCCTCCCTTCGACCAGAGCGAGAATTGTCCAGCATGCCAGCTACAGCCTCAGTGACAATACTAGCCCAGAACGAAAGCAGGGTGTGGCTTTGCGCCTGGAGCCGGCAAACGTTCAGAACATAGTCATTGAACGAAGCAAAGAACTCCTTATTGGTGGTTGCGCTGTGGACAATGGGATGGCGGGGAGGGTTGACCAGACCAGTTTTATATGGGTATAGTACTTTGAATGTTGATGTGAGGTCGGTAGGCAAGATCGAAAGAAGATTCACGAAGAGTGGGGTAGTGTGATATGGGAGGAAGGTGAAAAGCATAATAGCGGTGTTGTATTCGTGAGTTCTGTGACTTGGTCAATACAAAATGGCTTTTCCAAAGCGCTTTCCACGCAACCTGTAAATGGGATGATTCGCACGAACCTAAAGCGTCTCACCAACCAATCCACCGCTTTGACAGCTGGGCTCAATTGAAGTCTTCCTCCAACCAGAGCAAGGAAAGTGTCAATTACGGTGTCCAGCTCCTTGTTCTGGGCGGCATTCATTTGCGTCCGGTCCTCGGATTTGCTCTGCTCGCTGAAGATTGTACGAGCGAACTGCTCGAAGCGACTGTCCAAAGAGCAGAGCTCCCGGAACCCCTCGTAGCAGATATCATAGATAGTGTCGAAATCTTGCGACCCGGCGATTTTGCGCTCGAAGATCAAGGAATGCGAATGGGAGATGCGTTGCGATTTCAAGTCGAGCTCGTTGGTCGACTTGGCCGCGATCTGCGACAACTGGGCGGCGAGGGAGGAAGCCATTGCGAAAGGATTGATATGATTGATTCTCAAACCAGATTCCTGTAGCCCATCGCTCTTCTTGTCGCCTCGTTTTTCACGGTCGATTGCGTGCGGGCTGGAATCGAGTGGAGCTGTTTTTCGACTTCGAATTCGACTTCGACCGCCGACTTTTTTTTCTTTCGACAATCCACTCCGGCAGTTTGCTGACCGCCCCGGATTATCCATTTTGGGAAATATATGCCGTTATCAGTTATTGCAGTCGCGCCCGATAACAACAACTTCCACTGCGATCTTTCCTATACCTTCACAACCTCGCCTCACAACTCAGTTGCTCTCTCCATGGAGCGAGCTCCATAACGATGGAGTCACAGGTGAGTCGTAACTCCTTCAGCAGAACCCAGCCAGCAATATGACTAACCTATCACCCAAGGACAAGAAGTCCGTCCCCAAATTCTCCAGCTTCAAAGCTCCCTCTGTTTCCTCGGCTCCCCCAGCTCGTTCAGAGCCTCGACACAAAGAAGATCGAAAGTCTCGACGCCCTGGTCCTCGATACAGTGAAGAACGGTCCCGCTCACCACGTCGGTCCAACCGGCAAGAACGACGGAGATCTCCCGGTAGGCGTCCCCGTTCACGATCTCCGCGCCGTGCTACTTCGGGGAGCAGTCGCAAATCTCCAGAGCGCAGAGAACATGACAATGGAGTCGCCAAGAATGTGAAGGATGGCCTGGCGTCACCAAATGGAGACGGTTCAATTGCAGACCTCTTTATCATCGATCTGAAAGGTGACCGACACAACTTAACTTTCGGGGCAACACATCGCTATGCTGTGCCAAAATACCGACGAAGTGGGCGGGGCCAGGTTCTGGGAGCCGATGCGAGATACAGGATCGACCGGGATTATTTGGACAGTGATTCCTTGGTTTTGCGCGTCAAAGATTCGCTGCCTTCCAATACATCGAAATCGGCTAGACCTTTGTCAAAACGAATCCGTCAACCAGAGAAGCTCCTCCGCGTGAAAACTGAGGACGAAATACACTCCTCTGCCGGTTTGGACCAAGACTTCATATCATTCGATTCAGCAATCCTAGATGGGTCAGACAGGGCATCGGATGACGGCGACTTGGGCAACGAGCGCAACGCTTATCGCTCTATCCATGGCAAAGCCAAAGAGGAGGATTTTATTCCACAACATATGGAATTGGTTGATAATGAAATCTCTCAAGACGACAGTAACTCAGCTGAACGCAAGGCCTGTCATGCAGAACTATCGCGCTCCGTGAAGGATAATCCTACAGATGTTGCTGGATGGCTGAGGCTAATTGATCATCAAGATCTTTTGATTCTCGGGCCAAATGAGGACTCGCGCCATTTAACCTATAATGAACAACAAAGTGTGGCAGCCGTCAAGTTGTCTATTTACGAAAAGGCAATTAAGCAGTCTGCAACTAGCCCAAATAAGGACAGCCTTTTGCTAGGAAGACTCCAAGAAGGCGCACATCTATGGGATGCAAAAAAGCTACTTTCTCAATGGAACAAGACTTTGCAAGAAAACTCTGAATGCGTCAGTCTGTGGGTCAATTATCTTAATTTCCGTCAGACGGACTTCCAAAACTTCGATTTTGAGCAGCTCATGACGACATTCTCCGAGTGTCTGGAGCTTAATGCATCCGCTGCGAATCCAGCCAAGAACCAAGTACAATGCTACTTATTTCTCCGTATGACACTTTTTCTGCGTGAAGCGGGATATTTGGAACTAGCTGTTGGTATCTGGCAGGCAGTACTCGAGTTCACATGCTTCAACCCACAACCACAGTCTCAACAGGTAGCGGATGTCGATACTCTCGCTTCTTTTCGCAGCTATTGGGAGGATGAAGTGCCACGTATTGGCGAGAATGGATCATCAACATGGCGAGGCTGGGTTGACAACCCATCAAATCTTACCCACAACTATGCTCTTCGCGAATATAAACATCGTATTGAAGATTCATCTCTGATGGACTCCTGGGAAAGCGCCGAGAAAGAACGTACCCTATCATCACGGCTGCCATCTCGAACTCTTGACCAGCTGAAATCCAGCCATGGCGTCGATGAGCAGGAGCAATATGTTGACGATGCTTACGCAGTCGTGCTCTTCTCTGATCTCGATCGAGTCCTGAAATTATTCCACGGCTTTGGTTTTCCAGATGAACTATTCGAGAGCTTCTTATACTTTTGTCACTTGCCGCATTTGACACGACCTAGCAATATACAAACAACTCGTTTGTGGAGTGCGGATAACTTTCTCAAAAATGACTCAATAGACCACATGGAGCCAGGTCTCTCCTGTTGGTTAGCGGATCAAAAGGAGGCTGGAACCTCGACCTCGCCTCTTCGCTTCCCGGCTTCAAATTTCCTGCACACCACATGCACTTTGTTCCCAGGGCCTAATAACTGGTTCGAGTCATTTGGATCTTCGCACCAAGATTACCAGTCCTCCGAATCTTCAATTATTGATCAAGAATGGGTCCAGATGACACTTCGGTCCTTGGTGGAGCGTGGCCCTACCCGTGAGACATTCGACGACGAATTAGCCGAGTATACTCTCGGACTTATGTTTGCACGGGATCAAAAAAAAGCAAAGAAATATGCTAAGACCTTACTCAAGAAGTGGACATCCAGTCTCAGGGTCTGTAATGCTCTTGCTTTGATGGAATGGAGAAATGATTCGCCCGACGCCGCTGTTCAGGTTTGGTCAAGTTCTATTTCATGGAGCCAAAAGTTCTCAGATGATCTGAAGAGTGACTCGGGAATCCTTTGGAATTCTTGGGCTTGGGAGCTTCTTCAGCAGGGCGATAACTCCCGAGCTTCGTATGTATTGCATGCTATTCCTGTGCAGGGCATAGATAAGGATGCATACAATAGTATTCAATTGACGGGTGTGGCCTCCAACCCCACCTCGACTCTTCAAGTTAAATCGGTAAGCCATGAAAGCTCTCAATGACTTATGCATATTCTAATTCTATGCAGTACCTGCGCGACTGCCAAGCGCGCGCTCTGGGGTATAGGCGGTTTCATGCATTTGTCGCTTATACCGATTGCCTCGCTTTATTGCTATTTACCGAGAAATATCATATCAAGACAGCGCTTGAAGTCTACTCGTCTGCGCTTGAGAAGTCAAATGGCCTCCCAGTCGAGGACCAGAAATCGAAGCCCTATATCACCGAGCTTCTGCATCAGGCTAGAGCCAGGCTGCTCTTTTTCCATTGTAGTACGAAGTCGTCACGGTTGATGGCACTTGAAATTCGATCTATGCTCCAGGAAAGCGTATCTTTGTTCCCTCACAACACGATATTTCTATCGCTTTTCACCTGGAATGAGTCTCGCTTCAATATCCTCGATCGTATTCGAAATGTCAACCTGCTCACCAAAAATTCTGAAAGTCGGTATATGCTCGGTAGCGATTACGCCTTGTCGGCTACGACCGCGCAAACCGTTCCTATCACCACTCATTTGCTCTCGATTTGGTCTGAATTATGTCGTCCAACCTGGGCCGGATCCACTCATCATTCAACGCGAGCTGCATTTGAAAGGGCACTTGGCGAAAATATGAATCGAGACTCGATGAAACCAGGCGATAAACAGATGCGCAATAACATCGGTACAGAGAGTGCACGAACAAATCTCATGACCTGGAAGCTCTATATCATCTTCGAGGTCTACCATGCACGAGATATTGACGCAGCAAAATCTGTGTTCTACCGCGCTATTCGAGCTTGCCCTTGGTCGAAGCAGCTATTCATGCTTGCCTTCCAGTACCTACGGGATGATAAAGTTCGCCACATTATTCCGATAAATTCAAAAGCCACTGGTTTCCTTTTTGATGATCTTCGTCAACTGTATCATGCAATGACCGAGAAGCAATTACGTATACATGTGGACATCGAGGACGGAATTCAAGCGCTCCTTGCAGAGAGGCAAGACAGCTTCGAGGAAGATCACCAGACTCGATCTGGTGAGAATATTTAAATATAAAGGCCCAGCAGCTCTTTCAGAGCTACTGCTGCAGGAGGTAAAATCCATGAAGACCAAAGAGGAAACTCACCTCTTCTAATTACTTCAAGCCTCACTGTTGCAAGACCTTTGGATGGTGCATCTACAAACATTATAAAAATAAGCAACGAATGGAAATCATGCTTGTCAAATGATTTCCTCGGTATTCAAAGCTACTGTCGTCGATAACTATAGTACAGGACGTCGCACCGTCCAATGTAAACTCCGTGCGAACAGAGGTAATAAGGAAAATCGAAGGGAAACAAAATTGTGAGAATCGTCACTCGTAAGTTCGTGGTGGGTACGATTGGCTTTCCATGCCCTTGGAATGGAAGACTAATCGTACCTCATAAAAGGCACCGCATTGTCGGGGAGAAGTAATCTTAATAAATCAAAAGTGTTCCTTCCAAAACTTGAAGCGAACATCCTTCGTCGACGAAGCCTTGGCCGCATCGTTGATCTGTCTGGCTGCCATGTTCGGACCACAGAAGTATACACCGACCTCAGTGGTCGATCCACTCTGTAGACCTCGCATGTAGGTCTGATCAAGGAGACCAAGACGCATGGCCGTGAACAAGCGTTTGAAGTCAGGACGACCAAAATTTGTCCGACTTCGCAGTTCAGTCAAAGGGTCCAATGCCTGACCAACAGAATTCAGGTAAATATTTGCAGCTGTATCATCGTCCAGGCGCTGTGTGAGGTAGGTATGAATACGCAAGAACTCAGTGCTTCCTTCGTGGGCAGCAGTTGTGGCCGACTGAGCTTCAAGAGAGGAAAGAAGGGCTTGGAACCATTCGAAGGAAGAAGTGTCTTTACAAATCCAAATGAACTCAACACGACGCAAGCGACGCGGGGGGTTCGGACTGGAGCGCAGGTGCCAAATATTCTTCAGGATCGAGGCCCAGGGGGTAACGCCGATTCCTGTTCCAATAAGAACGGCAATTTCGTTTTCAAAAACATCCTCAGCCGGTGCACCATATGGCCCATCGATACGAAGCTTAGGCATCATTTGTCCATTTTGTAGGGCGACTTCATACATTCCCATCGGGTCGAGACCTTCGAGATCTCGGGCCTGCGCGGGACCACATCCAAGTGCGTCTCCGAGAGCTCGGGTGAAGTCTCCCACTTGACGGACATGAACACTGAGGTATTCATCAAAGGGACAGGATGTGATGGTAAAAGGGTGCCATTGTGTGCTGGACACGTCGGGTACCTGAAGGAAAAGCCATTGCCCAGCCTTGTACTTCATACTTGGCTTGTAGAATTGGATTTCCATGGCAGCTGTATTGGTAATTAGTAGATATACTGATATAATGGGCCTTATGGCACATACCGTAAGGATGACGGATAACCTTGGTGATTACCGTCTCTCGCCGCGAGCGAATCTCGCGATAGAGTCGCTCACATAGGTAGAAAGCTGCGCCCACAAGCTCCCATCTCCAGCCTTCGTATCCTAGGCAATGATCCCAGAATTGCTTACCAGCAAATGGGGAGAAGGGCTCCGCAGTGTCACGCACGAAGCATCCTGTAGTATGGGTATAGAGAGCCAGTAGGAACGGGATGAAAAGATGATGTGTGTACCAGAAGGTTTCGTAGGCTTGCTGGCGGATACGATGATGCGCGGTGGTATACATCAACAGCATGCAAAGCAACATGACATGTCCTGTGATACCAGCTGCTTGAGTATAATGAATTTGAACAGCCAGTTCGGGGCGAACCTGGTTCTTCTCGATATTGTAAAAGCTGGTATCTGTTAGTCGGAGTTCGATACGAGCATCAAGTCCTCAACATACTTAACATAATGAGCAGCAGTGTGAATCCCAGAAAATACGAGTAAAGAATAAGCAACTTGACGATGAAACCAAGCTGACTCGTCTAGCGGGAGCCACCTGATCTGAGGTCTGAGCCATCGCAAGACATTGCGGCACATGGGTAAAAGGATCACCGTTGCATCGACTGAGAGAACAAGCCCAGCACCTCTGGATATCCAGACAGAGTACTTGAGGACATTAAGACCTTCTAACTTTTTGCTTGAAGCTTGCAAATACCTAGTTTCACATTAGCCATACACCTATTGGTTTGGTGTGGGTTCGAAGACTCACCATCCCAGAGCAAAAATGCCGAGATGGAACCCCCAGAATCCGATATAGAAAAGAATTTTGGAAGGTGTCAAGTCGGCTTTTCTGAGCCAATAATCATTAGATGCGACCATTTTGTCGTCTTGGGTGACTGGGGGCGTCGGCCAGCGACGACTTGGAGGGTAAAGGAGAGACAAGTGTTGCGGTTGACCAGCAACCTGAGTCTGTCGACGAAACTCTAAGTCGAAACGATCAAAAAGAGCAACGCTTTTTGATTTTCTTTTTGGGTAGGCTCAAGGGCTGGATTAGTTGAAGCGTAAGTAGATCGGTCGTCGGCGTCGTCGCTTCTCCATGAACCTGACGCGGATCGTAATCTTCCCCACCGACCGGGGTACTTCTTGTTGATGTTTAGAATCAAGAGCTTGCTTCACGATTATGAGAGTTGGTGGAACAGGTCAGGCCTTCAGTTTCAGGTTGATACTGATGCAACAGGTCGTCGGGATTCGTTTGAAGCTTTTCGCACGCTGGTCGCAGAAGTCGTTGCTCTACCACAAGGTGGAATGAGGTATGTACCCAAAGATAACGTAATGTCTCTAGTTACTCGGTGTAGTGTTGGAGGTACCTGAGTACCATGCTATCATGGTTGGAATAGGTGGGCAGACTGGGCAAAGGCAAAGCCGAAGATGGATGGAGGTTGAGGAATCCCAGCGTTGTGGTTTTACCTGCAGGGGTGAGGGGGGCGATCTATAATTACTTCGCTTCTGGGGGCACAGCAACCGAAAAGCCAGTGGCTTCCTAGACCAATCGATTAACTAAACTCTATGTCCGTGCTCTGCGAAATCCCTTCGCTCGCAATGGTTGCTAGACGATGTGATAGGTATGGCCTCGTGGTCCCAGAACCCTTTCAATGCCCAGAATAGGAGGCTGGTGCTCGCTATCTGGTTTATTTTATGGTTTGAGCTCGTCAAATCTTACCATTTTTCTCCGTTGCCATATCTACCACTATTCTTGGCCCTGTTTCAAAGACTGCTCGCTGTACGAAGGAACCGTAATCAATCATCTTGGCGCCAGGATTGAACAAGAATATTGACTTGCATTGAACGTGGCAACCCACAGTGATCTCATAAGTTCGTGACGGAATTACAGCTGTGGGTCAGTGGGGGTTGACTATTTCTATCTTGATCTACATTATCATTACGGGGGACTAGTAGGGAGAAAATGAATTCAATCTAAAAAAGCAAATTGTGTGCTACTCCCTCCCCAGGGAGTGAACCAAACCCATGTTCGCTTTGGGCAGCTCCATGGCGGGGCAACGCTTCGACAGCAACAACCAGTCCGAGGCCACCAAAGAAAGGCTCCGAATAAAAAGGAAGGAAAGCAAGCCATGCAAAAGAATACTGGCAAGGCTGGTGAATGGTTGGAGCCAGATGAAGCTAATGCGAAGCGTTACTTTAGTGTGAGCCTATAGAAGACATTCTGCAGCCGCCGGCCATCGTCACACGGGAACTCCGGGGCAATACGAGTCGGTGAGGAAGGTCTATCACTCAACTTTGTCGGTTAAGGCACCGTTTGGGTGAAGTTCCTCCGTACTGAATCCAATTATAGCCTTCTCTAATGCTTGATAGTGGCGTGACTCTACCACTATCTCAACTCCCCCAAATGCTTTCAACTTCGTACTGACAATCCCGGTTCCACTTGGCATCGCACATCACCTTCTCCATCACAGTTCCATTTCCATTTGAGCATGACACGCCACCAGTGGTACAGAGAAGCGGGTGTGAAACAAAAACCTGGACCAAATCGAGTCAGGGCTGGGTTGGTCATCTGACCCCGTCGCATTGTAAATTCAACATCATGCCTCTGCCACAACTTGGAGGAAACGTATAGGCAGGGCGATGTATGTATAGCTGCCGGACGTTCACCAAGAAAGTCCTTCTTGACAATAAGAATGTGCGTGAAACCCCAACCCCCTCTCCCTTGTAAGCGCGTGCTTCGGCCTGCAGCTCATCACACCAAGTCATCACTATGCGGCTTCTGATTTGTGCACGGGCGTATCGCGATCCGCTCCGTCACATCGCCCATCCCCCAATCACACCGCACATCAACCCTGATGAAGAAAATCCAGGTGAGGGGATGTCAAAGATCAGACCCTGTCCAAGGCAGTGATTGGCCCCCGGCGCTTAGATGCATCTGTGCGGATCACAGCGAGCCCTACTATTCTCGAGATGCCGCCCGTCGAGAGTCGCCAACGTACATCGGTCACCTTTTTGGCGCATTGCAGTATTCTTGTAGCTTGGCTTGATTCGCACTGGCTCGCCTGCACTTGGCCGGGCGGGTCTAAGTAGTATAGAATCTATTCATTCCCCTCCTGCTGGTACTGAAGCATCCCACTCCAGTACTCCGCCTCTACCATCATGACAACGTCCTAATATCAGCACTCACAACATTACTCGATGCCTTCCTAAAACTCACTCAGTGAATCTTATGGGCCATTGGTATTTGCACGAATATCAAAGCGCTTTACATTAGGTGTCACATCGCTTCGGCCTGAGCGCATGCCGCTTCGAGTCCTCCTTCGCCTAATATTATAATCTTTCGCCGGACGAAAGATTCAACTACAACTATCAATATACTACAAAATAACGCACCGCCATGGGAAGGCTCATCAAGAACCACTGGGGGCGGTTAATTATCCTCGCAGCTTCAGCCTGTACGTCTCGATGGGTCCCGTCCAAGCTTTAGTGCTATGCAGCGACTAACATATTGTTTCCAATAGATCAAATTGCCAGCGCAATCGAAGGCTTCATTTGGCCAAAGGTGTTTTGGGATTTCATATCCAAGAACCTCGATGCGGCCGTCGCGCCGGTCCCTGTTCTCCAAATCCTCAACCTCATAATGGGCATCGTTGGGTTAGCCTGGGAATGGCCCTTAAAACCTCTTGCTGGAACATTTCCGCATCGCAGCATCGAAATCCGACTGGTTGTTTACCCGCTCAGCGCTCTCTTCGCAGCCCTACTCTACCAAGGCACCGATCCGGCTTTATACTATTTAGTGGGAATTGGGGTATATTTTTGGGCTTATAGCGAAGGCGAGGTATGTTGATCCGGATGTCTAAATTTCCCTGTCGCAAACTTGAATGCTAATAATATGTTCAGGTTGTGTGTGCAGAGCCATGGACATTACCAAAGCGCTCAGGATTGCTCAAAGCATAGCATCCCTATTCGGTCTGGAATAATGATCACTCCAGACGCAGATCATGTACATACTAGTAATAATGAACGACAATGAACATACAATTTTAGTCACGTTTCCGCTCTGCTCTGAATACATTAACTAATCGATCTTTCGATGTCGAGAACCGCCTGGTAGTAAGATTTGTTGACGGCATTTCGTTTGCGAATCTTAATAGGTCCAGTCTTATATGTAAATACACTTCCCGTAGGCCTTTTAAATATAATTTCTACCAAGTAACCATTTACAATCGCTTCTTATTGCTTTACCTCGCATTTATTCGACGAAAAGCTAAGTGACACCTGATATTTATGGCTTCTGTACGTGCACGTGATGTCATCCTAGAGTGTGCAACGCCACAAATCGATGGAAATCGGTGGACACAACCTTGGAAAGTTGATTACATCCCCTAAGCTAAGACTAATCGCCAGAACTGACCCAAGAGCACAGTCTCGTGTATATTGATTGAAATGTCTCCCGTCGACCCCTCGCAAGAAGACTGCTCAGAGCTGCAACATGACATCGATCCGGAGACGGAAGATGTCCCAGTCAACAAAACCACTACCTTCAATGGCCAGCTGAATCAATTTATGCACGCGAGCAATAAGGCCACTGGATCCGCCATCAAACCGGCCAGCCTCAAGCGACAAAGAACCGACCCAAGCATCTCGGAAAACGTCTCAACTACCACCAGCATTACCCACCAGCCATCAACAACTCGCACAACTCGCTCTCGTTCCTCCTCTACCACCACTACAGTAATAAAGACCTCCCCAGCGAAGAAGCCTCGCCGTCGCAAAAATTCTCCGCCAACAACCCCCTCAACAGCTGCCGACTCCCTCCTCCGCGACACAATCCCCGCAAACCTAACACTTCTCCTCGTAGGCGTGAACCCAGGAACCTTAACCGGTACAACCGGCTTCTCCTACGCACACCCATCCAATCTATTCTGGAAACTCCTCCACGCCTCAGGAATAACACCAATCCGCCACCTGCCCTCCGACACATATAAACTTCCCAGCCTCTACAACATCGGCAATACGAACATCGTGGCAAGACCAACTCGTGACGCGAGCATGTTGGCAAGAGCCGAGATGGACGCCGGCGTGCCTATTCTCGAAGCCAAGATTGCAGCCCAGCGGCCCGAGGCAGTGTGTCTGGTTGGCAAGAGTATATGGGAAGCTATTTGGCGAGTCAGGCATGGGCGCGCGATTCGCAAAGAGGAGTTTCGGTATGGATGGCAAGATGATGCGGAGAATATGGGGCGGGTTACTGGCTGTTCTGATTGGGATGGAGCGCCTGTTTTTGTTGCGACGACTACCAGTGCCTTGGCTGCTGGTATGAGTTTCGCACAGAAGGAGGCTGTTTGGGCTGAGTTGGGGAGTTGGGTTGTTCAGCGGAGGGTTCAAACGAGCTCGATTGCTGGTGGTCTTGGCACAGGCTTGAATGGGCATTTACGTGCTAATATAGAAGATGGTGCCTAGTGACTTGGCTCTTGTAATAATTATAATGCATTATGATTGTGATGTCTCCTGTCTAGTTACTGAAGTGAATAGGCTCGGGGCCCTTGACTTCACCTCCATCTTGACACATCACATCAAGCTTTGGTCTTCCAACTGGAGGTTCGATAGTACGATAAACCCCTCCCTCAAGGTTGAACTCATCCATATAGCCCGGTAGGAAGACATGCCCAGTGGGCTCAATGAATCTTGGCAGGTGGAGGGGGTAGGATACATGCAGCCTCCACATGCTAGGCAGCTATCTTGCAGAACATTTTCGTTGATGACAGTTTTCTAACAATTCTACAGCAATTCTACCGGAACAAGTTGATTGAACTTTGATGGTATTTGGAATACATATGTGACGAGTTCCATAGCTCGCCTTTCGTTATATCATGATATTTCAGGTATAGTAGCCTGTCACTGCTAGGATGCACACCAACCCATATTCTCGAATCGACCATCACATCCCACATCACTCTCAAGGCCGAGCTTTCAATCGACGACGAATCTCCCGCATTGTACTGCAGGAAAGGTGGCAGCTGGTGCTGGTGGATGTATGGACAGTCCACAGCTCCGACAGCGCGGTGATGGAATCAAAGGAATATGACGGTGATCAAAGGAGAAATGGTACGTGCAGTTCCGTCATGCTAGGATTGTGGTCTGGATTTACCGGGAGTCATTCTTGCCTCCCTCACGCTCGCGGGCCTGGTGTGACATGATTAGTATGAGGACGGGTTGAGCTGACTCTCAATTTGGGCTTGGCTTACTGTAACAGCCTGGTGTTCACCACTTTCCAGGATCTTGGTCATGCAGTCCTCTTCTCTGTGGGAGCCGAACTCGTCCTCCAGGGTGGCCTTGGAGGCACCGTCCATGATACCCTGGGCACCGTGACTGTTGAGAGTCAACATTAGCATCTTCTAGGCTTGTAGGGGGATATAGGTATACTGTAAGAAAACATACCGGTGTGTGACGAAGATCTTCCAGCCATTCACGACATCAGAGAGCGGGATGCTGCGATCATTTCTCCACTTCTTCAGGATCTCGAGGTCATCAACGAAGACAATGAAATCCTCGGACTTGCCCTTGTAGAAGACCTTGGAGGCGGTATCGTTTCCACGAGCCATATTGAGTTTTGAATTGAAATTGAAATGAAGTATTGAAGTATTGAGTGAGTTATGAGAAAGAGGAGATTGAGAGGTTGAGTGAAGTGAGCGAAGTGAAGTGGCAGCGGGGAAAGCTTTAAAAGGGCGGGATGATGGAGAGTGACGTCAGTGCTGGAGCTGGTCATCAGGGAGCTTTCCCTTCTCAGCGGCTCCCTGCTTTTCTACAACGTCATCTACTTTTAGTACCCAGTGGAGACACTTTGAATTCAATTGATTGTCTCTATTCCACATTACGTGGTGCCAAGCTAATAACAATGCCTCCTGGCTTCCTCTTCCTCTTCCCCCACCCCTGCTCGAAACTACCAGAATACTCGTACCATACACCACCCACACACCAACCCACCCATGACCTAAGTCCCTCCACCTTCGTCTACTCCCCTGTCCCAGGCGGGCCCATCGTGGGTCGCGCTCGTACCAATCCCTTCGGCGAGAGAGCACCAAACAGGCTCAAAGGTGACGTCCATTTCTTCCGCGTCAGTGACAACTCGGCACTGCCCTGACTCGAAAGCTTCTCGCTGCGCGGTGATGTGGCCGCCGACCCCATATTCTTCTTTGAACCTCGAAGTCGGAGGGTCTTGGAGCGACCACTCATTGACGTGGGTGTTCGGGGGATCTTGGGTGACGCGTGCTCCGTCTCCGGCGAACATGGAGGGTCGTCACATCCATCTTGACCTCCCATCAGTTCCTTTTCCTCGCACTTATACTCCGCGACAGAATTCCCATCTATCACGAGCGGCCCGGTGTGAGATGCACTCCCAGAAGTAGACCTTCGATTAAATCCTCCGTGGAAACTGAGGCGCCGCATGAGCGATCCTCGACGAAACAAGTCTCCTCGGCCTAGCGCCATACCTGGAAAGGGTAGCACATCGCGAGTGTACACATTCGCGATCGTCTTCTCCAACCGGATTCTGTCAATCCGTCGAGCAACTATAGTCAATATGCCGCGTATTGGCGTCTTCGGCCTTTCGATCTCATTCCCTGGCGGATTGGAGGATTCGTCGTGAATGTGGGGGTAGTGCGTCTTCCTAATAACGACCTGTTGGATGTTGAACTTGCGCGATATCGACATAGAATCCATCGACGATCTCCGGGCGAGAGAAGACACCGAATACTGAACTCGATCCAAGGGAACCAGACCAAAGTTGACGAAGGAATACCTGCGCGGATCCCATGCTCCTCCCGGTCTGGCCATCTCGCTCAGGGACGCAGAAGATCTCAGAATCTCGGTCTTCCAATGTTTTTCCTCCGCGGCAGATGATGCACTCAGGACAAACTCGTAGCTCTCCTCTTGTTCTTGGAAAATCAACTTCCATGAGAAGGGACACTGGTAGCAGAACAGACCTGGGATTGTTAGATTGTTATCCCGATAAGATCTAGCGGAGGGGACCATACCTCGACCGTTCTGGATGTAATCCATTTTCAGGTCATCCATGTAGATGCAGGCAACTATTTCCAAGCGCCTGGAATCATCGGTCCCTTTTGCCAGGAGAAAATAGCACTTGAAAAGTATACAGACCATGAAATCGCCAATTGTCTGCTCCGGCGTCTGATAGGTGACATGCAGAACACCACATAAAGTCATTGGGCCAAGCTCTCTATATACATCTTGCAGTGACTGCTATTCATTTCACCATGTCAGCTCATAACTCCACTGGGCTTCGGAGGCACATACCGTTTCGGAAAAGTCAATCTTCCCTTGCAGCAGTATAGTTTTATGAATGCGATCTTTGTTGATCGGGTTGCCGGTTGTCGAGTTGATTCGTGCTACCATTATACGAAGGCTTTCCAAAATTCGACGTATCTCATCGTGAGAAGTTGGACAGTCACCAACATGGGTACATCGAAGGAGGTCTTGAAGGAGAAGAGGGTATTTGCAAAGGCGTTGGATTGGCTAACAAATCTGTCAGTGTTTCAAATTAACTCTCTTCAGGGTGAAGAAGTTACATACCTTGATCATCAAGTCATTCATCAACATAGAGCGGTTGTCGTCATTCTTGCGACTCTCAGTCGAGACAACGGACTTTGACAAGGCTTCAATTCCCTGCTCAAAGACTATCCAGTTGGGGACTGAGCGGCGTAGGAGGGCCACGTCTTGCGTGAGAAGTTCATAGTTGCTGCAAAATTCTTCGTACGCGGAAAATGACACCGACTGCAGTATAATTGTAAACTTAGGACTCTTTTTGGAGTGTCGGTATTGTGTGTAGTGACTTACCAGTTTGTCAATCTCGCGTACCACTTCAAGGCATTCCATCGGTTCTGCAACAAGAGCTTTGAGATGCTGATCAAATGCCGCTTTGAACTTCCGAGTTCTAAGCGATCTATTTTGCAGACCTCTAAGGCGAGGCACGCTCAGTCGCTTGGAAATACTACTCCGAGGAAGGAAATCCGGGGGGGGCTTCTGGGATCGGGCCAGCCGACATGGGTGAGATCGTTTGAAGTTGAGCCAAGAAGTTTTCATGGATCTCGCGGATGTTCTGGATATTATGATATATCTGAGGCCTAATGTTGAGCATTGGGAGTACCTTTGGACTTCATTAGCTTCTTGTATCCATAGTTGAAGTATAGAGGGGCAGAATCTACCCCGGTGAGGGCAGTCAGGCCCTGAACATAGTCAGCTTCCGTTGAAAGAACCTCTCGTAGAAGCTGGCGCCTTTTTGTCGCGCGCTGCTCTGCGGCTTCATCCACATATGTACTTGATGTTGGTCGAGAGCTGTCTGCTGAAGCTCGAACGGGCGACGTGCCATTCTGGCTAGTTGTACTCTGGGTATTGGCTCGAGATCTCGCGACACTCGGACTCGCAATGCTTAAAGTTGTAGTTTTGACCGTTCCTAGGTGCGAGGAATGATTCGAAGATCTTTCCCAATGCTGCTCATGTGATAGAGCAGGAAACGGAAACTGGTTCTGTGTGGATATATCCGACGGGGGTGAGTCCGGCCAGCCTGCCACGAATCTTTCCGGGATCGTTGGGGGTATCCGTTTGCGCGTGCGAAAGCTATCCATCCATTTTTTGAACGGGAGGTTTGGAGCCGGCTTTGGGAAGAGTCCTTGATCCTGCTCGTTGCGGGTCGCCTCTGGTTTTTCTTTCATGGCCAGCAATAGTCTCTTGCTCTCGGGTGTATCATCTGCATCATCTGCATCGCCGCGAATCATCGTGCCTCCAAGGGTCCAGCCCATGATTGCAGTCTGAAGACCCGACTCGAGGTGTCATGAGGAGAGATGGTAAGATGAGCGAGTTTGAACCCGATCAAAACAAATCGGTGGACCCGAAGTCGATCTCATGGTTTGGCAGTTGCGACGGAGCACAGCAACAAGACAAAGTCGCATTGAACGGAGAACTCCTTGGGAGGACTTTTACAATGTATCCCTTGAGTCAATGAAAGGAAATCATGGCGGACGGTGGACTGTGAACGGCCCTGAAAGCATTGCGGTTTCAGGCAGCTGAGAGATTCCGTAGGAGGTCCGGCCATTTGAATCTCATCCACGTACGTCATGGCGTGAGGCAGTTCAACAGGTGAGATCGAAATCGGGTTGCTAGGCTCATGACAGGGATGTGCCTTTGTGAGTAGGGTTGGGAGAGCATTTGGTGGAACTTGAGCCCCGATTGAAAGTTGAACCTCCGTGACAAATCTTTGTGGAGTGAAGTTCTATGCTCCCGGGTGCTGGTGAAAACCAGCCCTGGAGTTACGCGATTGTATTTGATGGTAAAGAATAATAACTACTACTAAGTACGTACGACATTGAGAATACCGTATCTAAAAGGATGCAGGTGACTATGTAGAACAATTGAAAGTAGTAGTAGGCTAGTGCCAGTGGTATTTGAATGGACTCTGATATATACTCCTCCAGTGGTACTAAGTACTGGCATACTATAACTACTACTAGTAGTACTACTGGTTCAACTTCTAATTAGTAACTATCTGTTAGAAGTAGTAGTAGTAGTAGTAAATATCTATAGTAGGAGAAATCTTCATGTAAATAACCTTATCTCCACAATATTCATCAATGGGCGTCTCTGCAATGGTCAGCGCGCCAGGCGGCAGCGCTTATATAAATTGAAGCGAGACCCACCGCCCTTGACGCCGCGATGCTTTGATCTTCCCCACCTTCTACTTTGTACTATGGGCATCCCCATGGACGACAACATCCATGCTCCTACCGTCGCCTCCGGACCAACGTCCGGGGCGCCCCCTACGACGCATCCAAGCTGTCTATGTCCGAACTGATGCAGGAGAAGGAACGGATCGAGGAGGAGCTGACTGCACTGAGCGGCGTCCTCAAGACGGTGAGAGCTACGAACCCCGCCTTCCGACAAGATTGACCGACTGACTCGTTTGGAAATGAAGCATAATGTTAGCATGACATCGACCCTAACAACTTTCGATGGATACCCGCGCGACGACATTGACATCGCCCAAGGTGCGCAAAAGACCCGGTGCTGATCAACAACAAGGTGCTAAAACGAGAACCCAGTCCGAACGACCCGCGTCCGAATGATTCACTTACAAAACGACCACAAGGAAGTGATGAAGTATCTGGAGAAGGGTCTTCACGCGCATTTTGCACAGTTACAAAATGCGCAAGGTGTTGCGACCACGAACGGATCTAGTGTGCCGTCCGGTGTGCCGGCGCCAGTTGCAGCCACGCCGACCAGCATTGCAGATGCGGGCACGCTAGGGACACCCTTTGCCAAGGTCAATAGCGTGGAACCGAACAGCCCAGCGGCTCAGGCAGGTCTCAAGGCTGGAGACACCATTCGGAGCTTTGGTGATGCAAATTGGCTGAACCACGAGCGACTGACCAAGGTGGCCGAGACCGTCCAGCAAAATGAAGGGGTATGTCTTGATCTGGAACGAACTCCCACTCCCGGGAGACTCTGCACCATTTTGCATACGCCATCTGCTAACCGCTTTTCTCTTCTAGCGCGCCGTGTCGGTCAAGGTGGTACGGAAGAACGAGAGTGGATCAGGGACAAGCTCATTAGATCTGCAACTTACCCCCCGACGCAATTGGGGAGGTCGAGGACTGTTGGGGTGTCATCTTGTTCCTCTGTAGACTTGACTCCTTGCTGTTGCCGTGGCTACAGGCGGCGCCGTCTGACATGTACAGCCGTCCAGCCCTTTTCTATTTTCGATTTTCTATTTTTCAAGATGAATAATGCTTCATGGATTTATCTGATCCACGTAGTGGTAGTGGTTAAAATACATGTATTTAGTTCTCTGTCATGCAACAAAGAGTTAAAACTAAGGTATATGTGAGCACTGAGTAGCCCTACTGAGAAGTGAACACCAACTACGTCAGGCCACACTTGGACCGCCGTGGATGACTAAGCTGGCAAAAATTGCAGCCCTGAACACCCGCGCTCTCGCATTATTATTCCCCTTCCTCTTTCTCCTCCCCCCCACCAACGTTTCTCATCTTCGTTCCGCCTACTTTCCCCAGAATTCCGTCTTTGACATCATATTCGCCATGGGTGACCAATCTACTCCTCCTACCTTCAAGCTCGTCCTGGTCGGTGACGGTGGTACTGGTAAGGTAAGATCGATCCAAAACAGAGCCTACCCAGGCTTCATTTCCTCGCGAGGGGCCATGCCGACCTCCTTGCGATCATCATCAAAGTCATCAGACTTCGATATTATCTTGGATCGTCTCATTGCGCTTCTTCCGAAACAATCCTCCCCCTTCTCCTCTCCTCCCCTCCCTTGCCCCGCCATCTTGTCAACAAAGATGGAAAATATCTGCCCAACGCTCGCCTCACCCGCGCAACGCCATCGCTAACCTCACCAACCTCATAGACCACTTTCGTCAAGCGCCACCTGACTGGTGAATTCGAGAAGAAGTACATTGCCACTCTCGGTGTCGAAGTTCACCCCCTCACCTTCACTACCGTATGCTATAGCCCCGCCGAAGACCCCGCTCCGATGACGGTCGACTAACTTATCGATGCGATAGAACCTGGGAACCATTCAGTTCGATGTCTGGGATACCGCCGGTCAGGAGAAGTTCGGTGGTCTCCGTGATGGCTACTACATCAACGGCCAGGCCGGTATCATCATGTTCGACGTTACCTCCCGTATCACCTACAAGAACGTTCCCAACTGGCACCGTGAGTATTGCGATCGCCCCGCGTCCAATTTGGTCCTTGTCTTTGTCTTCTCGATTTTTGAAACTAACAACTAACCAGGTGATCTCGTCCGTGTCTGCGAGAACATCCCCATTGTTCTCTGCGGTAACAAGGTTGACGTGAAGGAGCGCAAGGTCAAGGCCAAGACCATCACCTTCCACCGCAAGAAGAACCTCCAGTACTACGATATCTCCGCCAAGTCCAACTACAACTTCGAGAAGCCCTTCCTGTGGCTCGCTCGCAAGCTGGTCGGCAACCCCCAACTGGTAAGTTTCTCGACCTAATCCCCGATCGCACACCGCCAGATCAATACTAACCACCCCCCCTACAGGAGTTCGTTGCTGCCCCCGCTCTCGCTCCTCCCGAGGTCACCGTCGACCACGTGCAGCTCGCTGCTTACAAGAAGGAGATGGACGACGCTGCCAACATGCCCCTCCCCGATGAGGACGATGCCGACCTGTAAAGCGGCCCCTATACCTCCTCAATGCCGGCGTTTTCTCATCCCCGGAAATTCCGGTCACTCTCGGCTACGCTCCGCACGACAGTTCTAAAACGACCATCAGACGAGCATTAGCCCTCCACCCGACCGGATGATCTTCTTTTTTTTATTTGGTTTTTACGTCCCCCGTGGCAAAATCCCGTTCTCAGAATCACGATACAATGAAAGCGGTTGGGGCAAAGTGGCGGTTTGAAGAAAGGGACGGCACGATCGATTATGCATTTCTTTTTTTTTGTTTCACTCCCCCCAACCTTAGTAGCTTAGACTCTTACCATCTCAATGCCTTTTTTTTCCCGATCCCCCCTACCGAAATGAGTGCTGCATCTAAAACAAAAAGCAAGTCCTCTTTCAACAAGGTTCTCTCTCATATCAACCTTCCAGAAACCCTTACTTCTACATACCAAAATACAAAGGCGCTTGCCAAGCAAATTGGATTTCATTCTTCAACCTGGTGAACAACTAGAATGTTGAATGGCGACCCTGAGGTTAAAGCTTTGCACGGTTGTGAACTGTAGTTAGTGGAGGCCAACTAAATCGGTTAACTACCCTTTCACCCACGAGCCCAAGATAATCTTTCAACTTTGGTGTTGAATGTAGCCTTCGTCTCTAGCATTGAGTGCAACCGAGCTACATAATTGGTGAGAGGTGTCAATTCTCTCAGTATTAGGCGTTACTAGTATGAAGCTACTAGTTAGTTACCTACAGGATCTCACCGTAGACTACTTCGAAAAAAAAAAAAGACCGACAGAATATTCATAAAAAGCACAAGCCGTAGCAGAACGGCAAAGAAGTGAGATTCTCGATCTTCCTAAACACCTGTAACCAGCAACCTGTATTTAAACCTGGTGATCATGACTGGGAGGGTATCACATTCCGAACAAGACAAAACATCAAGTAGAAGACAACCATAGAAACATAAAGCAGAATGGAAACATAATCATTATTCCAATCAAGTATCATCCAATCAAGCATCTTGAATCCCCTAGAGAAAAAGAAATGTTAGCCAATACTGCCTAGAACCTCGAACTAACTGGAAGCAGGGGTGTCGTTTCACTTACAAACAAATATGCTAGGTCTTTAACGCTCAAACGTTGCACATTCATTGAGCCTCCTTCATCGAGGGCACCGCCAATAAGCTCACGCTTCTGCTCTTGCAGCTCGACGATTCGATCTTCAACAGTGTGCTCAATTAGCAGGCGGTGTACAAAGACGTCCCTCGTTTGGCCGATACGATGGGCTCGGTCGATAGCCTGGTCTTCAACATAGGGGTTCCAGAATGGATCGAAAATAATAACATGCGAAGCAGCGACCAAATTTAAACCGGCATTACCAGCCTTCAGAGAAACGAGCATGATCCGCGTCGATGGGTCATCGGTGAAGCCCGCAACAGAGGCATTGCGATCATCTACCTTCATCGACCCGTCGAATCGAACATATTTCCAGCCACGGCGCTTGAGGGGAACTTCCAAGAGATCGAGCAGTGAGGTAAATTGGCTGAAGATGATGGTTTTCTCACCAGTTCCTCGGTCCTCGTTTGCCTGCAGGATCTCCAGGGACTTTTCAATCTTGGAACTTGGAATCCAGGATTTTTCCAGACGACGGAGATACTTGCGTCTCTCCTTCTGATTCTTCTGGCCAGCCTTTCGTAGCACGGCCAGTGATTTTCTCTTGCCCCTTTTCACCGATTCGCCAGACTCATCTTCGGAGTCATATTCGGTATCGGAGTCTTCATCGGAAGTCTCGTCTTTCTTCCCCGCCTCGTTGTCGGGCGTTGCATTCGGATCATGCGCTTGTTTAAACGAGTTAAGATCGGTGATCTTCTCAGGATCGACCGGTCCACGGCAATTCTGACACTTGACCAGACCCGATGTATCATCTCGGGCAAGCACCGCGGGGTCGGAGATACGCGCAAAGCATTCACGACAGACCGAATGGCCACAAGGAATGTAAATGACCGCATTTCCAGAGCTATCCATACAAATTGGGCACGTCCCAGCTTCTTCGTCACCCTCTTCATCCAGATTCTTGATGCGTGTTACAACATCGGGCGTCAAGAGCTTTGCGTTGGCGATTAGATCAACCCCGGAAACGGTGGTGATATCGTCAGTGTTGATGTCCAACAGCTGCGGGTGACAGCATGCCTGTCGCAGCCGGAGAAGCAGAACTAGCACATGAGTGTAGTTCTTGCCAAGGGTACCATTGTTGATTAGCTTGGTAATCTTCTCTTGGGTCTTGGTATTCAGCTCGGTGTATGCTGCGTTCTCAAAGTCGTTGAATACAACATGGACCTTTTCGATGACCTTCGGCGGCAGGTTGAGAATAGGCTGGCCGTCGATCTGAGATGTCTTTGTACGTCGCAAACAGACAGATTTGACCAGGACGCGCAGCTGTTGCATGGTATTTTCCTCCACCATGCCGACACGAACGGGGAAATCCTGTACACACGTGATTAGTTTCATTTTCGTAAGAGGAGTATGTTATTGCGCCGGGACTGGAGCTTCCAAGGAAACTTATAACAATGTGAACACAATCGCCTGTTGAAACTTACTCGTTTGAACTTCTCCTTATGGTTGTAAGGTCTGATTCGAAGGAATTTGAGAAGCGATTGGAGGTCGTCCAGCTTGTTCATCATGGGTGTTCCGGTCAGACACCAACGAAAGGTCGCATTAAGTGCGCAGCATGCTTTGTTACTCTTTGCCGATGGGTTTTTGATGTTTTGCGCCTCATCCACAATGACTCGGTGGAATTTGCTGCTGGGCGTAAAGAGGACTGCTTGGCTACGGTACAGGTCGGTGATCTCCGGACCTCTGCCCGCTTTTTCCATTTCGTCGGCCTTGTCCAGAAGGCTGTGGTTGGCCCTTAAGGTGCCGAATGTGGTGATGATCACATCGTATTTGCGAAGGTCTATCCATGGGGTCCGGCGAGTCTTGTCGTGAAAAATGAAGACTGACAGCTTTTGTTTGCCAGGTTTGACATGTCGGGCAATCTCGAGTCTCCATTGTTCCATAAGAGCCTTCGGGGCGACAATGATACACGGGTGTCGTTCAGGGTTAGTAGGTGGGCGAGCGGTCATGAGCGCAATCGCCTGGATGGTTTTGCCGAGACCCATATCGTCTGCTAGGATTCCACCCTTTTGGACGCTATCTTCCTTTGCCTTCATCCACCTCAGGCCGATCTTTTGGTGCTTCATCAACGTCACCTTGAGGGCACTTGGGGTCTCGTCGGTGTCGGCATTTGTGGCATCCCGAATATCTTTGATACCCGTGAGTAGATTTTTGATGTCCTGAGGGAAATGCTGCTCCTCGTAGCGCCTATAGAATCATGTCAGTATTCAGTCGGAAGAAGCACGTGGGCACAAATCGAATAAAATACATACTCAATGTCGTCATCCTCCAGGTTCAACTTTGCCTCGTCTAAGGTGCTCATTGCGAGGCCTGCAGCGTCGCGAGTATAGGGCGATACCGCCGGCGATACCCATGGAAACTTTCGCGGACTAAGGAGATCAGAAGGCATATGTGGAAATCCGTACACTCTCGGATCTCTGAATTGAGTTCCAAATTTCGTATTGAAGGATTCTCCCGAGATTTCTTGAAGATCGTCATCCCAGTGAATACCAGGCAATGACCGACCTTGCTTAGCAGGGCCCGCGCCTGTGATCGTCATCGCAGGAGCGCCAGGAGAAAAAGGAGCATAAGGACGGTTGTATGAAATTGGAATCGACGAGGCGGGCCTGAAAGTCCCATCGAATCGATGAGGATCCGTTGGTCGGAATGGGAGTCGATCTAGAGAGGGGTGCGTAGGTGCGGTTGACTGGCTGGGTGGATATGTCGCGGGCTCATCTTCCCCAAAATCCTCTGCTTGTAGTTTTCGAGCCATAGCTCCATCTCGTTCCAGGTTAATATCCCTCCGGACAACCCGCTCCTCTTCTTCCATTTCCTCTTGCAGAGCCTCCAGGACCTCCGAGATAGAGATTCCTCCGGCCATAGCCCTGAATTCAAGGTCATCAACGTCCTTTCGCCTCTCCTGGTAATCTTCGCGGATATTTGTCAACTTGTTATCCAGCTCTTCCGACAACTGTTCCATTCGAGTTTCATACTCGTCAATTAGAGCCTGTCGTTTTGAAGGTGCAGCGAAAGGCGAGGAAATCGAGTCATGACGCGGTCGCTTGCGAGATACATCGGTTCCCGATGAGAAATCAAGCTCTGAGTCTCCATTCCCATTGGACTGAGGCATGAATAGAGATCGGGATGCAGAAGGGGTTGATGAAGGGCCCGCAGTCGGAGATTGAACAAGATCTGCATGCCAGCCCTGTTGGGGGGGTAACTCGGGTTTGAGGGTACGAGGGGCCATATCCATTGCTCGTGGGAGCTCGAGCAGGAGTACTGGCTGACGGGCCAGGCGAGCCCGTTGAGGATGAAGCGGTCGAAGCTCCAGTGTGTGCCACGGGTGATGCAGGCCGTGGGTTTGGACGGGGTTGGTCATTTTCCTGCTCCATCGAAGCATCTGGGATATCATTCCCCAGGAGTACTTGGAGTCGAGCCTCGAGCTCCTTGAGCACCCTGGCATCTTCCGTCAATTGTTCGGGGTCGACTTGACTGGCAAGGTCTTCTTCGTAGAGAAATTTGCGTGTTTCGATGTCCCCGAGGAGATCTTCCACTTCGAGATTTCTGTCAGACGCCATCTTGGCGGAAGAGATACACTCTTTACACCTTCTGCGGGCGCAGTAGGAAGTTGACACAAAACTGAGTACAAGCAGGTAATGGCTTGATAACAGAAGCGAAAATACAAATCATGAAAGAAGAAAAGTAACAAGTACCGGTCCGCCTGGACAAAAGCAGAGCTGGCAGAGGGCTTTGTTCACGGATAGAAGAAGAGTTATCTGATTGAGGGTCAGCATTTCAAAAGTAGAAATAGAAGTAGAAGTAGTAATTAGAGAGATCGCAGGCAAACGCGAAGGCGGTGGGGCTGAGTGGAGAGTGGAGAGTGGAGGATAGATGGGATGGAAATGGGAATGAGAGATGGGGACAGGCAGCAGAGCAGGCGGGAGTGGCAGGCGGAGACGTGTTGGGAGGGCACCGTTTCACCCGGGTGCCCAGGTGCGCGAGGCTGTGAGATGCAAACAGGGAAGAGGCAGACAGCTGGCACTTACGAACAGAGAGCGTCTAGTGACCGTGATCGTCAGAGATTGAATTGGTGGGGTCTGCAATTGTGAGGGAGGATGGAGGAAATTGGAAGGGTTGAATCGAAGAGGAAGATGATCTTCAGGAGGAAGTATAGCAGAGTAGATGGAAAGTGGAAATCTGATTGATCAGATCAGATCAGATCCGACTCTGACGCGAACTGCCACGAGGTGTGATGGTTAGTAGTAGTTGTAGGTGGAAAGGAAGACGGAGATTTGACGCGGCCATTCGTCACGCAACTAAGGAATCGTTGACCATGGTTATCTACACCTCTAGAAATATCAATATAATAGTAGTAAATAGTATTAATTCAATCAGTTTGACCTTGATTTCCATATTTATCCCCTCCATCCTAACTCGATTCTACGCCAATTCGTGCAAATATGAAAATAATCGTAAATTGCCTGTTTGGGGTAGTTTCCCCGTTTCCGGTGTCTCTATTAATACTAGTACTGCAGTCTCAAGACTATCTGGTCTTGGACTGCATCAACGTATACAGAGCGCTTAGCTACTTTATTCTCGTTAAGACTGCATTTCCTTGACTCATAAGCCTAATGACTCATTCTGGGATGTGGTTAACAGCAGAATTGTCAAATGAGACGGTGACTCTGTCCCCAGAGATATCCCGATATCGTATTGGTCTCAAACCAACCCCGATGTGATCTACTAGGATTTGGCAAGAGCACGAAAATCAAGGCAAGGTAGTTCAGAGCATGGGGGATATGCGCTCAAGAATTATATAAGGAAAGTAGGTAAAATATTGAATTGCCTGATACTAGTTACCGTGACTCTATCGATTAATTCCATCAGGTAAAATGCCCATATAAGCCCCGGAGGTATAATGGCACCTGCGTTAGTTCATTTATAGAAAGGACAAGCAATTCAAGAGACCCTCGTGCGGTATTTCACTCAAGATGATCTCAAGGCGTGTCGCCTGGCCTGCCGAGACCTTGCTGTAATATTAGCACCATTTTTGTTCGCGGATACTACAATTGTCTTTCGCAGTGGCACGTTGACCAGGCCATCTCGCCTTGCAGTTCTCGGGCGGATTGGCCCTTACATCCACACCCTGACTTTCAAGATGCCGCACTCACCGGAAACCTTTTTACCTCCGGTGATCAACTCGACCACGGGAAAGGAACAGACCTTCCTATACGCGCCTCAGGGCCGCGAGGTCGCCCCAAAGGTTCCACGGTACGGAACCTGGGAGATGACCGACTTGTTGGTGAAACAGTATCCGCCCGTATTCCACGCAGCAACCGATGTTCGTGCGTTCGTGAGAGCAATGTCGCCGATGCCGAACCTGCGACATCTTCGCATCGGTCAACCACCCAGCCACCGGTATCGTCGTAGTATCGTGGATTATGCGCTCATATTGTTGCGGATGGCGGTCGAGCAGGCGCCATTGAGCCTACTCGATAGGCTTTCGTTGATCTCTATTCATCCAGGAGCAGTCTTGTATCTCCAATCAACGATCGGGTTCGGCGCATCTCCTGCCTCGCGTAGGCGTTGGCACCAGATACGCCATTTGACCATCCAAATGACGAGTTTCCCCCATGAAGTTGGTCCCACAGACCACTTGAAGCTCCTCCATGCATATTTGCAAAGCTTCCCCACACTTCGTGTATTGAGGTTTCACTGGCAAGGCCACAAGGGACTATCACCAATCTCCTTGGCGACAGAGCCATGGCTACAAGGACGATCCGGCAAACGAGGCGCTGTGCGTGGCATTCCGAAAGCCAGAGCATCCCTAAGGTCTTTGAAACTGCACACTCTCTAGGAGATGACCATTGACGCATCCCAAATCTAATCCTTCATCCTTGATCACCGACATTCCCTACGCGAGTTCTATCTTCAAGACATCAACTTGCGAACAGGAACCTGGGATGAGGCTCTGGCACCTTTCACCCAGCTCAGCGGCAGTGACCAGTGGAAAGAGGCGCAGAAACACGAAAGCACGATCAATGTCCCGATTGTCTTGAGCGGGGCTGGGATCAACCAGAAGCAGTTGCAAAGGGTTCTCCAAGCAGTCGACCGACCAAGGGATGGTCTGCGGGGGAATGGCGAGGACACGGGTGCGTGATAAAGTCTTGGGGATCGGATCATATCAAGCGGCTGCTACCGGTGTCAGTACTAAGCCGGCGGTGACGTCGAAGGCACGCGAGAACTATTACGCGAGTAGCGGAGGGAAGGAGATTGGGGAATGGGTATGGGGATGTCGATCCCTCGGAGGGAAATGATTTCATGTGTATCCGCACGGAGGAACTGGTTGAAGGTGAATGTGGAGAAAAGTACGGAATCACGGGGAGGCGGGCCTCGGTCACGGGCGGATCACATGGCAGCTTCACTTTCCAGCTATAATAACTTGTACTTGTACTTGAACTTGTTCTTTTATTACTCCTCTCTTCCCCAGAACTTCTCACTGCACTCCACTCCTACTACTACTCCACAAATTCATTCACCATGCCTCTCAAGAACGGTATGTGGCTTACCATGGCTTACCTTACATCTCGTCGCATCTTGTCGCTGACACTCTCTCACAGATTCCTTCCCTTCCTCCGCCGCCTTCGACGTGATCAACCAGACTCTTCAGTCTAACGACGCCGACCGCAAGGATGCCGTCGACAAAGCCAAGGCTATCGTCGCTTTCAACCTGAAAAACTCCAAGGGCGAGGAGAAGAGCTGGTACCTCGACCTGAAGAACAAGGGCGAGGTCGGCGAGGGTGCCGCTCCCGCCGGTGGCAAGGCTGATGGTGAGTTGAGCTTCCATATGAATGCAAGACGAATGCCAGGAGTAACATAACTAACCATTTCCCTTGCGCATATAGTCACTCTGAACCTCTCCGATGAGGACTTCGCCCAGCTGGTCTCCGGAAAGGCCAACGCCCAGCGTCTGTTCATGGGTGGCAAGCTCAAGATCAAGGGCAACATCATGAAGGCGACCAAGATGGAGCCCATCCTGAAGAAGGCCCAGGGCGGTGCCAAGCTGTAAATTAGATACCCTTTGTTTTGACGACCCACAAATCTGTACAGATACATTTCTCTCGGTGTTCATATCGTCCTTGCTGTGGATGACGCGCACGAATAGCTCTTACTTTGTGAAAAAGAAGTGATGACTATAATTATTACCCAAACACAGTGACCCGCGCGTAGGAAGTAATACAGTCTATGCAGTAGATAGTTTAGGGTAACAAAGCTCCGAGTCTTATCTACAACTCCCCAACGCGCCCTTCTCGAAGTACTCGCCCCTGCTCCAGTTCGACAAAGTATTCTGCATCCTTGACAGCCTCGACCCGATGCGCGATCGTGATAACCGTCGACAGCTCCAGCTCTTCACGGACAATCTGCTGGATTTCGAGCGACGTTTCATGATCGATCGATGCGGTCGCCTCATCAAGAATCACAACAGCGCTGCGTCGGAGAACAGCCCGGGTGAGCGCGATAAGCTGTCGTTGACCCTGACTGAGGTTCTTTCCCCCGGCTTCAATATGCGTTTCAAGGTTCCAGCCATGTCGACCACAAAGCCGGTCCAGGACTTCTGCGCATTGGCAATCGGAAAAGTCATTGGTCGGATCGAGATTGAGGCGAATACTCCCCGGGAAAAGAACAGGGTCCTGCGCAACAAATGTGACGCGAGTGCGTAGAGCTTGAGTGCTGACATCCGCAATGTTGATATTGTCGATCAAGATCCGACCGGACTCTGGTCGGATGACACTGAGCAACGATACTGCCAACGTTGACTTGCCGCTGCCGGTGCGGCCGATAATAGCTGTGGTGGACCCACCAGGAATACAGAGTGTGATGTCTCTCAGTGAAGGGTCAAGATGAGGCGCATAGCGCATAGTAGCATTCTCAAAGACAACGTCGCTGCCATAGGTGGGCCATGCCGCAGGAGGCTCAATTTTCCCTGTGGATTCCTCCTCAACGTGAAGCAGCTCATCGACTCGTTCGACCGAAACAAAATCCATCTGTAGCTGACCATATTGCTTGCAAAGGCCGTGTGTAGATTGCACGAAGGAATTTGCAGCAATTAACACGAAAGCGACAAGGCCGGGTGTCGTGTCGGTGTAGAGAGCCAAAACTGTTAGTCCGAAAGTTGACAATGCAGAAAGATTCTCGAAGCGGTACATAAGCCAGGCCTGCAAAGACCAGTAGAAGTGATCCATGCCTTGGAACTTGTCAACTACCGTTATGACTCGGTCCTGGAAGCGTTCTTCGGCTCGAAATGCACGGACGGTGGTCAGTCCATGGAGTAGCTCTCCGAAATTGGACAGCAGCGGAGTGAGTGATACCATTTCGAGTCGCCGCAAGCTCTGAGATGTCGGGAGGAAGCGCAGAAAAACCAAAATAAACACCACAGTGAGCAGTAACGAGAATGCGAGGAAAGCTGGAGTAGCCGTTGCAATGACTAGAATCGATGAAATCCAGGTGATGGCATAGAAAGCAATGGTTTGGAATTGTGAGCTGATGTTACCGTCAACAACACCAATATCAGACGTGAGACGGTTCATCAGCCGGCCCACGGGGGTGACATCGAAGAATCTGAAGGTCGCATGACTGACCCGTGTCATAACTTGTCGGAATAATGTCTTGCCAGCACAATAAACGATTACCAACATCAAGCTTTGGGAAACAAGAAGGGTCGCTGCCTGGAAGGAGACGATGCAGAAGAAAGCCCAAAGCCACGGACGAACATCGTCACTTGGAGGGGGCAATCGATCCATGGGATTCCGCGAGATAAAATGAGAATCCACGTAAGATGCTGATGCGAGGAAGGCGTCTCCAAGCGGGGGAGGTTTACCCCAGGCAAAGAACTCATTGAGAGTCAAAGGTATCTGGTTGTAGGCTTCACCCCATCCCTTGAGGAACCATGACTGCCCCACAGCAGCCAGTCGATAAACAGTCAGAACAAGAACCAAGGAAAGCCACCACCGATATTTTCCGGCTCGGATATAGCTCCAGTAAACTCGAGCTTTGACGCCCCATTCGGCACGATGCTCTTCCTCAATGAACTTGTCCGGAACTGCACTAGCTTCCTGTTCACTGGAGCCATCCTGTTCAAGGTCCGATTCTGACTGGTCGATTGGTGATGTCTCGGCCCCAGTATTATTAGTAGACGCTTCAATTGCGCTCTTGTCATAAACAGTGGCGTGTCCATCAACGATATTGACTATTTGCCCAGCAATACCCCAAACAAGTGCCATACGATGTGTCACTAAGACCACAGTACGGTCTTGAACCAATGGTCCAGCCAAACATTTACGAGCGACAAATTCGGCCGTGTTGTGATCAAGCGCAGATAAAGGATCATCTAGTAGTAGCACGTTCGAGACACTGTACACTGCCCGAGCTAGAGCGACACGCGCTTTCTGGCCCCCAGAGAGACCAATGCCATTTTCGCCAATAAAAGTCAGATCTCCATGTTTAAATCGAGAGAGATCGGGTAGGAGAGCGCAGGCTTCGAGTGTCTTCTTGTAGCGCTGCTCTTGGTATGGCGAAGAGAACAGAATGTTATCGCGAATACTCATGCTTTGCAACCACGGTGTCTGGGCGCAGTAGCCGACCATTTCGTTTGGAATACGAGAGGTTCCTGAAAACTGATCAAGCTCCCCTAGAAGCGACTGTAGGAAGGCGGTTTTCCCTGCGCCTACCTTGCCGCTGATGACGGTGAGACCCTTTGGGATGGTCACACTGACTTCCTTTAGCACAGGTGTTAGTTTCCCAGGCCAGGCATATGTGCAAGAATCTAGGTGGAATGGAATGTGCTCGGTTGAACTATCTGCGGGATTCTGTATTTTGTCTGGCTCTGCCATGAAGTCCTCGATACGGCCCAAGGCAATTGAAGCATTGATCAGAGTAGTGATCAAACTTGGAATCTCGCGTAGACGGACTTCGAGCATGGAGAACAGCTGTAAGGCAGGGAATATGATATCGATCCTCAATTCATGGCCGGCTAGGACGGTGTAGGAGTATAGTGCCAGAACGGGGAAAACACCACTCGCGAATGTATTGATGAAGGTGATCAAGATGTTCCATAAGCCTGTAATAATTCGCACGTTCAGCTCATGCTGTCGAGCATCCATAACTTGCCGAAGCCAATGATCTTGCCACCCGTACCACCGGAGATGACGGATTGCTTCCACAAACTGCGAGGTAATTTGCAAGCGAACGTCTGTCGCGGCTCGTTTGATGCGTTCATAGCGAAGCAATATTCTGGTAACAACGGCATTTGCTGCTTGAGCAGCCAAGACAGACAGTATACCCAAGAAGCAAGATGGACCAAATAGCGTCCAAACCAGGACCACGGCTATGATCAAGCCCAGAGGCTTATCAATTAGACTGTCAATCTCCCAGTATCTCTGGGCTACGTCATAAACATCACCTCGGAGAAGATTGAAAATCTTTCCCAAGGATGCAGCTTCTTTGGTCTTGTTCAGCTTCGGCTTAGATTTTCCAGAAATAAGACGATGCCAGAGTCCAGGCTTGCCCGGGGAAGACTCAGCCCCATGAGTTGCCGCATCCCCATTGACAGTGTCATTTTCTTCATTCAGCACTTCCCCTGCCTTTTCGTGAGTGCCGAGGATATTCTTTCGTGACAGTGCCTTTTCATAAACCATCATAACCATTTCGCCTCTTGACCTCTCGTAGCACCGCCGACCGTACCACAAATTCAATACTTGAGATTGTGCAGCAACAAGTCGTAGCACCAACGACAAAAATGCATAGGTCAATGGTACTCTTTTGGGCTTTGTCGGATCCTGCATCGATTTCAAGAGCTGCTGCAGGAGCACGGGGGTTGAGAAATCACAGAGCATCTGCACAATGGCAATAGTTGAAATGACAAAAACATCCAGGCCATTCGCCCTCAGGGTCCGAGCAAGCACAGATCCCTTGAGCCGACGAAATTTCTCATGGAGAAGGCGATGTTGAAATTCGAATCCAAGTAGCCAGACATCGCGTTCATGTAATTGCCTGTTGCGCCCGAGGGAGATCAACGGCTGCATCCACGAAACAGTAAGAAACTGCCATAGTCGAAGGTTATCTTCTGGACTACGGAAGTCACTGTTTGGGGTCTGACCGACTGCGCTAATTTCGAAAATTGGGGTCGAGCTTGTTCGAAAGGGCATGAGTAGGATAACGAACGCGTTGAGTAGTGCAGCACTGGCACCAACATAATGGGCGACTGCTTTAGATCTCGGGCTTGGATTGTTCTGAACAGCTACAGAGAGATCGACAGCAAGAGCTAGAATGAAGTAAGCCAGGAGAGGAATTGAACATGATCTCGGCCTTTTCGCGGCGATCAATGCGGCTGCTGTAGCCTAGAATCGAGTTAGTGATGTTCGAGATTATACACGCGGTACCTACCCAAGACGTGACGAATATTATTTCAAAAACATTAGGTTTCGAATATAAGCAGCTCCAGGCCTCTGCGAAGAATCCAATCGCTGAGAATCCGAAAAGAGTAATAGTCCAGTGAAGGGCGTGGTGTTTGGGTCCTTCCTGCGGGAGCTCTTCTTGCTGCTCATCTTCTGATACGAAAGGCAGAGTCCACTTAGGGCGCCATCGACGCAGCAAGGGCCCAAATAAGTGATGTACTGCGATAAGCAAAGCGACACTTGTCGGTGCAATTGCAAAGTATGACAATGCACATGGCGACAGCCAGGCGTTATCGGGGTCCTGGATTGGTCAGACCGACTGTATCTGCCGATGCAAGGAGGTCATACCCAGAAGTGGCCACAATGACGTTGGTCAACGTCGTGGGAGAGGGGAATCTGATTCATCGTTCATTCCGTCGAAAATGAGATCAATTCCTGCGATTAATTGATTGGAAAGTGTCCTCATGGCAGCTGGACTGGCCGGTTTCATTCGACCTGCGGGGATGGCGGAGGAACAACGTTCCTCCGGTGGGGACACTATGAGTAGTTAGTTATACAAGGATACTCGTAAGGATTAAGGTGGCAAGACAATGAATCCGGTGATTTGTTCAATTGAGAAGTTAGAAACGCTAAATGATGAATAAAATATACAGAATAACAACGCCAGCTATGTTCAACCGGCGTATCACCCACCAATGAACATAAAGGACATCAATCCTGCCCATCCGACCACCATCACCACAGTCAAGATCCCAGCTCCGGCTTTGTCTCCTGTTGTGATTGGTTTGGGCTTGTCCTTGTCGGTGTCACTCTCTGCGCCAGCATTGGGGTTGCTTTTACTGTCTCCTCCGGTGCTGGATGTCACTGGTCCTTTGCCACTATGCTCATACTTGACCAAGTATGAGCTGAAGATATTGCTGGCGCTAATCTGTTGTTCCATTCCATTCATCCCGTCATATTTCGACTGGTACCAGCGGACACCACATGTATTGTTGCCGAGTCCGGTACAAGACTTTGCAGCCGCTTGAATAGATGCCTCCAATTTCGGTAGAATCGTGTCATAGGTCGACGGAACCAAAAGCGCAGTATATGCAAGCCACCAGGAGAACAGACCCTTGAACAAGATTTCGTTATTGTTGCATTTTTCTGAGGGCTCACAAGTTACCTCCTCCATGGCACCACCGTGTTGAGTCAAGAAGAACTGCTTGAATGATGTCTTCAGGAGACCATTGACGGCGGTAAGCCATTTGTCGTCGCTGGTCTTTACACAGAATTGTTAGTATGATCTGTCCAACTAGATTAACGGCAATGCAATGCTGACCTGGTTGTACATATAAGCAGCTCCACCCAGATAAACACCATAATTATAGGTCCACTGGATGTTGCCGGGAGATTTGCAATCGTCATCCATATCGGCCGAGTCTGCAATAACCCAGGTCTTATTATTCATAAGCACAGAGCTAGCTGACCAGTCCCAGACCTTCTCCGCCCAATCCTTGTATTCAGAATCCCCGGTATATCGGTAAAGACGAGCTGCCAGCTGGAAGAATCCACCGTTTGACACAGAGTTCTTCATTGTATATCCACTTTGATAGACAAAGGCCTGCCAGCGTAGCCCACCGCCACACTTTGACGTGTCCCATCGGTTCTTCTGGTCATTAAAGACACCCTGCGCAAGGGAGAGCCAGGAATGTCCATCCGAGACATCTGGAAGCTTCGATTCGGCCGCTTGGATTGCTGCAAGACCCCAGAACATTTGATCATCATTTCCCTACAAATTTCAACCTTTAGTTCCCACAGCCATGCTTGAAGCCATAATATCTCCTGGGTAGGTAACAAGTCTTACCAAGAATGAACTATAGTTGCTAGTCCAATAGTCGCCGTTCGGTCCACCTTGAAATTGCAAGCCAACACTCAACTCATCGTTATATGTATCGTCGCCCGTGAAATGCCAATAATTGAGAAGCGCGAGAAATAGAGCTGCACCTTCCCACCATTTATCAGGGAAAGCGCCTGGAATCTGACCCGTTTCATTGCCATGATACCATGTCATCATTCCGTAGATGGACTGTGACGCAGCATCCTTGATAGACTCTTTTATTCGTAATCTGAGATTAGTCGCCATAACTCAATCGGACTGGATGGAGAACGAAACTCACGTTCGTCGTCGACCTGAAGGTCAATCGCAGAGACCTTTTGTCCGAACAGTAATCCATAGAGGAGATATGTCCATGTTGACTTGAACCACATTGCGACGAGAGATCGCGCCCACGAACCGACTCGTTGTATAAGGTAAACTTAAGGCCCGCTGGCTTATTCGGTACTGTGAGCGTCGTATAAATCGAGGTGGTCTCCTGTGCAAGTCGTGAGCCTTTGAGAAGAGAAGAAAGGCTTGTCTGGGGTTGGAATCGAAAAAACCAGCGTTTGCGGGGCGGCAAGTCTCAGGACTGCGCTGAGCCGCCCTAGCTATGTCACCTACAAATCCCTGGGAAATATTAAATGGAGCCTTCGACTTACCCTGGTTAAAGTGGAGAAGGGGTGGACGTAATCACCGTCAATCTTGACATACAAAAGGGTCTGTAAGGGCCCATTCGCTGTTATCAGGTGTGGTGGGTAGCTATGAACGTTATGACTCGCCAAGACCCTTGATCCCCCGGGGCCCATTCGAATCACGCCAACCAACTGGATCAATAGATCGTCAGGAGATTCATGGCTGTGTTCTCCACTCTCAAGGATTCGACCGCACGCATGATTGATCGCTCACATCTATCGTAGCCCGAACACAGACCTCCTCTGAAAGGAACACGCACAGCATGTCTTCAAGCAGCCAAGAGACTGCGTAGCATGCGACATCTCGATACTCTAAGGCCAAAAATCCATCCGCTTGGTGCGCACAGAGACCCGAAAGGCTTGAGGAGGTCTCAAACCAATGATATATAAGTGTGGGAAGAGCGGGTCAGGGTCAGCTCCACCTAGCTTCGACTCCACCACTGATATTGGTGGAAGAAACGCGCTCTGGAGCGATCTTCTATTTTCGGAGTGACAATCACTTCCGGATGTGTCGAATCCCACTGACATCATCCTATGATTTCTGTTCATCGCCTGCTCCCCCTGAGCAAGCGTGATTGCTCAGGCACTCTTGGCGATTTCCGCCTTCGGTGGTTTTCACCGCCCAGGAACATTGAGCCAGGTACGATATTGATGATCTTGACCTAGAGTACGGAGTATGTACAATGCTGATAATTCCTTGGTCACTTGGCATTTAAGCTTATTTTCTTGTTAAGCCGTGTTCTTTGGCCCCCATCGCGTTCAGTCCATTTTGCTTACTTTCACATTTCGGTTTACTTATTTTTACCTTGTGCTCTAATCACCATCTACTTGCTTACAGTTTGAGCTATTGACATCTCTCGTGTATAGACTTTGCGGTACGACTCTTAGTATATGAAAACCAGGTGCCCATTTAACAAATGCAGATAGCAAATTAACATTGGAATCTGAGAAAGCGCGGGATCTGGAGATCGAGAAGTATCAAAAGCAAATACACTTGTTTGTTGGCTTCTACACCGATCGTCACCCCAATGCTACCAACCCTGGAGCCGCCCACCACTAGCCTCTCGTACAACCCGCATCCACTCAATATCCGATAGTACATCCGCATGGATCGAGACCTTAACATCAAGCATTCTTCTGAGCTGCTCTTTCGTAGCAGCGTACAACATCCTAGGCTGGCAGTGGTCAGATATGACATAGGTAGCAAGGTAGAAAAAGCCGGTTATAAAAACACTCAATTGGGTCGACGTTTCCTCCGGCACCCAACTAATAACACCGACCATGTTAGTCATAATGATCCCAAATCTCTCACTAACAAATTAGAGTCTAGTGTCAGGTGTACCATACCTTTTCCCATCCTCTCTTAAATCATACTCCACATCATAAACAGCATACCTTGGCGCAGGATTTCCCTCACGATCAACGGAAGAAGTCAGTTTTTGTAGAAAAGCCTCATAGTTTCTCTCAGTAGAGCTCTCTTCCACCTCGGTGGACCTTTTATCGTCGCTAATTTTGTAGATCAGCAAGGATGGCTTGTTTGCGCCTCGCTTATTGTGGAGTTGGGTGTATGCGGTGATGCATTCGGTTGGGATGTTGACACTTTTTGATTCCAAACTTAGTAAAGAGTCCTCATAAGAAGAACCCGCTTTGTTTCTGTCTGGATGACTTGATGACATACCCAGATGGAAGCAAACGCCAGTCAAACCCATCGTCAGTGTCAAATCTAATGATCCCACAAAAGTTGAAATTGTAAACTAAGCGACATTGTGGCTGAGGTGGTGAAGATTGAGAATGAGTGAACTTGGTATGGTGTAAAATGAAAGTTATTCTCATAACTCAAAAACAATGCACAACAGCAGCTATTAAATGGTAAATCTACCCTAACCTATTTTTAATCAACTAGGCAGATGGAAAGCTTGCTCCTTTAGCACGTCTTTTGAGAAAAGAATTCCCCAATACTAAAGGGGCTTATCGGGTCTTCGGGTCATTTGGTCCCACGGGCCCGAGAGGCCGGTTGCTTAGCAGTGAAATTATCAGAAACAGAAAATACATTCAGCGCTCCCTAGCGTGTGCACGCTTTTGGCCTAATGATATATATTTTTCTGTATTTCCGCCCCTGCTGCATTCGGCACTAAATCATTAGAAAATAGCGAAAGCATTAGGTGGGCTGGCCACCCCACCGACAACCTGACCAATCAACTAAGTCAGCATTCTCCCGCACATACATAGGGCTTTATAAATTATATTTGACCCACCTTGAGGGGCATGCTAGACAAAAAGAAGCTGTATCTGCCAGTCGCCTTGCAATGCTGAGATAGCTTCTCCAAGTCAAACATCTCACCGATCGGGGTTCCCCACCCAGCCAACACCCATTCATGAAGATTGAAGTCCGGATCAGCATGGCTACCCCGAATTGGAGCCCGTTCAAAGCTCGGCGCATCGCCGGCGACGGCAGCAAATTGTTGATCCCACAGCCAGCGGACCATACCCTCTGTTGCTTCCACGCCGCTGAAATCAGGGTTTGAGCGTTGCGGAATTGCTTCGCGTTGTTTCTCATCCAAGCTATTGTATGCAGCAGTGAATCCGCATCTGATGAAAAGAACGTCGCCTTTCCTGAATTCAAGATTGTGGTCTTTGATGACTTGTTTCAGTTGCTCGAGAGTAATAGCTTCGGAACTCAATGCAGATACCGATATGGATTTGGATGCGGCCCATTCAGCAAAGTCAAGCAGAACGCCACGACCAGTGATACCACCACTCTCGGCAACAGCTAGTATTTCTCGGTCAATTATGGCGCCTTATATAACGAGTACAAATTTTATGGGATTCGCGTACTGTGCATGCCAATGACGTCGGAGCTCTCAATCTCATCCGTCGTATGCCCGTTATAAAACTGTTGTGACTTTTGGTTCGCTGAGAGCCGACTTAGTATTCATCTCTCCAAGATACGTACTGGTACCTAGTATAATGAACAACTCACCATAATGCCGGAACCCATCCCACTGTGTTGAGCCCTGGCTGTTGAAGGACAGGATGTCGTCATATATACAGTTGGGATGCCGGAGAATTATCTGCTGTTTGAACGGGTCGCGATTGAAGCTCGGATAAGAGGGCATGCTAAGCGGCCAATCGAGAGAGATGCGCACTCCAGTCTTGATTTCCCTTGCGGCCTCCACGATAACCTCGGGGGTAAGAAAGTTGAGAGTACCAAGTTCATCCTTCGGCCCAAACCTGCCCCAGGCGTTTCCTCGTGGGCCCTTCGGGTCGAGGGGGAGGGCATCGAAGGGAATTGTCGTTGTGTCTTTGGTGGGTGCCATGGTATGTAAGAGTCCTGCGGATGTGAAAAGTCAAAGCATTCGATTATGATCCAAAACTGACTTATCTTCACTCCTTCACTCGGTCTTAGATGTTCCGTACGAGTAAACCCCTCATCGCGGAGGTACCCCACACCCCCACGGGCCGGACTCATATCCGCTGCCGGCAAAAAGAAAACCAACAACGCATAAGCACTATTTCCGGATATGACTATAAAGTAGATATATGATAAACAGGAAATTAGCTACGTATATTATTTCAAGTTTAGCTCTGTCGCGAAATACGATATACTGTTATCTTTTATCCCTTGTGGAATCAAGTACATTGATTTAGAGTGTAATAGGGGTGTCCTAGGATCTTTACTAGTACTAGTAGTAACATAATTTGATGGGATAGTCAGGTACTCGCAGGACAATTCGATATCCTTATGTGTGAATATTTAGTTCCATTATTCCAAATTTATCAAATAGGTCGTATCGCCCACAGCCATCATAGTCAGGCGAGAGACGCCATGGAAACTAGAACTTTGAATATGGCGAAAGCCAATGCCAACTTGGATAGCATTAGGTAGGAGACGGTCTATGGAAATAGAGTCCGATAATTAACCTAACCCCCTTAGTCAAAGATCTATTTTAGTCCTTATTTGACTGCGCGCTGTGAATTTCTCTCGATTTTCTTTTTAGCATAGAGACCATTCTCAATTTTTTTAGTAGTTGCCTAAAGCTTTTGGCATGCTATTCGATGCTGTCATTACGCTACACTAAACGTAAGATGTCTATAGAAGGTAGTGGCTGATCTAGCACGGGGTCTAAGCCGTGATCCTGTGGAGCACTGCCATCTGATTCGAGGCTCGTATAGTAGTAGACTGTCGGACTCATTCCGGCAAAGCCCCCAGCCTCAAGCATTCAAAGCGTGGCATTCTACTAAAATTAGCAAATGGGAGACATCGGGTGGGGAAGTCTGACAGAATCATTTCAGAGTTAGTCCATACGAACTAGCCAATCGAGGTTACGTCTTAGGGCCACGCGGACCCACCTTTAGGGGGCCATCTCGTATGGACAAAGTCAACAACGACTTTTCACCAGGCAGCGGGAAAGCAACAGTTTGATATTTAAATCAGTCATATCTCTAGAGTTCTCTTTATCGAATTCAAGTTCATTCTCACAACCACTAGTACCATTGCCTTGCGTCATACGCTTCACCGACACCATGGCTCAATGCAAAGGTACGGACAAATTACAATCATCTCCGATCTGCGATTGCATTCCGCATCAAGAACAAGTAACTAACAGGTAATAGCTTTAACAAATCCGGATACTATGTGGCCATTTTGCCCATCAATAGCCCCTGCCTACATTTTTGCCGTCCTCTTCGGCCTGACAACTCTCTTCCATATCGCACAGGCAATCCTGCATCGCAAATTTTACTGCTGGGTCATCGCCATGTCCGGGGCGATGCAAACAGTGACCTATATCTTCCGCATATTGAGTATCCTCAGTCCGGCCAGCTATAGCTATTATGCTACATGGTTCATCTTGATTCTGGTCGCGCCACTATGGACCAACGCCTTTGTCTATATGGTTATGGGTCGAATGGTCTGGAACTTCAGTGATGATGCGCGTGTCCTGCACGTACGACCTTGGCGGTTTGGTCTTTTTTTCGTTATTCTTGATATCATGTTAGTCCCCTTTCTCTTCCATCTATGGTTCTATGCTAATGATAGAAAAGCGCGTTTATTGTTCAAGTCTATGGAGCCGCGATGGCAGCAGGCGATGATGTCTCATACAACACGGAAATGATAGGACTTCATATTTATATGGGTGGTGTCGGCGCGCAACAGCTCTTTGTTATCATGTTCATTGTTTGCGCAATCTTTTTCCACCTCAAGATTATCCGGCAGCAACGGTCAGATCTGAAGAAGGCTCTACTTCTCCTATATGTGATTTATGCGTGTCTCGCCTTGATCACGGTAAGTAAAGACTCGAAGCTATGATATGATCATAATATGGAACTAACTGATATAAAGCTGCGCATCTGTTTCCGCTTAGCCGAATACTCGCAGGGTCTCGAAAGCAAAATCCCCCTCCACGAAGCGTACCAGTATTGTCTCGACAGCTTGCCTATGCTGATTGGACTCGTGCTTCTTAACGCTGTGCACCCAGGCCGCATCATGCCGGGCAAGGATAGTGACATGCCGAGCCGCAAGCAACGCAAAACTATGACAACCTATACTAAGACTCGGGCATTGGATGATGAAATGGTATGTACTAGTAGTGTTCTCTGCTACATAAAATGGCTATCGCTGACATGTTCCACTTAGACTCTACAAGAATATAATTCGAGCGTTTAAGTTGGGTTATTTAACACTATTTCCAAATTGTTTGTACGCATTTAGCGCTTCGGTGTTTCATTGTTATAATGTGTTGGTAATGATAGAAATGGCTTGTTGTTATCCGTATACTTTGGCTACCATATTCTAGTAGTAAATTCCACCGTAATTTTCCCTCCCACATATGTACTCAAGCTAGAAATTAGGGAGATAAAAATAGTATACACTTCAGTCCCAACTTTTGTTGATCAACGCCAAGTTGTCGGCTCATCCCATGGTGAGAATCCCATCAAGCCTAGCTTATCGCTGACAAAGTGGAATCGCGTCGCCCCCAACCGACAATTTTCAAGCCACCGAGACGACCCCTCGTTCGTCCACCCATACCACCTCTAATCCCCCACAGCTTGCGAGAACCATGCCCCGAGTTGATCCGGAGGCCCGAGTACGAGCATATCGGCCCAAGACAAGGACCGGCTGCTTGACCTGCAAGTCCGTTTCCCCTTCCCCAACATGATCCCCTGCTGACTGGATCCTGACTGGATCTAGGAGTGAGAGGCGCATTTCTTTGCATTAACCTCTTTTCAAGTTCTTTGACTACTCACTGAAAACAAATAGAACGACGCGTCAAGTGCGGTGAAGAACGCCCGGCCTGTCGGCGATGCACGTCCACCGGCCGCCAATGCGATGGCTATGGAGACACTAAACCATCTGTTAACTTAACGACTTCACCATCAAATGCACTACTGCCGAAAGGACCCACTGTCCAGCCATCTACTAGCCCCTGGTATAATTTATTTAATAGCGATCGGGAGCGCCGATCCTTTCAATTCTTCCTGGAGAAGACCGCTCCTCAGCTGGCCGGCGACTTCGAGTGCGCCTTCTGGGAATCCCTACTACTACAGTCCGTGCACCATGAACCGGCCATTCGCTATGTCACCGTGGCTTTAGGTTCACTCCATGAAACCTTTGAACGCGATGTGGCCCCATTCCGCTCCGGTCAATTGGCTGCCAACGGCACCTTCGCCCTGCATCAATATCTATCTGCTATGCGCTGTCTCATGCCCACGCCGACCAGCTCGCAACCACTTGACGTATGCCTAATATCATGTGTTCTGTTCGCTTGTTTTGAGGTGCGTTTCTATTCCTCCTCTTACAGAGCGATCCGTACTAGCTTCAATGTTTAGGCAATGCGTGGTCACTACGGGCCAGCCATCACACACATCACCAGCGGACTGAAGATCCTTGCCGAGATCCGAAGAAACGCGTCTAGCACCTTTATAACATCTGAATTGAATAGAAGGCCATACATTCCGATGAATGTATTGTGCGGTTTGTTCACACGCCTCCAGGGCCAGGCCGCTGTTGTACGGATATCCCTTTTCGGAAATCGTCCCCATTGCCATTCGATCACATTGCTGATCATTTTTGTCACAGACCGAGCAAGATATCCGTTCAGATCAATTCAATATCTGGCCTGAATTGGCTATAGATCTCGACCGGCCCGTTGGTTTCGATTCTCTAGCTGACGCGCGTGAAATGCTCGAGATATACACCTATTGGTACCGACAGCAGGACGCACAGAGAATATCTCTAATGGAAAAACTAAAGACTCAGAATCCAGAGATTATTGCAGATTCAATCACCAATCTTACACGTGATGCCGTTGCCCTACGCGACACTGGGCTCTCATTGCTGGAGCGCTGGTCTACAGCGCTGGATGAATTTTTGCATAGGCGCGGTGCCTCTCTTTCCACTCGCGAGCGCCGGGGAGCCGCCATTCTACAATTACGCAAGATTGACTGCTTCGTAGCACTCAATGCCCAACCACTAGTCCCCGAGTTAGAGGCAGAGAATTCAAGTTCTTACACCTGGGACAAGTTCTGCCCTTTTTTCGAGCAGATGGTGGTTCTAGGCGAGTCGATCAATGACATATATTCTTCTCCTTCGTCTTCGCCATCTTCGTCTATCTCGTCATATCCATCCTCATCCAAGACTTTTTCGCTCGACTTCGGCATCATTGCAAGTATGTTCAACGTCGCTGCACATTGTCGCGACCCATACATCCGAAGGCGTGCCGTAAGCGTGCTCCGCTCCTCCACCGTCCAGGAAGGGGTGTGGAACAGCGTCGCTATAGCGGCTATCGCAGCGAAGTGGGTCGAAATCGAAGAGGAAGGGCTGAAGGGCGTAACAAGCTGTGCAGATATACCCGCTGCAGCAAGACTGGCGCAGTTTCTGCCTGTCTTCGATGTGGATCAGCCCAGTGCGCAGGTATATTTTAGCCATTCGCTCATTTTGGATCCTGCGAATGTACGCAGAGAGGTATTGCAATGGTAGGACAGATGTTAGAAAATAAAGAATTTCAATGTATACTAGAAAGGCAAGCAGTTACAGAATGATAGCTACTAGTAGTATTAGGAATCTAGCAGGATGCCAAAATTACCTCTTAATGGATCGGAGCCCGGATAACAAGGGTATTTTCAACTTCAGCATGTCAAAATAAGTGATGAAATTTCAATAGTTGAGTACAAATCCGATAAGGAAGAATCAAAAGTATCTGTTACAAAGTAAAGTACGCAATAGTCGCAGCGTATGTGTCCAAATTGTCACCGACAACAGCCAAAGAAGTCCCATCCTTGACTATCATGTTAGTCGTGCCAACCGTACTCAGTGCATATACCACCAAATTGTTCGTGCTACCTTCGATGCTAAAGATTTCGCTTTGGCAGTTCTCGGGTAACGGGAAGGTCGAGCAAGTGGTGCTATAGTGGTTGAAGAAACTGTACAATCCTGCTCCGTAGATGTTAATATTACTGCTATCGAGGACACGGAGTCCTAAGGAGTCGCAGTTTCCGGAGAGACAGCTGCTGTAATCTGGATCATTCAAAGCGGAGTTGGTAGGGTAAGGGCTATTTGCCGCATCGGGGTTGGGTTGGTAGTATCTGAAAGGTAGTTAGTGAGATGTGAAATAATGCTTCGTGCTTGGTCTTCAAGCTACTTACGGTGTTTCTGTTTGGATAAATCCTGCCACAACTGACTTGGCTCCTGAGAATTGATACTGGTAGAGCGAGTGGTGCTCAACACCCGTTCCGTACCTGATAAAATTTAGCGACAAAGCAATCTCAAATTCCGATACAGTACTTACAGCCATATGTTTTGGCCTTCAACCAGCAGACCTCTTCCGGAGTAGACGGAGATCTGAGTATTATCAGCACTGTCAAGGTCATGGTCTGCCGTCCACAGCCAGACGTTGTCTAAATACACCCCACTGGCGCTACTAGTTATGTGCATAGACATGTAGGCAACCTCGCAAGCGGCAGACACAGCCGCAGAGGTTGGGCACTGAGCCACCTGCTGCTGAGAGCCGGCGAAACCACCAATGCGAGCGTGAACATCCCACATGCCGGAGCCCGAGCTTGCAGCCAAGTTCCATTCGATCAAAACGGCGCCAGGAGTAGATCCTTGCGTACTGACAATCATATCAGACCACTCAACTGAGCCTGATTCGCCGGATTTTCCAACTTGAATAACCGGAACGGGATTCGAGATGCTTGAGAAAGTACTTCCACTTGCCATGATCACCGGGTATGCTTCTCCAACAATCCGCGATCCAGGAGGGAAGTATATAGTCTTTGTGACCTTGTAGGTTCCTTGGTCGAAGAAGACAATCTTGCCAGAAGATGCAGCCGAGGTCAAAGCTGATTGAATGGCAGATGTATCATCTGTGGAGCCATCTCCAGCAGCTCCGGCACTTCGAATACTGACGAACAATGACTGAGCGGATGCTTCGTACTGAGGCTTGCTCTTTGTATAGTAGTTTGACGATCCACTTGCCAGCAGTGCGCTAGGGCGTGTTGGCGCAGTGAAAGTACCTTGAAAGTTGGTAGGTCCGTTAGGAGTATACTTATGGCCCTGTCCCCAAGCACCGATTGTTGTGGTGCCGCCAGCAAGGACAGTACCACTCGGACCCTTTACTGCGACTGGGACATTCTCAAGAGCAATATTCTCCAGAATAAGACTTCCGTTGCTTGAGGTTGAAGACTGCCAAGCACTAGTCACAAAGGTCGAACAATCCTGAATGGTACTGTCAAGAACAACGACTGATCCCACGAGTTGATTCCCAACACCGCCATTATTAACTGAAATGGCAGTAGTACAGTTCGTGATAGTGAGGCCCTGGTAGGTCCAGCCCCAATCCCAGATTTGAGAGATACCCGTCACTGCGTCCGAAATTACCAAGTTGCGCATAGTGAATTGTTGATTGCCGACATTGGCACCATACAGGCCGCCGGTGATCGTGATATCAGCCAAGAATCCACCAGAGCCTAATTCTCACAGTCAGTTCCATCGTATGAAGGGATGGGGCTATTGATCTCACCATTCTCAATGAATAGGCCTTGGTGTTGGGTCCCGGAACCAGAGCTCAGAACGATATCCACATTCTGGATACTGGTCGCCTGTCCAGTTGGCCAATGAATTCCAGTGGCAGCTGAGCTCGCGGGAATATTGGTCAGATCCAGTTTCAAATTGCGGATCTGTCTGAAGAAGACGTTCGTTGAAGTCCATCCTTGATTGCCATCGCTTTGGTATTGGTCTCCATCGATCAACCCAAGTCCACTAAAACCGGCAGTTGCCTTGATTACGGGCATGGAATTTGGGTTCCCAATCAGCTGAGTGAAGTAGTAGTCGATGATGGATGAAGAAATCAGGTACGTTCCCGCCGGGAAGTAAACAATAGCGGGAGTTGTGGTCGAGCTCTCGCGACTCGCGGGCCCAAAACGACCGCCAGCGCTGATTGCAGAATTGATTGCAGCAGTATCATCAGTCACTCCGTCGCCTATAAAGCATCAGTATTGTATCTAGATTTTTTGGTAAGCGGGGGACTACCTTTGGCACCATAGTCCATGACATTGCGGAAAACAGTGTAGCTGGAAGGGTTTGAGTTGAAAGCAGCCTTGCCCTGGTGAGAAATATCGGCAAGCCAATACGACGCGTCTGTTGCTGCTGCTTCAATGGCAATGTTGGCGTAATCGGTATCGGTGCTTTTGCTCAGCTCGGATGAGGCAGTTCCAGTAGGGCCATCATAGTCTGTCCAGTCTGCTAGGGGCTTCAAGGCAGATTTGACGAGCTCATCCACGGCCGGGATGTCCAGGAGCTGTCCTCGGACACATGACAATAGGGAAACAAGCGTGATCACCGAAGCATAGTGCATTTTGACTCCAAGCACAGATCACAAAGGATGCGGATAGCAAATTATGCAGTGGGGGAGCACGGTTTTTTATACCCACGCATCCACATTCAGCTTCGGCATTTTCTTCTAGATTCAAGAAGCCATGCATTTAGCGTGGAGAAGGCGCGCATGACAATTCAAGGAAAAGGAATGAGAGCCCACGCGAGCCACGTTGATATTGCCGAAAGTGACCCCGAACGCGCAACGAGTGCCACCCCGGAGTACTACTTGAGACGGGGAAATATAGATCGAATGACTCTAGGGCCCTCAAATTACCGGCAGAGGCTGGTTTGGCATTTCAGCCATCGCCAGTCAGGGCATTTATTCACGCTGTCACGCTGGACCTGCCTCATGATCTCAGGGGCGAGGTAAAATGAAAATAAGGAATAGACCGCGCCGATCGCGCCCCATGGGGGATCGAGTCCCCTGTCGAAGCTGCAGCCTGGAGCCAATAGTGAGGGAAATCACTGCCACCACACAATTTGCTCGAGCTCAAACGGAACTAGGCGGACGGCGTGGGCAGCAAAGAGGAATGGAATGTGACTAGCTGCAGAATCTATTGGCGCCACTTTCGGGGGAAATGCGACTCAGGGGTCACGCATTGTGACAGCCCTGGAGGAGTTCAAGTTGAGGGAGGAATTAAATAATGCATCGAGAAGAACTGTTTCCAAGTAACCACCTGCCCAGGTGGGGGGGTATACATCCGAATGCCTTCGAGTCTGGATCCCCGAGGTACGAAGTGCCTAGGTGCTGGCTCGGATGTAGTTTGTATATATCGGAAGGATCCACGCAAGAACCCCAGGCTAAGTTTATTCTCCAAAACATTAGATTATAAGAATGACCCTGCACCTTGTCAATAGATAAATATGTGATCCAATCCAATGTTTCCGCTACGATAGTCATGTATTTTCGCTCGGTCACCGGTGTAGTATAATATATATCATTCTGCAGAGGGGTAAACTTGAAAGCACCAGGTGAGAACTTGAAGCCAGCGCTATACTAGCAAGTCAGTCATGCCGTGTGGGAATAACGATTCCGACCAATCTCTATTTAGACTGAAAGCCATGCAAGTGCTCGTGGCAAAAATTGAGAAACCACCCAGGCTTCGCTAGTGATGACAATTAGGTTCGCGACTTGAAACCGTTCGGTCAAAGGGGCTTGGGTCTGGATTGCCAGTAAGACCGGACTCTGGGAAGTTAGAACTCCGGATCAAGAGTGGATACGGAGTAAACGGAGGATATGGGACAGATCGCGATCGAAAAACGGTGGAAAGATGATGATCCCCTGAAGAAGACCGCCGGTGAACCGTGCACGAAGACTGCATGGGTTGCTGCGTCCACCCACTGCAGATGCGTTTTGAGTCCCTGGTCGGACTTGAAGAGGATATGTGTGGTTACCACGACGTCATTGAAGAGGGGGAACTTTTGCATTGGAGGGCTTAGATGAAAGTCACCGGGGGTTCTTCTGTCGAGAGCGTCTCTGGATTGAATACAACCGAGCTTCCACGATAGAAAGGAAGGTAAAGGATCGTACTCGTAGAGAGTTATTCATAGACAGGAAGATGCCCGCGCAACACACATTCATGCCAAGACAGCCTCACGTGACGGCAGAAATGGGTGGGCGTCCGCGAGTTTTGGCAGTCTCCGCGTTCGAAAAAAAAATATCCCCAGGGCCAAATCGACCTCCTCCCTCCCTTCCGACATCGCGAAAAGACTGTATCTCCATCGAAGAGATCAGTTATCCATCCTATCCTTCCGATTTTTGACCCTGGTGACTCCACCGTCGAAGTCAGCTTGCGCGACGGATCGCGGGAAAAAGGTCGTGTCACGGAACAAGACCAAGACCTCAGCATATCCTCATCGAATCTTGCAGAGACAAATTAGCTTTTGCTCTCTGAGTAATTAAAGATATCAAAGCGGTGGTCTCGGAAGTTTCAGTCCTCTTTCGCCTTTCTCCCGATACCGCGCGACGGACAGACGAAGCTCTCACAGCGGCTTATCCCACGCGTGCGAGGTGACCAGAGCTCCCCCCGCGACCACAACAAGGGCCTGGGATAGATAGATAAACCTCCCTTGAGAGCGAGGGAATAGTTGAAGAATCACAACAAGGAGGAATTTGGATGATTTGGATTGAAACCTAAAAGATCGCAATTGATCTTGGGAAGGCACGACTGCGGTTCCTGTTCTTGTTGCTCCTGCTTCACCATCACCACCGCCCATCACCACAACAAACATTAACAAACAACAACCTCCGCAAAAGGTTGTAGTATGTCCAAACGCTCAGCGCAAGGTCCCCAAGGATCCAAAGACGACGACCCTTTTCTTGAAATGTCGAGCACTCCAAACGAAGCGCCTCAGCGCGCCACCGCCGCTCAGTTGGCTAGCAGAAAGTAAGTGGCACACATACACCCCCCCGTTGCCCTGCAGAAGCAGTGCTGGTATGGTGATGAGAGTCGAGGTCCTCTAGGTGAGGACAAACAATCCTGTTTGTGAGAAGAAGTCCAGGTCAGGGTGCACGGAGACAGACAGAGTGCGGGGACGGAGAGCTGACAGCAAGTGAATGTGCTGTGGCATTCTCTCTTGCTCTCACTCTGATACTCTCATCCATGATTCACTACATACTCCTCCATCCACCAGACTCTGCTTCTCTACACCACTCCATTACTGCTTCGCTTTGTCTCTATTCAATCCACACATTGAGATATGCGCTTTTTTCCGTCCCATCATCGAAATGTCGCATCTCAATCTCCTCCGCAGCATCCGCAGCAGGAATTCCCAGAGCCCACCAGCTAACAGTCAATCGCCTAACAGAATCAAGGACATTCGCCGACGCCCTCGAGGCACGACCCCGACTGGCGGTGCTGACGCAGTCCAACAACCCTCCAATGCCTTCGGTGGCCTTTCTACCCCCAACTTTTCAAACCCCGCTCCCAGTTTTGGAGCTCCTCCAGCTCAATCTGGAGGTTTCACTTTCGGCCAGACCCAAAGTCAAAGCTTCCCGGGAGCCAGCTCCGGCCCCAGCCAGCCCAGCCAGCCCAGCCAAAGCAGTGCTTCACCCTTCTCGTTTGGAGGCGGCGGCGGCGGCGGCAGCGGCGGTGCTGCTCAAACTGGCTTCAATTTCGGGGGCTCTTCTGGTGGATTTGGCTCTTCTACGTTCAACAACCCTTTTGCTAGCGATGCTGGCAAAGCTGCCCCCACCCCGACTACCCAGAGCACTTCCTTCACAGGCTTCAGCTTCGGTAACCAAACCACTTCTCAGCCCGCACAACCATCCCAGCCTGCCTTTTCCTTCGGTGCGCCACAAACCACGACTCCCTCGATGGGCTCTGGCATGTTTGGTCAATCAAACGCCATGAACTCCGCTTCCACCCCTGCTGATTCTATGCAAATGTCACCGGACGCCAAACCAAAAACCTCCACTACGACCCCATCATCTTTCCAAAGCCGTAATGTCTTCGGAGACTCGGCTCCCAATTTGTTCTCTCCAAAGCCTGATACCCCGGCCGGTAACCCATTCAGTAACTTGAATGGCACTTCGACCGCTGACAAGCCCGCGAGTGACAAGGCTGAGGGCTTTGCTGCCAAGCCTGCGTTTGCTGGTCAATCAACCCCAGCATCTAACCAAACTCCTCAATTTGGAAACCTATTTGGTGCCCCCGCTGCAACTGCGAAACCATCAGAATCTGAGAAGGCTGCATCGACGAACATGTTTGGAGCTGGCTCGGCCCAGTCTGCATTCCCGGGCTTGTCGAGCCCGAAGCCTGCGACTGAGCAAGCCACTCAAAATAACGTCTTCGCACCGAAGTCCACCTCGGAGCAGAAAACCGACACACCTGCCGATGCCAACCCATTCAAGAACCTCTTCGGAGCTGGCTCAGCCACTCCTCAAACGTCCGCCCCTCCGGCTCAGGCTTCTCCAGCTCAGAATCTTTTCGCTCCAAAGCCAACCGCGGAGCAAACTCCCAGCAAACCTGCGGAGGCTCAGCCATTCAAAAATATGTTTGGTGGAGCTCCTACTTCCAGCACGCCTAAACCTGCCGGGGCCTCGGCATCTGCCAACCTGTTTTCACCTAAGCCAGCCGACGCCACGGTGTCCAAATCTCTATTTGGGGCCCCTGCTGGTACTCCCAAGCCTTTCGAAGCCCCCAAGGAGCATCCAACCCCAGCACAAAATCTTTTCGCTGCTAAGCCAGCCTCAGATCAGCCCGCCACAAACAACCTATTCGCATCAAAATCGGCAACAGACCAAGCTTCCGAGAAGCCCTCCAACTCCAACCCGTTTGGATCTTTGCTTGGAGCATCTTCCCCCAAGCCTAATTCATTGGAGCCGGAGCCCGCCAAACCCCAATCTACCCCGACGCCAAATCTATTTGCACCTTCACCGGCCAAGGCACAGGTGTCGACAAACCCCGCCAGTTCTTTGGGCGGTCTCTTCGGCGCCAAGCCCGATACGACCGCGCAGGCCACTGCTCCTCCTCCGTCAATCTTTTCAAATTCTAAGCCGACGGTTGCTCCTCCGATTCCGAAGTCGGGTTTGGCTGATAGCGTGGACAAGAGCAATTCTGAACTAGTGAAGAAGCTTCGCATTCTGGATACAATTTTCAAGGAGGAGTTGTCCACCTACCAACCTGGCGTGGATGGGTTTGACCGTTTGATTATGCATTATCTGGCTGTACGTCATTCAATTGGCGCGCCGGTCGGTTCTAAGAATGACTGGAAGAATTTTGGGACGACACATGTTCCCAACGGCCAGCCTGCAGGAGCTTCTGTGAACGGGGTGAATGACTCGACCACCTCCAGCGTGTTTGCACAGTCGTTTTCGTCCCCAGCAAAGGCAACTGATCCAGTGAATGCTGCGGTCAAAAAGTCCGAGAATCCATTCGCAAAGCTTAACACTGCAGACGCCGGCAACTCGTCCAAGCCCGCCGAAAATCCTTTTGCGAAGATTCCCACCACCGCCACTGGTGCCACCTCTGAATCTGCTTCCAAGGCTGCTGAGAACCCCTTTGCCAAGATCACGACCACGACTCAAACATCAACACCCTCGGCTCCGACAGTCAAGAAGTCTGACACACCTGCTGCGCCAAAGCTGGCGGGTAATATGTTTGCCGGTGCTCAATCATCGAATACCAATGGCTCGGTAGCTCCTCTTTCAATGCCCAAGTTCGGCAACGGCACTGGCGGTGTGGACTTCATGGCACAATTCAAAAAGAAGGCAGAAGAGACTGCGGCCAAAGAAAAGGCCAAGCGGAAGGCAGAGGACTTCGACTCTGATGAAGACGACGAGGAGGAATGGGAGCGTCGTGATGCTGAGCAGCAACGTGAGAAGCGTGCCAAGTTGGAGGGCGCTTCGAAAAAGAAGGCCGTTTTCGTTCCCGGCAAGGGCTTCTCATTTGTTGATGAGGACGAGGAACCGCAAGAGGACTCTTCTAAGAAGCTTGCGCTGCCCGCCCCTTCTCCTGCTCCTTCTTCTAGCTCGATCTTTGATTCTTCGAGCCAGCCCGTCCCGGCCTCGCAAAACATTTTCGGCCGCATCTCTTCAACGACCCCCCCAACCCGTCGATGATGGTAATGACAGCGACGCCTCTGATGAGACGAAACCTCGATCACCGAAGCGCCGTGTCTCCGGCGATGGCAACGATGAAGAAGTCGATTATGAGGCTGCTGGGCATAAGTCTAAACGAACAAAGGCAACCGAAAATGGCGATACAAGCAAGTCTAGCCTGGACACACCCCTTCCGGCGCCGACTGCTGCAGCAAGCCGAAGCCTTTTCGACCGTATCGAATCCCCAACCCCAAGCATTGCTTCTCCCAAGCCAGCTTCTGGCGGCATCAACTTCGGTGCCTCTACCCCTTCTAATTCGACAAACCCTTTCGCGTCTCTCGGCGCAAAGTCTCAGACTTCTCAGCTCTTTGGTGCCTCGTTTGGCACCGGCTCGTCCCAGCCAGCATCTACCACTTCCCCAGCCCCGGCCGACAACACCTGGAAGCCCTCCACTCCTATCAAGTTTGCCGCCGACGCGAACTCAACTTCCGCCCAAGCTTCCACTGAGGCATCAGCTCAGACTTCTGGTGCTGAAAACGCCACCTCCGGAGCTGCAACACCTGATGAGGAGGGTGGTGCGCCTGGTTCTATATTCGACATGTCCTCCGCCAATGCCGGCGAGGAAGAAGAGACCGTGGTCTTTGAATGCCGCGCTCGCGCTTTCAAGCTGACCACTGGATGGGTCTCCCAGGGCACTGGAGTTGTGCGACTGCTCAAGCATCCCGGCACCGGTCGTGCCCGAGTTGTTCTCCGTGCTGATCCTGGCGGCAACATCATCTTGAACACGCTTCTTAAGAAGGAGCTTGACTATGCGCGTACCAGCAATAGCATGCAGTTCATGGTTCCCCAGGCTGATGGTAAGCCCGAGCAATGGGCTGTTCGAGTGAAGGCCGAGTCGATTGAGGCCCTCAACGGGCACTTCCAAGCTATTAAAAATTAGATTCTCACTTGAGAACAGCAGAGAAAAGGGGTTAATGTTGGCAGGTTGTTTCTTTTTTCCCTCTTCTTCACTTTATTCCCTTTTTCCTACCATTCCCGAATGTACGATAACGCAAGGAATCTACGTTGCACGTTCTTGTCCCTGTCCCTATCTTTGTTTTCAGCATTCATCAGGCGAAAATATGCATTTTACCCCCGGCTCCCGGTTTCATCATATCATTTTGTTTAATCTCTCCGTCTGTGTATTTCTGTGTATTGTCCCAGTGGGGTGCAATAGATTAGCTAGCATTGAATGCCAGGTGCAGTTCGATCAAGCTAGGTACTTCCAAGGTTCCCAAGACAGCGTAGTAGGAATAAGACAGACTCTAAGGAACCTCAAAAAGATCGAACCCAGCAATCGCTATCTTGATACTTTCTCACCCGAACACTGCCTTACCAGTAACATGCGGGAACGACTACATCTACATCTACGTAAAGGAACCGAAAAGAATTTGCAGAATGCACACACAAATCAAGGGTATGAAGATATTTTATTTTGAAAAGCCCCAACCGAACCCCAGTTGTAACATGGAATCATAGAAGCAAGACGCCGCGGTTAAACCATTTATGCGTCATCGACGGTGGCGGTGTGCAGACCCTTGGGGTTCTTGACGTTAACAGCCTGGACGTGGGAGTAGAGACGCTCCTCAGCACCCTCCTCATCGTTACGCTTGCGGGAAATGCGGACGCGCAGGCGGAAAGGGACACCCTTGATGCCGGCCTCCCAGACCTTCTTGTTGAGCTGGGGGTCGAGGCGGACGTCCTTGGTGCCCTGTGAAGGGGTTAGCGGTGGTCTTTCTAGACGGAAACGGAGCCAAATGTGCGCATGCGCACTTGGGTCCGAGGACAAGGGAAAGGAGTGGAAAAAAACTCACCATGGCGTGCTCAGCAAAGGCACGGATCTCCTTGATGGCACGAGGAGCACGCTTCTTGAAGCTAACACCGTGGCACTATACCGAAAAAGAAGGTACAATCAGTCTTCCGTCCGAATGCCATCTGGTAGAGACGCTGCTCTGCGATGATTGTTTCGGCCATAAAGGTGGACTTCATCAAACTAATTTCTTCTTGTTGTGATCGATTTCGAGGGAAAGGCGTGTGTATGTATGCCAACTGTTCCACGTCCCTTCAATTGCGAGTCGTGAACTCGCGATTGGAGGAGATGTTTTCCAGTTGTCCGGTCGTCGCGCGCAGTCACTTTGCGGTTTCCCACACAGACGGTGCAGCAATCGGGGAGTGAGGGAAATCGAGGCAATGGACCAAAAGAGATTGTTGAAGATCTCATTTTGGCAATAGCTTCGAGAACCCGCACGCACACACATTTCGATTCTTGTCAATTCCCAGAAAAAGGTCTTCCGTTTCCGGAGCTTTTGTGTGTTCTCTGTCCAATTTGTTTGATTTCCTTATTGCGCCTTGACGGTCGTCGCAGATCAGGTTTCTTGGGATTTCGGGGGTTTTTTCAACATACCCTCTTGTGCAGGTTGATGGTGTACTCGCGGGTCACCACATCGGCGATGGCCGAGCGGGTCTTCTTGCCAGTGTTGACGTTGGACATTTCTGAGGAGGGAAATGTTAGCAAAGGCAGGTGTGAAGCGATTCGGAGAGCAACGAACTGGTTGGGGCGGTGTCGACTGTGGGCGGAAGTTGTCGATGAGAGAAATTCTGGGTTTGTGGCCGCGGATGAGTGTGGCTCGCTTATCGTGTGGGAGGTCTCTGATTGGTGGAGTCATGTGATACGGCCCCATCGTGTTTAGTCCCATTGCGGTAAAGCCATTGTGGCCTGTTTATTAAGGCAGAAATAAGGCAGCCATACTTTCTTTAACTACTGCAGCTGTTGCAATATAGTTACTAGTAAACAGTGTTATTGCCCTTGTAAATTATAGGGGAAATAAAGCTTCTAGTAATCCATTAGACTCTTCATAAGGTAATGAGTAAACAATCTGCCACGGCTTGAGTGGAGTTTGGTGCTCAAGAAGGGAATGTAACACAGGACTTTATTCGGTTATCCTAATTACTAATCTACTCATTCATCAAGTTAACTATACATCTGGGAATCATTTTGAGCCCTCACCGCTCACATCGGGATACACGTCAAATCGGCGCTGGGTATAGATGGGGATGCCCTTGCGAGTGTTCACGACGGTATCATTATCCAAATCCGCATAGATAATCGTCTCCTTCTCCTCCGCTTCAGTCAAGATCTTCGCACTGGGGTCGCTGATCAAACTGTGGCCGTATGCATGGTAAGACGCATCCAGGTCCTGCGATGGACTACACAGAGCAACATAGGTCTGGTTATCCACCGCACGAGCTCGGCCCAGAAGAGACCAGTGCAGAGGTCCAGTGGTAGTGTTGAAAGCACCGGGGTAGACCAGCAGGAATGCGCCCTTGCGAGCCGCAATCATGGCGGACTCCGGGAAACGAATATCATAGCAGATCGCCAGGCCAATCTTGCCGTATTCTGGGAGATCGATCACGGTCAATTGGTTGCCCGGAGAGAGAACCTCGCTCTCCTTGAACGTAATCTTCCCAGGGATATCGATATCGAACAGATGCGTCTTGCGGTGGGTACCGATCAAGGAGCCCGAGGGCGAGAAGACAAGCGAGGTATTGAAGTACTTCTTCGTCTCCGGCTCCAGCTCGGGGATACTTCCTCCGATAAGGTATGCATTTGCCTCAGCGGCGATCGCCGACAGGGCGTGGAACGAGGGGGACTGCTCCTTCGTGGGAGGGGAAGGGTGGAGGGTCTCGGCGTATTTAGGGAAATATTGCGTGCCGTACGGAGAGTTGAAGCATTCTGGGAGGACGATCAAGCGTGCGCCGGCCTTTGCGGCTTCGAGGACCTTGCTTCGAGCGTGGGAGAGGTTGACGGACTTGTCCGCGCCTAGATTCGGGGAGTTAATAGCGCTCCAAGGCTAGCGAGGATCGTGACAGGAGCACTCTACCTGATGCGAGCTGCACCAAGGCAAGCTTAAGAGGTTTCTTCAAGAATGTAGCCATATTGGTTATGATTGGGAGGGTGGGCGAAGAAAGAAAGGAAGTTCCACAGGGTACTAGTAAAATGTTGAAATGGGGGAAATGGGGGGAGACCGCCCCGAAGTCCGAAGTGCGGGGACAACCCTGATAAGGCGCGATATCCTAGGGTCGAACCACTGACAACCTCCGTTTTCTCCGATCTAGTGGAGAAAAAAGCCGACAAAAAAGCCGATGGTGATAGATGATGGCAGAATCAGAGGGAATGGTACCAGGAAGAAGAGAAAATGGAGAGAGACCTCGGGAATTCCACATAGACAGTGTCTGCCAAGACAATTTTGGGGTAGTTCCCCAGCGTCCCCATTATATACTTTATAGTACTTACTCCAATTATTAGGGTGGGGTGTTAGAAATGGAAGTTTGATTGGTCTATTCAATTGAAAGATATTAAATGAGTTTTTCTAAGTCTAAATATGCCTATGGGCATGGATGATGCCTGTTGTATGTACCCGCCGTACCAATCAGCTTAGATACTCCGCCTTTCTCACTGCTTGTCAGTGTTCACAGCATACTTGCTGTACTTCCGAATCTTGGGTCCGTAGATAAAAAGCAAATAAGGAATAAATGCCATCAATCCACTGATCGATCCCAATATCGTCAGGGTATACTGGACTCCAATAGAACGGTAAATCGGGACTCCAGCAACAGTCATACCACCCGCAACAACATAACGTGTGAAGACCAGGAATCCCAGAGCTGATGCCGAATACACTCCGTAAGAGTCAATGACATACATATAGGCGACAATAAAAATGGTCGTAATGCCATATCCAAAAAGAGCCGAAGCAATGAGCGGAGACCAAATCGAGATGGATGACTTTGGGCAGGTTAGTGAAATTCGCATCATTTCGTCGGGAAAACTTACATTGGAAGTCCATCCCATCCAGAATAAACTGATTGGGACTGCGGGAGCACCTCCGAGCATCGCATACCAAAGCCGCGTTTCAGGCACAATTGTGGAAGTTTTCCTATACTCCTTTGCTGTCCACGAGTATACTAATGGGACGATACACGTCACTAGGAGAATGCCACATAGCATACCGGCCCAGGCGACATTAGTAATCCCTTGCGATACTCCGTATGTGTCGGCGAAAATGAATGTGTAGCCCTCCAGGAAAGTGAATAGGACGATATACACCACCGTCAGATATAGCGACATCAAGATCAAAATCAACTCGGAATAAAACAAGATGAACGGGCGGTAAACAGACGTCAAGAGACGACGTCCCAAACTCTCACGCTTCATTTCAATCGGTGCTCGATATCGCTTATCACCAGTTTCCAGGCGAAGGATCTTCGCCTTCCAGTGCAAGAGAAGACTTCCGTATGTTTCAGGTTGAAGGAGAAGAACAATGATGAGGATCACGCCCCCCATAATCAGCATGATCCATTCCAACCAGCGCCATCCCAGTGTTTGTGGAATATAGCTACCGATAATTTGACCAATCATAGGTCCTGAGAATGCTGGAATTGCATAGGCGGGGAATGCATATGCCTTTTGTGCTGGATCCCAAAGGTCAGCGACTGTTCCTCCAGCGCAGCTGAGAGGAGTCGACCCAAAGAATCCTGCGAAGAATCGGAAGATGAGATGGCTGTGGAGATTCGGGGCGAGCGCGGAGGCCATGATGAAAACCAAGAAAAGAAGCATCGTTGTGAGGTAAACTGCATTCCGTCCAAAGGTCTCGGAGAATGGGCCTGAAAGGAGTGAGCCGGCACCAAAACCGACAAGGAAAAGACCTAGAGATCACTATTAGCTTTCCAGGAACGGCCGTGTGAAATCGAAGAGCCATTTACCGGTTGCTAGAGATCCAACCACGTCGGTTACACCAAAATCTTCACTGTATTGTAGCACGCCACAAGCATCAATTGCAGATGCTGCTGTGACAGAGATAGCAATGAGAGAGACCAAAAAGGTCATAAATAGTTTCCGTCCAACAGTTGCATTGGCAGGGTTCAGGGGATCTTCAGGGCCGTCCCAGCCGACCATGATCAAAGACTCATTGTCGGCAACGACTTGTGTAGAGGGGCCCTTCTCAGCATCAAGTAGTTTTGGATCGTATAAAGGACAACTGGAAGAATTGAGTAAGTTAATCGAAGATTAACGAGAAAGAAATGAAGAGCGATATGACAAACCTGGAATTGTGTGGCGACCCAATAGTATAGCCCTCACAGCTACATTTCGATTCGATTTCAGTCAGCTGGCGGCGAACCGCCTCTCTGATCCTACGATACTGTAGGTAAGACTCCATTGCAATGAAATGACCGACCTGGAGCCCCTGCTCTCGTTGAAATAAAATCAAAGCCGAGACCATCACCGGTGGAGATTGTTGGTTTTTAAAACCGCCAAATTTTCCACTGGTACCCACAATGCTCCTCATCCAAGGCCGGGCCCGCAAACTACCCAGGCACACAATTGGGTACCGAATTTCTACATAAACACATCGTGCTAAGCAGCTTCATATGGCGTTTGGTGTATTGGCTGTCGTTCTCTCTTTCTGACTGTGAGGTCTCGTTCGCTGATGGCCGGATTTAACCCGAAATCTAGAAATTTAGCATCCACGGGCCGTGCACATGGACCTAGTTCCTGCATGACTCATGAGAATTTTGATGTAAAACTGAATGGAGTATGGAGTACCTAAATTGAGGATTATTAATGGTCTTAATGGCCAAAGCTTCAGATCTCCTTTTCATTAATACCGTGTATGGATCTACTGCGTAGCTGGCAGCCCGTTTTTGCCGAGTCAACCCATCTCGGTGGATCCAATTCCTCCTAGAAAGTCAGCCTTAGCCTTATCAGTGGGATCTTCCTACTGTAGCATCCACCCAGCTGAACCACCTTTTGACCCCTATCCTCGGCAACTCATTCCGACTCTACTCCGTGGTGCAGATTATCAAGCAACTGATCGAGGCTCCCCATTTCATTTTACGCTCAGTCACAAAAGAGGAGACTATGCGAAAAACAAGTATTTTTTTCCACCTTGAAATTTCATTTACTGCAACGACTGCAGCGACATGGCTAAGCCAGGGGCCAGTCATTTTGTAACATGAACAACCACCTCATCATAGAACTTGGATGCGATGGGAAACGCCATCCAGAATAAACAAGAATATATCCAATCCAAACTTATTCCGCAGAATCAAAACTTCATCGACTCCACGCCATTCTTGAATCGATTCTCCGCCTCCTGCCAGTTGATGACCTTCCAGATATTGGAAATGTAGGACGGTTTGTCATTTTTATACTTTGAAAATCAGCATCGCATTCTTCTCGCGACTCACGGCTCGCAGCATGTCAGCTCAACTCACCTGGAGATAGTAGGCATGCTCCCACATGTCGACGCCAAAGATGGGCACCGCATCTTCTACCGGATCTTGGTCTTTCAAACTGATGACCTTTAGTCTGCCCTCGACCTGCTTATTTGCAAGCCATCCCCAACCACTGCCCTGCAAGTCGGCCAAAACAGTATTAAATTCATCTTTGAATTTCTGGACACTGCCCCACTGATCCACGATTGCCTTTTTGAGTGTTGGTGCAGCCGTGTCAATGTCGGTTTCCTTGGAACCAGGAGGGGCTAGGTTCTTCCAGAATAGAGAGTGATTGATATGACCTCCACCGTTAAACTTGACCTTCTTCTGTAGCAAGACTAGTTGTCGCAGATTGCTGTCTTCCAAGGCTTGATTTTGGCTGTTTAGGGCGGTATTCAGGTTGGTTACGTAGGCTTGGTGATGCTTGTCGTGGTGGATCTGCATGATCTCCTTGGAGATGATGGGTTCAAGAGCCTTATTTTGTCAGATTTTTACACCACCAAAAACTCAAATATTCGAAATGAACTAATCGTGGAACTTACATCGTATGCGTATGGAAGAGGCGGAAGCTTGTATTTCCCAGCCATCTTGGCTTGTCTTGTACTGAGTTCGATGAGGTCCCGGTATGCCAAAGCGAGAGCACGCTTGTCAATGGGCGCGGCAAAAGCAAAAGAGAGAAATGAAATTAAATAGAAAAGAGACATTAATGGAGTAAAGCGAGCCATAATTGAATTACCCCTTAGCCATTTCCACCGGAGATTGGACAGGCAAGAACAGCGGACGGTAGTGTTGGGGACTTGGACGTGGCGTGGTACGGCTTGATGGGGCGTACTCTGCAATGTAAAAATCACAACATTTAAGAATCCAATTCATAGGGTCAGCGCGGATTCAAATACATGTTTGAATGCAAGTTTGATAGAATGCCAAGAATAATCAGTTGTACAGAGAAGATCATGCGGTGGAGATTGTAGGCTGTATAGTTACTATTCCCGAGACAAGGGTTTGCCCATAGCCCAGTTCAAAATGCTCCTCATTACCCCCGGAGAATACTCACCAGCTTGATTCTAGTGGCTTGGAGCTACTCCCCAGGCGGCTTAATACGAGGTCTGCGCCTGATGACCTGGCATTTCAAGAATAGAAAGCTGCCAAGTCTTGCGGGGGTCGCCTTGCATAGCCCGTCATTTCAGCCATGGCGGAACAGCTCTATAATTGTGATTAACTGGGGTCTATGATGACTGGTTTCTTCTTCAAGCTAGTAGCTTGACCTTTTTTGACCTTTTATTGAAGCTTTGTTTTTATTCTTGAACAAATGACTACATTAAGACACTTGCTGGATCATATTCAGGGTTTGCCGTGCCCTTCCTAATATATGCCCTGCTAAGCCTTAACTTGGTTATTGCTTCAGTACAATCATTTGAATTATCCAACAGTTTGACCCATGTCTTCATTGACATTCTTTGTTTGCATTGCTCGAACCCGGTCAGGTGACTGACAGTGCAATGTTGCCCCCCTTCTCTCTCTCACTCCCCCTTCTCATCCCCGCCGACAACTTCCCCAAACCAACACAATGGTGTCGCTCGAGGACGTCAAAAGGCATAATGCCAGTCTGAAAGACTTTGGCCCGAATCTGGTTGCCGTATTTGGTATACATTCCATTTCCCATCGTTTCCGAGCGTCCGGTTTTCCAACGGGGTGATAAGCTGACATGGATGCTTGAAGTTGGTGGAACAAGCGGAATCGGCGAAGCAACCGCCCGTGCGTTTGTTCGCGACACAGTCTCCTCGCGAGTGTACCTTATTGGGCGGAACGAGGCCCAGGCATCCAAAATTATCCAGGAATTGCGTCAGCTTAACCCGGACGGTCAGATCAGCTTCGTCAAATGTGAGGCTGCAAATCTTAAAAGTGTCGATGAAGCATGCAAGACGATTCAACAAAAGGAGGATAAGGTTAACCTAGTGTTCATGACTGCTGGTATTTTTACCACCAAAGGTCGCGATGGTGAGTCTCTACAAGCCCCGCCGGGCGTGTTGAATGGCCATCCGCTAACGGTCGCGTAGAAACCGACGAGGGGCTGGACAAGAAGTTCAGTTTGCATTATTATTCTCGTATGCGGTTCTTGTTCAATCTGCTGCCCCAGTTGACAGCCGCAAGTAAAGCCGACTCATCTGCTGCCGGGATTGGCCTTGGTCACAACTTATCGAGAGTGGTGTCCGTGCTGTCTGCCGGTGACGAGGGACCTCTGAATATGGATGATCTCTCCCTGAAGAACAACTTTTCTCTTCGGAATTGCGCCAGGCATACTATTACCATGACATCGCTGTCCATGGAGGAGCTGGCTGCAGCACATCCGGCAACATCGTTTATTCACGCATACCCGTCAGCAGTCAAGACAGGCCTGACACGGGGATTGGGGCCGATTGCGCGAGGCGCATTAGAAGGGCTCTATTTCTTTGTCAAGCCCTTTTTTGTTTCCCTTGACGAGAGTGGAGAGCGTCATCTGTATGCTGCGACAAGTTCTCGCTTCTCTCCGCGAGAGGCTAAGGATGTAGCCAATGCTGCCCCTGGTTCAAATGGGGAGAAGGGCAGCGGTGCATATCTCCTGCACTGGGATGGGTCCGACAATGGGAACAAGAAGCCTCTTCAAGAACTTCGCAAGAGTGATACTGGGAAGACTGTGTGGAAGCATACACTAGATACTTTTGATTCGATTTGTGGCCAGAGCTAAAGAGCTTTCAATAGGCTTCTCTTAGCTATACAATACTAATAAAGTAATTATGATAGTGTCCGTCATAATTCTGCTAAACCGTCTAGCTCTGTTGTCTAGCCCTTGTGAACTGAACAGTCCAAATCTCATTGGCGATATCCTCCAACTGCGTTTGTGATAACTGGAAATCCGTCTCACCGGGCTTTTTCGGCTTCAGGAAGACGTCCTCAAACCGGATCGGCAGTTGACCGGTTATGCGATCACAGTTTGGTGCGGATGTTCGGACTACCGTCATCTTCTGTTCGGTGAAAAGGATATTTTTTGTCGTCGAGGGCCCATTTCTCGATAATGATTGTTCCGCGAGGGTGCACTGAAATTGATAATGCGATCTTGACTTGCCCTCGGGATCCTTCAAGCCAGAACCGCATGTCTTCCTCGAGTTTTGGCCGCCTTTCACTCGATTTTGCTTCAAGAACCATGGAGGGCCACTTGGCTTCTCGGTTGTATGGTAGTATGGCGGGCTTCCACGCACCGTCAGGGCTCTTGTTCTTTCCAGACGGCCCGCGCACTGAACTCGTTGTTGTATGTAATAGCCTCAGTTCTGGGAACTGGGATTTCCACAGTAGGAATGTATCGGCAAAGGCGGAAGCAGCGACGGCATGAATGGTGGTCTCCATTCTAAATAATGCAGTGTGGGATGCATCATCATACTCTACAATGGATTTGATGAGGAGACTTTCCTGTGAGTTTTTCAAGTCGCGGAAACCGCGATCCCCCATTGCAAAGATGATGTATGGATTCCCACTGCCGCCTTCTCGCTCATAGCGTTCGAGTTCTCGCTCAAAGGTATAGAGGCATTGTGATACTCCTCGAAACTGGTAACTTGGGGTTGACATGGGAAGTACAGACATGATGGAGTGATTGAGCGAACAAGTGTTCTGGGGTGGGAGTTTTTTCCAAGGATTTTAGATGTTAGCATTACTTAACTGTGACGTGAGTTGGGAAGGAAAGTCTCCCAATCAATATTTCACAATACTTCCAAAGGATGGAGATCCAACAGCTAGTATGGTTTCACCAGTGTAGGTAGATGAATATAGAAGGACGAGTAGACCTAGTAGTAGTACTATATGTACTTCATATTTACTCAGAGCAGTCTGGTGCCTCCAAGTTTGGTTGGGCCCGAGAACCTTGGAATTCTTCCGAGGAATCCCCTGTTGGAGGAAAGGAAGTACCAGTGGCAGTGTGTATGTAGTAGATGTACATACTCCAATGAACCTTACTCTGATGCGGTGATCAGCAACATCCTTGTTCCCCGCCACTGCATTCCATCTCTACTCTCTGATCTATTTTCATATACTCTACTCTCCTCTCCTCTGATATAATATATCCCCTACTTTTATACATCTCTATACTCTACTGAGTCTACTCTCGTCCATGTCAACCATGGAATACACCCGCATCACGTGGTTTGCCTCCGGAGGGGCGTGGACCACCCCCCAAAGTGCAAAATCCAAAATCTTCCCCAAAAAAACTAAAAGGACCGTTGGGCGAGAAGGGTAAAGAGGAAATTTTCTTCCTCCATCGTTCGTTTCTCTTTTGCGTGGATTCTCGCCCGTTGGCCATTCTCACTCCCTCAACCTCCCCTCTTTGACGACTCTTGAGGGCCTCTCAACCAGCAACCCAACCCAATCCCCGAACCCACCCCGTTTGCCACACCATGTTTGAGGACTTTTCATTCACTTCACCCTCCTCCCGGCCTGCGCGGTTGGCGCTTGATGCAGAGGATCGGCTCATGGCCGACTGCAATAGCCCGTTAATCTCCCCGCTGTCCTCGCGGTGTTCCTCGCCCCATCGACTCCGCACGCTTTCGCGCCCCCGATCCTCCTACTTTCGCTCCCAGCAGCCTCCGACCTCCGTTCCCCTGGCCTACGAACAGAACCGTCTCTCCATTTCCACGTTGACCCAGAAACTACATGAGCATACGATCCAGGGGCCAAATGGCGAGCGCATTCCTGATCAGGGGTACTTGGATCGTGAAGGCGCCAGGATCTCCCGGTACTCGGGATACGTCTTAACGCCGCCGGATACAGATCACGATGAAGATGGGCGTTTCGACTCTTCCCCGTCACTTTGCTCAAATCCTAGTCCCACTTCCGCGCCACCGGATTTTCCCGCTCTAGATGGGACGATGCCGGAGCCCAAACTCCCAGATCACCAGAATATCCGGCGACAACGACAACATATCTCCGAAATGCAATGTCACGAAGGCAATGTGGACTCCATCCGCCGCAATGCCTACTCCGATGACTCCTACCCACCAACCGTCCTCGAAGATGACTGCCACCCCAGCTCTATGCCGCACCGATCCTCGCCACGTCGAAGAGCAGCCACCTTACACCGGAGTCGGTTTGGACCGCCGGACTCGTCGGTCGGGGTGGGAGAGGCACGGGGCCGAAGAAGGAGCAGCTCGGGGGCGATGCAGTCGCATCGGATAGAGAAGGCCTATCATACGTTTAATAGCCGAGAGGCTTCAAAACGGAATGAACAGGGCCTGCGGAGGAAGAGTATGGTGAGTGCCGCACTGGCATCTGTAGTAGAGCGGCCTTGATAGATCTTGGTTTCTTGATCTTTTCGATTTTTCATGTATATACACTTTGAAATGATACCCATTTTTAGACATAGCCACAGTGCAAGAGAGGACGGCAGTGTCGATACTCGTACTAACACTAGACATTGTCGTATAGAATCCCAAGATTCCTGTACCACTAGGTACTTCCAGCGGCGATGAAAATGAAACTCGGGGTACTGCTAGTTAACTAGTCAACAGAAGGAGACTACTTACGGTTACTAGTGGTACTAGTATAGTTATATCGTCATAATATAATATGAGACAAGACAGACGTCTACTATGAACGGGGTCTTTTTCATTAATTTGAAACAATATATGTCCCTTCACTGTGAATTTATCTTATTTCTCTCATTCCAATCATTTTGATTGGACGATCGATTTACTCTAGGGCTGTCACGTCACTGGAGTTTGGGTGGTGAGCGGCCCCTGCTGCTCCGCAATCACCGATTAAATCCAACTTCATCTTAAATCCAACCTCAACCCCAACCCAGCCACTTCTCCCCAAGCGCAACCCCATTGCGCGCAGCAACCTTGGAACTTGGACAGCACACAATGGCGACTCTCAAACCACCATCAGCAACAACGCGCTCTTCATCAAGCTCAAGCACTCCCACCGGACCTCCAAAGGCCCCCCTCAAAGCCGATCCAACAGCAACCATCTCCGACACCGTCATCTTCCACGGCAAACACCAAGTGACAATCGGCGCAGGCACAGTCATACACCCACGCGTCCGATTCTACGCCTACGAGGGTCCCATAGTAATCGGCGACGGCTGCATAATAGGCGAGAAAACCATCATCGGCGCCACTCCGTCCTCTTCCTCCTCTTCCTCAACATCCTCATCAATCGAAACACCAACCCGCCTCTCGTATTTCGTCACAATCGGACCCCAATGCACAATAAGACCAGGCGCACACATCCACTCCTCATCCGCAATTGAAGCCCTATGCACACTAAACCGCCACGCAGATATCGGCTCGCATTCTAAAATCTGCTCCGGCTGCGAGATCCCCGAGCGCGGATCGGTCCCTGAATGGACTGTTGTTTGGGGGTCGGGAATTGGACAACGGAGACGACGTGCGCGCGAGGCCAATATCCCCGGTCCCGCTGTGACTGCTGCCGCGCAAGTTGCGCAGGTTCCTGCGCCGGGACCTGCGCCTTCGGGGAAGGTCATTGAGGATGCTAGGTTGATGGTTTTGCAGAAGGAGAGGGAGATTCTTGGGCGGATGCTTGTTCCTGCTGGGCCGAAGAAAAGATGAATGGGTGACTAGCTTGATTGGGGACCCTCGGGGATTGATTATTCTCAGGCCTTGAACGAGAAGGGGGCAGGTCAACAGCTTTTGTTTCATGGCGTTTTGTTATACATTCTACTGTTGGGACTGCTATGCTTGGAGAACACTCTTGGTCTCAACTTGAAGTTTTTTTTGTTTTTTTTGGTTTGCTTTTTCTTGCTGTTTAGCATATTATACCCAATACCGTCGGTGCAGCACTGAGGATGCTCAGGTCCGACGAGGATCATGATACGATGAAAATGCCAGGCCCTGCTTTTGCCAGAAGCAAACCCGATAGCCTGGTAAGGCTCCTAGGAACAAAAGTGATCAGTGATTGATCGGGGTGATCAAGGACACCGTGTCTATCTACTAGACATTGTCTTGTACGTATAGCTACCTATATACTAAATAATGTCTGGTACGACTAAGAGCCCGATCAGGGAAGCATGTGACTAGGAGGTATATAGGATAGTATACCGCGGGGTAGTTGGAAGGGCCTAACCTAGTATACCACAGCAAGAAGGACTAGATATATAAGGAGGCACATTCATATATATTTAGTTCTTCGTGATCAGTCAATCTAAGTTACTATAGTATACCTTTGGTTTATTCTTCATTGTTCAGACTCTTGTGACGAACATACTATACTTAGGGGAGCTCTTCTAGAAGAGAATACTAGGTTGGATGGCGCCGGGTGATTAGATGAAGGATGCAAGATGGACTTGGGATGGGAGGAGGATAGCGTGTTTTCATGTAACAGAGACTAACGCTTGAGGAACGCAGGTTCCTCCTGCGTGAGCCGTATTAAGTACCCCTATGCACATCCCTCACGCTCATGTGACATATACTTGGCAGGTTCCTCATCCCAGATCTTCCAGGCATGCAATATGCACTCTTGGACCTCATGCCAGGTCTTCCAGGCAGGTGATGTGAGTTCCTTGACATCTTCGGACCCTAATTGGCGCTCTACCTGGCACATCCTTCGAAGTCACTTAATAGGACCCGAGTCCGTGTAAGGCTTAGTATAGCAACGGTACGGTTTCGAGTCGATACTTAAAGGTCGCCGTGTGGTTCTACCCGGCAAGCAATGTACGCTCACCAACTGAGTAGCCACTTACTGTGACCAGTTAACAACGCGCCATGCTATACCTGGCTTGGCTATTTACCATTGTCAGTATCCGCAATAGTTTGGTTAGAGTAGGGCTGATTGCTCATATTAACCAAGTCAATATCGTCGTCAAACCGGACGGTCGGCAAGGATGACAAGCTTAACGCTCACTATATTATAGTTAGGGGTAGTAATAGAGGCTATCTAATAAGCGGTCCCTTTATAGCGCCAGCAAAGCATACCTAGACTATAATCCCTCGACATTATCTTGTTTATCCAATAACCTTAGTTTTATAATACTTTTCGTAATTAAATCCCTAGATATAAGGTATTTGATACTATCTAGATCGAAATAAAGCCTTAACGCTAAAGATAATTCTTCTCCACTTATCTATTATCCAATTCTGACGGGCCCGAGCCCACGTGAGTCGTTTCAAACGATATATAGCAAGGATTGGAGGCTTCTACGTAGCAGGATATGTGGCCATCCTACAAGCCTTTAGGGATAGACGAAGTGTCTCTCCACTGACCTCAAGGTCTAGAATTGCATAAATATTATAGACAATCATACAGCTATACGTAAAAAACACCTGAATCCAGGAGATTACCTTATCCAGGCGCTTAGGGGTAAGATTTGGCCGTCGGCCAGTCTTATTCTTCTGAGGCATAATTCGTACGGTATCGCAGGCGTGCCGAGCTTGGCGCTCGGAACAGCCTATTCGGGAGGCAATAGATGGATAGTTATAGCCTTCATCTCGTAGGAAACGGCAATATGGACGTTCATCGCGGGTAAGCATGTTGCGGTTGAAGAGGAAGGATTTTAAATGGTCACGTATAGTAAGATAGAAAGGCGGCATGTAAGAATAATAGTGGAGACCGACATTTGTTTCTTGGTCACCGTGTAGGAACACTTTAAAAGCTAATACTCCACCCCCTTCGAATAGTCTGAAATTAAGTTCAAAAGCTAATACTCCACCTTTTGTGGCTGGTGATGGACACGAAATATGCACCCGCTCATATATTACTTTGCAAGCCCCTCTCTATTCAATAGCCAGAATAAATAATCCTTCGTCTTAGACTTTGCGACCCACCATGTTTCTCTGGGGTCTTCTCCTTGTTCTCACCAGCATTACGGTGGCGACACTGATTAACACAGAGCAACGTGGATATACTCAAGGAAATGAATTGCGGGACGATCCCTGCAGGGACGTGACTTTCATTTTTGCACGTGGCACGTTCCAACCCGGTCTCCTAGTAAGTGATCGATTTCATATATTAAATTACCTACACTGATATCGGATTTTATTAGGGTCTCTTTGTCGGCCCTGAAACGTGCGCTGCCCTGAAGATAGACCACCCCGATCAAGTCTCATGCCAGGGTGTTGGTCCAGCCTATACTGCGGGTTTGCAAAACCTCAAGGAGCCTGAGGCAACGACGGATGTAGCAATCAATGAAGCAGTGAGCTTGTTTGAGCTGGCTGCGCTGAAATGCCCTAAAGCGAAGATTTTTGCTGGTGGTTATAGGTATGTTATTGCCATTACTATTATCAACTTAGTAAATATAGATATATAGCTAGCTAACAGTACTTTAGCCAAGGCGCTAATGTGATACATGGCGCAATTCCCAAGCTTTCGAAAGAGGTCAAGGATATGGTTCAGGGTGTGGTTCTCTTCGGATTTACCCGCCAGAAACAATTCAATGGACAGATAACCGGGTTCCCACAGGATAGGCTCAAGCTATATTGCTATGAGGGCGATACGATCTGTCACGGCGGTGGTCTGATTGGATTGGAGCATCTTAGCTATGGGGAGAAGGCTCAGAATGCCAGCGACTGGCTTTGGTCTTTGGTCTAGAGACTATTCCCAACCGTCCACAGGGGTGAGAACGGATATCGCGGGGCGGTGATTGGTGGTGCCACCAGCGTCCTCACCCCCACCCCCCTCCTCCCCCTTCAAAAACGTCCTTAAGTCAAAGTCCCGTCCGCGGTGACGGGATCGCCCGGGGGTTTTCATAGAAGATCGGGGGCCATACGATCTCGATCCTGGCGAGTTTGGGCGGGATCGGGCCAACCGGTAGAGGAGTTGAAAATACGGAACCTCTTACTCTTAAATATATAACGATTGTATATAGAAGTATAAGCTTATTGGTGCGAGAGGTGGTTTTGCCAGTCAAATCACGTAAACTTCGTCACTAGTGGCCATTTCCCTAGAATAGAATACAAGTATCCAAGCAGACTCATCTAATTGTCTTGGTACTAATAGTCCCCTATAGTCTGATTAGGAAATTATGGGAGTAGTAGAAGGTGTGTTCCCAGGAGTATGTAGTATGGGATGTAATACTGATTGGCTGATCAAGTAGCAGGATCCATTGTGGCGCAATTGATTGCAGTAGTTTTACTAGGATGAATAGTCCTATTGATGATGCCGATGCTATTTTGATGGGATAATTGGGGCAATTCAGTGAGGAAGAGCAGCACGTGAACGGGGCTAGCGCAGTGCAATTTATTGAGGTCGCTTCGCGGGACGCTTAACGAGGATCATTGAGTGGATCAGACTGCTCAGGGGCGAGCTCAGTTCTACCCAGTGAGCAAAGAGCGGCAAGGTCTGAGTACCAAAACGGAAGGGGAACGCCAAGAAGTGGTAGAGGAAATCCGGTAAGTAGGTACTTAACAGCCAATCCCCCCAATTCTAACTATATCAATAGCTTCCACCTGACAGTCTAAGCCGGGGTCGATTCCCTCTAGATGTAATCTTTTGAAATTTACATATAATTTTCTTTTTACTGGATTATAGTAACTATAGAGTGAAGGATTTGTCATCAATGAGCGCCAATGTCTTAGTGGTATTGACGCATCAATGGTGTAGTGGTAACATTCAGACCTTCCATTCTTGATAAGTCTGAGCCGGGGGTTCGATTCCCTCTTGATGCAATCTCTTTTTTAGCTTCATAAGCTTTCATGGTCATTTTTGTTGTAGCCAACAAATCGTCTATTGTTTGGTTAGAGTCTAGTCTTTTACCCATGTCTACTACTACTACAGTACGTCCCGAAACTAGTGCAACCGTTTACACTCTTAAAGTGATTATTTAGCCCCACTGCCAAGAAATACTTGGCCATATTAGAAAGACAATCAAAATAACAATATTCCTGTACCAGTATCGATACCGTGATTTACTTTCATTAAAAAACAGTGCCTCGTCTTGTAACTGTATTGGCGATCCAAAAAACTAGAATTTTCCATTGAAATGCAAATAAGTCAAATACTAGAGCTCAGGAGTCCCTTAAGAATCTAGTGATCTGTTACTTCCCTTCTGCTGCTATATCTAAGTCAGTCTGGGGGGGCTTATTCGGCGCTTGACTTGTAAATAGTGCCTTACATTACTTACTTACTGTCCTTACAGACTACCTATAAACTCGCTTATCATACTACTCAGCCTGCTATCACAAAAAGGTAAGCTGCTCTAAAGACATTTCCCAACCCGCTGTCACTGTATCATGATAGAGAGGATACTGTCGGATATTAATACGACAATAGGCGTCACCAATTGTGAGTAGACTTTGTCCGCAATGTAATGAGGTCAATATTATATCAGCTTCAAGTCCCAACTCAAAGGTGATTATCCCCAATAGGGTCACATGATAGTGGGGCTAAGAACAGGCGGCCTTCATCTGGGCCAGCACCTGGGTCAGCGCCTCGTGAAGCCCATGAGCTCCTTCCATACCGCTTGTCGGATTTACCTTCCGTAAAAGATAAAGTTTCATCATGATTTTCGCTGAAAGCTCTGAAGAACACTCAATTTCGGCTCCGCAGCCAGATCCCAGAGACACGCACTCTCCGATGGTCATGGAAGTCGAACCAGACGCACCTGCCTCTCTCCGTCGAACCATTGCAATCAATGCTTCTCTTACCTGTATTACTGGTATCGGAAATCTGCTCGGTGGACTACTTACTGTATGCGTTCCGGTGATTTCAAAAGACTTGCATATCCCACCAGATTTACAGCTTTGGCCAGCCTCTGCTTTCGCGCTCGCCTGTGGCTGCTTGCTACTCCCGTGCGGTGCGGTTGCTGATGTCCTTGGCTGCCGGCGTTCCTGCTTGCTTGGTGGGCTGCTTCAGACCGCAAGCGCACTTGGTGCAGGCCTTGCAGCCACCTCGACTCAACTTATCGCGTTGCGAGTTACAGGGGGTCTCGCTGCATCATTCTGTCTTCCTGGAGCTATCGGCTCCGCTGGACATGTCTTTCCCGCCAGCAGCAGCCCACGCCGTCGTAGTATTGCATTTGCTGCTATGGGTGGTGGCCAGGCTATCGGGTTTGGACTGGGCTTGGTGCTAGGAGGGGTGATTTCTGATACAGTCGGCTGGCGCTGGGGCTTTTATGCCACGGCTATACTTAATGCTGGTGTACTCGCCTTGGCGGTATGGGCACTCCCACCTAGTATAGATGGTATTTTAGAGAAGGCATCATTCTCACGTCTTGTGCATGATATTGACTGGGTCGGCGCATTACTCATCAGCGCATGTCTCGCGCTTCTCTCTTACGAGCTAGCCGTAGCAACGGGATCAAATGCGAATCAGAGCATGCGTGAACCTCTGAATATCGCCCTGCTATGCATAGCAATAGTACTTCTACCGGCATTTGCGCTTTGGATGCGTCACCAGTCCCGAATGTCTCGTCCCACTTTGATTCCAAATGCTTTATGGACCAACCTACCATTTACATCCATGTGCATTACCGTCTTCCTTGTCTGGGGTACTTTGAACGCTAGTGAACAACTCGCGGCCCTCTACTTCGAAGACGTTCTAGGCAAGTCCACTCTGACCGCATCTCTATACTTCCTACCCGCGCCGATCTGCGGCTTATTGATGAACGTTGCCATTGGCGCATTCCTTCCGCGCATGCGGCCATCTATCGCGGTCCCTGCAGCCTGTTTTGTGAGCGGCATCGCCCCATTGTTACTAGCCACCTTGTGCCGTCTTCACGGGCCGAACTATTGGCGGGGTCCCTTCCAGGCAATGGCACTCAACCCCCTCGGTGCGGACCTTATGTACACGATCGCCATCCTAGTAATGACAGCCGCATTTCCACCCCAGACACAGGCCCTAGCCGGTGGAGTCTTCAATATGCTATCACAGGTTGGCAAGAGCGTGGGGATCGCTACGTCGGCGTTGATTGCGCGACAGATTACTGCCCAGGCGGGGAAACCGGGCACTACGGAGAGTTTGTTGCTCGGGTATAAAGCTGGTTGGTGGTATAATTGTTCCTTAGGGTTCATATCGGTGGCTGTGAGTTTTTGGGGTCTGAGGAGTGTTCAAAAGGTGGAGGTGAAGAGAGATTAACTTTCGAGAAAGTGAGAAGAGATACCCTCCGTATGCTTTGGTTGGTTCCAATCCAAGTGTTTAAGGAAAGTACCATCTGTTTAGTACATTTATTATATGTGTGTTGTCTCTTCCGTACAGCCTCCCTAAGGTTAAATACATATTTATTCTTTGTAATATTGACAGTGCCATCAACGCCCTCACTCTAAACCTTGACTACCACCGGCTATTCGGCAAATTCCAGATCTATTTTTAACGCACTGGCGCATAGCGCCAGTACTCTTATGTCCACCGCGCCATTGCACCTACTATGAATTGATAGAATCCTTCGTGATATGGAGGAGCTGGTTGTCAGAGAAGACCGATCGACACGTTTGGGATATCTTGCAGGTTTACGACTTAGCGGGTGGTTAGATATCCTATCAATGTATTATAAATTAGTACGAAGACATTGGCATGTCGAAGAATTTTTGGATTTCGTATCTCGGAACAATGTGATTCACAATGATGCCCATAAACGGATCTGTTCCGTTTAGCTGGTGAGGTGAGTACCGAACTTTGCTGCCGCCGCAGGGCTATATCGCTACAGCTAGGCCAGCGTGCCGAAAATGTCCCTCCGCGCTTTTCTCCCTCGCACAAACAACATCAACACACCAATCGAGGAAGTTATCGAATCCTTGCTCTGGGTTTTCTTCGTAGGATTGCCAATTACGCCGGATAGAGGCCTTGAGCTCAGCAAAGAATTCCTCGATGGAATTCAAATCAGGAGAACATGGAGGCAAATACACCAGCTTTACGCCAGCTTCCGAGCAGATCTGTTCAATTCTGCCTGAGTGATTAAAGGATGCGTTGTCCATGACTAGCAGGGACTTCGGCTCGGGCCATTTTCCACAGTGCTAGAGAAGCTGCTCGATAAAATCCTTAAAGACGAACGCGTCATTTGATCATTGGAATACTCGAGACAAAACAATGCCATCTTGCGCATATGTAGGCAGAATGTGATAACGTTGATCACGATGTAACTTTGATACTTGAACCGGTGCGGTACAAAGCGAGGACTAACCCGTTCGCCTGAAGCCTATCATTTAATCACAGCCAGATTCATCGATATAGACAAGGTGGTAAGACTTGAGTCTGAAATAAAATGGTGGTATTCGTCTCGGAGATCAAGGTTGCGTTCTCGGGCCTTGACTCGAGCAGTCTTTTCGACTACCCTTTGGACTTAAGGGCGCGACTGGTGCTCCATTTCGTTACTTGAAGAGCGAATTTGTCGTAAAAAAAACAGCTATTTCGTCCAAATATAGGGCAGGCTTTTCGATCAGATGATCGCACAAGGCCTCGAGCATGACTGGAGTGATACTACGGGGTCGTCCGCCCCTAATTAGAGGTGCTTTGACGCTGTTAAACATTCTCATGTTGGACGAGATCCTCGAGATGGTGCTCTTGTTGCAACTAGCGGCCTGTGCAATGTCGGTTATAGACAGTTCGCCACTGCGGATCATATCATGGATAAGCTCGAGCTTGGAAGGAGCTAGGTTTGGAGCCATCGTTGGTTGGACCACTCGTGAATGATTGTGAAATGGTGCCTCCCGAGAAGAGCTGCATCAGAGGGGCAACAAGGTATCAGATGTATTAAATTTACAAGTGAATACATGCCTGAAATTATTTTGTAACCCATGTACGAACGGATACATACGCAACTCTCGGAAGAATTCCAATTATAGACTGGTGTGTCTTGGCGCAAGGGCCAGGAAAGTCAATCAAAGGGTGAAGTGGTTGCACCAGTTTCGGGACGTACTGTCCGTAGTGGGTGGTTATATCTGCTTTAGATTAAGTTCTTAACTATACGATTTATTCACGTGGACTCCAGGGCTGGCTGCTAAGTAATAACTATGCGTTCTCTAAGTTACAAGCTCTCTCAGCTCCTCGACGCCTATACTCACTCGCGACCATCATCCCTAACCAGCTACAGGCTCAAGGCCCAGATATTTCTTAACTGGCGAACATTTAATTTGGAGTTACTCCGTTCTACAGTTGTGTTGCAATTTGATCTCATTTTGTAATCCATGCTTCGAAGTTTGCAAGGGACAGGGGTGCCCCTTCGGGGCGGTCTTAGAACCTTGTCAAAGCGTATATGTGAATATCGAGTTTTAATGACGAAATGACTATTGAAAGAAACCCAGAAACTCCATCGTACATTGACTAAATACACAACAAATGAAAATAATCTGGCCTTGATGACTTCTCCGATACCCGGCAAAAAACCAAAGGTAGAAATGGCCTTCCATGCTTCATGAATAGAATGGATTAAGGTACATGAGAGAGAAAAATCCTTAAGATGCTGCTCCTCCACCACGAGCCTGACCCCCACCACCACCTCTCATCCGTTTCCCACCCGCATTGGTATCGGTGGGGGCATCGGACGCTTCGTCACGCGTACGCTTGTTGCCGTGAGGAACAAACTGGCGAGCGCCTGGGTTCATAGCCCCACGGTTTGCGGTAGGACTTTGAGCTTGATTTTGAGCAGTGGCATTTTGGTTTTGATTTCCACCACGACCTGCGCCACCCCGTCCACCGCGGCCTCGAGGAAGACCAGTACCGCGTTGGGCCTGCACTTGAGGCTGGGCTTGTTGCTGTTGTTGCTGCTCGCCTTGCTGTTGCTGCTGGGCATGGTTGAAAGGCGTCGGTTGGATTCCGCCGCGGCCACCACGGCCACCGCCCCGAGCAATCGGAAGGTTGGATTGCAGGGCTCGCATCATACCAGGCGGGGTGTTGTTTGCAGGAGGCTTGGTTGGCAAATTGGAGGACTGCTGACCTTGCTGGTTCTGAACCTGTTGCCCAAAGGGGTTGGGAGCAGCTGTTGGCTCGGATTCGGTACTCGCTTGCTGTTGCTCGCCAGTGCCAGTTGGCTGGGCTGAGGGAAGAGGAGTCGGCGCTTGCTCCGTAGCGGGCGCGGGCGCGGGGGACGCGGCATTTGGAGCGGCGTTTGTAGGAACGGCTTGCGTAGGAGGTTGCTCTTGTTGCACTGCTGATTTAGGAGCAGGAGAAGCAGGCTGAGCGGGAGAGGGGACGGCAGCAGGCTTTGGGGTTTGAGCGGCAGCAGGCGGAGGTCGGGCAACCTTAGCGATCTCCCATACCTCGATGACTGGCTTCTGAGGTGTCTCCTCTGCAGCCTTCTTGACAACATCCAGCTTAACTAGAGCGGTTCGCCTTTGCCCGTCAAGCATACTGATGCGTGCGAGAGATTTCTTATCCGAAAGCTCCACAGCTGATTTGACTTTCTCGCCCACCTCATCTTCATGCGCCTTTCTGAGAGATTCACGTTCTTCGTTGTACTTCAATTCGGCGGCAGCCAGTGCAGTGTCGTTGGAACCAGCTTCTGCCTGAGCCTGCTGCTTTGCCCTATCCACGTGGTTGCGAATGTTGTTTCGCATAATTACACGCAAGGTCTCGTTCTTAGAAAGCAACTCGCGCGCTTGAGCATCGGTTAGGTCGGGAAGCTCAGACGTCTTAGCTGGCGTGGAAGGCGGCTGCTCGGCATTTGCGCCGGGAGTCGCAGGGGTGGCCGGGGTAGATTGTTCTCCAGCGGGCACATTCTCAGTTTCCTTACGCTGAGCTGCCCTGATCTCAACCAATTTGGCGTTATACATCTCCTTCAGCTTATCGGAACGTTCCTTCAGCTTCGCCTCCAGCTCAGTATCCTTCGCAGCCAGCTGGTCATTCTTCTCAATGAGAGCAGCCTCTAGGCGCTGGATCTTAGCTTCCAGCACCTTAATCTTCTGCTCATCACCGACTGGGACAACTTGAGTAGCAGCAGTCGGGAACTGCGAAGCGGGAGTGGGGTTGATAGGCTCGGTTTCCATCGGCATAGGAGCGGGAGCAGATACTTGCGTGGCTGCAGCGCCGTCAACAGGGGCGGGTGTCTCTACTAGCTTAACCTTCAGTGTCGCTAGCTCAGCCTTAGTAGTGTTCAGCTCATCCTGCAACACCTCCTTCTCCTGCAGGGCGGAGTTGAGTTCAGTCTGCTTGCCATTGATGCGCCCAGACAGCTCCTTAGATCGGGCCTTGAATTGTTCGGTGAGCTTGGTTCGAAGTTCTGCCACACGAGCCTCGGCAGTGTTCTTGTGTTGATCAACTTCTGCTGCGAGACTATCCCGGATTGATGCAGCCTCATTACGAGCGGCAACAGCCTCATCACGCTCCTTCTCCAGGGTGGAGAGCTTTTCTTGCAACGCCTCCATTTCCTGCGGATCAACTCGATCGTACTTCTGGAGGATGTTTTGAATCCGCTTTTGGTAGTGATCACGATCGGCCTGGAGTAGTTTCATTTCTCCATCCTTAGACTCGACAATATTCTCCAATTCATGGATTTTGGTCTCGAGGGGTTCGACCTGTTGAACAAGCTCATCAACACGAGCGGACTTTTCGGCAAGGGCGGCTTCAGTTTGCTTGACTTGGTTGCGTAGAGTGACGCTGCTCTCACGGAAGAGGTTCAGCTCATTAAGGGTCTCCATGAGCTTGTTGTGATTGAGGGTGTTTTGGTCGCTATCTGCGGCAGCTCGACGCTGCTGTTCCAGCTTGAGACGTGTCTCATCGAGTTGGGTTTGCGTGTAGTCGAATTGGCGTTGTAGTCTCTCCTTCTCAGAATTAGAGCATTGGAGCTGAAGCTCAAGGATTTCCTTCTCCTTGCGCAGCCAGCTGATAAGTTGTTGTTGACGTTCCAGGTTTGGCGCCAATTCTCCTTCCTGCTCTTCGGCTTCAGCGAAATTGGCCTTATCGCGCTGGAGGGAGGATATCTGAGCAGTGATGCCTTGAACTTGCTCGTGCAACAAGGAGTTCTGGTGAAGAACCTCCTCGCGGCGCTTCTGCAACTCCAAGAGCTCGGTGTCGTATCTTGTCTTCTGCTCAATCCAGCTTTCTTCCTTTCGGCCCAAATCCTTCTTGAGAGTTTCGGCCTGAGTGCGAATTTCAGCCATCTCAAGCTTAACTTGGTTCGCCTCGGCGCGGACAGTCTGTAGATTCCTGGCAGCGTCGGCATGTTTGACCAGTTCATTCTCGTAGTTCTGTTGAGCAGTTTGGGCGATCTCTGCTTGTGCCTTGATGTCCTCCTGGTGGTACTTGGCGGCTTCCAAATGGCGCTCGTTGTCGTCCTTTAGTCGCGTGATCTCAGATTCCAGATCAGACTTCTGTTCCTCAAGATGACGTGTCGCTTCGCCTTGAGTTTCACGAAGCTTGGTCAATTCGGTAGCGTTGGTGGACATCTCGGTAGAAATTTCTTCAATTCGGGTCTCAAGCTCCTGGATTTTCTTGCTCCGCTCTTCGAGAAGAGCGTCGGTTTCTTCGCGGTACAGAGCGTGGGTGTCGGCCTCAGATTCCATGCGTTCTTCAGTCGACTGGCTAATTGCCTGGTATTCTTCCACGCGTTCCTTAGCATGGGCCAATTCGTTCTTTGCCAAGTCAAGATCGCGCTTGAGTTCAGAAACCTCTATGGAGAGTTCCTGCTCACGGGTCAAGCCGCTTCCATCAGTGGTGTCTTGCTCAGCAACAGGGGTCTCCGTAGGGGCGGATGGTGCGCTTGGCCGGGACTGCAAGACCTGGAGGCGCTCCTCGGCACTCTTGAGCTCGACAGTGAGCTCGTCCACACGGGACTGGAGGTGATCCTTGGTTGTCTTGACAGCTACTAACTCCTCACGAACAGAGCTGAGACTAGTCATTAGGTCGTCGATGCGCTTCTGATTCTGTTCTTGTTCGTAGTCTCGGCGCAAAGCGGCTCGTCTGGAGTTCTCCGTCTCATCATTAAGCTTCCGTTTTGTGGTTTGTAGCTCAGATTCGAGGGTTTCAACACTTGACTCGAGTCGGCGACGGTTTTCTGAGTCGGTGTGTTCGCGTTCATTCAGCATGCTTTGCATATTGCCGTTCAGCGTATCGAGACGGCTGCGCTCATTACGCAAGTTCTCGAGATCCTCATAAAGTCTCTTCTCGACAGTCTTCAAGAGGTCTCTCTCGGCCTTAAGGTTTGCATTCTCTCGTTGGTGACTTTCAAGAAGACCCTTAGCTTCGACGAGGTCCTCGGCAGCTTGTTGAGTTCGAAGGTCTTGTCGGTTTGCGTTTTCAAGAATAGAAGAGTAGCGCTTCTGCAGCTCGCTATTCTCACTCTTCAGCATATTGAAGTTACTCTGAAGAAGCTCGCCTCGAGAGTTGGCGGCTGCCAATTGGCTGCTAGACCGACTGATCTCACTGAGAAGCTCACTGTTCTTGCGAGAGAGCTCGTTGACCTGTTGACGAAGTGCTGAGTGATCCGTAGAAGTCTCCTCCCGATAGCTGTCGAAATGGGCTTGCAACTTTCGAAGGAGATCCGCGTAGTCGGGAGAGTTACTGATCTGACTGTCGCCAGCACCCATAGGTGCGGCCCCAAGGGGGACGGATTGCGAGAAAATAGAAGTGTCCCCAACAGTCTGGCGTCTGTGAGTGAGCATACTGCGGAAGGTATCCCGCTCCTTGACATAGCTCTTAGATTGAGCTACAAGGTTCGCAATCTCGTCGCGGTAAGTCTGCACACGAGTTCGCAATTCCTTCAGCTCCTCAGCCTCTTGCTGACGTACGGCATCCTTCGCACGAGCCTCCTCGCCTTCCATCTTGTCGCCCAGTTCTCGAAGCATACGTCGAAGGGTGAGGTTTTGTTCTTGAAGGTCGTGGAGGTTCTTGAAAGTGGTCAGGTTCTGGCTGATGAAACGGCCAGTTGGGTTCAGCTCTGCAGAAGACTCTTCAATCTCTTCCCGAGCGATTTTCTCCAGTTCCTCGCGGTCATAATCTTCGCCCTGCTTGGAAATAGCAACCTCCAGAACGAGGACCTTTACTTCGGCACTGAGATCCCGAAGTTGTTGACGAAGAATATCACCCTCGCGAGCGAGTCCTTCGATCTGGCCTTGCCATTTCCTTGCCTCTTTAGTGGCATCATCGCGCTCCTTTCCAGATGTCTCCAGGAGGGTTGACATTTCGATAACGGCATTTTCAAGGCGGCCGTGATCGGCACGGAGCTCGTCAATTTCAGGCTTGCTAGATTCCAGTTCCTGAACTATCTCGTCAAGTGTGACTCGGAGTTCTTGACTAGTTCTCTGCTCGGAAGTGAGGAGAGTTCTCATCTTGTCATATTCAGTATACATTTGTGTAAGGGTGAGACCGCCCTTGGTACGAGAGGCTCGTGGGGTGAAACTGCCACCAGGGGTACCAGGTCGCATTGGCGTACTGGGTGCAAACCCATTGAGAGAGTGAGCAGGGCTCATCGATCGGTTTCGGCCTTCGGATTCCAGCTGTGAAATACTGGCTTCAAGTTCAGCAACACGGCGCTCTGCAGCCTGCCTGTCGGTGTGCTCGGTCTCATTCTCGACACGGAGACGGGAGATTTCTTCCGCGGCATGGTCCTTGGCTTTCTGCAGTTCAAGCCTGCACTCTTCCACGCGCTCCTTGGCAGTCTTCGCGGCAGTTCCTTGAACTTCAGCCAGGCGTTGGGTGGCTGTCAACTCGACTCGGAAGGCCTCAGCGGCTTGGATCGTCTCCTCCTTAAGTTGACTGATCTTGGCCAATGAGTCCTCGTAGCGCTGCTCAGTTTCATCGAGACGGGTCTTGAGAGAATTTTCACTGCGGCGAAGGGAATCGATTGTTGAACTCGCCTCCTCATTTTCGCGCTGAAGTTCGGAGATGCGGGCACTCTTTTCCTTACGGAATTTCATATGCTCTGCTCCCTTTGTCTTCAGCTCTGTCTCATACCATTCATTATTCTTTTTGGTGAGGTCCAGCTCTTGCTGAAGACTCTGCTCTCTGAAACGCGCGCTCGCGGAAGTGGAGTCGACCTTCTGTTGGTTTTGCTCGGCGGTTGAAAGCTCACGGCGCAGGTCGATGGTCTTCTTGTGTAAAGTTGAGAGCTCTTCGGCGAGCTTGTCATGGGCGGCAGACTTAGACTCGAGTAATGCTAGGCTCTCCCGCTTTTCAGCTTCCAGCGTTGAGATGCGCGACTTCAATGAGGCGGTCTCTGATTCATTTGATGTTGAGGACGATTTGAGGGTGGAAATTTCGGACTCGAGAGCGGACCTGATGTTTTCTATTTAAGATAGGTCAATATCAGAGCAATCACGAGCGACGGGAGAATAAAAACAAACCGGATTCGTGTAGGCTTTTTCGCAATGCCTCTAATTCGGCATGGCCCTTCTCGACGGCCTCTTTCAAGACTTTGATCTTCGAGTCTCTGTTGCGAGAGAGATTCTCAAGTTCCACTTCCAGACGAATCTTATTAGCGTCGAGTTCATCGTGCTCGTTTGCTTTCTTTGTGATTGATTGAAGAAGCTGGTTCACAAGATCGACGGTGGGTGCTTGTGTCAGGGAAGCGAGTGTTGTTTCAGGAATTGAATAATGCGACGATAAGTAGGGAAGTTCGACAACGGTGTCGGCCATGGTGATTGATCGCTCGCAAAAAGCGAGAGGATGTGGCTTTGAAGCTCGAGAAGGTCGTACGGTTAAGGCGCAAGCTCGAACTCAGTTGTGACGCGCAGTGTGCACTGCTCTAGGACTCGTACACACAGCGCTATCGGAAGGCTCTAGGACATGGCGATCCAAATAAAAGAGCGGTCCGTCACAATCACGGAGAAAAATCACAATGGGGGAGGGAGGGGAAGAGGAATAGATGAGGTGACGACAAGGGCGAGCTTTGGAGATGCGCGCTTTCTCGGGTTGCGTTGGATCGGGTCACGTGCACGGGACCGGTCATAACTGCAGCCTGCGTTCATTCACCTCGATCACTTCTTTGACTTGACTCCCTGACTTGCGACTTGGAGCCCTGTTCCCTTTCACTCGTCGCCGCATTCTAATTAGGGATCCACCGAGCTGCTTCCTAATAATTTTGAGCAGCCGCGCATCCCTATGATCATCCTCTAGTTCTCAGAGCTCGTCCCGGCTCAACCGCAAGCATCTCGCTCCAGACCGGCTTTCCTTTCGCCTCGAGTCCGAACCGAACGTCCCATAGCCCGGGTATTCACAGCATTTCGTCGCAGCCATGTCGTACCTTCAGAATCAGCTCAAGAGCTTCAACGCTAGTGTGATGGAGTCAGCGAACCGCTTGCCTCAGCAGAGGCGAGTGGCCGTTAACGCTCCTCCATCTGCTAGCAGCTCACAGGCTCCCTCATCGGCACCGACCCCTTCGTCGACCAGCGATCCGAAAAAGAAGCGCCATGACGCGGACATCGTCTACTCCCAGCCAGCCAACACAGGTACCGGCAAGGATATCATGACGCAGGTTCTTTTTGCGATCGAGCATATGAAGAACAAGGGCGTGCCGTTAAAGTTTGGCGATATCATCTCATACCTATCCCTGCAGCACCGGGCGCATGATCAGGGATATGTCCAAGCACTACGCAGTATCTTGCAGATGCATGAGAAGGTCGACTACGATCCAGCCGGTGCCAGCGGCGAAGGCACCTTTAGTTTCCGCCCACCTCATAATGTTCGCAACCCTGAACAGCTGCTCCGCAAGCTTCAGTCCCAAACCACCGCAGCTGGTATGAGTGTTCGCGAACTTCGCGAGGGTTGGCCAAACGTCGAGGATGCTATCAACCAACTGGAGAAGGAAGGCAAACTCCTAGTCACTCGGAACAAAAAGGATGACCACGCCAAGATGATCTGGGCTAACGACCCTTCCCTCATTGAACATTTCGATGATGAGTTCAAACAAATCTGGGACAAGATCAAGATCCCGGATGCTCAAGCCGTGAAAGAAGCGCTGGAGAAGGCTGGCATCACTCCCACCAACAAGAACAAGGTGATGAAGCCACGGCCCAAGATGGAACCAAAGAAGGTCAAAAAGGCCCGCCGCAGCGGCAAGACCACCAATACTCATATGATGGGTATCCTGCGGGACTACTCGCACCTCAAGCGGTGATAGAACATACTGCCAACCTTGACTTCGCATTGCATCGGCGTTTTGTTATTTCTTCCAGAATGTTAGACTACCTGTCAGGTGGCAGTTCACGCCTGGATCATATTTCCGTTAAACCGTTTTCTCAATTGTCTATTACGAAAACAAAATGCTTGATACCCAGATAAACCAATACCAAAAATTCAAACAATCCTATAACCACTCTAGTACCTACTAGTAGACTAGGTTACTGAATAGCAATCTAAACTAATGGATGCTAGTAGAATACTCCCGATTCCTCTTATCTACTAGTAACTAGAGATCCGTAGTACATGTCTAAACATTTGGGTCCATTCATCTACAAAGGTATCTTCAAGTAAGAAGGGCAGCGTGATGTACAACACAAAAGAATGCAAAATGAAAGCAAGAGAACACAAAAACCTCTTAATGACGACCATTCGAGACAGACTTCGCAGAACCCTCCGTCCTCTCCAAATACTCCACCATATCTTCAATAGTGCAGACCTTAATTCCCCACCGCTTTCCAAAGCGCAAGCATCCATCCCGACGCATCATGCCGTTATTCCCTCCAATCTCCGCCACACCCTCAATAACCTCGCCATCATCCACCAGCTCCGCAATCACACCCGCGGGCGCCTTACCAGCCAATCGGCAGAAGTCAACAGCGGCCTCGGTATGGCCCTTGCGCTCACGCACGCCGCCAGGGCGCGCCTGCAACGGGATGATGTGGCCGGGGCGTCGGAAGGAGTCGATCTGGGCATCTGCGGAGGCCAGGGTACGGCATGTGAGGGCGCGGTCTTGTGCGGAGATTCCAGTTGTCACGGAGTCGTCGCTAGAGTCAATTGTGATGGTGTAGGCGGTACCCTTGGGGTCGGCGTTCTCGGTGACCATCTGGGGGAGGGCGAGGCGCTTGGCTAGATCCGGGGTGATGGGAGCGCATATTAATCCACTGTAAATGCGATCAGTTTTGTTTTGTTCCCTCAAAAAATGTCCCCTTCCAAGGGGCGCTGGCATCGTGCTCGTGGCGATATCGGGTCTCCACCTGATGGTGTTGGGGTGGCGTGCTCACCTTGTGTAGCGAACAAGGAAGGCCATCTGGGCCGCCGTGATGGAATCAGCCGCAATTATAAGGTCGCCTTCATTCTCGCGATCTTGATCATCGAGGACAATGATGAATTCGCCATTCTCTATGGTGAGTCACAGTTAGTTTCGAGCATCGATTTGTAACTTCCGAAAGCGGGTGTTTGTAGGCTGGAAGAGCAGGTAAGAGCGCTGAATGAGGCTCAACTCACTGAATGCAACGATTGTATCTTCAATCGAGTCGAATTGAAGTGTAGGGTCTGTGGTGGAAGGCATGCTGGGCAGGATATGAGTTATCGACACGGTTCCAATGGCGGTTCTTTTTGCCCCTCAATGCGCAATTCGAATTTGAGCTTTCGTGGGTAGTATAGGGAGAAGGGTTGGAGGCCAAGGGTCTGAAGTCTGTGGGAATGCTAGTGTGTATGAATTCAAGTTCAAAATTTGGATTAATCAGAACTGTGGCCAGCCGGGAGGGTCCGTAATGGCTGACAGTTCATTAGAAATCCTCGTGATGCTCGGCGCGGGGGAACCGGGCGGTGAGCGCGCCAATTCCGATGCCTCGGATGCTCGGCGATCGGCGTGACAGCGAGGCCAGCGCATACAAAAATTGTGCCCTGACTACTGTAACTGTAGTACTAGTATAAATTTCCCAGGTAAAGAATTAAGATTTTTTGAGTTGATGGCGCCAATTGATTTACCTAGACTTGATAATGCTCAAATGAATAAAGTCCAAAAGTCTAGTCGCTGAGATCGCAGTATAAAAACCCCGGAAGAGGAACTAGGGAAACACCAGAAGAGATGTAGGGAAAGATAGACAAGGCTGCTTAGCCTAGAAGCAGCCATTAACCCATACTATCAGTCCCCATCCACCGAACCTCATCAGCCTGCCTCTCCAATGCACGACGCATCGTCTCCTCATACCGCCGCTCCTTCTCCCACTCATCGCGGTGCTTGTGCCGCATCTCCTCGCGTTTCTCCTCGTCAACCTCAGCATGCATAAACAAATCATCCTCCTCATCTCCCATCTCGACATCCGAGTTCTCAGGAACGGAAAACTTGAGTCGGCCAATGCGTTCTCCGGTCCATACGAGGAGTTCATCTCCTGTCAGATTGCCCCCGGTGGGGAGAATCTTTCTCGCCACCTCGCTGCTGTTATTTTGCGGTTGAGAGCTTGGCCAGAGGCCGCGCGGCTGCGGCTGATCGTCATCTGGTCTGAATATAAATGCACTGTCACGTTTTGAGAATGGAATCTGCGGGTGAGAAGTATTGACGTTCCAGCGGCGGACTTCGGCGCGACCATTTCGCTCAACCCATTTGATATTGCCCTCAGAATCGGAGTACACGAGACGGTTGCCGTGAGATACCACGGAGAGCAACTTAGAGCTCGCCGCACTTTGCCGATTCCTATATTCCGGAGTCAACTGCGATGTCCGGTTGGAGGGGTTGCCTTCGCGGTTTTCAGAGGATGATTTGAGATTATATAGCTCCAGTGACCCTCGGCCATTGTATTCGCCACATGCGACGATATTATGGGAATCAAGATATGTCGAGTCGGAGTGTACTGGGAATCGAGGTTCGGGGGCAGAGGCAAGACCACAAAGACGACCGCCAGAATGAACTGTGCTTTGCAAACGAGGGAAGAAGCGGCGATCATAACAGAGAATGCTAGGAAAGCGACCCGCGAGGAGTATGGTGTTGAAATGCGGTGCTGGCGGGTGAAGAATGGACAAAGGTCCTGGTTGAAAGAGTGGTGCATAATGCTCATCTCCGGGCCCAGGACTGCGAATCCGACGCGGAGGGAGACCATTGGGTTGGAGTTGTAATTGTGGTGAGTCGGAATGGGGGAATATATCCAGCTCTGGAATCAATGGCGTAGAGTTCTTTTCGCACCGCAAGCTAATCGCTTCCTCTTCCTCCATGGCAGACAGTCTCGAGTCATGAATCTGCAGGCTGAGCGTTGTAGCTAGCGTCAGTGGTACTGAATAATCTGTTTCTTGAGATAGTGCAAAGATCGACCAGGGGTAACGCTGTTGTGATATCACTTTGAGTGTCTCGAGATCAACCTCATTGAGAACATTCCCAATAGCAAGGTACGCTCGTCGGCGGAATGAGTCGACAGTGACGCCCTCGCCAAGGTTGATAAAGTCCAGCGCTGATTTCGCCGGGGCACGCTCCCGACGGCCAGAAAGATTGGCCATGAGGGCTCCAGGCTCGCTTATACCTAGAATTCCTCCCTTGGTTGATTGCGAATTTGCACTGTGAGAATGGTTCAAGTCCCAGATGCATACACTGCCATCATCGAGGGGCGCCACAATCTTGTTCTGCCTCGCAGAGCTCCAGTCCTTCAACAACCCCATGCCCTTAACTTCGAATGGCTGACGCTTCCTCCCCTCGCCCTTTTGAAACGGTTGCTCTACCCATGATAATGAGATAGGTCCATGGCGGGCAATATATTCCGAATACCAATCGACATGTTCTCCGAGAGCCGAAGAGTCCCACTCCGAGGCCGCCCTAGCCCTGTCACTCAGCGACTGCGCTCCTGGCTCCGCTATTTTATTCTGGTCCTGCTGGGGAGCCGGAGGCTGGATCAGATCACGTAGCGAACCCTGTCCCAATGTACTCAACGACGCAGTCGGATTCGCGAGTAGGCTCTCCGACATCCGGCCCGCCGGACGGGAGGCCTGTAAGGCGGCCCAGGATTGCTCATAGCAGTGCAGTTTCCACAGATTATTGTCACGGGCAATATCGAAAAACTTCTTGGAAACGGATTGCAGCTGCACCTTCTCACATGGAGTGAGAACTAGCCATTTAAGTCAACTTAGCAGCTCGGGCGGATTTTGCAGAGTGGTGCGGGAAGATTCCGCGGGGGGTTGGGGTTGATGGCGGCTTACGATCGATGATTTTGGTGAGGATCTCTACCGGCAGGTTGTCCATGAGGCCTGTGAGATTGCAGCATCGGGGGCAGATAGAAGGAGAGGGAGGTCAGGGTCCAGAGCGCAGCCTGTCATGTTATGACTGGAAAAAAGACGTCCTCCAGCGGGGGATCTGCAGCGGTCGGATCACGTGGCTGAGAATAGCAGAAATTCCAAGTAAAATTAGGGGAAACATTGCCAGCTAGGCGAAAGGGAAGGTAAAATTGGTTTGACAAAGTGACGCTTGAATTTCATGTTGTTTCATCCATGCACATGGTGCGAGGGAGGCTTGAAACGATGTGGTTCCACAGGACAACAGTGCCCCGGTTTGTTGATGGACAAAATTGATTCAATGTTTGATTGGTAGATCATAGAGAGGCATATATACAATGTAAATTATAGGCAGCCTGAACAGTCTTGTCCCAGATACCACTCAACAAGCACCAGCTCACTATAGATTCCTCACCCTGGGTCTTAAGTCATAGATCGAGCGTGAAAAACCGGACCAAAATGCTTAGATATAAGACGAAAAGGAAAAGGCGTGAAAAGAGAGAAGAAAAAAAAGCAGAAAGATTCTCTATTCATCGGGCTTGAACACAGCGTCTTTGCAAAGAATCACAACCTTTTTGAAGAATCGCCGCCATTCCAAGGGATCACCCTTGATCTTGACGAATTCAACTTCGAAAACACCCTCAGAGACACACTCAATAAGGACCTTGCCTTGGAGAGGGCACATTCGGCCATCTTTGGCAATCACTCGAATCATGGCAGATGAATCACCGGCAGTGACTGCAGGAATTGAGGGGACTGGAACACCCAACCGGTGAAGAGCCTCGCAGATCAAGGGAACCAAGAGCTTGAGCTCCCAAGCAGAGTAGAAGCGTGTCATGGAGCGAGATGGAATGATATCTTGGAATTTCTGGGCATTTTGTGTTCGGCTCACGGGAACAGATGGCTGCTGCGAGAACTGAGACATAGAGGGTTCATCCTCTAGATGACTGCTCATCGCCATACCTTGGGACGCAAATTGTTTCCCAGCAGGCTGGGTAGATGAGAACTCGGAGGCCAGGTGTGGAGTATCCCAGTCCATCACCACCCCACCTGCCATCTCTGGCTGTGTGGAAGATAGGCCCAAGGAAACATCAGCATTATCGTCCATATCCATATCCATTGCGTCGAAGCTTCGACTGGCGCCCTTGCGTTTCTGCGATAGAGGGTCTTGACTAAAGTCGATATGTAGTGACTCAAACATGGAAGTGGCGAGATTGATCGGGTCTCGTAGCTTGCCATCCGAGGACAGGTATTTATTTGATCGTGTATACCAAGGGTGTCTCCGTACGTCTTCGAGTGAGAACCGTGTCTTGGGATCTACGGTCAACATGCCGCGCATTAAGGAAAGAGTAGCTGGAGGTAGTTTCTGCCATAGTTCATCGGTAGTTCGTGAGTTTGTTGCGAGGTATTCGTGAAATTCGTAACTCTCATCAGTTGGGCTGTCCCATGGCGTGTTTCCCGCTAATAGGACGAAAAGGACGATCCCGCAAGACCAGATGTCCACCAAGTCTGGGTGGTAACCCGGTCCCTTGTTCTGACCTCGTGTACTGGAGGTAATCACCTCTGGGGCAATATAAGGAGGGCTGCCACAAAAGGTCGATGAGAGTTTCCTGGTTCCCTTGTATTCGAACAGCGCGGCCAGGCCGAAGTCCGCTATTTTCAGATTTCCGTCGGATGTCAAGAGCATGTTTTCGGGTTTGATGTCACGGTGGCCCACGCCCTTGGAATGCATGAAGCTCACAGCGCTGACGAGCTGCGAAAAGTACACGTGGGCAATGTCTTCCCCAACACCTTCATCGGCTTCGATCTTGTCGAAGAGGTCGCCGCCCTCGGCCAGCTCCATTGCGATCCACTGCCAGACATCATCCTCGCCAGTCTGATAGAAGCTAATGATGTTATTATGGCCCGTAACGTGTCGATGTACGGTGACTTCCAATTTTAGCTGGCGCGCACTGATTTTCCCATGACGCGCCGCGTAGTCCTTGTTAATGTATTTGACGGCGAAGACAGGGTTGTCGGAATCCACCGGGCAGGCCTTTTTGATACTAGGAGTCGACTTGAATTAGAATGGCTGCTGGATGTTGGATTGTAGCTGTGCTCACCAAGCATAGGCGCCCTGGCCGATTGTTTTGGATACAATACGGAACGGCACGTCGCTGGGAAGCGGGGCCAATTGCGAGTGCTGCATTGTGGCGGGAAATGCTAGCAGATGGAGAAAATCGGGGATTTGAAAAAAAGCCAAAGGAGTGACAAAGGTCGACTAGACACTATACATTGCGGTGAAACGAGAGTGGGAGGTGATGCGCGGCGAGGCGAGGGGATGCGAAGCGCAAGGGTAGAGTGCCCGTCGGACTCGACGCGGGACTCGACGCGGGCCACTTTATCCTGATCGGGAAGTCTGTTGATGTGGTACTCCATCCCTGTGATCGAAGAGAGAGACTACAAAGCTATAGATCTGGGGAGTTTCAGAGAGGGAGAGATTGTAGAGAGAGGAAAAAATGGCAAGGATCAGGCCATAGTAAATTGAACTACTGGTATATATAGACGTGCATCTACAAGTCATAAGCTACATTTTCTACTAGTATGTTCCACTGTGAGATGTTCAGTACTTTGCAGTGCAAGAGCTTTCAACTGCAACAATTTATCCTAGTACTTTCATCTCTGTGAGGATAAAATCAGTAGAAATATCCAAGTCATTTTTAAATAGGGCATGGGCATGAGCTGTATTCTGCATTTGCTGTGACGGACCATGAGCCATGACCAGAATGACCCCGCAGGTGATCGCACTAGTTTTCCGTCACGATCGCCCGGCCTGTGCGTGTCACTCGTTGCTCTCTCCAGGGTGCCCTTTTTCTGCATGATCTTTCCATGGTGTTTTTAGATCCAAAAAAATTAGAGTCCTCCCATGTCTCATGTCCCATAATAATCAGATGTAGATCAAGATCAAGATCAAGATTAACCGTAGATAACAATTCCCTGTCTAACTCGCTCCTTCCGCATTCGTCGACCTTCCTCGTGGTTGCCGGGGTAAACAAAAAAGACTTGTTTAGCGCCCTTCGTCTTTGTGCCCACGTCTTTTCGTTTCTCTATCCCTCTGTCCTCCGTTCTCTGTTCTCCCAAATCCTCATACTACTTGATATCACCTCTCATCACTTATACCTCTCATCGACTTCATCTCTGCACATCGTCCACCGTTGCTTTTGGTCGTGTGGGTCCCCTGTCGTTCGGATCCGTCGTCATTCCAGACAGCAACCCTCGTGCTACTTCGTCCATTTACTCGCATTCCAGACACCCCTCCGGGTATCTGCGGATTTTGAGATCACTTCTTGATTCTATCTGGCTTCTTTGACTCTTCTTCGCGATGGACTACACCATGGAAGACTCCCAAAACTCGGCGCCCGACGCCCTGGAAGCTACCAAGCTGAACACCTCCGGCCAGCGGACGGAGACGCAGAGCGTCACTAAGCGGTTAGTTGGCTACCGATTCGAGGGAAACAATCATCTCCAGATTCCGACCACTGCTAATGCTTCTTGCCAACGTTTAGTTTGCAAGCTGAACTGATGCAGCTGATGCTTTCGCCCTCACCCGGCATCTCCGCCTTCCCCGACGGTGATGGTAACCTCCTCTCGTGGACTGCCACCATCACTGGCCCGACCGAGACTCCTTACGAGAACTTGAACCTGAAGCTTTCGTTCAGCTTCCCTAGCACCTATCCATACTCCGCCCCCACCGTCCTCTTTAAAACTCCCATCTACCACCCCAATGTCGACTTCTCGGGCCGCATCTGCTTGGATATTCTTAAGGACAAATGGAGCGCGGTATACAATGTGCAGACTGTCCTACTCAGCTTGCAGTCTCTTCTCGGCGAGCCGAACAAGTAAGTGAAGGCATTATATTCGACTCTCACAGCAACACTTGAGCTAACATCTCAACAGTGCGAGCCCATTGAATGCCCAAGCCGCCGAGCTGTGGGACAATGACCAGGAAGAGTTCAAGCGTCAAGTCCTAGCCCGACACCTTGATTTGGATGAAGAGTAGATCGTCGTTTTTCATACCTTTCATTACACATTGGCGTCGGTCGGACCACCGGATATACCCTGCCTCGCTTTTGTCCTTGCGCCGGGAATAGGTGGCACGAATGCATAGTGGCCTGGTACCATAGGCTGGAGTTTGGGTTCTCAAGTTTTTCTTTTTGATTCTCCTAATTTATTCCTCTTCTCTTTCTCGCCATTTCCATCTTCGTTGCACACATTCGAGTATAGGCGCGTATGCTTCCTTTCACAAACCATGCGCAGGTTATCCAATCCACTACAATGGGCATCGGGGGGCCTATTAGCTACTCGAATAGGTGACCTACTCTTGGACCAGAGGTATCATTCAGAAGGTATCATTCAGAAACCTCCCGCATGCTGTTTCATACCTGTATAGGTACTAGTTTACGCGTGAGATGGTGATTCAAATATGCAAGATGTTTTAAGAGAATGCATTTGATACTTTTCTCCACATGCTTCTGCAAGTATACGAAGAAGCCAAGGGAGGACTGAGTCTTCCACTGGAGTAAGCACTATTCAAAATATGGAGATCGATCAAGCCGAAGTAAAGTACTGCTTCTCATCGGTAATAAGCAGCCCAGCGACAGTAGCACTGGTAAAAGTACTGATAGCACCGGTAATCATGGCACTAACAGCGACACGCGATACATCGGCGCTACGCCCAGGCGAGATCTGAGCAAGCACTCCAATTTGGTTACCCAGCGAACCGATATTAGCGAAACCGCAAAGCGCATATGTTGCGATGAGACGGGAACGATCGGATAGATCGGCGTATTCGACCGAGTTCTGAAGTTGGTTGTATGCTACGAACTCGTTCTATTAACGGCGAGGTTAGTGAGATGATCCCTTTGTTCCAAAGAAGAGATTTACAAGGGCAAAGGGAGGAAACGTACGGAAATGAGCTTGAGACCAATCAACTGGCCGACCTTGAGCAAGTCCCCATCGCGAGAAACTCCAAGCAAGAAAGCGATGGGGTAGCAAATGTAGCCAACAATCATGTGGAGACTCAAGGGGGGTTCGTTGATATTCAAGTATTTGCCCCACCAACCAAGAAGGCCGTCAATGAGAGCGATCAGCGAGATGATGCAGAGCAGCGTGGAGGCAATCATAGCGGCAATCTTGAGACCCAGCCAGGCTCCCGTTGCAAAGGCGTGCAGCGCATTGGCCGACTTGTGCTCTTCGTTATCGGGCACAACCACACGACCAGCTGTCAAACTCTCTTCCTCCTCGGGCCAACGAAGCTTCGAGCAGGCTAGCGAGGCCGGAATACTCATAACACATGCCGAGACTAAAGCCTGTGGGTTGACACCCATTGAGATATAGGCAATCAGGACACTTCCGGCAATGGTAGCAAAGCCGGAACACATGACCTGGTGCAGCTCAGCCATTGTGAGATGAGCAACGAACGGCCGAATAAGCATTGCAGATTCACCCTGTCCAATGAAGGGGGATGCCGCAGCGACAACAGCCTCGGCTCCGGAGACACGAAGACTCCAGAAGAAAAAGGTGGCGAACTTCCCGATAAACCATTGCAAGATGCCGCTGTAATAAAGGAGCTGGACAATGGAGACAAAGAAGAGGATGGCTGGGACGACGCCAATCAGGAACCAGTTGCCGGGTGCCAGAGGAGCCGCCCCAGTTTTGGTCTCCAGGTCCGGCTTAACGTATTGTTTCATATCAATGAATTCCTGCTGGGTTAGGAAGACCACACCATCGGTGGCGAACCCAAGCAGTTCACGGGCAAGAGTAGAAATAAAGTTAAAGATATCATAGCCGGCGCCAGAGCGGAGCACAAAAAGTGCAATGATGAACTGGGTTAACATGCCGACAATAACTGTATGCCAGATGATCTTCTTGCGGTTGCGTGATGTAGCCCAGAGTACGAAGAGGAAGACTGCCAGACCGAAGAGACTAACTGCACGGTTTGCGCGAGTGTTGTCTGCACTCTCGGGCGAGGCAAAAGAGCCGATCAACATGACACCAATGCATAGAAGGGCCGCGGCGGGTGTTCTCAACTTCTCAGGGATGAGATTCACAAATGGCGGCGCAGTGTGGTTCCAGATGAAGTATATAGGCTTTGTGACAATGCTGATAGGAATATAGAAGAAAATAATCCGTAGCGTGATAGCCAGATAGAGCAAGAATGGAATCAACCATCCTCGGTCATATCGGTGCAGAATCAGACCGGCGATCCACCATCTAGGCCGAACAGCATGAGTCTCGAAGATTTCATTGCATATGGAGGGGAAGAAGGCTTGATAAGTGCCTTCTTACAAAGTTGATCAACTCACCCGGTGAAAAGTAGCCAAATCACAAGATGCATGCCATGTCGCCAATGCTTTGTCAAGCGGCGATGCCATGGGCGCGCGGCCGGCTCAGCACTATTTCCCGTTTCCTCATCTCCTGTGCTTTGACTCTGGCTTTTACTGGCGTGATCTAGTGGAGTCGGCTCCGGGACAATTCCTTTCTCAAACCCCGCTGTTTCCTGGGAATGAGACGACTTCGTCCTCGTGGCCTTTCTCGGCAAATGTGGTGTGGTGGTGGTGCGTATGGTGATGCTGGTGCTCCGGCTGCAGCGCAGGATCTATGCCAGGCGATGGCTGGGACTCCATGTCCCGAGTAGCGTTGTCTGGCATTTTTTTCGCCGGGTGATTGCGACTGGGGGAAGAAAACGCGGCTCTTCGAGTCAAGTAGTGTTGTTTGGGGAGATAAGTCTCTTAAGGTTTATCTCTATATTTCGCACGTATCACCTGGACATTCCTTGTGTTTCACGAAGTCGATGAGATCGGGGTTGTCACTGGGAACAAGCTTCAAGCTTGAACCTTGGAATCAAATGCGCCTACCCGGGGATATCTGAGTTGAATCAGGTTGGGTCAGGGGCCGAGAGGGGGCGGGCAAGATCCAAGTATTATAGACGGCCTGGTTATCAAAGAGCAGAGGCAGGGTCCATGGTGGCTGGCTTGGTACTAAGCATTCCTCGCATGGCGATTGGGGGGCCTGGCTCGTTTATCAACGGCAAAAGCCAGGATTTCTGTGTGCGGGGAAGAGACCAGGGAGAGAATTAAAAACCGCGAGATAAAGAGCTACGGACCACGATCAAACAGGGTTTAGTAGCCCTCGGCTGGTGGTCCTGGGCCTCACGTCCATTGAGAGTCTATCAGAGCCATGGACCAGTGACGGCCTCCCCGACGGAGCTCCCGTCTCAGTTATGAGGGGCTCGCATGTAACCAAAGACCTGTGGGACCCCATTTTAAGTAAAGTGATAGCGCCGTTGCACCACTATCTCGGAGGACTAACACTTTTCAGGCGATATCTTGCCACCAGGGCGACGGTGGTTGGCTGGTGATCTTCTTTCCAGGAGGGTCGAATCTCCGCACTGGTGAACGGCAAGTGGGGGGCGCCTGAATTTAGCGGTCCTTCTGAGAGGTCGCGTGGGCTTTGCCTTTTTTTCTTTCGGCTTGGATTTCTAGAAATCCAATCTGCCCGGAGTCTGCCCTATTAGGAGACCAGGACACCCGGAGACCCTTGTGAACGCATCTGTGGTTCTCCACGCGGAGATCGGACATCCTCCATACAAATGAGGGTCTCCATGTCCTCCTGCGAATGTACGGAGTAGGGAGCACTTTGATGATCTACAGACTACAGTACGATTACTCGTACTCTACAAATCTGGTTCTCTCGATTGTACACAGTGGAAATCTCGGTGGAAATCTCGGTGGCGCTCCGACTGGGGGGGTCCACCGCACCACCAATTTGAACTTTAGAAAGCCCGACCTTAATTATTCCTCCCAACTGTCCAGTGATTGTTCTCCTTCCCTTGAATCAGCAATTATTTTGCATTTCTCATGGCTATCTCCCCTCAATTCCTACGGCGACCTCCGCCTCGTAACTTTGGATAGGGGCTGATCTTGGCAGGCTAAGTGCTTACCTTGCCTGCCATCGTCACATCGGACGGACTCATTTGGATAAAAGAGTCTTGGCGCTCGACCCAATCGGCGCACGATCCTCGAGTGGCTAGAGGCGGCAAAGTGGCCCTTGGACAGTGGTGGATCTGGTGGAGAGGAGAGAGCCACCGTGATGCCGAAATATGGTATGCAGTACGGAGTAGTAAGTAGTTGTTAGAGTATAGATTCTACACAGTTGATAGGGGAGATAATGTTAGGTGTAGGCCTGGTGGTCTTCTTTGGTCCTCCATGAAACCAAATGCCCTACTCTTTATTGAGATACAAATAAATAATCAAGGCAATAACCTTGAATACTACTAACGCGTGCAGAACTGAACTCCCCCCGGAAGCGGTAGGCAAAGCGGGGCAGATCGACCCGAACTTGAAGATCCAAACTTGAAAGTCCCCCCGAGTCTCTATTGACATCCTGCGAATATTCTTATCTATCTTACTTCATCTCAACTCCGAGCCATGGGAGACAAGAAAATTGAATGGGAGCTAGAGGAGGGGATCCCCCAGGTCGAGGATCCCTTCATCCAGCAGTACTTGAAAGGCCGCGAAGCCTTGATCGCGGAGGAGCAGAAGAGACGTCATGGTAAGATTAGCACAACATCATGAATCAACAACTTGAACTCTTCTAAATCATTCTAGATGCCACCTTTCGCAAGACGCTTTCGCCCATCGCTGCCCGGGCTTGCAAAATTGTCTCTCAGATTAGGGCCCAGGAGCAGCACGACGTGTGGACCACCGGCCTAGACGAGGCAGCGGCCCATCAATCGGACGAGATTCTTTACCCTGGAGTTATGTTTCATCATGCTAAGGGTCGCATGGAGAAGACCAAGCTGTGGAAAATTGTGGAAAGGATGCCCAAGGGCTCACTGCTACATGCCCACATGGATGCCATGTTCGATATTGACTTTTTAATCGACCAGGCTTTCTCCACGCCAGGCATGCATTTCAAATCAGAGAAACCCCTTCTTACTATGAAGGACTACGAGGAGGTCCCAATAGCCTTCCAATTTTCCTCCCAGCCGCTGTCCGCATCAGATGCTACCCCTAGTATCTGGACCGAGGCCTACGAGACCTCATCCATGATTCCTGTGCAAAAGGCTGCCTCCTCTTTCCCGCAAGGCGGAGAGGCTGGCTTCCGGGACATGATACGCAATCGATGCATGTTAACACCCGAACACTCATACAATCATTATCATGGAGTCGACGCTATCTGGTCCATCTTCACACGGACCTTCCCAGTAATTAACTCCATACTGAACTATGAGCCAATCTTCCGAGCATGCTTCCGTCGCATGATGACACAGCTTGCAGCAGATGGGATTCGATATGTTGAGTTCCGTATTGGCTTTGTGTTTGAGTATCGGAGGGAAGGTAGTGACAAACCGGAAGAAAGCTATGATGAATTCTGCCGGGTCTTGGAGGAAGAGATAGAGCGCTTCAAGTCGACCGATGAGGGCAAAAGTTTCTATGAGGCCCGAATCATCTGGACGACTATTCGATCGTTCTCCAACGAAATGATCGTCGAGAATATGAAAAAATGTATTACGACGAAGCAGAACTTCCCGGACTTGATCTGTGGATTTGACCTGGTTGGGCAGGAGGATTTAGGGAGACCCCTGGTGGACCTCATCCCGCTGCTATTCTGGTTCCGCAAACAATGTGCCGAGGAGGAGGTCGATCTACCCTTCTTCTTCCATGCCGGTGAATGTTTGGGAGACGGAGATGCGACGGATCATAATTTGTTCGACGCCATCTTACTCGGCACCCGACGGATCGGCCATGGATTTTCTCTCTACAAGCACCCGCTGCTGATCGACCTGGTGAAGGAGAAGAAGATTATGGTAGAATGCTGCCCGATCTCCAATGAAATTCTCCGACTGGCTAGCTCTATCAAGACTCACCCACTGCCCGCTTTATTGTCCCGTGGTGTTCCGGTTTCGCTCTGTAACGACGATCCGGCTATCTTGGGTCATGGGAGGAATGGGCTCACACATGATTTCTGGCAGTCCCTCCAGGGATTGCAAAATGTCGATCTGGCCGGTCTGGCGATGATGGTTCAAAACTCCCTCCGGTGGAGCTGTTTTGAAGACCAATCAACCGCTGAATGGAAAGCAGAGGTAACGGAGGGTATCTTGGGAGAGAAGGACTCAAGGGGACCAGGCTGCGGGAATGGTGTTCGGATTTCGAGAAGTTCTGCGAGTGGGTAGTGTTGGAATTCGCGGAGTTCGATGATGCCGATTAAACGATTAAAAGATAATGGTGTGGCGGGAAGTACGAATTACTCCAGATACCTTCATATACAATATAGGCACAAAAATTCAACATTGTTTTGACCTGATCTCAAAATTGAGTCGCGGGGAAGTGGGTGGAGCGGAAGCAAACCACGCGCTTGGTCCAACTTGGACGCTGCGCTGCGTTGGGCCGCCGCCTGACGATAAGCCCGCTCTTTATCAGCTGCTCTCCTCCGCACGTCATATTCTCCTTCATCTTCAAATCCCACAACACACCCCGTCCCTCCCTTTGCCTTTCCCATTTGCTTTGCTCTTCGCGTTCGGTTGGACTGTTCGAGCTTCGATGAATTCCGTTCGTGTATGACCAAACCCGCCCCCTAGGGCGTTTCGCGATGGCATCGTACCTCCTCCCGTCGTTCTTTCAGAAGCGACTGCTCAAATACGCTCTCTCCCGCCTGGGCCTGTTCGACACAGATGATCTAGATCCGGATAATTTGGGTATTACTTGGGGTCAACGAAGTACAGTGGAGCTACGGGATGTTGGCTTAAAGTTGGAGGTGAGCAAGACGTGCAACCCAGACCTACGGAGTGGGGCACTGATCCCGAGATATCTTGGACCGTATCTCTCTAACATCCACCTTATTTTCAATAGAAACTCGCAAGCTACTTACAGCTTCCGCCAACTTGCGAACTTCTCAACGCTCGGATCCAGTCCCTTCGAATCACCATCCCGGCCGATCTGATCAACAGCGGTATCGGCCTTGAAGCGAGCGGTATCGATCTACACCTTTGTTTATCATCCAATGAACCGCCCCAAGAAAAACATGGAAATAGAAAACAGCAGGCAATCCCAGTTTCGACAGGGCATTCTCTTGGGGGGAAGCAGGCTCTGCCTACGCCATCCAACCTCGCTGAATCATTCCTTGAGTCCGAGCCAAGAGAGGAGAAAGAGGAGCTAGAAGCCGCCATCTCGTCACAATCCCATGTCTTTCAGCATGGGTCCTCTTTCGGCGAAGATGATGAAGAGGAGGAATTAGGTCTTGGGAATGAAGAAACATCTCTACCGAGTTTTGTTGCGGGGTTCCTTAATGGCGTGATGGAGCGGTTACAAGTTAGCATCAAGGACATTGTCGTGCGAGTAGACATGGAGTTGAAGCAGGACGGTCCTTCCAAGAGACACCCTGAAGACAAGCCGGATCTTGTCTCGGCCTTGTTGACGGTGGGACAGGTAGATCTCCATGGGGCCTCGGGATCCGCTACTGGTCCAACTGAGTCGGCCCTATTCCGGGACGGCAAAAGACTACTTTCCCTCACTGACATTAATATTGGGCTCGTCTCGGACCCAGGTGTCTTTTCAAACTACTCACGATTCACAGCCCCCGCCTCTCCAACTACTACCATGCAGTCAAAGGCCAGTCATTCATCCAGTAGAGCTCCGTCACCACCTTCATTGGACAACTCTGTTTCCGACCCCGGGCTCGCCATGACGCGGTCAACCATCTTTGAGCCCTCTCTTGGATATTATCGTGGAGAGGGTAATATGGGGCATGGGATGGAGGAATCAGGACACGAAATGGAGGCATCGGGGTTGGCCCAAGATGGCCGATTCTCGGATGCAGACTCGGATCACGAGAGAGGATACGAGCGCAGTCTTGATAACTCTCAGACTTTTGGAGACGACCCCTTCAACGACAATCCAGGGTATTTGGATTCCGTAATTGATACCCAATCCGACGATTTCGATGACGAACCACCTTTGGGCGCGTATATTGAAGAACAACACATGGCAGAAACCGAGGGAAATGACCATTCCATAAGACTTCCATCACCTGTAATGGATGACCAAGCAGCAAGCTCCGGAGATACTGAGCATCGGGAGATCGCGACGGCATCTCCACGAGGAACTTTGGAAGAGTCTCAAGCTTACGCCTCACAAACCATTAGTCGTTTTGGCATCGAATCCAATGAGAATACGCTTCTCAGCCATCACGACGATGTACAAGAGGACATTTTGGCACACCAACCTCCTTACTCCTCGGAAGCCTCCCACCACTCGTTATCCCGGTCAAACTCTGACAATACAGCCTCCGAAGAGCCGACCCCTGGCGCCGAACTCACCGAGTCCAAGTTCTTTTCTCATGATGAGGCACAAAGTCTGTATATGAGCGCTATAAGCCAAGGTGGCGAGGAAAGCTTCATGCCGAATATGCCGGGCGCATGGGACTCATTTGGTCCTGGCCGAGTGTCAGATCTTGAAACGAGCAGACGCAGCGAAACCCACGCCCCAACGGAGATCAATGCACCGAACCCAGCGGTTCAGGACGAAGCTATCGCTTCCACGCCGAAGCAAACTATGTCAACTGCGTCATATTTTATTGAGCAACAGACTCCAGCCGATAGCCGATCAGAGTCTCAATATCCAAATGTGGAAAATGCAGATCCGACTCCATATCCTACCCTGAACAAGAACAGCGAAATGAGAAAGCCTGTTTTCAACGTTGACAAAATCTCAATCTGGCTACCAACCATTGCAAGCCTAGAGAAAGCCAGTCCTGTGCCACTCAAGACGTCTATGGAGCGGACGGACAGTGACTTGAAAGATATGGCTAGTAGCTCCCGCGGCCCTCTCCTCGATGAAAGCCTTTTTTCCTCAAGAATTTCCACGTCTGCTCGATCTCCGCGAATCTCAAGTGAAGCAGGCGCATCCGAAACAGACCGCTCTGGCCAGCAGCAGGCCGATACTGCAATGGAGCGACTCTTCGAGCTACAAATCGAAGTATTCTCAATGACTTCGAACTTTGACATCGCAACGGGGTGGCTTGTCATAAAAGCATTGCAACGGCTGTCGAGTATGAGCGATGCAGGTTCGGATAACAACCAACCCTCCAAACAAACTCCCCTGAACCAGCCTGCTATGAGACCCGTCCTGGATTTGCAAGTCCGCGAATTCTCGGTCAAGTTTATAGAGCATGTAGCGGGATATCCTTATCCTGATAATTCCGGCACCTTTCTACCACCTTCGTATCCGTCAATGGAAGATATCGTCCTTCAACTTACGGCATCTGGCTTGAGAATCAATGCATCAGCAACCGATCAAAAAATGAGCCTGAAACTCGATGTTGGAAAGTTTGCTTTTGGATTTGCCTCTCAGGACCTGGTGTCCTTCGACGAGTCTTTGAAAATGCGCGAGTCCACTCGCGATATTATGACACCCTCTCAGGCAGATATCTCACTCTCGTTGACCAAATCTGCAGACGCTACACGAGTTGACTTGTCGACCCTTCCACTCCATATTAACATGAATATTCAGAATTTGGAGGAAGTACTGGGTTGGATGGGTGGTTTGAGTACGATCTTGGAACTCGGAAGCTCAATTTCATCAACCCCTACAATGAAAGCAGCGCATAAGTCTCCCAAAAAGCGCACAAGAGGTGTGCACTTCGAAACGCCTGGGCCGGCTCCACAGAAGGCCGCGTCTGCATCTACCCCGTGGAAAGTCAACGCTCGACTCGGCGGAATTGTCCTGGAAGTTGTCGGAGAGACGCATTCTTTAAAGCTTAGCACTACAGCAGTCAAGATTGTAAGCAGGTTCGAACTCCTCGGCCTTGCAATTGATCGGGCTGAGCTGAGAGGGCCCATTCGGCTTGACGGGACTCGTGATGCTCCTGCAAAGGTCATTTTGGATGGCATCAGGGTTGAGTTCTTGTCGGCACCGAAGGAGAACGACCTTGGCCGCCTTTTGACCTTGATCACTCCGTCCAAAAACAAGTATGATGACGACGACGACATTTTGCTCGACACACTTTTGCGCCAGCGAAAGCAGGGCTCTGTTCTTCGTCTAGCAGTTACGCGCATGAAGGCGACAATTTCAAATATCGAGGACCTCGCCTCACTCTCATCCCTTGGACAGGAAATGGGACGACTGTCCAACGTCACAAAATATCTGCCTGAAGATGATCGTCCCGGTATTTTGACTCTAACTATGATTCGCGAATTTGAAGCGCTAGTCCATGTTGGCGGAGAGGTCGGCGACTTGAACGCATATCTCACGGACGCCGAGGTTGCCTGGATCAGTATGCCCTCACTCACTGCGACCCAGGTTGGGACGATCAAAATTATTCGAAACAACCACGAAGAGCTGGTCGGCGAATCCTTAGTTACCGGCAGCGATCAAAGCGTGGACGATTCTCAGCCGCCCGTTCTCATGGCTCGATTCATTCCTGATGAGATGGACCCCACTTTCAAAGTCAAACTGCATCATCTTAGAGTTGAATATACGGTCCCATCGATCATGGCTTTCCTTGGACTAGGTCAAAATACGACAGGTCGCGACCTAGCTGGCGAAATGGCGAGTTCTATAGCCAATCTTGCAGAGCACTCGCCCCATACAATGGAAGATTCAGTCATTCATCAGCCGCGACCAAACACCCCGCGACCATCAAAGCCAACCAAACTCGCGGTAGTGTTTATGGACTCTGTTCTAGGTCTGAATCCGCGCAATTCGCCGTCTAAAGGGCTCATAGTGCTCACGAATGCGAAATTCAGCGGTGCTCTCCACACCGATGAATCCTCAGATGCTAATCTAGAGATTGGGAAGGCATCTATTATGATCATAGACGACGTGGCCAACGTTGGAACCGCGGAAAATCTACACCAGCGTGCCTCAGCTTCTCCCCAGAGCAAACATGTCCAGGGATACATTAATCAGGGCTATGTTCCTGTTTCTTCCATTTCCTCCGCAATGGCGGTTGTAAAGGTCATGAAACTCGATGAAGACGGGACTAAGTCTCTAGATGTGGAATTGAGAGATGATCTTTTGATCTTGGAAACATGTGCGGACTCGACACAGACACTCATCAGTATTTTGAATGGGCTCCAGCCTCCGACACCACCAAGCATCACTAAAAAGTATCAAACCGAGGTCACACCAATTCAAGACATGCTGGCCTCCTTCTCGGGTAACGCCTTCGCCGCTGATCCTACAATACCTACCGATGACAGCTCCGGGTCAGAAGCCCATCTCGAGGGTATCATTGAGGAAGATGAACTTAGCGATGAACTGGAATACGTCAGCGATTTCTACCCTGGGAGGCAGACCGGATCTGGTAGTGATGATGCAGAACTAGTCGGTGCACCTCACGACAACGACCTTCTTGGCAGTTTCCATTCCCAGTATCATGTCGCTTCTAGTCTCTCGGAGCTTAATTTCCAAGATGACCATTTCGCGAAGCAATCTGCTGTTGGCGGTACGGCACACCGCTGGGACTCCACTCATAATACTTACGGTCTTTCAAACGATACTAAGCTCCAACGGAGCCCTCTACGAGTACGCGTACGAGACATGCATGTTATCTGGAATCTGTTCGATGGCTACGATTGGCAACGGACACGAGACACCATCTCCAAGGCCGTGAAGGAGGTCGAAAGCAAGGCAATCGAGCGACGGGCACGCGCTTCTCGCATGTCACCATCAACCACGGAAGATGAGGAATCTGTCATCGGTGACTTTCTCTTCAATTCGATCTACATTGGAATCCCAGCCAACAAGGACCCGCGTGAGCTCCAGCGTGAGATTGATCGTGAAATCAACGATCTCAACAGTGAGACAGATAGCTATGCCACAACCACGACTGTGACCGCCACAACCAGCCGACAGGGTAGATCGATTCCTCGAAGGGAGAAGAAAGGGCCTCGCCTCTATCGCAGCAAGGCCCATAAGATGAGCTTCGAGCTACGCGGAGTCTGCGCTGATTTAGTGGTATTCCCGCAGGATTCAGAAGAGACCCAGAGCTCCTTAGATGTGCGCGTGAGAGACTTGGAAATCTACGATCATGTTCCAACGTCAACGTGGAGAAAGTTCGCGACGTACATGCATGAGGCCGGTGAACGGGAGAGTGGAACCAGCATGATCCATCTTGAAATTCTTACTGTCAAACCAGTGCCCGAACTCGCCGCATCTGAGATCGTCCTCAAGGTAAGCTGTATTCGTTAGGCATATTATCTCTTTTCAGATTCCGTTAATTAACATCGTCTAGGCCACCGTTCTACCTATCCGCCTTCATGTTGACCAAGATGCCTTGGAATTCATGAGTCGGTTCTTCGAGTTCCGAGACGAGTCCATCGAGGAGGCCAGTACGCCAGGAGACGTTCCTTTCTTGCAGCGTGTCGAAGTCAATTCTGTCCAAGTGAAGCTAGATTTCAAGCCAAAGAGAGTTGACTATGCTGGACTTCGATCCGGCCGGACTACAGAGTTCATGAACTTTTTCGTACTTGACAACGCCAACATGGTTCTGCGACATGTCATCATCTATGGTGTCTCTGGATTCGACCGCCTCGGCAATACGCTCAATGACATCTGGATGCCGGATGTCAAACGGAACCAGCTTCCTGGAGTCCTGGCAGGTTTGGCCCCCATTCGGTCTCTGGTCAATGTCGGAGGCGGCGTTAAGGACCTGGTAGTTATCCCCATGCGCGAGTATCAGAAGGATGGGCGGATTGTGCGCAGCATTCAGAAAGGTGCTTTGGCCTTCGCCAAGACCACTTCCAACGAACTTGTCAAGCTCGGCGCCAAGCTAGCTATCGGTACACAGACGGTCCTTCAAGGCGCGGAGGATTTGCTGACAACTCCAAATGCCGCTTCTGCCGTGTCGGACGAGAACCGCGATGACGAAGATGAAGCGAAGAAAATTTCCCTCTATGCCGACCAACCGATTGGAGTCGTCCAGGGTCTACGAGGCGCTTTCCGTGGCCTTGAACGCGATCTTCTCTTAGCACGAGACGCCATTGTCGCCGTGCCTGGGGAGGTTGTTGAAAGTGGCAGTGCAACAGCAGCCGCCAGAGCCGTTTGGAAACGCGCTCCGACAGTGGTCCTCCGGCCAGCAATTGGCGTTTCCAAGGCCGTGGGACGTACTCTACTGGGTGCTGGCAATACCCTAGACCCGAGCAACCGGCGCAAGATGGAAGATGTAAGTGGAAAGACAATATTCAGTTTCAATTATCCTAAGAACGTGACTAACGATACCTCTAGAAATATAAACTCTACTAAGCTTTTGGCTTGATCTACATTCAAACGCTACCGCGAGACACCCTCAGTTTCAGTTTCTTTCTTTCTTTCTCTTTTGTGTCTGTCTCGATTGCTTCTGACATTCCTGCATTTTGTTTCATGCCCCCGTAAATACCTCTGAACCTTTTTGCTGCGATGATACCATCTCCCCTTGGGAGCTTACAGACACGAAGACGCATGTAAAAATTGCTATCCTGCCCATGCATGCATGAACTTGGGCGTCTTCGGACTTTTACTACGATTATGATTGTGATGATTATTTTGATTTCACTCTCGTGCCTTTAGCACATCTACTCTCCATTTTACTGCCCTGTGAGCTCCATAGATTGAATGCAATGTAGATCGGGCAATCAGTGTTTATCACTCGGTGTCGAACTTGGAAGCAATTAGTGTTAAGCCCCTTCGAATCGGATCATGGTTGCATGTAGTAGGACTTAGTACGATGGCAGCCATATTTTACCACAGGCTGTAACTCTATCAGATAGTAATATTTAGTTATAGTCTTATTATTGCGAAAGAGCAGAAATCCGAGAACGCAACAGCAAACTTTGCGCGGGCAACTTAGAAGGATCAAAAAATTAAAGTAGTAGCCTATGCGGCAACTCTTCATCATAGTATAACCAATTTCCTTCTGATCCTGTAAGACTCTCATCACTTTCAAGGAATGTTTTCCTCGGACAAGAGCCAAACGTACCTAGTAGGTATACAATGCATGGAAAACTCAACCAGAGAGACCTCCTCCACCTGCGGTCTGAACTACCCAAACATATGATAGGCGGAAGACTAGCCAAATGCAGCAAGGCACAAAACCTCATTTTGAAGACGCAAAAGTCGAAAAGCCTGTTGCTCGATTGCCGATCCCGAAATGGCCCCCAAATCCCCCCGACATTGCCCCAGACAGAGACGTATACGAGTACAAATCCTGAATCATGAATCATGGATGTCCAGGTACGAGGACGAGAGTTTCAGCGACAGAGCAGAACCATGGGATGATTTGCACACAATGCCTTGAAAGAGAAATGACCTCAGGCCCAGGCCGACAAGATTTTGGCCATTGGTGTAACTGGGGTAATTATATTACTGGGTATTACCAAATTTACATGAAGCTCGCTAGTTATTTTAAGGTTATTCAACCTGTCGGCTGTAAGCGGCTGTAAGAAAAATTCAGCATGCAAGTTCATCCTGAGATGCTAGTCAGTCAGTGGATTGTATGGAGTATATTGATAGCATATTGACTTGAGATGATTCAATTTCTTGAAATAGGAATCTACATATGTAGCTAATTTAATAGTAACTCTGTACTATTCCAATGCTGTGGCGTTGATGATACTCTGCTCCTCCGTGTGCACTCTCACTCTCGGCTGACCAACCCAACTCTTGCAATTCCAATTCTTTCGTTTCCACTTCTCCCCCCCATGTGAGCCCGGTGGGTCCAGGACCCAGCCTCCTTACGATCGAGATTACGATCTTTCAACGGAGTTCCGAATACCGGGAGCACCTACATACGCGTCGGGGCGAGATTTTCACACTCGCCACTATGTCTTTCCCTCTGGGGGACTGTCCGCCAATCAAGCCATGATGGAGATTCGGTGCCCAAGTCATCGCCTTCGCTCAGCCCTGACGACTATCCCCTCGTTCTGCGCACCGACTGGTCGCCGCCAGTCCCGGTGTGTGGATCATGTTCATGTCAAAGTGCGACTAGGGCGGATGATTGGCCGGGGGTGGGACGGGAGGGTGTGCGACTAAGAAGACGCTAAGGGGGTCTCTACGATCAGCAGGATCAGGGAGAGGGCCATCTGCAAGTCATTCTGCGATGCATCCAGTCACTCGGCACTCAGGCCCCAGGGCAACAGGGGAAGGGTGGGTGGGTTAGCCTTTTGGCACAACACACGCATGGTCAGACCGACATTTCACCCTTGTTCCAATGATTTCTTTTTTTCTTGCTGGGCTGGGCTGGGGGCTTCTGCCCAAGGCTCGATCGCTGCAGTGGGCGAGTGTGACGTCGACCACTTCCTACATAATCCCATTCTCTGCCCATGATGAATCGCAGAATTGTAGAACCACCGGTTCGTCCGCTCGCGACCCAGTTGTTCCTGGCTCCAGCTGGGTTCCAGACCGCGTCGTCACTCTTAAGTGGAGATGTGGATATCCAGATCCAGATGAGAGAACAAGACCCTCGGCTCCGACCCGTCCGCCTTAAACTTGAAGGTCCTGCCCTTATAATTTTCTTATATCTTCTGTGGCTGGCGATTGCATCTCGTACCTTTCTTTCCTTGCATTGTTCTATTCTTATTTGGGTAAGCCAACACTCTCGTGTCTTTCTTTTTTTCATGTTTTGGTGCTGGCAGTTGGTCCCTTGCAGTTCCCCCGCTCTGACGAATCAGATGTATAGACTCTAGGCGTTTTGGATTGATCTCCCGATCTTCGTGTGCATTTGATATGTCAACACGCTAGTAGCGGGCCAACGAACCCCCTCCCAAATCCCCGCATGAAAAGCCAATTGTGAAGAAGAAGAACAGAAAAAAAGAGATACATACAGACGAAGAAAAAAAGCCAAAATGGTTGAGGATCTAGCTTACCGTGGCGTCGATTCAATCGGGGTTTATGATGATGGCGAGCTGCCTGACACCTCGCTTTGCTCCCAATGTCTAGAAGGTCACCAGGCTTATGCGCCATGCACTCCTTCCAAATCCCTTCCTGTTGACGCGGTATCACTTCCTCCTCGATCAATCAAGTCGGGGATCACTGGTGCATTATCGCTCCATGATTACCGAAAATATCTCTCGCAGTCTGCAGAGCCCGTCGACGATCTTGTCGATCGTTCAGAAAAAACGCTGAAGCGAAAGACTGCAAATTCGAATTTGAATCGTCCAACGGCACTCACATCGCTTCCCTCGTCTGCGGTCTCAGTTTGTTCGGTGGCATCTACTCCTCCACCACTATCGCCATCCTATTCGCACAGCGTCATCTCTCAGCGAAGCGAGCAGGAGCCCGAGGTTTCAGAACCTGCGACTGGTATGTTACCTCTTAATTTTAATTTTATGCAAGACGCAAAGCACTGACCTGTTTGCAGGTGGCTATCAACCCCAGGCTCCACGAGTTCATCTTGTCTCAAAGCACGCTACCCGTCCAAGACCAAACAGGAAGCGATTGGTGAGTGACCTGAAACATAGATAAACAAGACCTCCCTCCTCTGACCACCCTTTTCTAGAATACTTTCCGTGAAAAGCTTCAACGCGCCCAAGATAGGGGCCAGGCTCAACACCCGCCTCTATCTCGCCCCCAAGCGTCCGATTCGATGCTGGCCAACACGCAGGCCGTCGCCACCATCTCCCATGGCGGGACATCCTTTGAGATTCTAAACCCACGGAGGTCCCTGGACGTCGCCAGGATCGTTTCTTTCATTGAGGATGTTGATGCTTGCTCACTTCTCTCGACTGATAACCGCCGCAACTCCAAAATATCGACCACTACTTTTTCTCCGGATCAAACATTTGATCGAACATCGCTCTCTCAGTTCACGGATGCTTCACTGCCATCCCATTACTCTTCGCACTCTCTTTACACCTCTTTACCTGCCAGCCGCTCCACGCCCAAGATGCAAACCACGGATATCCCATCGTCGTCACCCGGAGTGCACGATCGAGTCCGCTCGCTTTCCGACTACTCTCTCCGCGAACGTAACTACTGGTCCCAAAATCAGCAACATCACGCCGAGCAACATCATTTTGGAAGCTATCCTGATCTTGATGAGGTAGATCAAGATGGATGCCATGACTTCTCCAGTTCCCCACGACCCCCATCCTCTTCTCAGCCCACCTTCTACTCCGGGGAGAGCGAGATCGGAGAGCCCGGTTCTCCCGTCTACGCAAACGGTGAATGGGCTCAGGTCGACGAACGTGACCGCGGTATTTTCTACGACCTGCCACAGGATCAGGATTCTTCTTATGAGCTCCCTACACCTTCCGATCTACCCTCACCTACCGATCTCCCCGCCCCCTACAATGCCTACTATGCCAACACAATGAATTATAATCAACATTATGACCCCTACGATCCCATCTTCGACCCCCATGTCCAATCCGTGCTGGCCGCGGCCAACGCAGAGACCATGGGCCTCCGCGGGCACCCTGCTCGCGCGCTAGACGACTTGCAGCGGAGGTTCCATAGCTCACTCTCTCTTGGCGGCGAGGACCGCAAGAACGAGGAGCGAAAGTCAATTTCCCAGCGAAAGAAGCTTCGAAAGCTCTTCAGTTGGCGGTCTGGGGCTTGATGGGTGACGCGCACCTGCATAATGAACCTTTGGAAGAGCTGGACTGTTTTGATAAGGATGAATATGATTGACGATGGATGGTGTATTTTTATTTTCTTTTGTTCTTCTCTTCAGACTTGTCCTTTTTATACTAGTACCTTTACTGGAATTCTTCTCTTCTTCCTTTCCAGCTTGGCTGGATCCGAGACCATTCAATCCCAGATTTATGTCTCATCATCCACTTGACTTCCAATTTACCACTCGCACACCGGCGATCATTTTTTAATTCGTAGGAATAAGCTCTTTTAACTTGAAGTTAGGTCCATATATAATTCCGACCGGGTATCTAAACTAGCTTTCAAATCTATACAAATCATCGACAATTCCCATGCTTAAAGTCATCCAACAAAACTTGAGAGCCCAACCTTGGGATATACAGCTGGAGACACCCTCAGTTAGGGAGTTCCCCATCCGCATTCTTCTTAATACCATTTCTCTTCCTCCAAGCCCAAACCCCCCCGATCAACCACATCAAGCTTCATCCCATCCCTCACCAGACAAAACGTAACCCCGAGCTCCGTCTCAACATTCCGATTCCGCGCCTCATCATCGAAGAAAAGCATATCCTCATAAGCAACCCCACTAGTCTGCTGAATACGCGAGAAATGCTGCGTCTTGTTGGCCGGGAAGATCTGGATAAAATCAAAGTATTCCAGCGCGCGACTCGTTTTCGTATTCGCCGCTGGGTTGTCGGAGAAGGAAGGGATGATGTGTAATGCTTTTAGCATGTCGCGGGCTAGATCGGGGTCTTGGGTTCGGGAGGCGACGGCCAGAGGGATGGCGCGGCTCTTACAAGCCTGGATAATGGAGGATACGCCTGGGTAGAATGCGAAGGCTTCGCCCCATCTGTGATACGAGGGTTCGAGTTAGATCAGATCAAAGAGGGGAGGGCGGTAGGGAGGGATTGGACGATACCGGTCCACGACGCGAGAATTGTTGTCGCGGGCCTTGACGGGCCCGCTAACGTGTGTGTCGACCCAGAAGGGCCAGAGGGTATAATCCAAATCGAAGGCGATCAGCTTTGGGAGGGGCAGGCCGTCGGTGAAAGTTGCGGGGGTCACGGAGGAGTCCTCGAGGGAGTGGGTATTTTGGCGTTTGGCACGGAGCATGGTAGGGTAAACGAGTGGAAGTCTGAATTGGCGTGGTAGCGATTGTAGTAGGTAAGCGAGTGAGTAGATGAAAGGAATGGAATGGTAGGAAGGCCAAGTTCATGCCGGATGAGAGAGACTCGGAGTCGGGGATACTCAGAGCCTGGAGGACTCCACCGCGGGGAAACGCTTCTCCACTGCCACTCCAGTTATACTTCGACATACTGTACAGCCGTATAAAATCGACATACAACACTGCCACTGATTCCTGATTCCTGATATCCCCAAATCATTCTAGTTCGCGTACCATAGAGCTTATTGCATCTATCTCTGCTTGGTCTCCTAGTGGGAAAAGTTCGCGGGATGGAAGACAATACCCTTCTGTGTCTTGATGTTCAAGTTGATATCCTGGTCGGTTTTCATTACCATCATGTTTGGTCTCGGGCTCCATTTTTGTTCCTTTTGAGCTTCCCATTCCTTTCCTAACCATCTAAGGGACGGGTTCAACACAGGATTCAATACTAAAAGGCATATAGCCAAATGTCTTTCACCCAACCAGTGACCGATGGACTATTAGCGGCGATGTGTGCATTAAAAATTCGACTTGTACTCGACTTCATCCTATTTGTGACAATCTCCCATCTCCCATCTCAAGGACCCTCCGACTATCACTCAATTCTGCCACTGTCATATCTCCCGAAAGCTCAGCAACATGCATATTCTCCTTCTTCATAGAGACTGCCCCAGTCTCCGTGGGAAGGTGCTCCACCGATGGCTTTTTTGATTCTTCCACTCGGCCATCGCCTCTCTTTGGCTGTGGCTCTGGCTCGAGATCTCCAGAAGCCAAAGCACCGCGTCGGCCCACCCGACGCGAGAGATAGATCACAGCCCCAATAAGTCCTACTCCGACCACAGATCCCACAACAACCCCGGCGATTTCTCCTCCGCTAAGCGACGATTTAGAAGAGGTATCTTTATGCGGGGCAGATGTATCCGTCGGATTGTTCGTACTAGCACTCGTACTGGACGGTGTCTTCGTCGCCGTGGAAGAGCTCCCGAGGTCACTCGTGACTGTCAGAGGAACCTTTAGTTGGTCCCAAGTTGCCTTGCCGGGCCACCCATCAGCATCATCATCGCTATACCCCAGCTTTTCCTGCCAGCATTGATAGGACTGCCGGTCAATATCAGACCACTGTGGCCCCGGTCTCACGCGATATTTCCCACAATTTTCTGCGACAAGTCTTTTCCCCATGGCGGTGACCACAGGACTGTTGGGTGATGACTTGAACCAATCTTCTCCAGGAAAGGGTGCGAGCTCACCACCACTGCTGCTGGTGTTTGCTCCCTTTAGATCAATGACCGCGAACCCATGAATCGGAACCGTCGAATTGCTCGTGAGGCTATCTCCGGATGTCTCAATAATATCGCCTGTACAGTTCGATGAGCCATACAGGAAGAGGCGGACGAGGCTGCCCTTTGCGTCGAATTTGTAAATCTTATTTTCAGCTTGCTCGATCGTTTTACAGCGCTGCGCGCTGGTACCGTTCTCGACGGTGGCGATATCGGTGGCATTTCTCCAGACAAAAGTCCAGGCCAAGGTTAGCGGGAGGGAGTAGAGCACGAATAGCGCTGTGAAGATAGTCGTGAGACGGGTCATTTTTGCCGCGAAGTAGGATACAGCCCGAAAGAATGACGGGAGAGGCTCTCTTTAGAACAGTTTCTCAAAACCCGCACATCGTTGGGTATGACATCCACCAGGCGATCGAGAGCGAGCTCGGTCATGTCTTAAATACGTGGTGGGTTTATTTATTACTAAATCGCCCACAGGCCCGCATCTTCTCGCATTCCTGAATTTGAAAGCTGAGGTGATCGGCGAATTATCAGTTTCTCATACGCCGGGGCCCGGCAGAATACGAGCCCCTAGAAGAGCGACCCCTCTTGGCATGTCGATAAGTAACATCGGTTATCCAAAGATGGTCATATCCCCAGCCTTGCCAAGGCCACTGACGGGGCCTTCCGCCAGGCCTTATTAGGAATAAGATTCTCAGGACGGACTATATGAGACACTACTCTAAGGTGCTTGGAAACTTGCATTTGCGGCTATTGAAGCCCACATGCTCTTTCTTATTCATACTTCCATGACTAGAGGAATCATAATCTTGGCCATTTTGAAAGAAATACTGGAGGATCTTTGCATTAATCTCGCACACTATCGAGCAGGTCCCTATACAGCGGCACTTCAGCTCGATACATGGAAGACATGGCGTTGGCAAATCTAGTACGCAGTAGATCGCGATCGACGAATTCTAGGGCATGCTGGTCAGGTGTCATTGAACCCATCTTACTTCAATCAGGGCAATACTAGTATATGTAGGATCAAGCTTAAATAGTTAACCCTTAATTCAGAGGTAGTGGAAACAGAGACGATTAAGCAATGAAGAAAAAAACTCTTCCAGTTACCCCGTGGGTATAATAGTACTTCTAGTTATATCCGTGAAAATTCGGTCTGTGGTAGTTGATCAATCTGGGTATGATCATCTCTGCGGGGCAAGTTCCAACAGAGACCACCTACTGGTATGTGGCGCGACTTCGGCGATATTGTCAATTCTCAGATGGAAGAGCTTGAGTTGGGCTGAACGGGTGCCTTATACCTTTGGGGGTGTTCAAACTTTTATCTAGAAAGGTAATAAGGTGATTTATATGCAAGCCGTGTTTCCAAGCAAGCCGTGCGCACCAATACGCATAGTTAAGGCGATAAGTTCCAAGGTTACAACTCAATATCTCAACAACCATTACGTCTTACTAGAATTTCTTACAAAATAGCATTACCTTTTACAGTGTTTCTTGTATGTTTAGTTATTCTTAAGACCCTATTCTAACTACGTTGCTGTTATATATATCTATACGTTATTTAGCAAAAATACGTTATGCTGGATATACTCTTTATGGTATGTATATAGTTGTACTATTGATTTCATCAACACTTGGGGCCTTTTGACAGACTACTCTATAATAATTAACTCTGTCCATCAGTGGACATCATGTGATGCTAAAATATCATTGGCCACAGCCTAGTACATTTACATGGCCACATGATTATCATAGAATGATTGATAACTTCATCCAATTGGGCTTGTGGCGCAGCGGTAGCGCGTGTGATTCCAGTCCACAAGGTCATCCGTTCAAATCGGGTCAGGCTCATTTTTTGTTCCTTCATAGAAAGTAACTTAGGTACATAGTGTATATGGGAGAAGCGGTCGAGATGGGCAAATTATTGTGATTGGTCAGATTTAGAATAGCAGGCTAGGCTCTATTTGGATTGCTGGCATATACTAGTATTCATTTCGAAAGACAGGAATAGCTTCAATATACGTGTTACACTCTCGCAGTTTTTTCTTTGGGCAAGAAAGGTAGTATATATATAACCTTGGAATCAATGCATTCTAGTAGGTATCTTGATAGTAACTGTTCCGTATATAGTACCCGATTGGACTTGCTTTGATGCAACCTGAAATAGCTTGAATAATTAACTAGGCTCCAGGAGGGATGGTGCCTCGGCTCCGGATATCAACAATTACTGTTAGTAGGAGTACTAGTAGTCTCTGTAGTTGTGATCGCACTTTCAAGTTTCCACTTCCACTTTCTTGTCCACAGCCTGCACCTTCCTCAATCACACACTCATATTGAATCTTCCTCTCCTCCTCTCCTCCTCTCACCACATCACTAACTTACAGAATCCTCCCATCTGAGACAGCGATACAATTTAATCCAGCATCATGGATACTAATGGTACTCCTAAAATCTCTCCCTCCCAAACATGACGTTATCAGTCTGACAGGCCACAGAAGACATCGAAATTGATGACCACGGCTCTACCACCACTACGCTTGAACGTGATTCCCCACTTCCAGATGGCTTCTACTCGCTGTCTCGGGATGCGAAATTGATCCGCATTTATCAGCTGCACGCTTTCCAGAAAGTTCAATGTGAATCCTTGAAAATCAGGAAGGCGCATCTCGTGGCACCAGAACGTGGACTCCGACTCCCCGTCCAGTCCCTGAATTCCGGCATACAGCACCTTGCATCTTCAATTGACCAGGCTGGAGCCCTCCAGGAATACAACCATCACTCTCGTCGATACAAAGAACTCTCACTTGTCGTTTCCCAACTTCAACATGATTCAGACGAGCTTCTCGCTAGCGTAGATGCCTTACGTACAGACGTTCTGAATGTCAATGAGCTTCTACGCCGACTGCCTGATGTGGAAAACTGCCAAACCTTCATGTCGATTTCGGTCCAATATTCCCGTCTCCTGGATGATGTCTCACATCAGGCTAGTGAATGTCGGGACCTGGTATCTCAGCGCCAACAGTTTCCTCACTTGATGCATGCCATTCCGGGCGATCTGCGGGCTGCATAGGCCAAGTTGAAAAAGGTTCTTGAAGGAATGTCTGCACAAGATGACGTTGAGAATTATTGATGGAGATCTGATCAATATCGGATTGTTGCGCCATGTAAACTTACCTATCTCGCGGTGCCGTAGTGTTGCTCAATTCTCCCATACATATTATCTCCACTCCTAGTCAAAGAATATGAATATGGCAATTTACCGGCTATGAGGCTCTCCGTTCGTTTACTCTAATGACCACCAACGCCACGTTCTTTGAGGCTACGAGAACTCTCCATTTTATCAAAGCCTTCACCCCTTGACAACATATCAGACCATGGAAAAAGATACGTGGCAGATTGAATCCAAGCAAATGTATGTTAATAAGATTCAAATATCTCTTCTAAATGACCACCGAGAATGGCCGCTCCCGAGGTTCAAATCGTCTACCGGCATATTTCGCAGTACATAGTATCGGTCCAACCATCGATTTGTCCCGGCATGTTCCAGCATGCCGCACTTGATCCCCTTCTTGCGAGGTCTTATCTCCCCACCAAATCCGGCCATTGCCATCTGTCTTCCAATCGTCGACGAGATTCACAAGAGTCTGCAAGTGGCCCAACGCGGCAGGCTGACAGCCCTTCGGTCTCCTAAGGGCCAAAAAGGTCGCTACCGTGGCCACGATAATGGATAATATGGCGTAAATAATCAACCGCGAGTAGACCATATCAAATTGGAAACCATTTTTCAACGATAGACTGGTCAGGTTGTCAACGGAAGTATAAGCCATGGATTCGAAGCTCCTGGAATCTTCAAAGCTCTTGGAATCTTCAACGACAACAGATGGAATCAGGCTTTGACCAATTATCCAATGCATCAATGCTTTGGATATGAACAGAAACACGTTTTCCCAACTTGATACGGCTGCGCGAAACGGATTCGTGACTAACTGTGTCCCAGGAGCGTTTTTTGTTTCACTCCGATGAGCTTGTCGCCATATCCCTTCATCTCTAGACAAATTGACTAGTAGTTCCAAACAATGCAGTGCGATGGTCTGAATACCCTGAATAAGACAGACAAAGAGGACACAAAGGACGGCCTCAGTGCCGTATGAGAAGATTGCTGAGTTGGGCTTATGGTCATTGGCGTAAGGGGAAAAGGACAATGTCACATAGTTCCGTGAGCAGGCCAAGCTACTCTGATCCCATTTAAATCCGAGCTTCCAGCATAAAGGTTCGGATGCTTGACCAGTAGCACTAGCGTTACCGATAGACTTGGAAACAGCAGCGATAGTGATTGGCCACGCAATAGCCAGAAGTGCGAGAGACCACAGCAAAACAAGAATGTATCGCACTAGATTCTTTCCATGGAACATGTTTCCTTGCTGTTGCAAAGGGTATGTCTCTTGGCTTTGCATTTTTCGCTGGTGTACTGATAGCATACATCTCCCGGGACGGTGAGAAATGTCACCTTTCTGGACCGCTGCCAATGCGGTATTGAGAGGATTGGCGCTCCATGTTGGAATCAACCTTTTGCTGGATACAAAACACCATGTAGCGACAACAGCCTGGCCAGCCAGGCCTATACCTAGAGCGACTAAAGCCGTGGCGTTGACCAAAACTGGGTCACTGGAAGATTCCTGCTCCTCGTACGCAGACGATAGAACGGCTTCGTCGGACAAAAAAAGAACGGATGTGGACGCATATGACAGGATCAGGCAGCTCAGTGCTACTAGGTTGATGTACCAGCTGTTCGGCCCAAATACTCTGGCGCTGGTGAAAAGGCGAACGTTGGTGTTGAACTCCAGACGTCCTTCGCGATACAATGCCCAGCGTAAACAGACAGAATGCATAAACATCATACCATCAGTACAGAGTGCCAAGATAACGTTAATCACCAACGAGACAACCTCGCGACTCGTATCGGAGATTGAAATTGAAGCGCCAAGCTTTGCCTTATCCGTCACGAGGAGGTAAATGCCAGAAATCAAACAAGCAAGAGAGAGAATCACGCCTATGAATATAGCGGCAATGCACCCATATCGCGTCGCGCTGGCCTTGTCAAAATCTTGACCCTGCTCTTCTTCATCTTCGTCTATGGATTGCTCAACAAATGGTTGCTTTTGCTCTTCCGAAGATTCCTCTTCTCTGCTGCGTCTTGCGGGTGGTCTGACTCGGCTCATGTCAAGCATTGGATGGCCGACGAAGAGTGTTCTGGTTTTGGCCGGACACGTGCCTAGGAAACACGACTCATAATGAGCCTTGAAGTGAGCTTGAAGTCCTGGATTTTAGCGCCAGGGGCAGTGCACACCACCCAGAGTGGGGGCCGATGCCACTTAATCCCCGCGTGGCACAGATCAAACATGGGGGCTAAATTTTGTTGCGTCAAGTTAGTACTCCTGCTTCAAGTGAAGGTAAATGAATGAGAATCTCTGTTCTGCACAAACTATGGTCGTACTAACATACATGGGCTGATGGGAGCAGAGGGTCAGAGATATGGGAAAAGATCGATGGATACACACTCTTTTTAGACCTATGATGATGGAATGGAAAGAGAGAGGTCTCGCCTCAGGTGGTCAAACACCGGTCCAGCTGTCCTGCTAGCATCTTTTCGTTGTGACGAACGGATTAAAGTCTAGGCTAAGCAGTCGGGCTCAGGGCGGAGGTGGTTTGATTTCCTTTTTTGTTTCGCTGACAGAGAAAAGAAAGTTCAAGGATGATTTTTCAGTATCATTCATAACGGTCATGGAATAATACCTAAGCATAATGCCTGGAATCTTTACTATATTAAAATATTCTATACACCATAAAGGAAGACCATAACTAACCCACATACCACCATCCCCGCCACTAAACATTCTCTTAGAACATAGCGGGGATTCTGAAGATCCGAGATACCGTTCCAGAACTTGGGTCTCAATAAAAATTCACGATATTCTTGTACTCCTCGTACAACATCCGATCAATATCCTCCCATCCATTTCCTGGGTGCTCATCGTCTCCATTGTCCATCGAGCGGGCATTGGCAGCTGGTACTGAAAGTATCTCATGGAGTGTATCCATGAGGAGATACTGATCGAGTTTCGGCTGCTCTAGATCTTCAAGGGCCATATCCATGACTCTTTCCTTCCCCTTCGGTGAGCGAACCATATTTTGAGGAGACGTCAACAGTGGTGCAGTAGCAGCAGAGCTTTTCAGTGCTGCAGGTGAAGTGAAAATCCCCGGGGTGGATTCTGACAAGGTACTGACCCATCCATCAATAATTTCTTGTTGTGATGAGGAGCTTGGTGGGTTTGTCCTGGCCTCTGAGCTTCCCATTGCTGGAGACGCAAGTTGAAGAGCAGTGTCCACCTCGCTTGGTACTCCAGAGCCTGGAAGAGTTAGAACGGAAGGATCGATGAACATTTGCTCGGTTTCTTTAGGCTGTGATAAGCCCATCATCGGAGACTCGGGCCGCAAAAGGCTGGAGTCGATAGACTCTAGAAAGGTTGACGGCGATGGCAGATCACTGAGTCCATCATCTCCATAATCACTAGACAGGATTCTGGAAGGACTTTTTGGTCGCTCTTTTTTGAACTTGGGAAGATTGCCTTTGCCGCCTTGTTTGTAGTTGATCTGGGTCTGTTTCGTTTTTTTCTTGCTTGGCAGGCCCGAGGGCCAGGTACTCGATTCCGACAGCTGAGTGGTCTTTCGTTTGGCAGGTTGCTTTGCCTTTGCCGAAATTTTGTCTTTTGGATTTTTCTTTTCGCCAATGCTGGCCGGTAAAGTCAATTGGCTGCGACCGTGAGCTTTGAGGTTCGCGGTAGTCTTGCCTTTTCCAGGCTTCGGGGGCTTTTCAAGACCATCTCGACAGCAGAAGTGTTTGCAACTATGATAGTTAGCATTCACTAAATATTTTCCAGGTATTTATTCTCAAGTTGAATGCGCACCTCGTTTTATTCTTGCATTTGTGGTTACATGCCCAGTTCCCGTTGGCGTGTCGGACGGGCTCATAGTCTTCCTCTTGCGGTCCCATGTCTGCTGTCCACTCCTCATCGTTGTTTCGGGATGCATTTGCAGCATGATGAGGTGGACTGGGGGTGCTGCCAATCGAAATCCACTCGATTTCATCAGTCGGATGACTGGGTGCCTTTTCCACCTGTTTCGTTTTCTTCTCGAGTGAACCCGCTTCCAGAAAGTCATCCAGATCTAAGTCATCACCTTCGAAATCATCCTTTCGGTGACTCGCCTTGGATTTGTGTTGTCTTTGAGAGGCATCTGGGCGGTCAATCGAGTCTGAGTTGCTGGTGTCGGGAAGTTGCGAGCTTTTGGACACGAGGCTTTTGATTTTTGGACGTGACAAGAAGGAAAGAACTTCCGGCTTGATTTCGGCTTGCCTCAATGTACCCGCTAATAGGAAGTTAGAATCGGGCCTAATTCAGCTTGGAAAGATTCAATACCTATATCATCGCACATGGCATGGCTGATAATGAATTGGCCCGGGACATGCAATTTCGCGACGAGATTGGCCTCCAGACCCTCTTGGAGCTTACTCGCACTATGCAATTATTAGTTCCTTTCGCATGTTCCAATTTTGCTCCAACGCACCTGATTCTTTTGAAGTCGATGAGTTGACCGTCAGATGTTTCAGTCAAGCAGCAAACGTAGATGGGTCGTCGCTGGAAAAATGTCGGGATTTTCGTATTCATAAATGCCACTTCCTGCTTGAATCGAATTTTGACACCTTCGGTTGTGACCTCCTGCTCTGCATGTTAGTCAACAATAGTGATGCTTGCGGTGATCTCCTGACGAACCTTTCCAGTTATCTTCAAGGCGACCCTCAGTTTCGGGAACTCCCTCACCCGCACCAGCAATTTGTTCCCAAATGGAGGATTCTTACTGAGCGTCATTTCAATCTGATGAGGCTCGGTGAACTCCAGCTCTTCGAGGCTCATTATCCCACTAGCAGCTAGTTTTCTCACGGCAACAACACCGACCTGGTCTATTTGCTTCATTTGAAGCGGAGAGTGATCCCACACCTTGGCACCGAAACTG